AAGGAAGAGTTGACTGTGACGGTGAAGAACCTGACCCAGAACTTTATAGATGCTTGGATTACTGAGGGGACAGGTGGGAACCACTGGAGATTAACAGGAGTGTATGGCTGGCCAGAGCAGGAAAACAAGTCTTTGACTTGGGATCTGATTAGAAGGCTGAGTGACCAACAGAACATGCCATGGCTTGTCTGTGGGGACTTTAATCAAGTCCTTAGTTATGAGGAGAAGAATGGAAATAAACCTCCAGATATCATGAACATGGAGGAATTTCAAGCAACAGTTGATGAATGCCAACTTGAGGATCTTGGCTACTATGGGAACATGTTTACATGGGATAATGGAAGAGTTGATGAGAACTTTCTTGAGGAAAGGCTGGATAGGGCATTTGCAAATTCAGGCTGGAAAGATTGGTTCCCTGAAGCTCGGGTTTACCACCTAGATAGGTGGTTTTCTGATCATTTACCAATCAGAGTGGACCTAAATCTTCGAGAAGGAAAGGTGAGGTGGGGATGGCATTTTAAATTCGAATCTTACTGGCAAACTCATGAGGAATGCTCGGCTGTAATTGAAGCAGAGTGGAACAAAGATCCTGCCAAACCCCTGGAAGACAGGATCAAGGATTGTGAAAAAGCTTTGCTTGATTGGAGTAAAAGGACGTTTGGCAGCCTGAAGGCCAGGAAAAAGAAGATTGAAAGGGCGCTGGCCAAGATTGCAAAGCAGAAGAAGAACAAAGCAGTACTTCTTCAAAGAAGAGTTCTAGAAAAGGAACTTAATGAGGTCTTGCACCTAGAAGAGATCAGATGGAGACAGAGGTCTCGAAGTGACTGGCTAAAAGAGGGGGACAAGAACACAGGCTTTTTCCATAGAAAAGCCTCCAATAGACAAAGACGAAACACAGTTAAGGAGTTAAGGGATGAAGATGGAACAGAGTATAAGGGGCAGGAGGAGGTAATGAGTTGTTTTTGGCACTATTTGACAAAATTATACCAGCAAGGGCAGATTCAGAATTTGGAAGAAGTCCTGTCAGCTGTTGAACCGAAGGTAACACCGCAAATGAATCAAGAGCTCATGGCTCCGTTCACTAGGGAGGAGATTTGGGAGGCCCTAAAGATGATGGCACCCACTAAAGCACCTGGTTCAGATGGGATGCCAGCCTTGTTTTTCCAGAAAAACTGGGCAGTGGTAGGGGATTCAGTCTGTTTGGAATTACAAAGGATACTATTAACTGGGCAGATTCCAGTTCACCTAAATCACACGCTGCTTGCAATGATTCCAAAGACTCAAACACCAAATTCGCCAAAGGAGTTCAGACCTATTGCACTATGCAAGGTGCTGTACAAGATCCTATCTAAAGTTCTGGCTAATAGGCTGAAGAAGATATTAAATGAGGTGATTACTGAGACTCAGAGCGCTTTTGTTCCTGGAAGGAATATTACAGACAATATCATGGTGGGATTCGAATGTTTTCATGCCATGAAGAACAGGAAACAAGGAAAAAAGGGCTTTGTTGCGGCCAAACTCGACATAGCAAAGGCTTATGATAGGGTTGAGTGGGTTTTTTTGGAGGGCATCATGCTTAAACTAGGTTTCCATGAAGATTGGGTTCATCTGATAATGCAGTGTGTATCTACTGTGACCTATTCTGCTTTAGTAAATGGACATCAGACAGCATTAATTCAGCCTACAAGGGGACTAAGGCAAGGAGATCCCATTTCTCCATACCTTTTCCTTATCTGTGCTGAGGGTCTTTCGGCTCTAACCAAAAAAGCAGTGGAGGAGGGTAAACTACGTGGACTAAAGGTGAGTAACAATGGACCTATGATAACGCACCTTTTCTTCGCAGATGACAGTATATTCTTCTTCGAAAATAAGAAGGAAGAGGGTGAGGCATTGAGGGAGATTCTGAAGACTTATGAACAAGCATCGGGGCAGCAAGTAAGTCTGGCCAAGTCTGAACTGTCTTTTAGCACAAACGTTACTGACAGTGACAGACAGGACATGGCAGCAATTTTGGGTATGAAGACCGTCATGCATCATGACAAGTATTTAGGATTGCCCACTGTAATAGGGAGAGCCAAAAAAGCTGTGTTCTCTCAGCTAATTGACAGAGTCCGAAACAAGATTAAACACTGGAAGGGTAAACTTCTTTCAAATGCAGCCAAGGAAGTTCTGATTAAGGCCGTGGCACAAGCCCAGACGCTATATGCCATGTCAGTGTTCCTAATTCCGCAGGGAGTTGTTCAGGAGATTCAAAGTATGATAGCTAGTTTCTGGTGGGGAAGGAAAAGGGAGGAAAAGAGGATACACTGGATGAGTTGGGACAAATTATGTAGACCAAAGTATGAAGGGGGAATGGGCTTTAGGAACCTCCATGGTTTTAATATTGCTCTCCTGGGAAGACAGGTATGGAATTTACTCCAAAACCCTGGTTCCCTAGTAGCACGTGTACTGAAGGCAAAGTACCATCCTCATTGTGATGTACTGGAAGCGGAATTGGGTACGAATCCTAGCTATGTTTGGAGAAGCTTGATGCAAGCTCAAAGTCTGGTTAGAGAGGGGACGAGATGGAGGATTGGAGATGGGGAAAGTGTGAGAATTTGGTGGGACAGATGGATCCCATCAGCTGAGAACTACAAGATTCAATCACAAACTCAAGCTACCGGTTTAGGCATTATGGAAAGGGTGTCGAAACTGATTGATCCAGAAACTCGAACTTGGAAAAGCAATCTGCTGCAAGAAAATTTCCAGCCTATTGATCGAGATCGAATCAACCAGATTCCACTCCCTTCAAGAGAGAGGCCAGACCTGCGAATATGGGGAAAAGAGAAAACGGGGAAGTATTCTGTTCGATCAGGGTACAAGGAATGGCGAAGAAGACAACTAAGCAACCAAATCGAAACATATGTTCCAGTTGACTGGAAACGAATGTGGATGCTTCAGCTACCTCCTAAAGTCCGAGTATTTGTGTGGAGATGGGGGAGTAATATCCTCCCCACAGGGTCGAATCTCAGCAGAAGAATCCCAGAGGCACATGATGAGTGTCCATTTTGTGGGTTGGTGGAGACACAGGAACATATTACACGGGATTGCGACTGGGCAGGGAGGGTGTGGAGGCCGAGTTTATTGGCAAAATATTTTCAACTGGGAGAAGGGAAGAGATGTGAAGAATGGTTATGTAATCTGATGGAAGGAACAACCGATGAGGAATTGTCTTCGGTTCTGATAACCCTATGGTTCCTCTGGAAAGAGAGGAACAACCATCTATTCAATAATCCTAAGCTAGAAGAGTGGGAGGTTGTGGCGAGAGCACAGAATTACCTGGAGGAATATCAGCAGCTGCAAAACCAGGGAAACGCTCCGAAGCCGGTGCAGAATCGAATTGGATGGGAACCACCACCCCATGGCCTGTACAAAATGAATACGGACGCTGCGGTGCTAGGAGAGGATGGAACGGGTTTTGGGATGGTGATTAGAAATGAGGAAGGGGTTTTCCAGATGGCGGCGGTGCATCGGACGAGGACGCGATGGGAGCCGGAAATGGCAGAGGCTCTTGCCTTCCTGTGGGGCTTGAAAATGGCGAAGAACAATCATTTTTTGCCTTTGCTGGTGGAAACGGATTGTAAATCTCTGATACAGAAGTTGGATAAGAAGGAGGCAACGAATTTGGAAATTGGGGGAATCTGCGATGAAATCAGAGAGAGGGCGGTGGAAGGAAATGTCAGTTGGAGATTTTGGGGGAGGGCTGGAAATGCATGCGCTCATCAGATGGCCCGAGTGCGGTGTAGGATGGAGGAATCTGAGATATGGTTTGACCGTCCTCCGCTCATTTTACTACCTCAATTAGACAAAGATGCCAATGTAGTCACTGAATTTGTTTAAGTTTTCAATACAGATTTGCTATCAAAAAAAAAATAAAATAATAATACTGTAGATAATATGTACTAAAATCACATATCACAACCTCAAAATGGTACTATAAATCGAGTATGATCCCATTATAAGTCTTTTAGATATACTGATTTTATTTTCCCTAAACTGTTTAAGTTCTTTTCAGTTTGGGACAAATTAATCGATCCATTTAGAACTTTCCAATCAGCAACAAGGGTACAAATCTGTACTTCTTTGATGCTATATCCCCCAAAACTCTCGAGTCTCAACCTTCATTGCTGTACTTGCTTCATGTTCTTATCTTTTCCTTTAACTTTTCTGATCCTTTAACTTTTACTTTTTACATAGATTCTATTGGCTTTCGGTAGGAAAGTGATCAGACATGTGAAAGTCTGCCACAAAATTATCTTCTTTTGTTTTCCTTTGTGTTAGACTGTTAGTATATATACATGTGCTTTTTGTTTTACTATGTATGTTCCTGGGTAGTTTGCTTCTAAGTTACTAATTCATTTTTAGTTCTGGTTCAATTTTATTATTTACAATCAAAAGTTTAAATTAGGGTTTTAGGAGTGCAAAGATTAACCGTAACCATACTAACTAATCTATCCCAGGAGCTGCGACCACTAACTAATTAATAACGATGGCCTAATTAACCCGTTTACTGCATTCATACCGCATCTCCATCACAAAGTCAGCTTTGTACTTTGTAGACGAGGATCAATTCAATAATAAAAATTAGAGGTCCCAACTACGCCTACCACGTTGGTATCATCTCCATTTTTTAACTCAAATCTGAAAAATTGTGTAAAGAAGGAACAAATTTATGGTGGTATATTGTGATTTAATTTTATAAAATAAATTTGAAAGTAAAATATCACCATATATATATATATATACCACCATGATATGTGAAGTTAACTGGTGACAGATTATGGTGAAAGAAGTTAAATGATGGTTAGTATATTCTTACTATTGTGTATAAAATCATTATACACTATGGTATAATAATCATTCCAATATGATATACTTCCGTATCACTATAGTATAATCTCTTATGTACTAACAAACATTATTACCATTATAAATAGTAACGGTTAAAAAACCGATAATCTCTTAAATGTTTCGATTAAAACCGAAAATAATTTCGATTTATTTTGACTTAAACCACAAATGTAAGGGCTTATCGATTTCAGTTAACTTAAAATCGATAAACTCTTAATAGTTTCGGTTAAAATAAAAAAACATTAATAAATTGATAAAAAAACTGTAAGCCTTAACATAATCAAAGGTTCAGGTTCGGTTTCGGTTAATGTCTTATCGATTTTGGTTAATCGAAAGCCAATAAGCTCTTAGCAGTTTTGGTTTTAAACAATAGGCTAATTCATATTTCGATTTCTAATGATTTTTCGGTTTGGTTAACCGAACTGAATCGTCATCCCTGGTATAAACTCTAAATATATGTCTCAAATTTTTGTTCAAAATAATATCAAGGTGGTTGTCTTTTTGAAGAGCACAAGTAACATGATTTTCTTTACATTTTTGAATTTCGACTCAAAACAAAAGAGATATAACCCGTTAAATTTAATCGAACAAAAATTTATACACGATACTTACCAAACAAATTACTGTCTAATTCCGATCCCCATCTGCTGCATGCTATATATATATATATATATATATGACATATTCCAAATCTACTCCTCCCAAAACATATCTAAAACCATAAACACAAACACACACACACAACACACTAACATACAAGCTCTTAAAAAGATTCTCCCACGTCAAAAATGACTCTTTCTCGAGTCTTTGCAACCACATTCCTTCTACTTTCTCTCGTTGTGATGATCAATTCACCAACCTTCGCAGCCGGTCACACCAACGACAACCCTTTCCAGCGCCTGGAGGGTTGCCGCAAAGGCGAATCCACGAAAGGCCTCCACAACCTCAAACAATACCTCCAGAAATTCGGCTACTACCTCAATCACAACAACAACAACGACACCAACTTTAACGTAGCCGCCATCACCCACCAAAACGACGACGTATTCGACGAGCTCCTCGAGGCAGCAATCAAGCTATACCAACTCACTCACCACATCCCCGCATCCGGCTCCTTGGACCGCGCCACGACGGCCCAAATGACGACCCCGAGGTGCGGCGTACCGGACCACAACCTTATTTCAGCAGTGATGGAATTGGAACCCGACGCCGCAACAAACAAAGGAGGCCCAAATAAGAAGGATTACAGATTCTTCAAGGGCGAGCCCAAGTGGAACCAGAACCGGTTCCGCTACAAGTTCTTCCGCGGCCGCCCTCCCGCCGGGCTGAAGGAAGCCACGTACAAGTCCGCCGTGGCCCGAGCTTTCCGGAGCTGGTCCAACGTGACGCGGTTCGCGTTCGAGAATGTGGACAGCAGGGTGCTGCTGAACGTTGACATGACGATTGCGTTCTACTCGCGGGACCACGGCGATGGGAATCCGTTTGATGGGCCTAAAGGGACGTTGGCCCATGCGGCCCAGCCGCGCTACGGTTTGTTCCATTTGGACGCGGACGAGAAGTGGACCGATAACCCGAGGAGGAAAGACCAGTTCGATCTGGAGTCCATTTCGTTGCACGAGATCGGGCATATGTTGGGGCTCGACCATAGCGACGACAAGAGTGCGGCCATGTACGCTTATTTGGACGGCGGGAAAACTAAGCGGAGGTTGCAGAGTGCGGATATCAGGGGCATCAAAACACTCTACAAGCTGCGTTGAACTTAAATGCAAACAGTCAGACTGTGGAACTATGGATGAATAATAATCAATGATGTGACACTGTATATGATATATAGACCTACTTATACTAAAATAAAAGGGAGATGTAATCTCTTACAATAAAAAAGGTCTATCAAGCATGCTCGTTTGTTTGTGTGTTTGTATGACTATGTACTCTACAACGCGAGTTCGTATAATAAAACTTTGTTGTTATCTTATAGAAATTAAGTTTTCCATAATTTCGTGATAGTTTTGGTTGTTGTTCATGTGTGTCTCATTTTTCTCCCATTCGACCCAACGATGTGCGTGCTTCTATTGTGGCAATTTTCTCCATATTCTTCTTTATGTTGGCGTTGGAAAATGGTTGTGCTTTCATGTTGTGACTTTCTATTGGTGTGGGTAAAGCACAACGAAGATAAGAGTCGATTCAGAAAAATAGGGAAAATAAATGTTTTTAATTCATAATCTTTAAATTTAAATTTACTGGACACACTTAAATTCAAAGGTTTAGATTTAGTTATTCATGAATGAGTAACCAATGATTAGTAATAACCCTATCTTGAGCCCACCTAGGATATATATGTGTCTTATTGTACTATAGTATTTCATTTCGTAAGCAAATATGATGTTATCACTAATTAGCCTTCCTTTAAATGAATGCAAACAAACGAGACACCACTAATTCTGTATGCTTGTACCTAGGATATATATGTGTTTTATTGTACTATAGTATTTCATTTCATTCAAATCACTAAATAGGTTATCACTCTATTGGCACTTACGAGACACCACTAATTCTGTATGCTTGTACCTTAGAAATGTATTTGTAGATGACATTACGACATGAAATGAGACGGAATTTCTTCATGTTATCAAAATTTCGTCCCCATTTCCTTCATGCGATTCATGGATACTAGTAGATAATTTTTCCCCCCGGAGGATACCAATAGATAATTCCTTTCCATCACACTAGATAAAAAAAATGAACTTTAATTTTTTTTAAAGAAAATAAAATAGGTAAAAATATGTATTAATATAAGGAAATTCATATAGGCTCATTGATCACCTACCAAGTTCCTTTACTTTGTAATTTGAATGAAATTCAATTCTTATTTGTTGTCCTTTTCAGTCATTTTACTTCAATCGTAATTTTAAAATTATTTCAAAATAAATTACCAGCTAAGCAGACAACGGCTATTTTCGAACCCAAAAAGGTTTGGCGCGCATATTGCTACAATCGGGCTATACCGAGCATAAATTACTATTTCCGACAATCCACTCATATAATTTTTGGGTTGGTAAATACAAATAAATATTTCCTTTAATAATTCACAAAAAAAAATATTTCCTTTATTATCATATCTAGTTACTTGCTATAACTTCATGCACCTATAAAAAAATCTCAATTTTAATTACTAAATATGTTCCCATATTTAGCAGAAAAATATCATCCCATTATGAATTCCTTTCCTTCATTAGATAATCCAAGAACCAACAAGTTTATTCATAGCAACAACATAGCTATCACACTATAAATATTGTTAAATCCTGTTATGTTCATCACATAGCTATAACTCTTCTGATCAAAATCCCAAACAAAAAAGAAGCGAAATCATGGGGAGGAAGAAAGTGAAGTGTGAATTGATTAGTGATGAATCTTCTCGAAAGACAACGTTCAAGAAGAGGAAAGCTGGCTTGCTGAAGAAACTGCAAGAGATCACCACGCTCTGTGGAGTCATTGCTTGTGGGATCATCTTTAGCAATTTCAGTACCAAGGGGAGATCACAACAGCCCAATCAACAGCAAGAAGTCTGGCCTTCGGTTCCTGAGGCAACCGCGGTGGTCGAGAAGTTCAAGGATCTGCCCGAGAAGAAGCAGAAGAAGTACATGCTGAACCAGGAGTCGTTGCTGAGCGCGAGCTCGTCAAAGATGAAGGAGAAATTGGAGGCGCAGGTGGAGAAGAACCGGAGGCTCGAGCTGGATCTGCTGTTGGCAGATCCGGTGGCGGCCTACCATCACGACGTCCTCCTGCCTGACAGTGGTGGCAGTGAGGATTTTGTGAATCATGCCGCGAAATTGGATGGTATGCGTGAGATTGTGAGCAACAAGGTTGATCAAATTACTGAGCGAATCGAGCATATTAAGAGCAAGGGCAAGAGGATGAGAACTCGTTATTCGTGATTTTTTCTCTCTCTCGTATCTCATGACAAAGTATCGATCATATGGTTTGTGAGGATTGTGTAGCAATGCAACAGAAATGAATAAATGAAATTGAGTCTGTTTGTTGCTTTTTTTCCCCCTAAAAATCCTTTTACCGTTCTGTGTTATTTGTGTGTGCTATATTCAATCGTATTTGCTGCACAAATTATAACAGTGGTGTTTGTGTACATCTTCCAGACATACAACTTATCGCACAACGGCTCTTTCTACTTTTGACATAGAGTTGCAAGATTATTATTTTTGGTTATAAGTCCGCGCTTTAAACTTTTCTTGCTTATCAATAGAGCGTATCAGATTCATTTTTTTTTAAATATTTATGAGCGAAAACTCGATAAGATAGCATTTATGCATTACTGTAAAAGTCATATTCATTAATGCGCTTTTTAAAGAGATGTGTCTGTATTCACACTCTCGATTTTGGGTGCATAGCACAATTGTCATTCTGATAATTCAACTCATCTGAAAATGATCTCAATCTTTTTTTAACTTTAGTACAAATGAACAAAAAAAATGTGAAAATCATATAAGATTGACTTTTATTTTTAGTGTTTTTGAAACTTGCTCAATATGGCAGGGAAAGTTACCTAATAGTAATTATAGTAACAAAGTTTTCTAATTCTAAGATATATATCATCATATTAAACAAATGTCGTCGATTGAAAGAGTACGTCTACAATGACATTGCGAAAACACCCAACAACGGTGGTGTCTGGTGCACAAATTATGTCGACCTGTAAGGGGATACAGTCGACCGATATAGTGATTTTCACTTTATGTGAGAAGTGGGGTTTACATTGGTTGACCAGTTGCTTCCACAGATCTACTGAATTCAAGGGTAAATACCTACTATGTACCTCAACAGAACTTCTTTACTTTGAAGGCGACATGCAAATGCCAATAGCATTTATCGACAACTTTCAAGTGAGGACGCTTTCCCAGCATACTTGTTGCTTATTTCGGTTTGACCACCATGTTGTGCAAGTCGATCAATTTTGAAGAACAAAATATCTAGTGCAATATTAGAAATCGCACAAACCATATCACCAACATTTGTTAATTCAATCCACAACTCAAATCCGTGAGTCCTAAATCACGACCCTAGCCCCTAACTCCGAACCCTAAACCATAAATCGTCGTTAGTCATAAACCAAATAGTATATAAGTCATACCAAAGACAATAACAATATAGAACTTATCTATGAGCAAATTTATCGACTCTCACTAATGACATCACTCAAACATTCCCTCTGTGTAGTTAAAGGTGTTATCATTATTCAACATTTAACCACACCTCAAACCCCTGGAGAATCATATTTGACGACTCCTTTAGCGACGAATATCAAACCGTCGCTAAAATACAAAGTTTGAGTTCCACCGTTTCCCTAGAAAATTGTATAACCCCTATTACCTGCTAACTGAATTTCAAAATCTCCCATGAACTTCTAATCATGCCACAACTTGCTAACTTCAGTCACGGTACACATCACTCATGGCACACAATATCAAAAGGAAATCAAACAAATAGAAACTCACCAAACCAACAATTCACAATCAAAGTAATACTGTTAAACTTGCCCAAAGAAAATTTTGTTTGTCTATTCATATCAAAAGGAAGTCAAGCTTTGTTGTCTTCTGAATCGTTCACACCATGCACTGCCTTCTTTTGCAACCCATATTCACTGCGATCCTTGTACCAAGGCTTAGTGAAGGAGAAGTACAGTCTGAGGGAAGATTTTCCTTACAGGCTAATTTGGCAGGGGCATATTCCCTCTAAAGTTTGCACGTTTTTGTGGATCGTACAGTAGAAGAAAATTCTTACGCACGACTCCCTGAAGAGGCGGGGATGGAGCTTCCCCAGCAAATGCGTTCTCTGCGGTTCAAGCGAAGAGGATGCGAATCACATCTTTATCACTTGCTGCTTCACCCGCAAAATCTGGGATAGAATGCAAACTTTCGTGCACTTGGAGCAGGTACCGTCGGACATATCACAGGCAATACAGATTTGGCCACGGAGGAAACCTGCTTGCCCGAAGGACTGGTGCACAAGGACGTTTCTGCATGCTCTGTGCTGGAGTGTGTGGAGAGAAAGGAATTATAGGATCTTTGAAGACAGAGCAACTACGGAGAATGTCATTGCGTTTAAGATTGGTAGTTTGATTGCGAGATGGTTGGTTGTGGCAAACAAAGTGGAAAAGGACACTGCTGATCCTTGGGTAGAAGCGTTGCGGCAGGCTACGATCGGTTCGGCTAGTTCTTAAGCGGGTGGGATTTTGTTTTGGGCGCCATGTTTAGTCCCCCTCGTTTTTGTTGTTTTGCTGCCTGTATCTGTACTGTTTCTGCAGCTTCTGTGCAGTAACCTTTCCTTTCTTTCCCCCCCTTTTCTCTCCTGTAACTATATTTGTTTTAATAAAATTTGTTCACCATTATAAAAAAAAAGCATAAAAAAAAGGCATAAAAAAAAAAGGTCTGTCTTTCAAAATTTGTTTGTTTCTTCTTAAAAAGTTGTAGTGTATATATAGTTAACTTCTTCCATCTTCTCGTTTTGTCAAACATCAATTGTCAAAATATATATAATAGCAAAATTTTCTGAAGTCTTCTCTGGTTTCCACCAAGAAGATGGTGTACCTACAACGAAGGGCTTCTTTTTTACCGGTATAAAGAAACCCTTTTTTCGTAACGAATTCATCGTCATAAAAGACAATACAAGCCACATGACCTTTAACGACCAAACTCTGGCCAGCCTAGCGCTCGTGTAAATATCCCAACTCTCCCGCTGCCACAACTCAAACAATTCACTGAGCAAAACGTGAAAGAGAACGAGTGAGAGATAGAAATACAAATAAGACGATAGGGGGCAAGAAATGGAGAAGCCAACGACGACCCTCATCTTGTCGCTAATGGTGACAGTCTTATTAGCGACCACCCACGCAGCGGACACGGCGAATGCTCGGAAACTTGGCGGCTCCACGGCCACCGCCTTCAGTGATCGTGGTTACCAATTCCTGGCCATTAATGATACGGGAGGGATCGGTGATTTCGGAGGCTGCGGTGGGAAAAGATCAATACGGTGCGCTGACGGTCTCTGTTGCAATCAGTTCGGTTATTGCGGTAGTGAAACCGACTATTGCGGCGACGGATGTCAGCCATCATACGGCAAATGCGGCACCGGCGGCGGCGGCGGCAAGAGTATACCCTCGCCGCCACCGCCCGGGAAACCGTGACGTCAACATTCCTCAAGGTTCATAATTATTAACAGCTTTATACTCGATCGGAAGTTAGAAGGGGATGCTTAGTATTAGTAATGAATAACGCTGTCAAATTCAGCGATGAAATTATAATATGGTAATAAATGCTTTCCTCGGGTGTTCTCTTACTATAGGAATAATGTATCTGTCTCAAACTATTCTTTTTCATCACATAGAGAACCTGGTGCTTCCTTTAGATAATTTCTATATCTCAATTTTCTCTTTTCATTCCCTTAATTTCACTAGCTAGCTTTCACCTCATGGCCCGGAATTTTCGTTCATCATGTTGTTCGTTGAGAGTAAATAGGTCCATTTGTACAATATTGTCCGGTTTGTACTAAGATTGAATTGATTTTCTTTTTAGGTATCATCCCCGCCAAAAGGGCTATTACTAATGAGTTAATTTAGTCAACACTAATATACAATGGTCATTTTTATTGTATGGAGTGTCCTATACCAATCCTTCACCTCAAGACAAGGACCGACCACCGAATTTGTATTTTTCTCTCTGCGATTATCTTGATCCGTCAGATACCTTTCATAGATAGGCTCTTCACACAAGGATTTACCATATGCATATCTTGATTTTCATGTCTGAGAGACGCAAGTCGCTTTCTCGATCCACCTAACAAATGCATATTTTGTTTGCTTTGCCAGACAACGCAGATTTCCAATTAGAACTGCCAAATAGACACAAAAACCGGGAGACGACAAAACATCAAGTGCATAGTCGTACAAGTAATAAAGTATAAGTAAAATTATTGTTTTTTGGGAGATTGGTGAAATTCAACCATAAACAAATTTTATAGAAACTATAGAAATTTCAAAGGATGTAATAAAGTGTTAGATTGAAAAAATACAAAAAAATTAATTATCCTGAAGAACGATATCCCTAAAATGACTGTATAATTCCCTATTTAATCCATTGCCGTTTCGATAGGCAAAGTTTTCACATTTCACAATAGAAAATGGAGAAAAAGTCGCGATTAAAATATCTAGATAATGAAATCCCAGAAACTTCCCCAGAAATTGATTAGTTCATGATGAAAAGAAAGAATATAAACATGCTAATGTTCAACATCATAACTAATAATTTAAACAAATAAGTAGAGAAAATAGTAAAGTTTTGAAGTTAATCCATAGCTTACAAAACTCTTCCTTTCTTCAAAATGCTCTACTGACTATTCTAAAATGTGTCAAAGTGAACTATCTCCTTTGATTTTTCTCTCGAAAACTACTCTCCAACAGTGCCTAAGAGGGTCCTGCTTACTTGTTTGTTCTTCCCTTTTAAGCTCCCTTCCAACACATTTTCTCCCTCAAAACAATGCACTTGCGGCTTCCATTGCCAAGAGAGAAAGTTGTTGTGCCAGCTAAAGTCTCTCCTTTCATTAAATTTTATGCATATTTGTATTTATTGGCGAGCCACCAAATTCAAGTGCTCACTTTAAAAAAATCTAGTCCAATCTCAATACATTATGAGGGTTGCTCTTAGTTGGGTGAAGATTGCAACTCAGTTTAGTTCAGTGGATCTTCCTCGCGATAGCCTCCTGCTGGGCATTAGCGTTTACACGTACGTGTGGTTTTGATCAAGATTATCAAAACACAAAAGGACAGGAAAACTTCCCTCTATATAGAGAATATACTCGATTTCACCTAAGTTAAGTCACAATTCAATTATTGTGAGTGAATTATGATAAAAAGGTTAGGAAATCCTACTTGCAAACACAAGTTATATACACAATTCAAGATTAATTTGAGATAACCACAATGGCAAATTCATTCACCAAAACGTTCACAAATCTCTCATTTAGGAATAGGCTTTCCTTCATGTTGTTGATGGGTTTCATCTAGATTCCTTCAATCTCTTATATTATAGTGATTAGATATGGGCAACCAAGTGTTATAGGAAAGTGTCCAGGGTTCCTTTCTCTGTTCCTTTCTCATTGTTTGTTTCTTGTTAAAAGTAGTATTATGCGAAACTTCTCCCACTTCTTATTTTATCAAAGCACTAACATTTTCTGAAGCTTTCTCTGTTTTCCTCCTACTTCTCAAAATCCCCCTACAGTCCAAACACATACCGTTACAAATTTACACAAAAAAAGATGGTGTACAACAACAAACTTCTTTTTTTTACCGGTATAAAGAAAACCCCATATTCCCATATGTTTACCGTCTCATCTCTACGTCGTTTCTGTGATGCCCCTCCTTGTTCGAACTCCCTCCTTTTTTCTTAACGAATTCATTATGTTATAACAAATAAAATAAGCCCTACGTCTTTTGTCAACGAGCAAACTCTTTGCTGGCTGGCCGGCCTACGGCTTCTATATATATCCCAACTCTCACGTTGCCACAACTCAAACAGTTCACAGAGCAAAACGAGAAAAAGAACGAGTGAGAGATAGAAGTACAAAGAAAACGAAGGGGCAAGAAATGGAGAAGCCAACAATGACGACGACCCTCATCTTGTCGCTAATGGTGACAGTCTTATTAGCGACCAGCTACGCGAATGCTCGGAAACTTGGCGGCTCCACCGCCACCTCCTTGATCACTGGTCGTGGTTTCCAGTTCCTGGCCGTTAATGGTACGGCGAGGATCGGTAATATTGACACCGGCAGCTGCGGCGGGAAAAAGAAAATATCGTGCGAAGACGGTCTCTGTTGCAGTCAGTTCGGTTATTGCGGTAGTGTAGACGAGTATTGTGGCGACGGATGTCAGTCGTCGTACGGCGAATGTGGTAGCCCCGGCGTCGACAAGAGTAGCCCACCGCCGCCCGAGAAACAGTGACGTGTCGTCAACGTTCCTCGAGGTTTTTATAAACAGCTTAATTAATACTTGATCGGGAGTTAAAAAAAGTGGGTGCTTAGTAGTAATGAATAAAGCTGTGGAACTCAGCTATGACATAATATATACTAATACTAATGATACTAATTATGGTAATAGTAATTTGATATGTTTTCCTCGTTTTCCTCCCTCTTTCTATAGAAATATGTACCTGTGTCTCGAGTTATCTTTTTTTTTCATCACATGTAGTGATAATAGAAGCTGCTGCTTCTTTATTGGAAATAAAAGAATTTGTAGTTCCTAAATTTCTCTTCGACTTATTTTTTTTTTTTACAATGGTAAAAATAAAATAAAATTGTGGAAAAGGTTTGGTGTGCACCTAAAGAATAACAACATCTAATGTACACATTTTTTTTTGTATTTATTCGCGTAAATTTGTGCTGATCCATGCCATATGGGTGTTTATTCACGTAGCTATTATGGTGTACTCGTAAAAGTGAGTAGATACTAATACTATACACTCAAAACTAAATAATAGTCTCTAATAAAAAAAAAATTCAGTTGTAATTATTAGAATTAAGACAATATGATGATATAATATAAAATTAAAATAAATTTATACATTAGCGCTAGAGTCAGAAATTTTAATCCTAAATTCTAAACTCTGAACTCTCACCGTGAACTCATTAATACTTATAAAATCATTTAGTGTTGAGACCATTTTATCATGAATCTATTTACTCAAAATAGTGACTATGAAAAAATAAAAAGAGTGCCAAGTGGCAAGTGGGTCTCATCCTTGCTACAACTACCCTTAGGTATCATGCGCCGATATTTACTAGTTGGCCTAACTAACTGAAAAAGCATATTCTAAAAAAAAAAACAGCATATTCTTTTCTTTTTCCCGAATCCTCAGTCCTGCCATTCATTGTTTGTTGGGATCCTCGAACACTCATTCTCAGTTAATCTTTTTGATAATGGTGAATTATTAATTTATTAAAATTCGAAAACAAAAAAACAGAGCAATTCTACTTATGTTTTTGTGGAGTCAATCTCAGCGCCTAATTAATTCCCCCCCCCCCCCCCCCCCCCCCCCCCCCCCCCTTTTAATATAAACCGTGATGGGAATGTTTATGGTGATATTGTTAATAATGTTGGGCAAATAAGAACATTCGATATTTAGCAGATCAGAGTGGATAAGTCTTTGCTTAATTTATAGGGTATAGGTCAATCTATACTTTTACGACAATATATAAGTCAATACATTCTTGAATTTCTGGTAGTAAATGGAATATTTTTTTTGACAAATATGGCATTAGAGCATTTGATTGAAAACCATTCGATCACGATCTTCCATATTAATAATTGATATAAGCAATTTATAATTGAACCATGCAAATTATATGTTCATGAGTTGCCTTCTATTAGCACAGACGCGATGTAAGTAACGAGATGTATATAAGTCTTGTAACACAATTGTAAAGGTAACATAGAGTTTTCGTTCATCACTATTCAATAAGAAGCAATACATTTCAAAATTTCAATACATTCCAGTAAGAAGCCATACATTTCACCATTATCTCTTGCTCTCTAATTATAATTTGTATCTTAAAGGATTAATCATTTTTTAACTAGATATGATGTGGCTTTAGTAAATCTGAAGCACTTGTGAATTTTAATTGAATTTCGCCGAGTATGTTTTTGAGTTTAGAAATTTTAATTAAACTTACTAACTTAGTAGGTATTGGAGTCTAAAGTTTTAGCAATTTTATGGCTTTATAGAGAATATTGTACGCTCTAGTAAATTTTTTACCGACAAATTTTAGTGACGGACAAGAATTTGGTCGAGTAGAATTAATGTTGATTTTCAACTGAAAGTCAAAGTCTCTAAAATAGAACATGACAATAAAAAAATAAAAAAGGAGAAATATTTTTGTATTTTAAGGAAGTAAATCAGTTATTATTTTTTTAAAAACGAAAATTCTGCCAATTAATTTGATCAAGGCAAAAAAGGGAAAGGGCAACATATGTTAAGCTGCCCGGAAAATTGACTGTTTCGCGGGTCGCTTCTGCAGAGGGAGCGCACCGTAAATTCGCACACTTTCCGTTGCTCCATTTTTGTCTCCAGTCTCCACTACGCCTCCTACAGTTCGTTACTTTCTCTGCTGGCGTTTTCCGCTTTCCCCATCCCAATCCATCTTCGTTCGTAACGTTAAAACTTCCCTTTCATTCCCTTCCCCCATCCCCCCAGAGAAAAGCAGAAACTACACTCAGCTCGCGCTACGCTCGTTCAGAGAATTTTCCATTGAAGAAAAAGGGAGGAAAATCGGTTCCTCGGTGGTGGAGAAAAAGAGAAGAGAATGGATCTCTGGGGAGCGCTACAAGTGAAGAACGCCACTCGGAGCCCTCTTCTCGCTGGGGATTATTCGATTCCTACCGAGCGATTGGGATGCTGGGCCCGGGAGAAGAAATCGATTGGGTTGTTGGAGATCAGGGTTTTCAATCGGAAGCTCTGTTCCCACTCGTTGATTGTCAGGGCTAAGGCGAAGAAGAATAGCAATAATAACGATGACAATTCGTCGTCATCTTCTTCGCCTTCTCCTTTCGGTATGGGGTCCCTCTTTTGTGGGTTTTTTTGTTGATTCTTTCAATGGATTGTTGAATTGCTTGTTCATGGTGGGGGAGCGAGGGTTACCCCGGTTTGGTTTCGATCTTAATTTGGGTCCAGTAAGTAAAGGTGTAAACTTTGTTCGATTTTGGTTGGTTGGGGGAAACCCTTTGCATGGTTGAAGAAGGTGACAATGATTCATTGAGTGAATTGCTTGTCTACTTAGTTTGGGGATTGGAAGTATGATCAATGAGGGTGAAAGCTCGATGATTTAGCCCTATTGTGAACTTGTTGTGTTGGTGATGGGATATTGAAACCCTTTGCATAGTTGAAGAAGGTGGCTTTGATTCATTGAGTGATTTGCTTGTCTACTTAGTTTGGGGATTGGAGTGGAAGTATGATCATTGAGGGTGAAAGCTCGACCCTTTAGCCCTATTGTGAACTTGTTGCGTTGGTGATTCTGTTCTACTTCTACCACCTTATTACTGTTTTTCGGTTCAGGTCCTGAAGGGGCATTATATGCCTACTTCCTCAGAACCCTGCTAGAATAGAAGCAGGGATACTTGTTTCACGTACTGTGCTTACTTTGTGTGCTGCTGGTGGTGACACCTGCAGAAAATGGTGATAGATCTCACCCTGATGGAGAAGTGTCAAAAGGTAAAAAATCGTCTGATGGAAGCAAAGCGAACAATAGTTCTTCCAAGAAGCCGATTCGTGCAAACCTGGACTGGAGAGAATTCAGGGCGAGTTTGGTTGCTAAAGAGCAGGTGACGTTTTCTTCCACGGCATGCTAATTCTCCCCCTTCAACACAGGAATACTAATTTGTCATCCTTATGAATGAGGCTTGATTCTGTGTTTCTTTTGTCCTTTTTAGCTCTTCCTATTTCTTAACTTATGAACAGGATATGATATATAGGCTTATATGTGGTGTTGTTCCTGGGTATTCTCAACCAAATACTAGGCTGGTCTATCATTGAGATTTTGTCAAGTAGTTTATTTAGTTATAGTTTGAACTTGACGTAGATCTGGAAGCAAAATTTCGCAGAAGATGATTAATTGATGCTTTGAGTTGGAATATAGGTGAATTTATCATCTAATAAGTTTTTATAAAAGTCATTCTTCATAGGTTTATGATAAGTGGGTAGAGTTGATCTTGATGAATATTAACAGGCACACAAGTCTGAGACCGAGACTCACAGTAGCCAGAGCGGGTCACTCCAAGAGCCGAAACCTCTTGCCCCGAAGTGGGCTCATCCTTTATCAGTCCCTGAGACCGGTTGCGTCCTTGTTGCCACTGAGAAACTCGACGGAGTTCGTACATTCGAAAGAACTGTTGTCCTTCTTCTAAGGTCTGGAACCAGACATCCACAGGAAGGACCATTCGGTGTTGTCATCAATCGCCCACTGAACAAAAAGCTTAGGCATATGAGGCCGAACAATAATGAGCTGGCAACCACATTCTCAGATTGTTCTCTGCATTCCGGAGGGCCCCTTGAGGCGAGCATGTTCTTGCTGAATACAGGAGAGAATAAGACCAAGCTTCCCGGGTTTGAAGAAGTGGTTCCCGGTTTGTGTTTTGGTGCTAGAAACAGCTTAGATGATGCTGCAGCACTTGTGAAGAAAGGAGTGCTGAAGCCCCAGGACTTCCGGTTCTTTGTTGGTTATGCTGGTTGGCAGCTGGATCAGTTGAGGGAGGAGATCGAGTCTGATTATTGGTATGTGGCTTCTTGCAGCTCAAATCTCATCTGCGGAGGATCATCCATGATGGAGTCCGGGAATCTATGGGAAGAGATTTTGCAGCTTATGGGGGGCGATTACTCAGAGGTGAGCCGGAAGCCTAAGCAAGACATGTAAGTTTATTGAGAACACGATGGATATGGATCTGAATGAAAATATGGATGTGGTATTAATGGAGTGAAATGTACAGAAACTCACTGTGCCTAGATAGCGTTTTTTTAGCTTGTTTCGTCTTTCCTTGGCTTTGGTCTCAGTTGAGTGTAAGAACTTGGCAGTTGCTGTTTTATGTATGTAACAGAATGGTTGCCTTGCATTAATGTTATGGTGACAAAAAAGGGGGGAAAACAGTAAATCCCTCCTGATAAATTAACCTCTTTGGTGGGTTCAATAAACTCATTTGTCTGCATTTTGTGCTGCAATGTCACAAGTCATCTCTGTTCCCTTTGGAATCACTAAAGCAGGAACTGGATAGTTAAGGGTTGGTTTGGATAGGTGTCCTTGTTCAGATGGATCACATCAATAAAGTCCTATTAATATATCAAGTATCACTCTTAGCGTGGATCCTACTGTTCAGTCATCATCATCAAATAGTTAATAGTCCACTAATCATGTACTTCTGACAAATTTTACAACACCAAAACAAGTCAATTGGAATCTTCATATCCTTATTTCGTCTTTTGGATTTATCCACATCCAGACAACAGCATTTCAACCCCACCATTACAACCCTCCTTTAGATCATTTAGTTTCTTGTCCCACAAGAGTCCTTCAAGGCCAGCTTCTACATCAATCTTCTTACTACCGTTGCTGTTAAGGTTCTATTTTGTTCTCTCCTCCTATGGCTACTTGCTTTTTCTGAAGGGCTGAAAGTCTGGTTTTTTCCCTTCATCTTTGTTGTGTTTGCCTTTGGATATACAGTATGCATATATGCACATGATCATCATCCTCCACAGCTACTGTTGTGATCTTCATCTATAAGGTTGTCTTTAGATCTTGCTTTCCTGATGGCTTGTTGGATTTGTCGCTCGTGCTCCTTCAGAAGCTCTTCCATGTTGCCTCCTGGAGGCATCAGAGGTCCAGAGTAATGGAGCCTGTTCTTCCTTGGAGGCACATACACCTGAACCAAAAAAAAAAAAAACCCCCCACCAACACTCAAAAACTGAACGTCATCACGGATAACTGGCATAAACCCATCAAGTCATTACCACTGAAGAGTCTTTGATTTTGAATGATGAGCCGCCACTGCTGTTACCGTTCTTCCTCCAAGCGACTGTCATGTCGACTGTTTGTTGGGGCGCCAAGGATTTCTGTGTCCTGAGCTCCGTCATGATGCTGTTGTTCCTGTTTCTCACAGTGCTCGCAGTGGAGAAATCGTTCTTGTTGGCAAAACTGGGATGGATCATGGAAGATGAGTGAGTGTAGCCACCACCAGCACCAACATTTGGCCTGATCATCACCATCCCTCCTCCTGCTGCTAAAGGCTCAACCCTGTAACCACCATTAGCTTCATCCTCGTAGTTATGGCTATTGCTGTTTGTAGCTTTCCCTTGCCCTTCACCAGGTAATGAACCTCTGCCGTTTCTTTGGCCTTTGCCTGATTCAGGTCCCCTCATTTTAATGGCTTCTGCTCTTTGTCTGCGAAGTCAAACAGCAAACAAATTTGAAAAGTTGATGACCTGTTCGGAATAGTTTGCTGTCTTTGGTAGAAGAAGTGGTTCAAGATCATACCTTCTTGCTTCCTCTTCTCTGGTTTTTGCATCAAGTTCCTTGCTTGGAGGATACTTGGGTAGGCTTGAAGGTGCACAAGGGAACGGCTCTGTATTGAAGAACTGCACACAAAATGAAAGAAAAAGGAAGCATTTTCCATTATTGTCGAAACTAATCATGTCATGTGCAGAAAAAAAGAAGGAAAAGTATGAAAGTCAAGAGTAAAAATGTTTAGCTGACCTGGCTTTCAAGGGCAGAAGCAGCCGTTCCTCGAGCTTCCGGCTCGATGGACAGCAACTTATCTACAAGTGCCAGTGCTGAAGGGGGGAATTTCATGAATGTCTCTTCAACACAGCGCTTGTAAGGCTGCTGAGGCTTGAAAGTTGTTGCATGTGGGAACTTTGTTTTCTGCCAGTACTCTTCTGATGGTGAGCCACATAGCTTGAATATCTTGTGCATTTGCTCCACCTAGAAAGAAAAAAAATTCATGATTCAAGGTGAAATTGTTAGTTTTTGTTCTCGAAAATGGATGATGTCGAGAAGTAATCGAGTTTTATCTTCCATTACCTCTGTTCTTCCAGGCATGATGTGCTTCCCAGCAAAGAGCTCAGCAAGTATGCAGCCAGCACTCCAGAGGTCAATCCCAACTCCATACTGTGTGGCACCAAGCAAGAGCTCTGGTGCCCTGTACCATAGTGTCACCACCCTACTCGTCAAACCCTGCTGGTGCGAACCACGATAGAAGTTGGCCAATCCGAAATCTCCAATCTTCAGAACTCCGTCGTTGTTGATCAAGAGGTTCGACCCTTTGATGTCACGATGCAGAATGCCACGGTCGTGGCAATGCTGAAGCCCTAGGAGAAGTTGCTGAATGTAACATTTGATCTGCTGCTCGGTGAACCTTACACCGGGTCTCATTGCAAGCCCAGTAAGGTCATGTTCCATGTACTCGAAGACGAGGTACAAGCACTCCGACATCCTGGAAGTCACAATGCACTCAAGCCTCATCACATTTGGGTGGTCTAGTTTCCTCAAGATGTTGATCTCCCTCGCCATGAATCGAACACTTTCGGGGTCCATGTTCACGAACCGCACTTTCTTCATCGCCACGATCTTCCCTGTCTGAAGGTCTCGCGCCCTGTACACTGTACTGTAAGTCCCCTGTCCAATCTGCCCAATTACCAAAAACTCTGTTTTTCATTGACCTCTTTAGAAGCATAAATCAAGTCACCAGAAATTAAGGGATGGTATAGCATCAAGTAGGGACGACATTATACCTTTTCTAGCTTCTCGAACGAGCTGGCCTGCCGCGGCAGCCAACCTCTAACAGCATCACCAGCGACCGAGGTTAGCCATTGAGGCCACCCTGGGTCAATCTCTGCATCACCATCACATGGCATGCTAGAAGTTCTAGACATACGAGGCAGGAAGAAGAAGTTACTCCCACCGGAGAGGTCCATCGTCGTGCCCCTCTGGTGATGTCGAGCTGATTTCGAGACGAGCTTTTTCTCATTGGCGAACATTCGGTCTCCCACACTGCCATTGTTGTTGTTGTTCTTGCCAATCCCATTGGCATTAGGATTGTAATGAGAGACTCTGGATGATTGTCGCGAATGGAACCTAGACGCTCTTTTGCTAGCGTTGCGAGACGAGTAGTTGGATGGATCGTGATCGTGGTATTCTTCTGCCTTGCAAGGTGTAGGAGCAACAAGTTGGTTGGAGGATTTATCATTTAGATTGGTTTGATCCTTATTGTTGTTGTTGTCAGCGCTTAAATCTTCTTGTTCTTGAGCTCCTTTGGAGCATATACAGCCCATAATCTCGCACAAAAACCTTGGGAATACGTATGAGAGAGCCAATTTTGATGATCATCAACCATTAATGATGAAATGATGATAGATAATTCTTGTTCTTCTTTCTCAACATTCATTCTGAAAACCTCGGGTTTAACATTTCCTGATGTTTTCCTCTCCACCGTGTGCTCGAACTTTGGGACCAAAATCACCTGGCAACAAAAGTCATTTTTTCGTTGTTCTATCGAAAAATTGAATTCACCCAATACGGTGATGCAAAAAATGTCAAAAGAGGGAAAATTCGGACCCTGAATCTTCACAAAGAAAAAACAATGAAAATCCAAACAGAAATCACAACATTGAACAGAAAAATTATCTGATGATGATAACAATACCAGAAAATAATGATTCTGACAATGAAGGAATTCTGAGTGGAGATTCAGGGTTTCTCCTACGTTTGTAAAAGAGTTAGAAAAAATATGAAAAAGTTTGTGAAAAAAGAATCCTAAACTAATGGTGACATGTTAGAAGAAATGGACGACATCAATGGAAAGAAAGTAAAGAATATTTTTGTTATTCTAAAATATCACTAAAAGTTGAATTTTGTTTTTGAGAAATGTCACATATTAATTTTGTTGTTGTTAGTTTTAGAAGTTGAGAAACAAAATAAAAAACTAATTATATTTTACATAGTTTTCTAAAACTCCGATACATCGAACAATTTTGAATCAGACAAGTAATTTTACCTTTCAATGATGCCTGAGTGGTTGCTCGATACTCGTATCTCTTCTTGATTATAATAAATAACAAAGTTCATAAATAACAAAGTTCATGAAACTTTTTTTCACCATTATCAAAAAAAAAAAAAAGTTCATGAAACTTTTAAGGAACAAAACCGTGGCATATGTTTTTCATGAAATGAAGAGCAATCTTCAAGAAATTTTTAACTAATGTGGTGTCACAAGAAGTACAAATTTTGTGTTACAATTAGTATTTATGGCATCACAAGATTTCAAACTACTTTCACTCATCCTCAACATCCCCTTCTAGAGAATGTTGTTGTTTCTCCCTCAAGCAATTTGAGGAAAAGAAACAAAGAGACGAGGAAGTGAGAGGGCAAGTCGAGAAAGTGACTATAAGGTAAACAAATTTGTCATTACTAGCTTGTTTAGTCGATTGTCTTTGACCTTCTTCCTATTGTAGAGACAACATACTAATGGTTAATTTGAATTAACCCTAATGCGATGCAATTGCTACAATGCACTTTGTGGAGAGAGCTTAAATTTGATGCACATAATAATCTATTTGTTTACCTTATTGGTCTTCTTCGGAGAATGAACTTACATCGAAGTTCAAGATGGATAAGTTAGTCAGACTGAGTCTAAAAGGACGTGGTTTTAATACCACTCTTAGAAACTTAAATCTTTTAGGTATCTCATTTTGAGAATGCAACACTCTACTAAATCACTTTAACTATTTTAATTCATAAGTTGAGAATAGAGTTGGCAATAGATCGACCTATTGTAACCCAAGTACAATAATTCATATGGCTATTGGGCTCGAACCCAAATTGACCCAATTTATTGTTTTTGGATTGAGTTTAGATTGCACTTAAGTTGGGCATATCCATTTGGGCTTACCCAAATAAGTCCATTTGAGTATAAACCATATATTCTGTTGAGTCACCTTGGTTAATGAAAGTGAACATGGGAGAGAAGGGCTTTCGTAGTGTTTATTAATTGTATACTACAATATTTACAAATGGTTTTTCACATGAATCAAATCTTTTTACGATTCGTTCTGACTTGAGTTGGCAATTTTCTATCCAATTCGCTAATTCATTCCAATATATCCACTTAAATATCCAACTAATCTACCAATTCATGAATCCAATTCATTTGACGTACACATCTCTAGTTCAAACAGTAACATCAGACTTTGTTACAGAAGACCTCCTGGTATAGTTCTTGACAACTGATTTCCTCCAAACCTAAGCCTTTGAAGAGAGAAAATAAATTTGAATGGAGTTACTGTAAAACCAGCTAGTTATTGGTGGCATAAAAAACCTATAGACTACTAAAAGATGTTATTCCATGAGCAAACAACTCTCACCATTAAATGCATTATGACTTATATTTTGATATTGAATGGACAACACACCACTGAAATGATTGTTCGAAATTGACAAGTTGCACAATATTTTAAGAACAAAGATCACTGGAAAACTGAAATACCCACCTAGACTCGTCCCATTCAGATTGATTGAAGCCATATTGCCATCATTGCACACAATTTCGTACTAATTTTTGGGACATCCATTGGAAGCAATGGATGTAGAATCCCACGACTCGATCACTGTCCCTGATGTGTCCTCCATAATACCCATATGGAGCTCCATGAGGGCATTCAAATTTGATTGGCCAAATGAAGTCACCACCAATAACAACAATGACACCAAACAAACCTTCTGATTTTTTTTAGCACTAGTATAAAGTATAAACCATCACCTGTCTATTTTTTGGCGAGAGGAGCAGGGGAATGGATGAATGATTACTTTGTTTTTCGACGACAGGAGCAAGGGAATAGACGAATGGTGAAGGAGCTGCTTGTGTTAGGGTGTTTGGCTATAAAGAAAGAGATGGTTGTTCTCCCATATGACACTCTTTTTAAAGAGAGAGAACTTGCTCCACACAATCCTTTCCGAAATTCATGAGTACAAACGACACACCAAGCTTGCTTTTAAACTAAATTTGAAATTCATGAGAACATATAACATGTTAACCTTGTGGCTCATAAAAATCATGTATACCATATAGCTCACATGATTTGTCATTTATACAGATCACATTTCTTCGATCTTGTTAGATATAGATCCGTATGAGAGAGAAAATTCTTATGATCATCAATCATTATTGATTAAATTTAAATAACGATAGCTAATTCTTATTCTTCTTTCTCCACCATTACCAAAATAGATCCAGATAGGACACAATCTGGTTTTCAGCTGCAATCGAATTGTTTTAAACAATTTGGTTTACTATTTGACCGAAAATCTTAAATTGTTTTCCCAACTATAGTTTTACCTATCTAATTATTCCTTTATTTCCGGTCTTCATAGTTAAGTCCAGACTTTTTTCACAACTCTAGTTTTGGCCAGCTTTTTTCAATCCTTTATTTCCCCCTATCTTTATAGCGGACCGATAAGAGTATATACATCCGCTGTCTCTCCGGCCATCCTTCAGCTCCGACCGTGTACGTTTATTGATTCCTAGTTCGTTAGATATGACGTCAGAATATTCCAAACGATCCAGTAAAATCACTGGAGAAAAGTCAAGATAGAGAAACATGTGGGGATCAATGAAGCAGATTCCTACCAGGGATCTAATACGTTTTTGGCTTTTTGTAAATTTCCTTTATGTTTCAATTTGGTTAGTTGTAAATTTTTTCTTGGTTGATAGTAGACTTTAGGTATTACCCAAACCCAATCCGGCTATTGGGCAAGCATGGGTCTTCCTATTAGTAGCAATGAAGAAAGCCGCTCGTGAGCATTGATATTTGGATAAAAAACTACTCATTGAACACTAACTACTCCTAATTTAACAAGCCACATAATCACTCAACACTCTAGTATATACATGTAAGAAATTAAGAATAAATATGGAGCAGATTGCTATACATTGGGAGTATATTTCAGATACTTTTTTAACTTGATAATGAATTAAATTGATTTTGGGTGTGATAATATCTAGTATATCTTAATTTCTGATGGTTAAACTTCAGGCCTGATTTTATAAACTCAAATAAAATATAATAATTAATTACTAAAATTGATCGGAGCTCAACGAAGTAAGTTAGATCGCCTAGATATACCAATCTTTACCCAATGTATATGTATGATAACAAATTAGCTGTCGGCAACAGTACAATCTCAACAAAAAAAAAATCAAATGGTCGAATCACTCATAAATAAACAGTAGTAAAGAACAAAGAATTTAAAGAGTAATAAAGAGAACCCAAAAACTCTTCTACTCCAAGTCTCCAACTCGGGCCTCTATCATCCAACGCCTTTTATCGCGCGTCTGTAAAAGCAACAAACATCAAAGGAAGAAGAAGAGAGAGGTAGAGGAAGAGAGTAAAAGGATTAAGATCTGCCCTCCATCAAATATACAAGGATGAAGCGGCTAATCCCCACAAAACTACAAGCAGCAGTGGTCGTTGCAGCGATGACAATTACAACACGCCCTTCAATGATCGATCCAGATCACTGTCTATATTCAAAATGAGTTGAGCTGCAAGAAGCTGATAGTGCATTGTCGATACAAAGACTACGACCTTGGAGCTCACATCGTCGAAGTAGGCTCGAATTTCCATTGGTGTTTCGGGGCAACTCTCTCTAGTTACACGCTCTTTTGGTGCATGCTAGCGGTGGATAGGACATGCATCTTTCTTTCGACGCATACATGTTGGGTGGTTAGGGATGATGGGGTTTGTCTGCTATTTGTGGATGGTCCGGAAATAGAATCCCATCGACGAGGGTGGAACCACCTTGTACTATTTATGTTTTCCGGGATTTTTATTCTGCCCATTTTATCCCTTTAACAATCCATACTTGAGACGACGAGGGACCGGATGTGGTCCAAATGTTACGGGTGGTTTGTATGTTGCAAATTTAAGGTAAGATTAATATTGAATTATTTATCCATATTTATTGTATTTTGGGACTTCAAATCCTCCATCCTTATACCATTGCACAAAAATTATTATTATACGAGAACCAATATCACTAGGGCAAGAAAACCAATACCAGGACCAATACTTTTTTCGACAGTTAAATCAGTGTCAATACGAAACCTATATCTAGACTAGTACCATTAGTGTTCTAAACATGGTATCACTACCGCGAATAATTGTATAATAGCTAATCACAAATGGATACGTGACATATGATTTTGGTTTGGATAAATATAAAAGGAAGAAGAAGAGAGAGGTAGAGGAAGAGAGTAAAAGGATTAAGATCTGCCCTCCATCAAATATACAAGGATGAAGCGGCTAATCCCCACAAAACTACAAGCAGCAGTGGTCGTTGCAGCGGTGACAATTACAACACGCCCTTCAATGATCGATCCAGATCACTGTCTATATTCAAAATGAGTTTAGATGCAAGAAGCTGATAGTGCACTGTCGATACAAAGACGACGACCTTGGAGCTCACATCGTCGAAGTAGGCTCGAATTTCCATTGGTGGTTCAGGGCAACTCTCTCTAGTTACACGCTCTTTTGGTGCATGCTAGCGGTGGATAGGACATGCGTCTTTCTTTCGACGCATACATGCTGGGTGGTTAGGGATGATGGGGTTTGTCTGCTGTTTGTGGATGGTCCGGAAATAGAATCCCATCAACGAGGGTGGAACCACCTTGTACTATTTATGTTTTCCGGGATTTTTATTCTGCCCATTTTATCCCTTTAACAATCCATACTTGAGACGACGAGGGACCGGATGTGGTCCAAATGTTACGGGTGGTTTGTATGTTGCAAATTTAAGGTAAGATTAATATTGAATTATTTATCCATATTTATTGTATTTTGGGACTTCAAATCCTCCATCCTTATACCATTGCACAAAAATTATTATTATACGAGAACCAATATCACTAGGGCAAGAAAACCAATACCAGGACCAATACTTTTTTCGACAGTTAAACCAGTGTCAGTACGAAACCTATATCTAGACTAGTACCATTAGTGTTCTAAACATGGTATCACTACCGCGAATAATTGTATATAGCTAATCACAAATGGATACGTGATATATGATTTTGGTTTGGATAAATATAAAAGGAAAACGAGTGCTCAGAGTCCCCTTGCTGGGAATATTTGTGGATCAGACGGTGGTGGGTGGATCGGTGGCATTGTCAAGTAGCCATCTATGATCATGATTGACAATAATTTCTCCTTTATTTTATTTTTTATTGTTTCTTGTTGGCTTAGATCAAAAGAACCAATTGATTGTTTTGTCCGGCCTGCTTGATTTTTCGCCAATTACTTTCAAATTCAATTTTCTCCATCTTCTTCCTCTTTCTCATTTGCTTGCTTCCTCTGCTCATATTGAATTCAAGCCCAATGGCAGAGTATTTGACTGTAGATCAAGAGGTCATCAATTTAAATTTGATTTGACTCTTACTATAGTTTTAATATAATTCTTTCACGAAACCCATAAATCTTATAATAACCCCGTTTTTGTATACCAAAATTTGCTAAATTGCTTAGTTTCTTCCAATACCTTAAAATACATAAAGACAACCAAATAAGGAAGCTATCTCCCATATGACATTCATTTTAAAGAGAGCCAACATGCTTCGGGCAATCCTTTTCGAAATTCATGAGTACAAACGACACACTAAGCTTGCTTCCAAACTTATTTTGAAATAATTTCACAAACAAAAAAGATATGTCATGTTAACCTTGTGGCTCTTATAAAAATCATGTATACAATTTTGCTCACATGATTTATTATTTATAGAGATCATGTCTTCTTCGGTCTTGTTAGATATTGAATTCGTATGAGTAGGGATGTTCAAACATAAAGTTTACCGTGGTAACTTTGTTAACTTGTAGTGTTTGGCTAATTTGATCTGGTTAATTTGGATATTTGGATTGGTTAAATTTTTTGGTTTGTTTGATTTAAGTAATTTGGTTTGGTTTTACATACTAATTAACAAATAGTGATACTATACCAAGTTACCAACTAATACAGCCAAAATTATGATTCTACGTAGAAGATGTTTGGAGATTTAGAAGTGTAAAAAAGGAAGATTTACTTAAAAGCGTTTTGATAATCTAAAATTATAAAAAAGTGAACTTTCAAATTTTAAAACACGATTTTAACTACATTGTTACCAACCCTTACAAATCCAGTAACCAGGTTTTGAACAGCTTAACGAATCCCAACATTTAGCCCAACTATTTCTTTCAAACTAACAAAATATCCGAGAAATCGGACCAAATACAACTTAAATTTATTGATCATCTCTAATAACCCCTAAGCCCATTACGCTCAATCAAAAAGTAACACTTAAAAAAGACCAAAAAAAAAAAAATCTCTTGTTCAGAGACCCGAAGAGAAAGGTACCCCAGTAGAATTAAGCCACTCATTCCCCTGAATAAACGGTCCAACCGCGAACTGACCCGCCTCGACCGAACTATTAATCACCCGGTACCCAGGCCACGTCACCCTCCGGGTCGTATTCGACCCGCCCCCAACGTTCCTATACTCCCCGTAGTACAGCGTGTCGAGCGCGAACGTCCCGTTCCACTCGAGCCAACCGGCCGGGTCAACCACATCCTCTATGTTCGAGCCCATGATCACGGTCCTCGAGTAAAGCTTCCAGGGCCGGCCCAGGTAGGTCCGGAACTGGGCCTTGACCGGGATCAGGTCCGCGGCGGCGGCCAGCTTGCAGTTGTGGATCGAGATGCCCGTGTTCTGGTTCGGGTCCTCGCGGCCCTGGGCCGTGAAGATGTTGCGCTGGTTCGGGTTGGGCTTCCGGGCGTAGAGGTTGCAGTTCTGGAGGACGGCGGCGGCGTTGCCGAAGACGAAGTCGACGGTGCCGTAGACGTCGCAGTCGCGGTAGAACTGGCGGAGGGAGTGGACGTAGAGGGTGTCCTGGTAGCCGACGAAGCTGCACTGGTGGAAGGCGGCGAGGTCGGCGCTGCAGCGGAGGGCGACGGCCTGGTGCTTGCTGGGCCCGGCGGAGTTCTCGATGGTTATGCCTTTGGCTATGAATCCGTTCCCGACGATGGCTGCAATTATTTTGGTCATTATGAAACGATGAATAATTAGCGCCACATATCTATGAAATACACTGGAAGAATATAATTAGGAACACGAGTAATGAGGAAAATGAAATATAAATAATTTGATGTATTTTAGAAAAAGAAACACGATACTCTAGAATTGTGTTTTACAATATTATATAATGGTGATGTAGAAGATTATAACATAGTGGTAAAGATATACTATAGTGATATTATGAATATACCATAATAGTGAGATGCTAATAGGTGGTGGTAAATTGGTAATTCTGCAAATATTGTCTCCAAAATTTATAATAAAAAATGATAACATTTTATAGATAAGAATAAATTTATTTTCAAGTGTAAATGTTTTTTTAAAGTTTTGGGATAAAATGAAATAAGAAAAGCCAACGAAAAAAATAAAATGGGTGATTCAATCATAAAAATTTATCTCCACCCAAAATCAATGATTGGATGAGACTCCATCCAGTTGTACACATGCGTAAAATTTATCCCCACTCAAAATCAACATATTTTATCAAATCGATGTTTCGATTGGACCATACCGAGCCGAATATATTACAGTCTAATTCTAGTTCTACGAATTTTATAAATACTAAAAAAAATATCCAAATTAACATTTGAATATGACCAAATCATACAAATATAATGATGATTCGATTTGATTCCTCATTCTGATATATATTTAATTATTAGATCTCGATCGGAACCGTTGCACATTCCTATGATATGCATAACTATAGAATAATGCATTTAATCCACGGCCATCCTAGTAAATGCACAATGTTGACCCACTATCACATTGATAACCAGATCTGCCCATTGCAGTACTGTTATTTTACCTTATTTGAAACATCTCGAAATATCTTTCCATAACATCAATTTAAAAATGTCTTTTTTATAGCTGGAGGGGCCATTTTAGTACTGTTACTCTATCTTGTTGGCTTAATTACTCGTACCCTGTCGGTCTCTATTTATTATTTTCGTCTTCTCTTTCTCCAGAAATAAATATAAATATTATCTTCTCGAAAATATAACAGGAGCGTGTAAAGGGGTAAAAGTTGGTGAAATAGATAGAGCGAATTAAAACTCACCGACAGTCGCGGATCGGAAAGTGGTCCAGCCGTCGACGACGTTCCGGTTGGCCTTCACCACCGTCTTCCCGATGCCGTCGCCGAGGAACATCAGATTTATCTTCTTCTTCTCCACCTCCACGTTCTCGAAGTACGCCCCGCTCTTTATGTATATCACAAACCTATTCATCAATAATACAAATTCCCCCATACTTCAATTTCATCGGTTAACAAATAAAAATGTACTTAGTGTTTGAATAACACTAACCTAAGTTGTGATTATAACCATTTCAAACTCTTTTGACAATAGATACTCGAATTCTATAGATAACCAAACGATACATTAAACACACTTCAAACACATATACCAAACGATCTATCTATTTAGTGAAAGCATCTAGCCACGTATAAAAACCAAAACCAACAAATTCCGAGGGATACAACTGAAGGGCAGGGTTCAATTCTTTTCTGTTGGATTTGAAAAATCAAAATTTTGGCTAAACTTGACATTTTGATTTGAAAAGTATTTGTTTGAATGATAGATTGAATAATATATTTCTATATTATGAATTAACAGTCATAGAATATTTGAATTCTTCATCCAAATCCCAATATAATATGTGAAATTTACAAAATCTATAGGAACTAGGAAGTACAAATTTTGAATAACAAGAACTCAAATTCGCGCATCCATAATTTAAACAAACCCATAAATAAACAATAATAAAATTTGGACCCAAATTCAACGAGCAAACAACTCCTTAATTATTTGGGCTTCCAATCCGTGTTATAGTGACTCATTTTCAACTCTTTTGGATTGGCACCAACCGACAACATGCATGTGACCATAATTAAGTGAGCTCAGCATATAATCCCGAGATCAGAAGCACTCTCTAATTAATAATTAATATAGTAATCAAAGAGGAAACCTGGTATTGCTGGAATTGGGCGCGGCGGCAACCGCCTCCGTGATCGTAGTAAAGTTCCCCGTCCCGTCCTTCGCCACCACCAAGTCAAACCTCGTCCCGTTGACCGGCGCCTGCAGCAGCCTCCTGTCCTTCCTCGACAACCAGCTGGGGAACCCGTCTCCCCCAACCTCGCCGAACCCAGAAGGAAACCTCCGACCACCGTCCTCCTCCGCCCCTCCTCCGCCGCAACTACTCCCATTCCCGGCGACTTTCTTCAGCAGGACGAGCGAGTTGCTGACGTGGCGGGAGATGTTGTAGAGGTTCGTCTTGATCTCGTCCCTCAGGTACTTGGCCTTGCTGTAGGCGAACCCGTCCAGGCACGTGTACTGGTTCGTGATCGCCGCGCTCAGCAGCGTCCGCATCTCGTTGTAGTTCTTCGAGATCGAGGTCGCGTTGCCGCCGAGATCGGCCACCGCGGATTCGATCTCGGAGAACGAGTCGTCGAGCAGCTCCAGGCAATCAGCCACCGCGACCTGCCGACATGAAATGCGTTATTAATAATATTACATTGTTTTTTTTTTCTCTCTCCATAGAAGTGACACAAATTTGTTTTTATTATCTATGAGTCCAGGGTATACATTGTTTCGTAAGACGGATTTCTCCTCGTATAAAAATAATTGCTTTTAGAATCGGTTGTATTTTCAATCTATGTTGTAAACCAATCATATAACCTCTCGTAATTAGCTAGTATAATACAATACGCATGAGCTACGTTAAAAAAGATATGTCTAAGTCATAATATGAATTATTTCAAATATCAATGTATAAATAAAGTTCAAATCATCGGTTTAATTTATTAAATATGAATATTAAACGTGTGTTATACAGATTTCATACGTATTAAGTTACGGACGGAGTTATAAAAAATTTTAGGAAAAATACGAAAAAATGAATTCTTAACCGAATAAAATACGTATATCTATTATATACACATATTTAACGAAGTGTTTACTGATTATAATACCGCTAGACCAAACTCTTATTAGCAACGGATTATATTACACTGTTACTTATTATCAAAACAGTAAAAATCCAAGGATTAATTACATAAAAAAAAAAGAGAAGAGAGTGTCAGAAGAATGACCTGGTCGAGGTGGCTCTTGACTCTGGCGCTCTTCTGGAGACGGGTGCAGTTGGCCGACGAGGCTCGAATCTCCTTTCCGGTGAGGTTGAGAGTCGCGGCGATGACGGTGGGGAGGGGTTTGGAAGTGAGATCCGGGAAGGAGAGGAGGGTGGAGACGCAGAGGTCAGGGTATAAGGTGCCGTCGCAGGCAGAGTTTGCGACGGCAAGGTGTTTGTGGAAATGCAGGTGAGGGAGTTGTGCTTGCCGGGAAGGGAAGTGGTGGTGGTGGATGAGGAGGAGGAATGCTGCGAGGAGGGAAATGGGGAGGACGGCGAGCAGGATCCGGCGCCGGCGCCGGCCGTGTTTGCTGGGACGAGTTTCCATTTTGGTTGGTAGGCGGGGACTGGAGAGATGGTGGATTGAGGAAAGCAGTGGGAGGAGGAGAAAGGTGATGTGGTTTAAATAGGTGGACAGAAAACGATGGTGCGGAAAAATAGGAACCGCAGAACACAGCCCTTTTTGCGTGGTTCTTATATTCCAATCGTCTGGATTGGTCTTACTCTCTACAATTTGTTTGCTTGTGGGATTTTGAGTTTTGACGCTTCTTCTTGCATTATTCATATTTGTTGTTGGAAATGAGGCATAGTTAGTAAAATACGGTACGGGAAAGTTACGTAAAAAATACATACGGGTATTTTACGCCGTCTCTAAGTTAAAGGTACGTTTAATAGTACGTTAATAGTAATAAATATTTAAAAATAAATTATTTTAAAAATAAATAAATATATAAATAATAGTAAAGTTCACAATTTAATTTATTAAATACAGATATTAAACGTGTTATACGGGTTTTATACGTGTTTAATACGGGAGCCATCCAATGAACGGAAAAAAATGAAACGGCTTGACAATAATACGGATACGGAAGTTTTAAACGGATAAAGTACGTACGGGTACATATACGTGTATTAAACGGAGTATTTACTAACTATGAAATGAGGTTGAGTTAAATTTGTGGGTCCACGTATATGGGCTTATTTTTCTTTTAGGCAAAATTTGTAGGGTCAAATTTTTTGCAATTTCTAAAATTCAAACACAGATTCAAACATAAATTCAAATTAGCAAAATTCAACGTAATTCTTCAATCTCAAAATATAAGATTTTACCCAAATCATTCATTATAAAAATTGCACATAGAATTCACATGCGTCACATCACTTAACCACTTTCATTTGCTTATTGTTGCGAGTTTCATTGGGATAAATTTACTGCTAGCTAAGTCCAGGTGTGTTGAGCTACTTAGAACTTAGAAGTGTCATTGAGCTATATTAAGCCAAGCTCTAGCTAGTGCAACAAAGTTTATATACAAGTTGTGGATATTTGATGTAACGGTTGGGAGGGTGAGAAACGTAATTTTCCTTTGGGTCGGTGATTGGAGTTTAATGCTCTGCAGGTTTCAGCTATAGTCATGGAGTGCTATTCCAAATTTCCAGTGGCCACTGGCCAAGCCTATGTTGGAACTCGGAACTGAACATTAGTATATTATTTATTTATTTATTTATTTATTTATTTATATATTATTATTATTGTCGTCATCATCGTCATCGAGGAGAGTACAAAAACTAATAAGAAATTTTTGCGCTCTGGTCAGGAGGAGAGCTGAGAGCCATGCGTTTCATTTATGGGCTTCAGAAGCAGAATTAAATTCTTCCTCTAGATTAGGCGGATCTTGTCAGCTCGGCTCCATGCTTGCCATAACTGGATCCAGATCTGCAGGTTTCTTCTCCTAATGTATAAGATATCTTTTACCCAGAGAACCCATGGCTGGACAGAATGAGAAGGGTTGCGACATGCGAAGCAAGAAGGATTTTAATAGCCTATTATGTTTCTTTATATGAAGGAATGTATTTGACACGTAAACGAGGATTTATGTGGTTCGTCTAACTTGGAGTTTAATAAGTAGGAAGAAATTAAGAGAGAAAATTCATAAAATCTGACCAATACACTTTGTGGTTCAATTTACATGAATAATCATAGTTCCTACATGAATAAACATCGAATTACGTGATGACGTGAATGAACTTCACAATATGTGAATTATGTGTTGTGACTCGTCTCGACAAAATAAAACTTTTCTCGTGTATGAGGGTAGGTCCCGGGATTGAATCGGGATTAGGAAATAAAAATATATGTACGCAATTTATCATACTCAAACCCATCACCACATATGTTCACTAGTTAAAAAAAAAAACAAACTGTGTCTCTCATTAATATTATTATTTGTTTTGAGTTTACTAATTTCTAATTTAGTGTCTTCCCCACTTTCAAACAAAAACACATCTACAAACTATGAAAACACAGCATAAACATGAGCACTTCTACTATGCTATATAGTATTGATGCTTTAATGTACAACTTAAAGTTGTACCATAACATTAAATGTATAAGTTTAGTTTGTACGTATCATAAAGCAATTTGTACCACTATGTTATGGTACAACTTTACAACTTGAAGTTGTAACATCACATAAAAGTACAAGTTCAAATTGTACCATAAAAGAATTTGTACAAAAAGTATAGGTACAATCTGAAGTTGTACCATAACGTAAATGTACAATTTTAAGTTGTACCATAAGGCAAAATCTTATAGCACCAATGCTATATAACATTGTAAAATTTCTCGCATAAACAGAAAGATGTGATCAATTCAGAACAACGCATCGCACTACTGGATACAAAACAAGATCCAAGTAGAAAAACATGCCAGTAAAGCGTAAAGTATACGGCACAATATCGACCGACGACTAGTAACATAGCCAGGATTTTATTCAACATGGGTCCGACGTGTTAGTGTTGTAGTATATGATCCACGATTGAACCTCTCCCAACAACTCGAGTTATTGGGATCAACTGGTTCATGACATGGTATCAGAGCCTTCTGTGACCGAGAGGTCTTGTGTTCGATTCCCGGTGACCCCTATTTGTTAAGCACATGGTATTCTTGTCTTCGGACCTGTGCAAACTTCAAGCCCTTGTGAGTGGCTTTCGTTTGAGGGGGCGTGTTAGTGTTGTAGTATATGATCCACGATTGAACCTCTCCCAACAACTCGAGTTATTGGGATCAACTGGTTCATGACACGACGGCCAGTGGCATAGCCAGAGTATACTCTCAGTAATCAGCGGTTCCACTGCCCCTTCAGTTGCTCGTTCTCCCCATCCAGCAAGTAAACCCCGTCGTCCTTGACAACGTAATGAGCAAAAGAACCCAGCTTGTGGCTGTCCTTCCCTTTGTACGCGTCGAAACGAAGCCACTCGCCGGCCGCCGCCAGGTCGCACCAGAACAGCGTCCGGTCGAACATGTCAAGCTCGAAACTCCACTCGAGATGGGCGCCCATGGGCAGGCTGTGCTCCCCGATGTCGCTGTCCCTTGACCGACAGTGCGCCGACAGCGCCCGGTCGGTCGTCATCCAGTTCTCGATGTAAACCGTCGACGGGAACGCGTCCGAGGGACGCGCCGCCATGATTAGTAACGTCGCGGCCAGAACCACTAGCTTCCTCTTCATCATCATCATCATTTTTCTTTCTTTCTCTCCTCTCTTCCTTGCTTTTTTGCTTGTTGTTTCCCTTTAATTACATCTTCCGTTGTTTTTATAGTGCACTTAGGAGAAGCATTGTTTGAAAAAGATTAAGATGAGTGGTGGAAGAGCTCCGGCCGGGTGTGACTCTCCTTCTTCGGCATGGTTGACTTTGGAGTTTATCACGAAACACTTGCAAATTTGTCCCTTGCAAATTGGCGCTTTGATAACATTTAAGCTGTAAAATTAAAGAGATTTTGGCTTTTTCCTCGATATATGGTCGCGCGTTATCACAAAACACTTTCTAGATAATATGAAAATTAGAGGCACCGATCGAGAGATATAAGTCAAAACAATTCATTCATGTGGACGTATGTAACCGTCAATATTGCTGTCGTTGAAATCGAATTGATTATATAATATGTCGTAATTCTCGATAGAGTTAACTATGACTACATAAGTATTTTGGCTATCAAAATATGGTTTAAACTAAATAATAGGAATAATTATATTGATCAAGATAAATGAGAAATTTATTTGTTCTAACTTGGATTTCAATTATTTTTTCCACATATGGAACGAGTTTGTTGTAGTTTACAAAATGAGATCTATCTTCAATATTCTTTTAGAATTTTTTTATATATGTCGTTACCAAACTACATACATTATGGTATCTCCTTCGTTTTTAAATCTTTTTTTTAAAACATTTGCACAGAAAGAACAAGTTTATCATGATATTTTTTATCTACAAATTTATGGGAGAAAAAATGCAGTACCAAAAAATACCACCTCATACAACCCTGCTATGAGGGTGGTATCTTATGGCACACAATGTTGAAAGTCGTAAATGAAAGTCCGTATATTCCTACTATCATATATTTAAGGAAAAATACACTTGCATAGCCAAAACTTTCACCTTTGTGCCACTTATAGCCACATTTGGCGAAATACCACTAATAACCACTTTTGAAAAATGTTGCGTGCCAGATATAGCCATTTCCGTTAGAAACTATGACGGTGTTAATAACTCCGTCAACTTATTTGACGGTCGGCTGACGAGGCGCCAAATCATCAGCCACGTCATTGACAACTAAGCAAAAATTGACACGTCATCTTAATAATTTATTTATTATTTAATTTTTTTTAACACGTTTTCCCCATTTACCTGATCGCACGAGTCTTCCTTCTTCCCCATCTCTTTTCAGAAAACGACCACACCTCAAAAACCCAATTCTTTGTGACCTAGATTCAATCTACATGGATTGGAAGGTTGAACTTGAGCCAATACCCAGAAGAAATACAGAGATAAGGGAAGTTGGTTGAGCGACTAATTGGAGGGGTTTTTTGTGGAGCTGCAAATTGGGGGATGGAATTTAGATTTTCGGATTGGGTTTTGCTATTTGGGGATGGGGGGATTTGGTTTTGTGGTGGGGGACTTGCCCCTTCTCTCTCTCACTAGTCTCATAAAGCAATTAGGTTTATTGCTCACCTTGTTTCCACCGCCGCTACCTCCGGCTGCTAAGTTGTAGCCTCTCGTACGAGACATATCGCAGTCTTCGTTGACGGCGGCGGCAGTGTCGGTCTGGTCCTCCAGGTTGTCGAACTCGTCGATCTTGGCCGGTGCATCGTCGCCCGGAATGCTGTTGTTGTCGTTGCTGGAGTCGGAAATCAGGGGGTTCGCGCAGATAATGGAGGTGGAATTGGCGTTGCTGCGGCGGCGAGGGGAGGTGAGTCGGGGGCGGTGTCGGCTGATTGGGGGCGAAGAGGAAGAGAGGCGAGAGTAGAGGAGAGAGAGAGACGACATTACTCTTTCAATTACCAAAAGGGCGGTGCTTTTGGCGATTCCAATGACTCGGCCGCCGGCGGGAGGAGTGAGAAATTGTCAGTGGTATCCGCGTTTAGGGCCATAAGGTATGGCAACCGGCAAAATGAAGAGGCTTTTCCTGATGATTTTCCTCAATGTTGCTTATTCTACGACCGAGTTCGGGATTGGGCTTATTAGTGTCCGTGTCGGTAAGAAATTTTGCAACTTTCTGGAAATTTTGAAGCTCTAAAGTATAATAGATTGTATGCATATGGAGTTAGTAATTGGGTTTGCTTCCATTTCGTTTCTTTTTACAGGTTTGGTATCTGATGCATTTCATTTGACATTCGGGTGTGGTCTTCTTACATTCTCCTTGTTTTCTATTGCTGCTTCTCGGAAAAAGCCTGATCATGTTTACACTTACGGGTGAGTTGATAATGAGTTGATTGTCGAGGGGAGGTGATTCGGGGTAGAGACGGTGGCGGTGTCCGCTGATTGGGGGCGAAGAGGAAGAGAAGCGAGAGTAGAGGAGAGAGACGGAGAGGAGGGTAAAATTAGGGATTCTGTTTTTTTTATCCACGTGTAAAACGCAGGTTTGACACGTAAGCCCTTCCGTTTGCCCAGTCACACTTAACGTTAACAGCGTTAAGGAATCGGACGGAAGTGGCTATTAGTGGTATTTCGTCAAATGTGGCTATAAGTGGCATAAAGGTGAAAGTTTTGGCTATGCAAGTGTATTTTGCCTATATTTAACTATGCTACAGTATGGTATGTTCAAAGTGATTAGAGTGATGCAGATAATAATAAACACAGTAAAATTATATTCGTAAATTCTCGTGATCACTAGAGTGATGCAATTGGCTATGTTATTTTTTCTTTGTTACTTTTGAAGTACTTCGTAGTAAGAGAAAAATTATTGTAAACAAAAAGTTTAGATAATACGTGGTAATTATTCGGTGTTTCACTTAAAACTCTTCTATATTCAAGGTTTAATTGCATGGTTGGTCATCGAGATTATAAAAAATGTTCATATTTATCACTGGAAATATTTAAGTGACCAACCATGCATTCAACCTGTATTGAAGTGATCTACATATTGGTGCATATTTTTAAACTCTCTTAATTTCTATAGTTTCTTAAATTGAATTCGTTAATTTCGAAATGATTCATATCTCGCAGTTTCGTAGCTGCTCCATCGTACGCGTCGAAAGAGAGACGCTTGTGGTCGTTGGCTGCGAGATCGCACCAGAAGAGCGTCGAGCCAAACCCTTCGTTTTCGAAGCGCCAGCTGATGTTGGAGCCGACGTCGAGAGCTTGGTCTCCGATGTCGTCGTCTTTAATTTGGATCGACAATGCACACTCAGAACCGTCCCAACGGACATGCTGTTTTCGACATAAACCGTTGTTTGAGTTGAGAGGCCTCTTCTCCTGTTTTTATAGTGCACCGATGAGTAGAGGACATTCTTGTCAAAAACAAAGTAAGATATACCTCAGGCTTCTGAGTTCTGACTCTCCTTCCAGGTAACAAACCCACGGCAAATTATATTAGTAGAATAGAAGAGATCTCCGGCAAAATGCGTCAACTTTCCTTAACTTGACGTGTAAAAGTCAAACAATTCCTTAAATTGGAAGTATATATACCTAGCAACGATGAGAAAAACGAGTTAGGAGAGTTAAGGACAAACAATGTAGAGAAACTGTCCATTTGGGATGGATTTGTGAGTGTTTAAATACGATATTTCCTAGTTAAAAAGGCCTAAATATTTATCTATTTTTAAGATATAAATTGAAAATGCAGCATAACATTAAAATGTATATGTTCAATTTGTATTATAAAGGCGAAAAACCAAACAAACACTTATACTTTAAAGCATTATAAAATTCCACGTTACCTAACATGATTTGTTTCAATGTTGTCCTAAGACTAAGAGAATGCCTTCTCTTAACCAATCCGATCTCGGCATCTACACCATCAGCACACTCGCGAGCCGATGATGAGTAAAAATTGCATTTTTTTGTCGAAAATAGAGTTCTTAAAAGGTGCTCCGAATTTTATTCATAAAAAAAAAACTCGAGGAGTGGAAAATCCTATTTGATCGAATTACAAAACCAATAGGTTAGTCCACGAGATGGAGACATAAAAAAAACATGCTACCAATATTATTTGGTTGGGAAAAGCATAAATCATTTTTGCAATCAAATTATTTGATCTCCTCAATTTTCATTTGGTTATCCATACTTTGTTTATAATAGGCAAAAAATTTATTAACATTTTTAGCTTCCAAAATATAATTAGTTGTAAATACCAGTCTTTTTGCAACCGATGTTATTTTGGTTGTAAAGTTTTTGGTTGCAAATACTACTTTTTCTTGGTTGTAAAGATCATTAAGACAAAGCACCAAACAAAATGAAAAAAAAAAAAACAAAATTCCAAGTTCTCATCTAGTTTCAGTTCACCGCCGTTAGATTACATTACAAAGCAGGGACATTTTTTTTTCTTCTTTCAATTCCACTCTTGTCGAGGGGATGATTCCACGTTGCCATCTCCGGTCACCAGATAGACTCCATCATCCCGGACGGACCACTCAATATCATAACCTCCGATGTCGGTACCTTGGTAATACGCATTGAACGAAAGACGCTTATCTTCGACCGCGAGACGACACCGGAAAAATGTCAGCCTAACAAGTTCCGAGTTGTCATTAAAACTCCATGAGATGTTGGCTTTAACATCGAGCAAATGAGCGTGAAGATTGTCGTCCGCGGATCGACAATGCACTATCAGTATTCTGTCGCTTAAATCGTTTCGAACACAAGCCGTCCGTTGGATTGTGGGCCGTGCCATGAACAATATGGTCGCCAAGGTGACCGTCACTAGTAATTTGGCTTGGCTTACCGCCGGTTTGCTCCTCGTCATGCTCAGTTTGATGTAGGAATCCTTTTTTCCCCCTCTCTTTGGTTGGTATGTAAAAAAAGAAAAGAATGTTGTAATGATTACTGAATACTTGAAACTCCTAGCTAAGTTCTTTTATAATGGAATGATGAGTAGAAGAGTTGGTTGGTTAATTATATAAACGGTGCCTCAATTTCAAGGCAAGTAAAAGTTCAGTTACCCAACTTTGAGTTTTGACGAATTTCTCACTGAAATCAATTTGGAGAAACATACATTATAGTTCAAGTTTTCTTAAAAGCTTTAGTATTGACTACCTAGTTTAAGGCGAACGTGATCGAAATTGCAGCATTAACCCGCAACATATATGTGGTCATAAACTTTGTTGATATGACTTGAATCGGACTATCAGCCGCTACGACTGGTAATCGGGGGTCTGTAACCGGTTCCTTTGCTAGATTGGATTAGGTTTAGACCCACATGGAGAAGTACTATAAATACTTCTCATACTCCTCTGTAATCTGTAATCTCCTCGATATAGTGAAACTGGCTCTCTCTCGCCCGTGGACTAGCTAACACACATCGTGTTAGTGAACCACGTAAATCGTGTGTCTGTGTTCTTTCGATTCTCGCTCTCGTATTCTTGCTTTGTCGATTCCGGCGATTTCCCGATCCGTAGCAGCGCGTTTATAACAAACTTGGTTTGGTATATGACTTTAGAATGATTCGTCAGTGTCAATTATGCTTTTCAGATACAAGTTTGGGGTGATCAAAATGATTTCTATCAGGAAGAAATAGCATATTGTTAGGTTAATTAGTTCCAAACTTCAGCAGCAATTTTGTTAAAAAAACTAAAGCTTAGGGATCGACTTGTCACTAACCCTAAAGCTTAGTGACCATATTGATGTATTCCGGCCCAGAAGAGTCCGCTGGGCCAACGGCTCTGTCCCTCTCATTCTTTCCTATTAGGGATGATCACTTCGCCGTCTGATTTGTTTTCGCCGAGGTGTAATGTAGCCTGTTTATTGTTTCAAGGGAATCGCTTGCCGGATCGAGATCGCTTTTCCTTTTCATATCATTACAAATAGCATTCTCACGTCATAGACCCAGCAGAAACAAACATAACTAGACCAGGAATGGCAATGGGTCGATATGAATCCAATTGGATAGAATGCATACAGTGAATTTGGGTTACGTTTGAGTTGGGTTCAGTTTGAATCAATTTATATAGGTCAGTCTAAAACAAAGTCTGTTTAGGTCCATTTGATTGTGTACAGAAAGAAAAGAAAAATTGATCATCTCATTACTTCTTTTCAACTAGATTCACTATTTCAATGTCGGTGTTTCTACATTTTTATATGCATCAATTTCAATGTTCGTCTGTTCTACCGGTTTGAGGCCTTTTCGGCATCTTCGGTCTCTCGTCTTCCTTCCTGCAGGGGCAGTCTGGTCCGCCTTGCAGGCTTTGCCTTTCTTCTGGGCTGGGATTCCTTTACTGTTGTTTTGCTTGCTGGCTTGCTGGAACTATGTTCTTGGGGATCAATTCTCTTGATCCTTGTCTGTTTTAATAAAATCCATCACACTTATCAAAAAAAAAAAAAAAAAAAAAAACCTGATTAGAACGGTAGTATATTGGTTTTGGATGATACCCAAAATTTGGGTACTTTTTAACATGCCTAAAATACACAACTGTATTTGCTTCCATTCTAAATCTAATTGTCCAGCTAGATAGAGAATGGATTGATTGCCTAGATTAGTGCTGTAAGTTTGGTATTGGCATTTGGTATATAGTGGATACCGTATTACATTTGTCCATATTTGATATTATTGAATACATGAAATTTTTATTAGATTGGAATCGGTATATACCGATATATCGAACAATACAGGAAAATAATATAAAAGAATGGTGCATTTTCACCTTTAAACTAATCTCTCCTCAATCCTCACACACATTTTTTACCAGCCCTTAATTGCCAACTGAAATATGCATAACCCATTACCAAATTTTATACATACAGTAATACAAAGCCCAACGATACCCTTTAGGAGTTTGAAAGTTCATACGATTGGGACGGGATAGCTAACGGCCAATTCACACGCCACACCTACTCTCTATTAGCAAATTAACTAAATATAAATTATAAAGTCCTTGTAAATTAGGAAGACACTAAAAATTTATATAACCCCACTTTGTCTCATGTGAATTTTTCTAGAACTTAAACGCAAACTTATTTCAGTACTCATGTCAACATTTATTGGACCCTTTTTAAATGAAGTATTCGTTGATAAAGAAAACATAGATACTAACCATAGAAGTTTCTTTACTTATGCGGATTTCACTTCTTTAGCAAATGTATCAAATCTTCATTATTCCATCAACCAATCGCATTGAGAAAATGAACGCTTTTTATGACATTGATGCAATTAACAATTTATAATTTGCATTCTTATATCTAATGGACAATACACAATATATTAACCAGTAGGAGTTGTTCAAAAAAATTCTTAATTTTTTGCCTTTAGAAGTCGATGGTTAGTATGTGTTGCAGTTAAGGGTATATGATGGCTACTTGATACTATAACTCAGTAACAACTCTTTGTCATGTGAAAGTGGGGGTAAGGTCATTTAGATGACCCGGAACCTACCCACCTTCCACTCAATTAAATGTAAATAGGAAATTTTCAATCGACGATCCACCCACATCAATCACACTCATCCATTGCGATTTTGATTATTTGTGGGTGTTATCAAACCATGAATTAACCCTCATCTGTTCTGTTAAGCATGTGTATTTGTACTTGTGAAAACTTCAAATCCATATAAGGCAACTTTCGTTTGAGGGGATGTTTTAGTAAATGGTTTATGATCTATAATTCAATTTCTTCCAATGGCTCGAATTATTGGAATTACCGGTTATTGACATGTTATCAAAGCCTTTTGTAACTGGGAGGTCTTATGTTGGAATCCCGGTTATCCCATTGGTAAGCATATGGTGCCTGATGCTTGTGCAAACTTCAAGCCTATATGAGTGACTTTCGTTTGAGTAAGTGTGTTAATATGTAGTATAAGATACATTATTGAACTTCTTTCTACGACGCGAGTCTTTGAGACTCGCTGATTCTTGACATGGGCGATCATTAGGAAGTGGAATTCTGCATGTTTAGTGTAGCCAGGGGGTCGGAATTCACGATTTTGAAAACGTCAAATTGTTATAGTACTCTCTCCTAAAAGTGATTCCTAAGATGAAAGTATGAAAACATTTGTATTGCAATCTGACGATTTTATTAGAATGAGAAAATGAAACTAATACAGAATTGAACTTCTTTCAACGACACAGCACTGCACAACAGTGCTTTTTATTGACCCGCCAAAACGTGTTCTTCAACTTCGAAAACAACACAACAGTGCTTTTTATTGACCCGCCAACGCGTTCTTCAACTTCGAATTCAACCCTTCGCGCCATACCTTCTTCTTCCTCATCAATCAAGCTTTCCAAGATCAGTCTTCAGTTCCACTTCTAACAGAGTAGAATTGCTGCAATCATACATTGAATTTAATAGCAAAAAGGGATATCATCCAATCAATGTTTTGGAAACCTACCCTACTATCCAGTCGCACATGGAATACACATGATACCAAACCTCAAACCGACACGCTACCAATGACTTTTTTTCCGATATAATCTCCGATACGATTTCACAATTATTTCCCCCACGTCTCGTGAGGGAAGCTTTCTTCAGTGCCATTCGCGGCCATCCGATAGACTCCATCGTCCCTAACCAACCACCGAATATCATAACCTCCAAGCTCGGTGCCTTGGCTGTAAGCGTGGAAATAAAGACGCTTATCTTCGACGGCCAAGTGGCAATGGAAATGTGTGTCACCCACAAGGCAATCATCGAAACTCCAGGCGATATTCGATTTAACAGCAACGGCATGAACACCAATGCTATCATCAATGGACCAACAACGCACTATCAGTATTTTGGAACTCAACTGATTCTCAACAGAAACCGTCCACTGGATCGAGGGTCGCACCAGAGCAAGAATGGCTGCCAAGACCACCGCTACAAGTAATTTTCTGGAGATGATGACCGCCATATTCCTCGCCATGATCACTTTGATGGAGGAGTTCCTCTTTTTCTTTCTCTCTCTTTTGGGAGGTATATTGAAAGGATGTTGATCTGAATGCGGAGACTAGTGCTAGCTATCTGTTGCTTTTATAGTGGACTGATGAGTATAAAGGTGGGATTGATTTCTGTTGAGATCGGATGTTCCATTAGTATGATATTGTCCGATGTAGGTTAAGTCCGCAAAAAAAATTTATTTTTCGGTTCTTTTCCCAAAATGCCTTGTACTAATGGAGTTTCGTGGACATGGACAGTATACAAAGGTCATTTCTCATGTATTTCTAATGTGATATTTGTATTGCATCATATATAACAATCCACCCTTCAAGACAAGGACCACGAACTTTCTGTCCTCTCTCAGCAATTATCTTGATATACCAGATGCCTTTGCTTCGACATGCTCTTCGTCACAAGAATTTATCATATGCAGGTCTCCACCTGATCCACGAGAAAGAATACCAGACATAGATCACCCTTTATCCGCTATACAAGTGCATATACGAAATCCCAAGGTGATTGGCCGATTGAAGGTCCATCCTGACGTCCACCACTCATGATTATCCGAACCAGGTTCTTATACTACTTGTTGATATCAGATAGTTTTATTGGTACGACATTGTCCGCTTAATGACAAACCTGCACGAATTTACTTTTAGATTTCTGGTAAAAAAGGTTGTACTTATTTGAGCTAGTACTAAAGTTTATTTTTTTCTTCCTTTGTGATAATTGGTACATAACAATTTCATATAGCGTGAATTTTGAGGACCATGATGAAGAATAGGCCATTATAAAGAATTTACTTTAGCATAGAGACCATTATTGATTCTTGCAATCAACCTTAAAAGAGTCTTTCTTCTCTGGGCCAACGGCCCTGTCCCTCTCCTTGCCTTGTTTCCCCTGCTCTATCTGATTCCTTGACCGTCTGGTTCGTTTGTGCTGAGATGTAGTGTAGTCGGTTTATACTTTCGAGGGAATCGTTTGCCGGGAACTTCTAAGATGAGCAGAAATTAGCCGGGAATCTTTCTCGACTTCTTTCCATTTTTCCTCCGTCGTGCATTGGCCTGACCACTAGAGAATCCAGGCCCAAGCCCAGGCCCAGGAATTTGATCCCTAACAATATTGCAAACAAACAATAGATTTGCCACAACCCACAAGTGCATGATGGATTGGATTTAGTAATTAACAAAATTTCATCACCCAAATCAATGAAAGTTGGTGTTGGGTTGCTGTTAGGGATGGCAACTTTGCCCATCCATACTCATGGGTTTCTTACTATCCAATCCAATTGGGTTGGGTAAGAAATCCAAATAGATGGATATTAGTAGAGTTTGATGAGTTTGTACCCATACCCATTTACTTTGGGTTGAGTTGGGTATAATTACCCATGGGTGGGTAATTTGCCATCCCTAGTTCTTGTATAGCACCTAATTTATCTAGACACCAAAAGCGAAAACTATATTTCTCGTGTTTCGATACACCACGAATTACAAATACATTGATTCATTACGAATTGCGATTTACGGATGGTTGATCCAAATATAAATTGTTATTTCTGATGGTACATACAAATGAGTGGCTGAGTTAGTCAAGAGCTACTATGTACGAACATCTACAACATCGGGTGACTTCGTCCCCGACACTCAGAGATGCCTCCCTGAACACACAAACGGCGTCGCTGGTGATCGAACTCAGGACCTCTCACATCCTGAGCCAACTTGACCAACGATTTCTCCGGGAATTACAAATACATTGAATCATTACGAATTGCGATTTCGGGATGGTTGATCCAAATATGAATTGTTATTTCTGATTGTACATAAATGAGTGGCTGAGTTAGTCAAGAGCTACTACGTACGAACATCTACATGCCTTTTTTTCCTTCTTCTTATGGTTGTGGGTTTGGTGTGACTGTTTGCGCGCATATCCTGTCAAAAAATCAAAGATGCCCCGCTGGTGAACCACTCCTACTCTGCAGATTCAACTCTCTCTCTATATATACGGTAGCGTCTTAAATATATTTTCAATGGCGTGGTTAGCAATTTAATTATCAGTGTTGCTTCTAATGATCATCCTCATTCTATATAATCCCGATCGAAGCTTATCTTGTTAGTTACAAAAATCACCCACGTACGTATAGCAAATTAATACAACGCCAACGCCCATCTTTTTTTTTTTTTTTTTTTTTTTGCAGCCTCTAATTAATGTCACCGAAGGCGGAGGAGAAGGTGATCACTGTGAAGAAAGTGGTCGAGCTGAAGCTGAGCACTGCCGTTTACAGGCTAAACTTACATTGCAAAGAATGTGCAATTACGGTCAAGACGCCTCTTCTCGCCAGACAAGGTGCGTCGTGAAGGCTCGTGGGCCGAAACAGGATGATCACGTGGGCCGAGCCTGGTCCAATACCTTTTTCATCTTGAACGTAACGTTTTTTCAGGTGTCCATAGTGTCATTGCTGATGTCGAGAAGGGAGAGCTGAAGGTCAAAGGGGAAATCGACGTGAAAGAGATTCACGAAGTGATTCGAAGAATTAGTAAGAGAAAAGTTGAGATTGTAACGTCGGAAACTGACTGCAAGACCGGCAATGCAGGCAAAAAGGAGGTAGAAATTGAAGAAACGAAAGAAGTAAGCCGTGTAGTTATAGACGTTAATTGCTTTCACGCAAAAGTCATATATATCTGCGTACCAAATCAGAAGAAATTGACACTTTTTTTTTTTTGCTCCGTTTTAAATTTGGAAGACAATTATACGCACCACGTCAATCAAGGTTAACCTACACTGCCACAAATGCCAGATTGACCTCAAGAAGAAGTTACTCAAGCATAAAGGTAACCCTAATTTCATGAACTTACATAGATAACAACACTATTGATCGCATTCATGATAATTTTATGTACGTTCTTCTAGCACAGGGATTCACACCGTGAAAATGGATATGAAAGCACAAGCAGTGACCATTCAAGGAACCATCGAGTCAGAGAAGCTGCTAAGCTACATGAGGAGAAGAGTACACAAGCACGCAGAGATTGTAGTCTCGAAGAAGGTTGACAAGAAGAAAGTGGAAGCAAAATGTGGCGACGACGAAGACGACGAGGAAAAGGATATCGTCAAGATCAAAGTGGACAAGTGCTGTGATTCTGATCAGAAGATCATTACCACTAAACCTGGCATCAGATGTGAGACTGAGACGGTTTGCGTGGAGAATAAAGATGGAGGCCTAGGCGTCCCTTATTTCATTCACTATGTCTACGCTCCTCAGCTATTTAGTGACGAAAACCCCAATGCTTGTTTAATCATGTAGCTCATCATAATTGATGATCTATTTCAATCATCGTTTGAATATATGATTTTTTTTATTTATTATAATTGTTTAAATGAGATATTGTTGCAAGATTGGATAATTTAAAGTTAGAAATTCAAACATCAAGAGTTCGCGGTAGAAAACCAGAAAAAAAGTCTGCAATTCAAAAATCAAAAGAAAAAAAAAATGTCAGTTATGCAAACTACCGACTCAATAACATTGCTACGGGTCGACCTGCAGGTGTGTAGCTAGCGCACCTATTTCTCTCGTCAGATCAGGTTCAATTCTGATGGTCGATTCGCAAGTTGACAACCTTTGACTACTTAGAGCTATGGGTGGTTCCACTCCCGGTGAAAGGATTCTACGAGGGTACCATCCGGATCCACTAGATGAACCCCATCCTCCCTAACAAGCCAGCGAACGTCATGACCGCGAAGGTGGTCGGATTTCCCATCATATGCGTTGAAAGAAAGTCGCCTATCTCGCACCGCCAGCCTGCACCAATAGAGCGTCTTCCCAAATATGTTTGGCTCGAAACCCCACTCGAAACGAGAGCCAACGTCAACGATGTTGGCTCCAATGTCGTCGTCATTGGATCGACAATGAACTATCACCTTTCTACCTCTCAACTCGTTTTCAACAGAAACAATCCTGTGCTGGATCGATGGACGTGCCTGCAGAATCATTAAGGCCGCAAAAACCACTGCCACTCGCAACATCGTGACCAATTTGATGAAGCAATACGTCGTCTTTTAAACTCTCTCTCTCTCTCTCTCTCTCTATACTATCTCTTATAGTGCACGTGGAAGCAATACGCTGTACGGGGAGCAAAAGTGTACGTCTCTTTCCTTCCACGTGCAAAACGCGCAGAGGCGGTTCGTTGGATGCATGCATGGGGTTGGAGTACGTAGAAGAGTCTTATGGATCTCTGGCTCTCCATCTCTCCTATGTATGATTGATTCTTTATCCCATCTTATATGTGTTTTTGGATCGTGTGAGATAATAACAATAGGTTACCATATTAGGGTGCAAAAAGTCATGTAAATTTTCCAGATGTGAAATCCCAAAATTGCCGGTAACAACTAGGACAGAAGGAAGCAATTCCTTCAATTGGACGTATTCGTAGTTCCCTAGTAGGGCTGGCTATTTGGTCCGGACTTTTTGGTTTTACCCGAAACCGGACTGTATAACTCGGATCGGGATCGGACTGGGACCGGATAGCAAATAATCCAATCTCATATCCGGGTTTACATTTGATGTAAAAAACCGTTTAGGACCGGATCGAAAACCAGATGAAGACCGGATAAGAGACCCCAACACCTAAAACTTAACCAACTCATCACCCTTTGAGGTCTCAGGCCACTCAAATCCCCACAAGCTCAATCTAAAATCAAGACCCAATTGGGATCGGACTGGGTCAAGACCGGACCGGATCAATTCTAGAAGTGTAAGTTCAATTTTTTTTATTAACATTTTTTATGACGTGGAGTGCTGATTGGACAAAACTAACAGAACTTTGGACCATTTTTTTATTACATTTGACTGTTTTGTTATATGCTCAAATGTTTATTATCAAATCGTGCAAAAATAATGGTTTGTGACAATTTTGTATAAAGTGTAAAGAGTTTGTGACTGTTTATGTTAATTATCCGTGAAACTTCAAACACACTCATGTAACATCAATATTGAAAAGTTCAACAAAAAATTCTAAATATAGAATTAGACGAAGGAGAAAACAGAAAAAGTACAAATCGTAAATTAAAACGAAAAACAACATCGTGTGACCTCAAATCCAGGAACCTGGCTACGGGTCGAACCGTGAATGTACGACTCCCTTTTTGCTCCCATGGTCTATGGGGTCAATGTTATTTGGGTTCGTGTTCTGGGTGTGGTTATAACCGCTTTTCCTTTATCATATTGGATTAGGGTTAGACCATAAAGAAGTACAATAAATACTTCTCATACTCCTATGTAATATGTATATCCTCGAAGTATAGTGAAACTGGCTCTATTCTGCATGTGGACTAGCTAACACAAATTGTGTTAGTGAACCACGTAAATCGTGTGACGTGTGTGTGCTTTAGTTTTTTTGCACTGTCGAATACTCCAAATTTCCCGATCCGCAGAGAAACAGTCGTAACAATAGAGTACTTACAGCAAGGTTGTCAAACTGGTTTAGCCTGTTGGCATGGTCGAACAAGTGAATTAAAGGTTAATGGTCCAATCGCTATAGCCCAACTTAAATTGGATGTTTGAAAAGATTGTTATATTATTCATATATTTATAAATTATATCAAATTTCTAAAAAGAAGGATAATATCTTTTAGGGGTTGTTTGCTTGATGGATTTGGATCCATCATGAACTTTGTCCAAACTTAATTGTTCGCTTCATATATCCAGGAGCAACAAATCTGTGAGACGCACGAACTTTAAAGGTCGAAAACCGTGGCCCCAAAAAATTTGAAATCTCACTCTTATATGAGAATTGATAAAAGACTTTGAAGTTTATCATTTTTTATCAACGTACTCCTCTTATATCCTTTCTCTTCTCATATCAAAGAGGACAATAAATATTAATTTTACTTCACATTTACAAATCTTCAAAAGAATTAAAACATCTATAATAAAATTTAGGCCTAATACCAGAAAAGGGCCCGTAGTTTAGAGTTTGGGTCATTTGCACCCCTAGGTTTATACCGCGTCACTTATGTCCCCAAGTTTATAGTCCGCATGCTAATTATGTCCTCACTCGTTTCGTTGACTGTTAGACTTGACGGTCAACCTAACGGCGGTCAACCCTTATTTGACTTTTATACCACATGTCAGCCACATCATACACACGTGGCATTTTTATATTTAAAAAAAATTATTATCTCAATTAAATCAGAAATATTTTTTCAAACATTAAAAAATCATTCCACTTATGCACCAAAATAAAATCCATTGCTCAATCGGGGTATGTTTTCTCCTCCACCTACTCGACTCCTTAATCTCCTTCCGATCACCCTGCCGACAGAAGTCACCGTCTCCACCACTACTCCTACTGCCAATCTCCCTCCCACCACCGCCAACACCTATCTCCTTTCTCGCATCTCTCCTCTCCAGAGATAGCATCAAAGAAGAACCCCCTACCCCCACAAAGGCGGCCGCTCTCTGGCCACAAAACTAAATCTGATCTGCGAGCTCGAAGGCTCCCCTGGCGGCACCAAATCCCTGATCGAATTCAACAAGCCCTAGATCTGATCCGCCATATCGACGACTCAACAAATCGCCAACCTGATATGAAAATAAATGGCGGTTTCATCCACCAGATACATCACGAATTCCCGCCGGATGCAGGAGCTATTGGGGATTTGGCTCGGAAGCTCTGCTGGTGACCGGATTCATCCTTGCCACCATCTTCTGGCATCTTGACAACTCGCCGAAAGGGATCTAAGAGCGGCTCGGATTCTTCGCCTTCGCAATGTCGGTGACGCACGACTCAGGGAAAGGAAATTCAAATCGGCGAGAATTTTGGGGCGGGTGGTGGTGGTGGGTTTCAAAATCTATTGGATTCCTTCCCCTCGGCATCAGCTCCGACGTTGACGAGGCTGTCGTCAAAGCTCTCTTCCAGCAGAGATGGCGGTGAGCGTGCTGACTCGCTATGGCACAACTCCTAACAAAGGCCAAGTGTAACCAATGAAAGGGACTGCAGTATAGTGGCTCAAGTAATAAATATCGAATCCACGGGTCTCTAGAGTTACTATTACTCAGCTTCAGTTCGTTATCTAGCAAAACAGATTAAGTTGAAAGAACTAAAACTACTCTAGCAAACTACAGTTAAAGTTAATCTAATTACAGGTTGGGAACTCACTTAGGTATGATTCCCCCTAGCCACTAGCCAGATTAACGATTGATGATCTCTAACTTGTTTCACTTTCATTCACAATGCGGAGAATCCTTGACTAGACCTTGAGTCTCGACTAAAGGAACAAGGCCCTCTTGAGTCAATTGCCTAGAGGGACGTATCCTTCTCTAGAACAACTGATCAAGGCGTTCTGAACTAGATTCCCTCTATCGAATGAGGTTCTCAATCGATACAAAGCAGTGAATCAACCCTCGACTAAAGCAGTCGATCCAATACTATCAATCTATGGTGCTCTATTGACCTAATCAGGTATTCGCTCTCATAGGATCAAAGCAGAATCAATAATCTCGACTAAAGCAGAATTGAATCGTGAAAACATGCATAGATTGAATATGAACTCAAGATTATCAAGTCAGAGTACTCATACAATCATCCAATCAAACAAACATGGCTAGGGTTCCTCAAAACCTAAGTGAAGGGAAGTTACTCCATAGAGAAGAGAGAGACTGCAGTAAGAATCTTCAGATGATCAATCTTCAAGTCCGGGCTTGATTCCCGAGCTCCAATGGCGAAGAAATCCTCCAAAATAGCTCCAAGAATGTTCCCAAGTCGCTCTCTCTCTCTAGGGTTCGTCCCTTGGGTGTTTGGGATCCAAAACCCAGCTCTCCCTCTCCTTTGGCTCGAATTTGGGTTAAAAAACCCGATTCTGGGCAAAACACGGTCGAGGGCACGGCCGTGCTTTGCCTCAGCCCGCCCGTGTTTTCAGCTCGAGTTGGCCAAACTCAAATCAGCTCTCGGCAGTAAAAACACGGTCACAGAACACGGCCGTGTTCTGAAGGCCTACTGCCCGTGTTTTCACTGCCGAGCCTGTTCAATGCTTCGTTTCTCCCTCGTCCGGACTCCGAATCAGTCGCCGTTTGATCCCAGACGCTCGTAGTCTCGTCCTCTTTCATTTCATAACAAGCTTGCATGATTCTTTGTTCATGAAGTGAGGTAGAAATCCATTCTTCTTCAGGTCATACCCGAGTTTCTTCTCCCGAATCGTCAATTGATCTCTGATTGACTTGAACTTTGCGCCTATGCTTCACTTTATGTGCTAGGACCTGAAATATGACAAAGGAACACCACCTAGCGTAAAATAGGCCAAAGATGTGATAATTAAAGCTCAAACGATCAAGAAACACAGGGGAAAACATGTGCAAATATCGAGTCATCAAATCCCCCCACACTTAACCGTTTGCTTGTCCCCAAGCAAACCTAACTCAAACCAATGCAACTCTCCAGAGCTCTATAGCAACATACAACCCCGATCGTCGGTAGAGGATTTCCTAGATCATATAGCAGCTTACGAGGTCAACTGGTCTTCTAAGACGTTCCCTATCTCTCTCAATGCGAGTACTAGACTCAAGCCAGGATCATGAGAAAAAGTAGAAGTAAGACAGTCAGTTCATGGATAAAGGGACTCACACCATTCACAACCAAGGACTCGTTGTACCGGGGTGCTCTTTCACTTCATTTCACCGTTGGAACCCCTTTTTCACTTTCATTTTACTTACTTTTTTTTCCTTTTTATTCACTTGGCGGGGGTTCCAACTGCAGTCTTTTGCACGGTCGACCCTTATTAGTCGAGCAAGAGCAATTTCTGTACATCTGGCGCTCGCCAGAGTACTTCTTTTAACTCCTTTTCCTCAACTCGTGTGGAGGGTCAATGAAATTAAGGGGGGTCGGAAGCTCTATCCGTGCCCTTAAAAACACATCCTCGAGTAGGCAAACCGTTCAACGGGTGAAAATTTTACTTGTACTAGAGACAGCTTAGCTTCACCTTGTAGGAGTACCCCACTAAGGATCACTAAAATCTCTTCCAAAACCCGATTTTGTGCAATGAACGATGCCACACACGTTGGGCTTACCCCATGTTTAAGATTTCAATGATTTCGACATGGAGGACCAACTGCTTTCCATTTTCTATATGAGCACCCTGTTCGATACACGAGTCCAAAACACAATCCACATAGAGTCACCATCACCACATGAATTCAACGGTCCTAGCTCCACTAATTCACAAAATCAACTGGCACAGCAAAGAGCTAGATAGGAAAAATCTTATACTTCAACATCCTCCATAGTGCTACACTACCTCCCTAGGTTGCACATTACTATAGAGACTGTCAATTCAAAGCATACTGAGCAGGCAATTTGCAAGGAAACACGTACTTGGAGCCCTCAAATCGAAATTTGGGCAGTGGACTAGGCTCCAAGCACACAAACAGCCAACCATTGACACGCATACATAATCGAACATCCCCCCACACTTAAGCACGACATTGTCCTCAATGGAGGAAAGATAAGGAGGGTAGAACGAAGTTACCAGATCAAGGGTGAATGATGGTGGACGGGGCAGGCGATGTATTCCAGGAGGAGAGAGTAATCAGAACACAAACACCACACAAAATCTCACAAAGGTTGAGTTATTGACTCTAAAATCAAAGAACAAAACTGACTCAACCGAAGAGTAATAGAGAAAGAAATGCAAACCGACTGGTTGGGTTGCCTCCCAACAAGCGCTTCTTTCACGTCGTGAGCCGGACGATGGCTCCTAAGTTTCGGTCCACGCTAGAACCTCCTTGAAGTTGAGGTTCTCGTCGATGAGGTGGAGTCTCAAGTCACGAGCATGTGGTGTGGCAGGTGATGAAGGCTCGTGTACTTGATGCAGATGAAGTCTCCACCCTCGAGACCTCTTCTTCTCTTCTCTCGTCTCATTACCCCAAACCAGATAAGACAGCATCGATTGGCCACCATCGCGTCCACCAAGAGGGACCGATGTCGATGTGGCCTTGGTCTGGCAAAGAGACACTGCAAATGGGTCCTTGCCAAGCAGCTCCTCGAAGTTTGGTGGAGATATCACATGTATCTCATGGCCGGTGCAAGCCTCTTCCACCTCAACTTCGTCCTCGGCCTGGACGACAATTGCTCCTTCAACCTCCCTTCCTTCTTCATGTGGTATCACCCCTGGGAAATGATCAAGAACTCCTCCTGCTTCGCTTTCGTCATCCTCCACAACCTCTTTCTGCACCCTTTCTTGCTCTTCTTCTTCTAGCACGGATTGGAGAGCAAGTTTCCAAGCAATTTCTTTCATGAGATCTTCTTGCATCTCCTCACTCATGCCCACCTCTTCGAAGCTCAGTGTGGGATGTGGGAAAGGGTGGTCGGCTACGACAGGACATTCCTGATCATGATCATCACGGGAGCTCTCCGTGACAACTTCTGTGTGCTCCCTAATGTCCGTGTAGCCTTCTTCTTCCTCCTCCTCTTCTTGTATGGTAGCAGAAGGGTGATCTTGAGCAAGTTGTGCACAAACTTGCTCAACCCACTCTGTTTGCTTCGCTGAGCGTTGAACAGCCTCCTCCATATCACGGAGATATGAGGGATCGGAAGAGGGAAGGGCTTGGATTTGATGATCCATCCTGGAGCATATTCTCTCAGAGGCTCGAGTAAACTGCTCCAGGAGTAACTCCAGCTCCGATGGCCCTTCTGGTTGTGGGAGAAATTCTTCTTGATAATGAGGTTGTTCTTGATATGCCCAGGGGTCCGGTTGTTCTCCGTAGTAAGGGGGTTGGTACTGGAACCCGAATCCATAGTCTTCTCCTCCTTGATTGCTCCAGGGGGTCTCGGGGTAATACCACTCGGGTGGTGGTGGATACCCCCAATGATTGGAGAAGCCATGAGGATCCATGATTCAAATCTGCACTAACAAAAACAAAAACACCCAAGTGAAAAGCAAGGGTGGAAAAGAAAAGAAAGAAAAAAAAAACTAAATTAACAAACTTCTGCCTTTCCTAATAATCTAGAAATTCCCCGGCAACGGCGCCAAAAACTTGACTCGCTATGGCACAACTCCTAACAAAGGCCAAGTGTAACCAATGAAAGGGACTGCAGTATAGTGGCTCAAGTAATAAATATCGAATCCACGGGTCTCTAGAGTTACTATTACTCAGCTTCAGTTCGTTATCTAGCAAAACAGATTAAGTTGAAAGAACTAAAACTACTCTAGCAAACTACAGTTAAAGTTAATCTAATTACAGGTTGGGAACTCACTTAGGTATGATTCCCCCTAGCCACTAGCCAGATTAACGATTGATGATCTCTAACTTGTTTCACTTTCATTCACAATGCGGAGAATCCTTGACTAGACCTTGAGTCTCGACTAAAGGAACAAGGCCCTCTTGAGTCAATTGCCTAGAGGGACGTATCCTTCTCTAGAACAACTGATCAAGGCGTTCTGAACTAGATTCCCTCTATCGAATGAGGTTCTCAATCGATACAAAGCAGTGAATCAACCCTCGACTAAAGCAGTCGATCCAATACTATCAATCTATGGTGCTCTATTGACCTAATCAGGTATTCGCTCTCATAGGATCAAAGCAGAATCAATAATCTCGACTAAAGCAGAATTGAATCGTGAAAACATGCATAGATTGAATATGAACTCAAGATTATCAAGTCAGAGTACTCATACAATCATCCAATCAAACAAACATGGCTAGGGTTCCTCAAAACCTAAGTGAAGGGAAGTTACTCCATAGAGAAGAGAGAGACTGCAGTAAGAATCTTCAGATGATCAATCTTCAAGTCCGGGCTTGATTCCCGAGCTCCAATGGCGAAGAAATCCTCCAAAATAGCTCCAAGAATGTTCCCAAGTCGCTCTCTCTCTCTAGGGTTCGTCCCTTGGGTGTTTGGGATCCAAAACCCAGCTCTCCCTCTCCTTTGGCTCGAATTTGGGTTAAAAAACCCGATTCTGGGCAAAACACGGTCGAGGGCACGGCCGTGCTTTGCCTCAGCCCGCCCGTGTTTTCAGCTCGAGTTGGCCAAACTCAAATCAGCTCTCGGCAGTAAAAACACGGTCACAGAACACGGCCGTGTTCTGAAGGCCTACTGCCCGTGTTTTCACTGCCGAGCCTGTTCAATGCTTCGTTTCTCCCTCGTCCGGACTCCGAATCAGTCGCCGTTTGATCCCAGACGCTCGTAGTCTCGTCCTCTTTCATTTCATAACAAGCTTGCATGATTCTTTGTTCATGAAGTGAGGTAGAAATCCATTCTTCTTCAGGTCATACCCGAGTTTCTTCTCCCGAATCGTCAATTGATCTCTGATTGACTTGAACTTTGCGCCTATGCTTCACTTTATGTGCTAGGACCTGAAATATGACAAAGGAACACCACCTAGCGTAAAATAGGCCAAAGATGTGATAATTAAAGCTCAAACGATCAAGAAACACAGGGGAAAACATGTGCAAATATCGAGTCATCAAATCCCCCCACACTTAACCGTTTGCTTGTCCCCAAGCAAACCTAACTCAAACCAATGCAACTCTCCAGAGCTCTATAGCAACATACAACCCCGATCGTCGGTAGAGGATTTCCTAGATCATATAGCAGCTTACGAGGTCAACTGGTCTTCTAAGACGTTCCCTATCTCTCTCAATGCGAGTACTAGACTCAAGCCAGGATCATGAGAAAAAGTAGAAGTAAGACAGTCAGTTCATGGATAAAGGGACTCACACCATTCACAACCAAGGACTCGTTGTACCGGGGTGCTCTTTCACTTCATTTCACCGTTGGAACCCCTTTTTCACTTTCATTTTACTTACTTTTTTTTCCTTTTTATTCACTTGGCGGGGGTTCCAACTGCAGTCTTTTGCACGGTCGACCCTTATTAGTCGAGCAAGAGCAATTTCTGTACATCTGGCGCTCGCCAGAGTACTTCTTTTAACTCCTTTTCCTCAACTCGTGTGGAGGGTCAATGAAATTAAGGGGGGTCGGAAGCTCTATCCGTGCCCTTAAAAACACATCCTCGAGTAGGCAAACCGTTCAACGGGTGAAAATTTTACTTGTACTAGAGACAGCTTAGCTTCACCTTGTAGGAGTACCCCACTAAGGATCACTAAAATCTCTTCCAAAACCCGATTTTGTGCAATGAACGATGCCACACACGTTGGGCTTACCCCATGTTTAAGATTTCAATGATTTCGACATGGAGGACCAACTGCTTTCCATTTTCTATATGAGCACCCTGTTCGATACACGAGTCCAAAACACAATCCACATAGAGTCACCATCACCACATGAATTCAACGGTCCTAGCTCCACTAATTCACAAAATCAACTGGCACAGCAAAGAGCTAGATAGGAAAAATCTTATACTTCAACATCCTCCATAGTGCTACACTACCTCCCTAGGTTGCACATTACTATAGAGACTGTCAATTCAAAGCATACTGAGCAGGCAATTTGCAAGGAAACACGTACTTGGAGCCCTCAAATCGAAATTTGGGCAGTGGACTAGGCTCCAAGCACACAAACAGCCAACCATTGACACGCATACATAATCGAACATCCCCCCACACTTAAGCACGACATTGTCCTCAATGGAGGAAAGATAAGGAGGGTAGAACGAAGTTACCAGATCAAGGGTGAATGATGGTGGACGGGGCAGGCGATGTATTCCAGGAGGAGAGAGTAATCAGAACACAAACACCACACAAAATCTCACAAAGGTTGAGTTATTGACTCTAAAATCAAAGAACAAAACTGACTCAACCGAAGAGTAATAGAGAAAGAAATGCAAACCGACTGGTTGGGTTGCCTCCCAACAAGCGCTTCTTTCACGTCGTGAGCCGGACGATGGCTCCTAAGTTTCGGTCCACGCTAGAACCTCCTTGAAGTTGAGGTTCTCGTCGATGAGGTGGAGTCTCAAGTCACGAGCATGTGGTGTGGCAGGTGATGAAGGCTCGTGTACTTGATGCAGATGAAGTCTCCACCCTCGAGACCTCTTCTTCTCTTCTCTCGTCTCATTACCCCAAACCAGATAAGACAGCATCGATTGGCCACCATCGCGTCCACCAAGAGGGACCGATGTCGATGTGGCCTTGGTCTGGCAAAGAGACACTGCAAATGGGTCCTTGCCAAGCAGCTCCTCGAAGTTTGGTGGAGATATCACATGTATCTCATGGCCGGTGCAAGCCTCTTCCACCTCAACTTCGTCCTCGGCCTGGACGACAATTGCTCCTTCAACCTCCCTTCCTTCTTCATGTGGTATCACCCCTGGGAAATGATCAAGAACTCCTCCTGCTTCGCTTTCGTCATCCTCCACAACCTCTTTCTGCACCCTTTCTTGCTCTTCTTCTTCTAGCACGGATTGGAGAGCAAGTTTCCAAGCAATTTCTTTCATGAGATCTTCTTGCATCTCCTCACTCATGCCCACCTCTTCGAAGCTCAGTGTGGGATGTGGGAAAGGGTGGTCGGCTACGACAGGACATTCCTGATCATGATCATCACGGGAGCTCTCCGTGACAACTTCTGTGTGCTCCCTAATGTCCGTGTAGCCTTCTTCTTCCTCCTCCTCTTCTTGTATGGTAGCAGAAGGGTGATCTTGAGCAAGTTGTGCACAAACTTGCTCAACCCACTCTGTTTGCTTCGCTGAGCGTTGAACAGCCTCCTCCATATCACGGAGATATGAGGGATCGGAAGAGGGAAGGGCTTGGATTTGATGATCCATCCTGGAGCATATTCTCTCAGAGGCTCGAGTAAACTGCTCCAGGAGTAACTCCAGCTCCGATGGCCCTTCTGGTTGTGGGAGAAATTCTTCTTGATAATGAGGTTGTTCTTGATATGCCCAGGGGTCCGGTTGTTCTCCGTAGTAAGGGGGTTGGTACTGGAACCCGAATCCATAGTCTTCTCCTCCTTGATTGCTCCAGGGGGTCTCGGGGTAATACCACTCGGGTGGTGGTGGATACCCCCAATGATTGGAGAAGCCATGAGGATCCATGATTCAAATCTGCACTAACAAAAACAAAAACACCCAAGTGAAAAGCAAGGGTGGAAAAGAAAAGAAAGAAAAAAAAAAACTAAATTAACAAACTTCTGCCTTTCCTAATAATCTAGAAATTCCCCGGCAACGGCGCCAAAAACTTGACTCGCTATGGCACAACTCCTAACAAAGGCCAAGTGTAACCAATGAAAGGGACTGCAGTATAGTGGCTCAAGTAATAAATATCGAATCCACGGGTCTCTAGAGTTACTATTACTCAGCTTCAGTTCGTTATCTAGCAAAACAGATTAAGTTGAAAGAACTAAAACTACTCTAGCAAACTACAGTTAAAGTTAATCTAATTACAGGTTGGGAACTCACTTAGGTATGATTCCCCCTAGCCACTAGCCAGATTAACGATTGATGATCTCTAACTTGTTTCACTTTCATTCACAATGCGGAGAATCCTTGACTAGACCTTGAGTCTCGACTAAAGGAACAAGGCCCTCTTGAGTCAATTGCCTAGAGGGACGTATCCTTCTCTAGAACAACTGATCAAGGCGTTCTGAACTAGATTCCCTCTATCGAATGAGGTTCTCAATCGATACAAAGCAGTGAATCAACCCTCGACTAAAGCAGTCGATCCAATACTATCAATCTATGGTGCTCTATTGACCTAATCAGGTATTCGCTCTCATAGGATCAAAGCAGAATCAATAATCTCGACTAAAGCAGAATTGAATCGTGAAAACATGCATAGATTGAATATGAACTCAAGATTATCAAGTCAGAGTACTCATACAATCATCCAATCAAACAAACATGGCTAGGGTTCCTCAAAACCTAAGTGAAGGGAAGTTACTCCATAGAGAAGAGAGAGACTGCAGTAAGAATCTTCAGATGATCAATCTTCAAGTCCGGGCTTGATTCCCGAGCTCCAATGGCGAAGAAATCCTCCAAAATAGCTCCAAGAATGTTCCCAAGTCGCTCTCTCTCTCTAGGGTTCGTCCCTTGGGTGTTTGGGATCCAAAACCCAGCTCTCCCTCTCCTTTGGCTCGAATTTGGGTTAAAAAACCCGATTCTGGGCAAAACACGGTCGAGGGCACGGCCGTGCTTTGCCTCAGCCCGCCCGTGTTTTCAGCTCGAGTTGGCCAAACTCAAATCAGCTCTCGGCAGTAAAAACACGGTCACAGAACACGGCCGTGTTCTGAAGGCCTACTGCCCGTGTTTTCACTGCCGAGCCTGTTCAATGCTTCGTTTCTCCCTCGTCCGGACTCCGAATCAGTCGCCGTTTGATCCCAGACGCTCGTAGTCTCGTCCTCTTTCATTTCATAACAAGCTTGCATGATTCTTTGTTCATGAAGTGAGGTAGAAATCCATTCTTCTTCAGGTCATACCCGAGTTTCTTCTCCCGAATCGTCAATTGATCTCTGATTGACTTGAACTTTGCGCCTATGCTTCACTTTATGTGCTAGGACCTGAAATATGACAAAGGAACACCACCTAGCGTAAAATAGGCCAAAGATGTGATAATTAAAGCTCAAACGATCAAGAAACACAGGGGAAAACATGTGCAAATATCGAGTCATCACGTGCCCAGCGATGGCGCTATTTGGGGAAGGAGGAGACAGTGACGATGGTTAGATTAGGGTAGAGATCGGGTTTGGTTAGGATTTCATTTTTATTTTGTTAACTTTTTATTAAAAATATACAATTTAATTTTGTAGTATTAATTTTTTATTTATTTTATATTAAGTGGTGTGCAAAAAAAAAATCACATAATATGCCACATCATCGGTCAAAACTTTGACTGTTGACAACTAACGGTCAAAGTTAACGAAAAGAAAAAATAAGGACATAAGTGACGCGGTATAAACCTAGGGGTACAAATGACTCAAACCCTAAACTACGGGCCCTTTTCTGGTATTAGGCCTAAAATTTATGAAACAAACTATGGTGTTGTCAAGGCCATATACAACCCAAAATCCTAATATATCCATGATTTTTCAAAATCCAGATTTAACAAAAACCCTTCATTGGTCTACCTAAAACCTTAAATGTTGAAATCCATGAATCAAGCTGCCCGTTAACATTACATCGAAATAGTACTTGAATACAACATACCGTGAAAATCACAACACATTTATACCTCACCAATATTCAAAAGTTGAATTTAGAAATCCAAACATAAAGTTAGGCAAATGAGAAAACCAGAAAAGAGACAGTAATTCCAAAATCAAAGAGAAAAACGTCGTTGTGCAACCTACAGGTAGAGAACCTACATTGTTCTGAGTCGACCCGCAGGTGTGCAGCGAGCCCATTTTCCAGGTTCAATTCAGGTGGTCGACCCACAGGTTGACAACCTTCAACTCAGATAGAGCTATGGGTGGTTCCACTCCCGGTGAAAGGATTCTACCAGGGTACCATCCGGATCCACCAGATGAATCCCATCATCCCTAACAAGACAGCTAACGTCATGACCGCCGACGTGGTCAGCTTTCCCATCGTATGCGTCGAATGTAAGTCGCCTATCTCGCACTGCCAGCTTGCACCAATAGAGCGACCTCCCAAAAATGTTTGGCGCGAAACCCAATTCGAAACGAGAGCCAACGTCAACGATGTTGGCTCCAATGTCGTCGTCTTTGGATCGACAGTGAACTATCACCTTTCTTTCCCTCAACTCGTTTTCAATAGAAACAGTCCTGTGCTGGATCGAGGGACGTGCCTGGAGAATCATTAAGGCCGCAACAACAACTGCCACTCGCAACATCGTGACCAATTTGATGAAGCAAACCTTCGTCTTTTAATCTCTCTCTCTCTCTCTTTCTCTCTCTACACTCTCTTATGGGAAGCAATACGCTCTATGGGGAGCAAATGGGTACGTCTCTTTCCTACCACGTTGAAAACGCGCAGCGGCGGTTCGTTGGATGCATGCATGGGGTTGGAGTACGTATAAGAGTCTTATGGACCTCTGGCTCTCTGTCTCTCCAATGTTATGATTGATTCCTTCGTCCATCTTATATGGTTTTTGTTTGATATCATGTATGGTTTTGATTGGATCGTGTGAGATGATAATAATATAGTAAGTTACCATTTTGAGAGGGAAAAAAAACATGTCAATTTTCCATTTATATGAAATCACAAAAAATTACCGGCAACAAAAATTGTTAATGAAATTGTAGAAGGAAATGAAGATATTATATAGCCAAATAGCCAAATTAGATTTTGCAATTATCCTCAATTACAATTTCTTTGAAAAGATATCCATTCAAAATTGATGTGAAAAATTAATACTAGAGATTTGGTAAGATATTTAGATTGAAGTTCGAGGGGTTTTTTTTTGTTTGTGAATTTTACCCTTTTAGTTTCGGTATAGCTATCACTTAGAGATTCTATGATTTGAGGTTAAGAATTAGGTAAGATTTTGGTCAACCACAATCAACCCACCCACTTAATCTGTAGCAGGCCACATATTTTACAAGTCACAACCACCAATAGGATCCATCCAAAAAATAATGGATGGATCGGTAGCAAGTGAGTTTGTAGGTTCAACCACCCAATACTCACCTCTAATTTTTTGTATGATATCAGATTGTTCGCTTGTCCAACCTCTAAACACATGGGTTGATTTACAAGTAGATTACAATTACATACAACTTTCTCATCATGTTCAAGTGCTTAAACATTCTCATTTATAATAAGATAGTTTATATTAGCTATTTTTATCACTTATATTAGGAACATATGTACAAAATACAATTATTGTTCGAACTATTCAAGAGAAGAGAGTATAAAAACATTAGAAATTGAATTTAAAATAACTTCATCTCATAAAATACTAGTGTTTTAGTGAAAAGTGCTAAAAAATATTTTTTATGTAAAAATTACAACTCTTTGTATACCATTGAGCGTAATTCACTTCACGGATAAGTTTTAATTAGATAATATCTTTTTTTTATTAGCAATCGCTTATGGAGATGGAGAAACACAATATTTCGAATACATGCATGTCAAATTACATACATTTTTCAGCCTAGGCGCATGAACGCATCATCCATTAATTTTCAGTTAGTGTCGGGGGAAAAAACAATCCTTCTCCACTTCTGTCGGGCAACTGATTCTTCCGCAACATTACCAAAAAGCACCAGATGAGCTCCATCGTCCCTGACAACCCAACGAACCTCGTCACCTCGAATCTCGGTGTTCGTCACATCGTAGACAGTGAACGAAAGACGCTTATCTTGTACCGCCAGGTTGCACCAAACCTGCGCCTTACCCAACGCAGTAGGATCGAAGCGCCAATACAAAGAAGAGCCCTCTTCAATGACCTGTGCGCTGAGATCTTCGTCTTTGGATTGACAATGGGCTATCAACCTATCCACGCTCAACGAATTCTGGACATGAACATTTGCGTAATACGCCTGAGAAGAGGGATTTTCCATAACTAATATGGCTAAAGCTGCCAAAACTAGCTTCCTCATCGTGATGATCAATTTAATTTGATCGATGCAGGCAGCCAGGAATCCTGTCTCTCCATATTTCCTTCTTTTATAGTTCACTGAAGGTAGAAGTAGTAATTTGTTTGTTTTTTTTTTTTTTGAAAGAAAGGTAGAAGCAGTAGATAGATGGGGGTTTCCTACTGGCTATGAGTGTTATTCGCCCAGCTAACTTTTTCTTTTTGTTGACATTTGTACATTTGCCGACCTGGTTTATTCCAGTAACGTACGTACGGGGTCCAGATTTAAGTGATGATGAAACCTAATGGTTATTTTATTTTTCCTATTTTTTAATCGTTGTTTTATTTTTTTCCATTCTAATTTGTACTTCGAAATTTCTTTTTGTGTTCTACAAAATTATATTCATTTCGGTTTCAGTCCAACTTCTATTTGTACCCGGTCCGATTCGGTTAAAACCGGGAAAACCAGAAAGCCCAACTTCAGTCCGTCCCATCTCTCCAGCCACCCACCTCCCCCAACAACTTAGACCCAATCCCAACTACAGGCCACACCAACCCTGCCCAAATTCCCAAGACCCAACTACACAACCCTAAATCGTCTCCCTCACATCGAAAGCAGTCGCGCTTCTCCAATCTCTTCACTTCTCTCCGATCTCTTCCTAACTGCAAAGCAAAAAGAAAAAAAAAACCCATCACCCTCCCAACTCCCACCCTGCCGTCAACACCCAAATCTAACCCTCCTCTCTCTTGTCACTCTATTCTCTAATCTCACCCACCCTCTCTGCTTGCCTCTCATCCGACTCCTTGACGGCGGCGGCGACGAGACGACCGATTTGGAGCGGTCGCAGGTTTGCCTCTCTCTTCTCAGTCTCACATGCCGATTTAAAGCGACCGTCGCTCTACTTCTTCTCCGATCGAAACAAGCATGACCTGCCTCCCTCTGAATCTCTCCCATATCGAAGCATGCAAGACCCACCTCCCCCATTTTGCCTCCCTCGGTTTCTTTGTGGGTTAGAATTTAAGAAAGAACGGAATAGGGAAGGGATGGGATGTGATGAGAAGTGGATCAGGTCAGTAACCCTTAATCCCTTATGGTGAGTAACCATTAGTAACCTGTCCACATCAGCATCCCCTATCTCCTGGAAAACTTTTTATCTTTTCCCCTTTAATCTTTAACGGACGATTTTTTTTTCGTTTTAAGTCGAAATTTAAATTTTTTTTGCACAGATATATCAGATTAAATGTGCTCTTAAAAATGATATTCATTTTGATATATTTTTACTATAAAAAATTGAGTCATTTTTTACTAGTCATTACCATATGATATGCTCCTATTTAATACCATATATTAGGAATCCAGTATAGTAAGAGAGCGTACCATGATCGTATGAACAAACCAATATGGTAAGAAGGTTGAATACATGATAGTAGGAGTATACTAATTGTCATTTACGACTTTCATCATTGTTTACTACAAGTTACCACTCACATACCATAGTGGTAAAGTATGGTAATTTTTGGTCCAGCATTTTTTTCACCTATAAATTTCTAGATCCAATAGATCATGATGAACTCATTTCTTCTGAGCAAACGTTTTAAAAAACGACTTAAAACGAAGAAGCCACCATATGGTATGCAGTTGGTAACGGGTAGGGATGCCAATTTCGACCTGACTCGTTTTACCCGACCTGTTTGACCTGTTTTGGGGCGGGGCGGGGCGGGCATGGGTAGTATGCGATTTGTAATGCCAACTAGTATGCGAGATGCATTATTAGTACCGCTGTCTACACCCCTCATCATCCAAAGAGGCCAGTGTAGGCACCTCCACTCCTTCAAAGTCACCTAGGTATTCATTCGATTGAGGAGACAATGAATTAGGGAAGAGAGACTAGAGAGAGCCATTTGGTTGGAGCTTCAATTACGTATTCAAATTCAGACGACATCTAGCTAGTAATTTCAGAACAACATTCAACAATCCAATAATCGAGTACCATTCCTAGTAATGTCGTGGGGCAAAAAGTATCCTTCTCCACTTGTGTCGGGGAATCGGTTCAGGAGAATTAATCCAAAGCGCCAGATGAGCTCCATCATCCATCACAACCCAGATGAGCTCCATCATTCTATCTTCTACCGCCAGATTGCACCAGAACAGCGTCTCACTGACTGCCTCGAAACTCCAATGAAGAGAAGCGCCCTCCTCAATGACCTGTGCGCCAATATCGTCGTCTTTGGATCCACAATGGGCTATCAACCTTTTCCCCCCGCTCAACGCATTCTTGATATCAACCTTTGCAGCATTCGCCTGAGAAGAGGGAACTTCTTCCGTAATTAATAATATGGCTAAAGCTACCAAAACCACTAGCTTCCTCATCATCGTGATGATCAATTTGATCAGTGCAGAAATTGTATATCTCTGATCTTCCATTTCTCCTGCTTTGATATAGTGCGCTGAAGGTAGGTAGGAGCATCACAGCAGAGTAGCTAAGCTAGAAAGGGGTTTAATTACCACTGTTTATGAATGATTCGGTCATCTAATTTTTTGTTTTTGTTGGCATTCGACTTTTGCCGGCCAGGTTTGTAACTTTTTTAGGGATATTTCCAGGATGAAATCAACAGAGAGCAAAGAGTTTATAGCATTTGACAATGCATAGTAAGTAAATACTCCGTTTAATACGTACGTGTATATATGTAGATGTATATTAATATTAATCAAATTATTTCTTTTAAATTAAGAAAAAATGGAAATGCTAATGAATATATATATATATATATATATATATATATATATATATATATATATATATATGGTGGCGTATTCGGTGCACTCAGTGCACCCGCCTCATAATTGACATTCTAACCATGCGATTCATGTCAAAACAGTATCAATTGTTGCTTATGATATTATGAACAAGAAGCACATGAATTTGAAAAAAAATTCATTCAAAATTTACTTTAATTTGAAGGATTTAGGATTTAGGGATTTAGGGTTAGGGTTTAGGTTTACCATTTGGGATTTTGGATTGGGATTCAAAATTGAAGGTTAAGGGGTGAGGGTAATTGATTGATTTGTTATGATTCTATGTCATATCATCATATTAGATTGAGAGTACTAATTAAAGTTAAAAATTTGATGTAATATGGACACTTTTAGAGTGGGTGCACTGAGTGCACCCAAAAAAGTGAGTGCGCCGAAGTAGCCACCATATATATATATATATATATATATATATATATATATATATATATTAAATAATTAATACTAAGCATCGTTTAGACATACTTCTAATTTAGCGACAAAGTAAACTTTACGTACCTATTTTATAGCTAGTTAACTTATCCGTAACATATTTTACCTATACAAGGAGCAATATAAACTGAGTAGAAGAGTTTTGGCTACCACACTACTCGTATGGTTTATGACCGATCAATTGTTCGCCCACCCTTATTTTATTTCGTTGACATGTTGTGGTGTTGGCGGCCCGACAGTTTATACAATGAAGGAAGGAAAATTCTTAGCTCCAACCTTGTTACTAATAATAAACTCATATATGGATGGTTGGAGCTTCTACGTACAACCAAAGTTGGAGTTAAGAATTTTCCATTAAAGAAATACTGGGACACACCTCAAATTACTCTCCTTAATTCCACCCCTGTGTATTACGATATGGTGGGTTTATGCAACCTCTAAACCCATGTATGGAACTTTGTTTTCAGAGAATGTGTAAAAAAAATGGCATACAAAGTTCCACTTTTTCCTTTTTCTCTCTCTCTGGTATAGCACTAAATCCAATGGTTGTTTCGGCTGCTGTTTGGCAACTGCCAAGGGTTGTGCTTTGCTTCTGTAGGCGCTCTTAGCTGTCAGATTTCTGTCTCTTTTTTATTTTATTTTTTCCTTTCTTCTCATATTTAATTTTCTGAATATACACATTAATTTTCCGTACCATGTCTCCAATAATTAACCACAATCCATCATAAAATTTAACATAAAAACAACAAATCTCCAAATTTCCAAATAAACCAAATTCATCACCAGTCCTTTGTTGTCCCAATCCCAGAATTTGACACAAACCCTCAATTTCAAATCCTCAATCGAATCCAACCCTCACTTGTTGTGGGTTTTAACTAGATTCAATCAAGATGGTCCCAACTCAATACTACTATTTGGGAGGCTCTGCACAAACATGGCTCTTGCACCAGGGTCGGCTGAAAATCGTCCTAATACAGCAATTGTGGCAGTACTACTTCCAAACTTCTCAATCCCTCTTGAAATCATACATGTGTGTGCAGCCTCTACAACCACCATGACATCTCCACCCACCAAAGAAGAAACAACCTCTGCAATTTGTCTGGTCAGTCTTTCCTGTACTTGGAGCTTGAAACCGTAAAAATGCACTATCGATCGCAGAAGGGACTTGGGAACACGATTGAACCCGAAGTACCCAATATGCACGACTCCATAAAAGGGCAGCAAATGGTGCTCACACTGAGACCAAAACGACAAGTTTACCTCGGTCTGTAACTGCTCTTCCTTATTGTTAGCCTTCAGTGAATCCACCCCTCTACCATAGACAAACCCATTCAACTTCATCTCCAAACCCGTGTTTCGAAAATTCATCAGCCACTTCACGAAACGAACCGGAGTGCCAACTAGCTCTTCTCTCACAGGGTCTTCCCCTAAACACCTGAGGATCGAATCCACTGCTGCAACCATCCTTGAGTCGAGTAGTTGTCCATTTATAGAAGAAACCTTCAGACTAGCACAAGATCGCGACCAAGACCATGAAGATGTAGAGTTTTCTGTCTTCAACTTCAGAAGGCTCAAAAAGTCGTTCCAGCTTTCACCCTCAACATTGTCAAAAACACCAGAACCCGATCGGACGAAAACCCTCGACCATCCTCCTTTACGATTGGAGTCCGGAAGGAAGGACTCCAAGCTCGGGTGCCAGCATTCGAGCACGACAGCGACACCTGCTGGCTCGATCCAACGATGAAGAGCTGAACAGACTTCATCTGCTAGGCGCTGTGGGTCTTGAAGTCGCTTTGCAAAGACATCAGCCACCCTTGAAAGCTTGCTTAACCCTACAACTCTGTGGCCTGATGGAATATAACCGACGTGGCACTTGAACTGGAAAGGAAGCAGGCAGGACTCACAGTAGGAGAAGAGATCGAGATCTCGGACAACAACGAGGCCCCCAGCTCCGCCTGCATTTCCCACTGTAGCATCCAGACCGGCTTCGGGGAACAAAGCTCCCTCAACTATGTCCTTCACCTTTTGTTTATAACCTGTAAATTAATTTTTAGGAAACTAAGAAAGAAGGAATAGATAAATGTAAAATATTTAGTGAATTACAGAAAAATCACTCTAGCTAATATGAAGGGAGTCTTTTTCTCTTGTACCTTTTTATAGATTTAATGATATCGCTACCATTTAAAGCAGAATGTGACAACACCTTTCAATATATTTTATGACGAGGAATTTTATAATGCTATATAGCATTGGTGCTATAGGTTTTTATCCTTATGGTACAACTTGAAATTGTCCTTTAATGTTATAGTACAACTTCAGATTGTACCTATACTTTTTGTACAAATTATTTTATGGTACAACTTAAACTTGTACCTTATGTGATGGTACAACTTCAAGTTGTAAAGTTGTACCATAACATAATGATACAAATTCATTTATGGTACAACCTAAACTTATACATTTAATGTTATGGTACAATTTCAAGTTGTACATTAAAGTACCAATACTATATAGCATAGTAGAAGTGTACAGGTCTCATATTTTCATATCAAGAAAGCTCCAGCCTCCCATCCCAACCATCAAATTCTGGATCTACCCGGTCAGACCCATTTAAACAATTAACTGCATATTCACTTCCCATCTGCCATCTGGGCCAATGGGAGACATGTATAGGAAAAAAGGTGGCACCTTTAGTGGCTTCTCGCAGGGCCTTGGCAACACGAAATGGAGTCTTTTTGATTCCTTCTCTATTGATATCCTCTCCCAAACCTTGTAAAAGAACTTTGACAGCATCCTCAATCGCCAAAGTCTCAGGTTGTCCCTCAATCCCCTCACCCAAATCGTCCATTTACAGAACCCCACCAGAAAGCACAAACAATTCAGAGCAAAACCTGGCCAGAGCAAGAGGATGGAAGGTGTTAATAACGGATCGCAATAATCGACCATGCAGGAATGTAAATAACACGGAGACTTACGTAGTTCACTGACACAATGCGTATTAGTTAGTTAGTCCACAAGTATGAGAGAAACAATTTCACTATATTTGTGGAGATTACAGAATACAGAGGGCCGGGCCTCATGACTTCCAATTCGCGGAAGATAATTCAAATTCAAGTTATTAAAAAAAAATGACAATCTAAGGATGGCGAAAAGGAGGAACTAGGAATAGAGAGAATGAAAGGGGTAAGAAGGGAAGTGGGTTTGGAGACTTTGTGGGAGAGCTCATTGTGGCTTTTCAGCTATTGTTCTCTTCTGCTGCTGTTGCTAACACTAGAGTCCATAATATATAAGTTTTACTCCACAATTTAAATTATTATTATTATTATCTCACAATTCACATTATTGGATTCACTTGATTATGATAAAAATGGAAGAGGGAAGAAGTTGCTAAGAATGGTAATCTGTCCTTCTAAAAAGCTCTAGAATTATCTGGGAAAATGGATAGGCTTTAATGGTCCTCGTCTCCATCTCTCATAACGTAGAATAAATGCTGTGGTAAGAACCAAGAAAACCAACAAAGACGACCGCAGCAGCTGAAAGAGAAGTCCTCGTCACTTGAGAAAATTTTCTGAATGGAAGTATGGGCTGGGGAATAATATATGGAGAATTATGAAGCAGACAAAGGGTGCCGATAAGATGATAAACCCTTGGCCCATTATTGGCGCAGGGAATTCGAAATCTTATTTGACGTATCTTTGGCTCTTTTGTAATCCGCCATTTTCTTCGAGGCCATACCACGTATTTGTGTTCGTTTATGGCAAGTTGGCAACCGAGACTGAGACTAGATAGAGAGCTACAACAGTTCATTTTTGAAAAAAAATGGAACTATCTATGGAGGAATCTTTTGGAAAGAATTACCAAAATTAATCTCATATCCACAGAATTACCAGCTGAGCTTTCACCACATTCGCTGAGTTTAGATCGTCGCACGTTCTTGCTTACCAGTTTTTCATTACCAGGATTTTCCTCCCCTGTCTCTGAAGTGTCGATTTGACATTCTTAGTACTAGCTAGATTTTTTTTTTCCACGATAATAATTAGTATGATACTAGTTAGCTCTTGATTACCGAATGATCAAACAAACGGATTGATGGCGTGAGTTTGATAACTCTTCTTAGAATGCTTTTTTTTGTCGCAGTTACGATCTTCGGTAAGATTAGACGAATCACTAATAGAAGTCGCTTCACCAGAAATCTGAAGCGGCAACTTGCTGAGTTATGTATTTGTGATACAGAAAAGAAAGGTAGATGAAGAACAAATTAGAACATAAATTATTTATTAATCCTCTCTAACTTGTGGCCTATATTCAATTAATATATAAATCCTTATATAAAAAAGAACAAATTAAAACTTAATTCTAGTAGCAATAGACTTATGTTGTGAAAAATAGGTTTCCTTTTTAAGAGTTACTTTGTTTCACGAAATTTAAAATTAATTGATCGTTCGAAATTAATTTTGATAATCGAAATTAATTAATTAAATATGAAAAATCTATATCAAAAAATTAAAATTAATTAATTATAAATATATGCACCTGTCAGCGAAGTCATGAGAAAATCAATAAGTCAAGACAATGGACATAAGCAACTTACATATATTTCCTTCATTTTCAGGCAATACGAACACTTCTAATTGTTCCATGTACTTAATCAACATTTAAAAATGTCATCTTAACGTACTTTTGATGCACGAACATATTACAAACACCATTATGGAAGTGATTCTCAGTATGTTCACGTGCTCATGGTGTAAAAACGTGGTATGAGATTCGTACTAGAGCTTTTCTCTTCCATTCGAGTTATGAGTTTAGTTCTTTTTATATGTGATAAGCCGTTTGGTTTCATCAACTTGAATTTGTTTTTTTTTTAAAGAAGCATAATTATGAAGACAATAACAAAGCCAGGCGCATGAATAATGCATCATCCATTCCTAGCTAGTGTCGGGGGGAAAAGAAATTAAATCCTTCTCCACTTCTGTCGGGCAATAGCTTCTTCCTCATGATCCGAACGCAGCACCAGATGAGCTCCATCGTCCCTCACAACCCAACGAACAGTATAACCTCGAATCTCGTCATCGTCTTCGTCGTAGGCAGTGAAAGAAAGACGTCTATCTTCTACGGCCAGGTTGCACCAATACAGCGTCGTGCCCAACAAAAGAGTCTTGAAACTCCAATGAAAAGAAGTGTCCTCTTCAACGAGCTGGGCGCCAAGATCGTCGTCTTTGGATCGACAATGGGCTATCAACTTCTTGCCGCTCAACGCATTCTTCAGATCGACCTTTGTACGGTCCTGCTGGGAAGAAGGATTTGCCATGATTAATATGGCTAAAAGTGCCAAAACCACTCCTCCTACTGGATATTTTGTGGCGACTACTACCAGCTTTTTCATCGTATCTCTCTGATCTCCATTTCTCCTGCTTTGATATATAGTGCACTCAAAGCTACGTAGGAGCATCAGAGAGGAGCTAGCTAGAAGGGCTTTCCTACTGTTTATTTATGAATGAATGAATGATTCGCCCATCTAATTTTTTGTGTTTGTTGGCGTTGTACTTTTGCCGGCCAGGCTTATAACTTTTAAGAGATACCAAAGAATATTAAGAATGAGAGCAATTAGGTGATAAGGAAACAATTCATTTATTGGGTTTACATCAACCACGGTGAAGCTGATGATAAAAACACTTTGGTGTCTTAATTATTGGTGTCTTAATTATTACGAAAGAATTATGTAATATGTTTGTCTGATTGATATATAAGAAACTATCTCGTCATCCTTCATAAGTTTTACATAGTGTATTTCAATAACGGTTATAGAATGGTGTTAGATAATCTTCCGTAACATGTGGTCTAATAACTATTCTTTTTCTCTTCTCGTATATATTTTATATCTAAACCATAACTATTTTATCAATAGCATTATTTATAGTAATTATTCTTTTCTTTTATGCTTTCTTGGTGTGTTTTTTGTATTTTTCAAAGTAAAATAAAGCCTAGGAGAACTTGGGTATAAAATTGGATGATTCTCGAGGACAAAAGGAGCTACAGAGAGCAGAATATGAAGTTTTCATGTAAAAGAAGAGATCCAATGACGAAGAAACCTACTAGAAACCACGAGTAGAGCCTAAAGGAGCCCATGAAAGAAGACTCGACCCAAAGAAGTGCAAGAACCAGCAAATCCATTCAAAACTTTTGTATGCACCTGTTCGATTGAGAACTTAGCATTCGTAGGTGATGGTGTAGCTAAAGAGAGGTGGTCCCTTCTACTCTTCTATGTGTAGCTTCGAAATTAATTGTGTAGGAATGTGAACTCGTTTATCTTTTTATGTATTATTGCCATGATTTCATACGATGCTTGTGTTTATGCTTATAAATTACATTGTCTATCATGTGTCTATATGGATGCTTTTAGTTTAGATGCTTATGTGATGATTATTGATGTTTATCTAGTATGAATGCTTTCTTATTATTGATGCTTATGTTTTATAATTTACTTCTATATGTATTGTGTATTAATGCTTTCTTATGAGGATTTTTCCCCATAGTACACATGTTCTCATGAAAAATCCACAAAGTACCGACATATTATGAAATATTCCCAATCTACACACGTTTGGACAAAACCGCGACCGTCAAATGTGGTGAACAGTGTTATCGCGGCTGTCAGAAGTGATCAATGTATCATCGAGGTCGTCGCAAGCGATGAATGCTTCCTGGTCATTACACCTTCATCGCTGGAGTCAGAAGTAGTGAATGTTTGCTGGTCATTCACCGATGTAGTCCTAACCTATGATAAAAGTCATGAACAAAATGTCCCGCCAAATGGCCTTTGTATCATCCATTATCAGGTCCAAACATACAAAAACAGGGGAAAAGAGCCAACGACTGTGCAAGTTTTATATGATTGTCAGCCACAAATGATACCCAGCAGCCGAAAAGATTCACATTTGCAGACTGAGGAAGGGAAAGAACCTGTAGACGAAATTGGACGATAAGAAAAGAGCCGGCCGTCCAACAGCAATGGAGGACTCATTTGGCCGGACAATACCTTTTTTTCGGTCGGAACTCGGAACTAGTCAACTTAGTAACCCAATAAAAAGTAATTCGGACTCCAGAAAGAGATACGTGTTGACAAATCAAGCCAGCCAATAATCTTAAATCAAGAAAAAGAGATCGTAACTCTGGTGGAGCAGCATTTGGAAAGAAATATGAACAAGGGGAAAGCAGATTTGGAAAATCGGAAGGATTGATTGAGACAAGGAGTTCCAGGAAAGAATTCAAAAGAGAAGACCTACTATACTTGGAAGACAACGGCTAACCTGCAAGGAGTACAAATACTCAGCTCCAGATCAAGAAGAAATCACTTTTCCAAGAGATCAAGTTACACAGGAAACGTTAGAGTTATAGCGAGTGTAATTGATAGTGAAAAGGGGGTTCTAGCATTGATTCAGGAGTGAAACAGTGTTAGGGAAAAGAGGTGTTGGAAAACACAGGAGCTGGATAGCTTGGGATTGGGTTCGTAGATAGGAATCTTGATCATCCATCCAGGATTGGTTTGGGTGATCTCATAGAACGCATAACTGTCAACATATCAAGAGCGACATATCTAGTGGATCGTTGGAAGTCACAAATCGTGATTCTCCAACCGTGGAGTAGTCAGTATTGGGATTCATTTTCTCCCAATACTGGAAACCACGTAAAAACTGAGCCTGTGTCTTTTACTTCAGTATAATATCTCTGTTTGGATAGCTTCTTTGTTTTGCAGGTACAGGGGAGCTCGAGTCTGCTCAAGAAACCCAGACGCTTGCGAAGGAAGAAGAAGGTCCCGAGTAGAGTAACTTGAAACGAATCGTTTCACTAATAAGAAGAGTTTGGCAGGCTGACAATTGAGTGGGCCTGCGCTTTCGAGCCCAACGAAAAGAGAGTGATCTCTCAGCCTACTAACACCTACACGAATTTGGTTCAACTCTGTCGTCGATTCAGCAACCCTATTTCTCATTCTCATTCGATCTTCCAAAAGGGAATTTAGGGTTCGCAGGAACAAAACCACCCAACTCGAGAAGAAGGCGTCTCGCGCTCGACGCTGCTAACAGGTGGTATCAGAGCCCCGTTACCAGATGAAAAAGGTTTCACAGCCTCTGGAAGATCCAAGGATGGCATCTGGGTCCTCAAGCAGCGCGCCACTGTATCTCGCAGATGGGTTCTCGCAGAACCGACCTCCAAGGTTCGAAGGGGTAAATTACGGATATTGGAAAAACAGGATGGAGCTATTCGTCGGATCTACAGACCCTAAGTTATGGGCCAGAGTGATCAAGGGTCCTCATGAACTCAAGGATGATCAAGAGAAATGGTCAGAAGAAGATTTCGAGAAGTTTCAGCAAAATTGCAAGGCGACGAATCTGATGTACTGTGCATTGGGACCAGAGGAGTATCACAAAGTGGCTGGATGCAAGACTGCCAAGGAAATCTGGGACAAGTTGCAGGTCACCTATGAAGGTACTTCCCAGGTCAAAATTTCTCGTATAAATGCTTTGAAACATCAGTTTGAGCTGTTCAAAATGGAGGATGGTGAGACGATCAGGCAAATGTATGAAAGGTTCACCAACATTGTGAATAGTTTGGAGAATTTAGGAAAAACTTACGAAAGTGGTGATTTGGTGAGAAAAATCTTGTGGTGTCTGCCTGAGAAGTGGACTCCTAAAGTCACAGCAATAGAAGAAGCGAAGAATCTGGAGATATTAGCTGTAGACGAATTGATTGGGTCACTAGCTACGCACGAAGAAAAATTGGCAAAGGCAGGACACGAGAAGGAAATCACAGATAAAGGAAAAATAGGAGTGGCATTTAAGGCAACTAGCTTTATTGACGATCCTGAAGAGCTTGAGGAGATGGAGGATGAAGAACTGGCACTATTGAGCAAACAGATAAGCAGGCTGCTTAGGATTAGGAGAGAAAAGAAACAAGGTGGGTATGGAAACAAGCCCAGAGACTCTGACAAAAATGGTGGAGGAATAAAAGGTGCTCAAGGAAGAAACTTCACAAGAATTCGAGGAGAATCAAGTTCAGTAACCAAGGGGGTAAACTCGACAGGTTGTTTCAAGTGTGGCAGAATGGGGCACATCAAAGCTGAGTGTCCTCAGCTGAAGAAAGAGAGAGCCTTAGCAGCTACATGGAGTTGTAGTGAAGATGAGGATGAAGAAGATGACGAAGTAACGGTTCACAAATCTTATATGGCGATTGCTGATCAAGTGGAAGAAGAAGATGAAGAACCAGCTTCTCCTGTATCCTTGACCCAGAGTTGCCTTCAAGTGAGCATGGAGGTGACTAAATGGATTATGGATAGTGGATGCTCACATCATATGACAGGTAATAAACATCTTTTCTCATCTCTTAAACCAGGAAACTATGGTAAAGTTTATTTTGGGGATAACAATTCTGCTGAAATAATTGGTAAAGGTCAAGTAGGAAGTAGTCCTTGCATAAGGAATGTAATGCTAGTGGAAGGCTTGAAACATAATCTAATATCCATTAGTCAGATGTGTGGGAAGGATAATCGGGTCATTTTTGAGTCAAATTGTTGCTATGTGGAAAACATGAAAAACAGACAAATCTTATTTACAGGAAAAAGAAGTGGAAAAATTTATACCATTGATCTAAACGACAAGAGTAGTTTCAATGAGATGTGTTTGGTTAGTATGGAAACCAGTGAACAACAAGACTGGCATAGGAGATTAGGTCATGTTAATGTTGCTGTTTTAGCTAAGCTGGCCAGAATGAATTTAGTTAGGGGATTACCAAGAATCAACGAGAAGAAGGACTTCTTCTGTGATGCTTGCGCTCAGGGAAAACAAACCAAGTCCAGTTTCAAGAGTAAAACAGTCATGTCCACATCTAGAGTCTTAGAACTACTTCATCTGGACTTGTTTGGGCCGGCAAATATTGTTAGCTATGGTGGAAAACTATATGCATTTGTCATTGTAGATGACTACTCTAGGTTTACATGGGTGCTGTTTCTGGCTAAAAAGGATGAGGCTTTTGAGCAATTTAAAACATTTATTAAAAAGGTTGAAAATGAAAAATTGAGTCAGATTGCAAGCATTAGAAGTGATCATGGTGGGGAATTCTGTTCTGATATGTTTGAGAAACTGTGTAATGACTCAGGAATCTCTCATAATTTCTCTGCTCCAAGAACTCCCCAGCAGAATGGTGTGGTGGAACGAAAAAACAGAACTCTAATTAATATTGCTCGTACCATGCTTCATGATTACAATCTACCTAAGTACTTTTGGGCGGAGGCAGTTAATACAGCTTGTTATGTAACCAATCGAGCTCTAATTAGATCAAAATTGAATAAAACTCCCTATGAAATTTGGAAAGGAAGAAAGCCTAACTTAGGATACTTCCATCCTTTTGGATGTAAATGCTTTGCCTTAAACACTAAAGATAATCTAGGAAAATTCGATGCTAGATCCGACGAGTCAGTATTTTTAGGGTATTCTAACTCTAGTAAGGCTTACAGAATCTTTAACAAGCGGACCCTCAAGGTTGAGGAGTCCGCCAACGTGATATTTGATGAAGGTGTTATTGAGTGTACAGATGTTTTTGATGACAATGAGGACTTTGGACTTGGGAACAGCATTACTCGAAGTAAAACACGAGTAGCAGAAGAGACTCAGGACAGTGCTACCAAGCAACCATCTTCGGATGAGAAGGAAGTGACAGCCTCGGATCAGTCTGTTGAAACAGAGGCCAACATGAAAGATGGATCAGAGGGAACTGTAATACAACCTCCTCCTCATATAGTGAAACGACATCCTCCCAGCCAGATCATTGGGGGAATAGACCAAGGTATGACAACTCGATCAAGAACTCTGCCCTCTTTAGTAGCTTTTGTATCATTAATCGAACCTAAGAATATAGAAGAAGCTCTCCAGGATGAATTCTGGACAGCTTCAATGTTTGAAGAAATGAACCAGTTTGAACGTGCTAATGTATGGGAGTTAGTGCCTAAACCAGAAAATCGAGTCATAATTGGAACAAAATGGATTTATAAGAACAAGTCTGATGAAATAGGTACTGTGGTTAGAAACAAATCTCGTTTAGTGGCTCAAGGATATTGTCAGGAAGAGGGTATAGACTTTGAGGAGACGTTTGCTCCAGTAGCCAGATTAGAAGCAATTCGCATGCTTTGTGCATTTGCTAGTTCAAAAGGATTTAAACTGTTTCAGATGGATGTAAAAAGTGCTTTCCTTAATGGAGATCTAAAGGAAGAGGTTTATGTGTCTCAACCCCCAGGTTTTGAAAATCACAGTTATCCTAATCATGTATATAAGTTAAAAAAGGCTTTGTATGGGTTAAAACAGGCTCCTAGAGCCTGGTATGATAAATTAAGTTCCTTCTTGTTGGAAAATGGCTTTAGAAGAGGCAAAGTGGACAAAACTCTATTTATTAAACATGATGAGGAACACATTCTGTTAGTTCAAGTGTACGTAGATGATATTATTTTCGGGTCATCAAGTGAAAAACTGTGCAAAGAATTTGAAGTAAAAATGAAGAGTGCCTTCGAGATGAGTTTAATGGGGGAATTGAATTTCTTTCTAGGACTTCAAACAAAACAAACGCCTGCTGGAATTTTCATTTGTCAAACCAAATATCTTCAAAACATGTTGAAACGGTTTGATTTTGGTAATTTAAAGACTGCTGTAACCCCCATGGCAGCAAACACTAAGCTTGATAAGGATGATTCTGGAATTCCAGTTAATGATAGGTTATTCAGAGGTATGATAGGGTCCCTGCTGTACCTAACTGCTAGTCGTCCTGACATTATGTACAGTGTTTGTGTTTGTGCTAGATTTCAAAGTTCACCCAAACAGAGCCATTTGAGTGCGGTTAAACGAATTTTTAGATACTTGAGTGGTACTCCTGATCTTGGGTTGTGGTACTCACATGAATCGAGTTTAGAGCTCCTAGGCTACTCGGATGCAGATTATGCGGGGTGTGTGGTAGACAGAAAGAGTACTTCAGGAACCTGTCAGTTCCTAGGTACCTCTTTAGTGTCATGGTTCAGTAAGAAGCAAAATTCTGTCGCCTTGTCAACAGCAGAAGCTGAGTACGTTGCAGCAGGCTGCTGCTGTACTCAGATTCTCTGGATGAAGCATCAGCTTCAGGACTATGGTCTGCTCCCTAGTACTGTACCTGTGCTGTGTGACAACACAAGCTCAATCAATATGACCAAAAACCCAGTGCAACACTCTCGAACAAAACATATTGATATTCGTTATCATTTTATTCGAGATCTGGTAGAAGAAGGGCAAATAGGACTAGAATTTGTCCCAACTTCATGTCAATGGGCCGATATATTCACCAAGCCCTTGAGCTCAGAATCCTTCATTCGCATCCGACGTGAATTAGGGTTATTCACATTACACGATATAGCTCACCTGCCGACCTAGCACTAGAAGGTATCTAGCTGATCTGAGTTACCTTCTTTGTCTCGATTCCTTTAGAGAACTTAGGATCAAGGTTCCCCTAAATCAGTGAACTAATATACCTTCCTCAATAACTCTTCCCACGATTCTTGGAATTCTTCCGGATCAAGTTTCTCTGATTCCTTATTCAGTCTGACCTTCCCTTAATGAACTCACTCTTGCAACTTAAAAAGCAGATCAGAATCGTAACCTAGCCCACATCTACTGTCTGCAATCTAAAAGCCCTCATGGCTGCCCCAAACCAACACATAGCCTCTCTTCGCCTAGCTCAAGCCGCCATTTTCAATGGCAAGGGCTTTGAAGATGCAGCGGGGTATGCTCGCTATCTTCATCACTTTCAAGATCGTACCCTGCTTCCATCTATCACTCTTGATCCCTCCAGATTCAATAGGTATGGGATGGATGTTCCACGCCTAATCAGCACTATTGGATGGGGGGATATCCTTCCAAATCGCAATTTTGGGTTTCGACCTGAGGCAGTTCGAATGTTTTATGCCAATATGAAGCCGTGTCTTCATATCTCTCCCCCGTGCTTTACAACGATAGTATACAACTATCTGATCACCATCAATGTGGAATTACTATCTCTGCTGCTTGGAATTCCCATTGCGGGAGCTGAAGTCATGAATGAATCAGACTTTCATTCAGTCGATTTCAATGAAGGAGATGCTATGCGATTGTATACTCGCGACACTGGACGCTACTATCCTTCTGAGTTTCATGCTGGGCGACTCCCAGATGATCTTAAAGTGATGCACTTCTACATAACTCGATGTTTTCTGCCTCGGTCGTTTGGGCTCAACACTATCTATCCTTCTGATCTCTGGATCATGGCTAGTGCCAAAGAAAACCGGGTTATCAGCTATCCCCATCTCATGTTCGACCACATGTTGAACTTCCATGCTGATAACTATGCTGCTGATCTACCCTTTGCACCACAGATTACTCAAATCTTGCTGGCCTTAGGCATAGATCTTCGCTTTAAGGTGGCTCGTGTTGATATTCTCGGTTCTCTTCGTGCTCAATTCGTTCTTCGTAAGGTGGATGCCTCTGTTGGTCGTCGTGGCCCCCGAGTCAATGCTCCAGGGGGAGAAGCAGCAACTGCTGGAGTTCTCTCGCGTCAGGACGGACTCAGTTTGTCTGAGCTAGGAGGGGATGAAGCAGCAGAGGAACCTGATACAGACATGGCAGACAGAGTCGTGAGAGACAATGGGAAGCGACCAATGATGGACCCACTGGAGGCTGTTCGAGCTATGTTCAGACAGGAGGAAGCTAGTAGTAGCAATAGGGGACTGATGATTGAGGATGATGATACCATATCAGACTATGTGCCGTCACCTAGGTTCTCGTTTTAGAAGGAATATTGAACTGAGGGGGAGTCAGAAAGCAGGCCGGGTAGTGTGTCTTTCGTAGATGTCATAGAGTCAAGGTTGAATAAACGCCCTGCCAGGGCTCATGTCATTTTTATTTTTCAAAGTACGAGTCTAGAGTGTTTTGAGTCTTTGTTTCAACAATTCTGTTTCAACTATCAATAAACTTGTCTCGGCTTGGATTGTCAATTAAGGTGATATACTTAAGCAAAGTCTGTGTTTAGAACAGTCTGCATGTAACCGTGTGTTGGAGTGTGTGCAGGAACTCCATCAGCAGCTCAGAGGATCATTGACTGTCTTAGGGGGAGATTGTTGACAAATCAAGCCAGCCAATAATCTTAAATCAAGAAAAAGAGATCGTAACTCTGGTGGAGCAGCATTTGGAAAGAAATATGAACAAGGGGAAAGCAGATTTGGAAAATCGGAAGGATTGATTGAGACAAGGAGTTCCAGGAAAGAATTCAAAAGAGAAGACCTACTATACTTGGAAGACAACGGCTAACCTGCAAGGAGTACAAATACTCAGCTCCAGATCAAGAAGAAATCACTTTTCCAAGAGATCAAGTTACACAGGAAACGTTAGAGTTATAGCGAGTGTAATTGATAGTGAAAAGGGGGTTCTAGCATTGATTCAGGAGTGAAACAGTGTTAGGGAAAAGAGGTGTTGGAAAACACAGGAGCTGGATAGCTTGGGATTGGGTTCGTAGATAGGAATCTTGATCATCCATCCAGGATTGGTTTGGGTGATCTCATAGAACGCATAACTGTCAACATATCAAGAGCGACATATCTAGTGGATCGTTGGAAGTCACAAATCGTGATTCTCCAACCGTGGAGTAGTCAGTATTGGGATTCATTTTCTCCCAATACTGGAAACCACGTAAAAACTGAGCCTGTGTCTTTTACTTCAGTATAATATCTCTGTTTGGATAGCTTCTTTGTTTTGCAGGTACAGGGGAGCTCGAGTCTGCTCAAGAAACCCAGACGCTTGCGAAGGAAGAAGAAGGTCCCGAGTAGAGTAACTTGAAACGAATCGTTTCACTAATAAGAAGAGTTTGGCAGGCTGACAATTGAGTGGGCCTGCGCTTTCGAGCCCAACGAAAAGAGAGTGATCTCTCAGCCTACTAACACCTACACGAATTTGGTTCAACTCTGTCGTCGATTCAGCAACCCTATTTCTCATTCTCATTCGATCTTCCAAAAGGGAATTTAGGGTTCGCAGGAACAAAACCACCCAACTCGAGAAGAAGGTGTCTCGCGCTCGACGCTGCTAACAATACGTACGTACATGCATGCCAATTGGCTAGACGCACACACCCGCTCCCATGGCACATTTTTACCGACATATGATAAAATTGGACGATAAAAAAAGATTAGCATGATCTTTGCGCAAGAACGAAACATAAAATTAAAACCTCCCCATGGGCTATAAATAAGCCTATGTCCAAGAGTTCCAAACCATTCATCCCTCCCTCCAACAATCGTCATTGCAAATCTCCAACTTCTTCTTCGTAAGTTAACATTATGGCCGCAACTAAATCACCCGTCTTTCTTCCTCTGGTGCCGACCATTGCCACTTTACTAGTATTGGCAGCAGCAGCGTCGTCCTTCTCCGCCGCAGAATCCCAAACCTCCTTCGCCACAAAGAAGCAGCCTTTGACGATGAAGAAAGCAAAGCTGACGCACCTCCACTTCTACTGGTCCAACATCCGTAGTGGGCCCGAGGCCACGGCCCAGATCGTCGCCCCGATCCTCAACAACGCGACTTTCTACGGGATGGTGGCCCTGAACGACGATACGCTGACATTGGGCCCGAACCCTGACAACTCGACGTCGGTGGGGAAGGCTCGTGGGCTCTACCATTTCCCGTCCAATACGACGGCTTTGGTTTACGAGATGGTGTACAACTTCGCCTTCACTTACGGAGACTACAACGGCAGCTCCATCTCTCTTTTGGGTTCCGTCTTCCCGACGTCAGGAACGGCCAACGAGCTCTCCGTAGCCGGCGGCACGGGCGTTTTCCGCTTTGCTCGTGGATACGCCGTCTTGAACTTTTTCTCGTTTGATCCCGTACGTACTTTGGTCGTCAACGAGCTCGACGTCTACGTTTCGCATTACTAGCTTCGGCATCCAAAATTGGCTTATGAGACATCCTATACAAATTCATTATTGTTGTTGTTGTTGTTTTCCTTCTGCTTCTTCTATCTTTTCATAATTCCATGAAGGTATGTGTATGTGTGCTTATTTATTTAATTTTCAACAGTAATCAATAAAATGTTGTATTGTTTTTCTATTTACCTATATGTCCTCCTGTTTATCTATAGAAATATAAATTAATATCATAACGATTGTGTTCAAATAGTGGTTGTTATTAATAAGGCCGATGTTATTATGTTGATTAAATTGGTTTAAATTGAGCCTACGTTAACTTACTGTCATGCGAGATCCCTTAGTACCTTAGTCTACAGCCCGTCATCATAAACCAGTATTAATGAAAATCATTTGTACCAAAGAATTCAACTCAAATAGCCAAACACCATCAAAATTTCAAATCAAAAACCATATTCACCGAATTTGACGTAATAAGTCACGGCCATTACTCACCTGACGAAATCAAGATCGAATTCCAACTCATATAGTAGGCTCAAATTAATTTAGTCGAATGAATATAAACTAAACCTGACACGAGTTACAAATCAATCAAAAGAAACTCAAAATACTAACTTTAGCCAACTAACATTAATTCCCAAATCCTAAAATCAACCCGTAAACTAAACCTGACCCGTGGGTTGACAACCTTGATCTAATGCATTTCCTGAACACCCAAACGTACGTCATTCTCCCTAATCCCAACAAACGGAACCACTAACCAAATATTTAGGCACTCTAAGTTGTAAATAGAGACGATCAAGAAATGAAAATAAAGGCTAGAGACAAACGCAGAAGTTAAGAGACAGTGGAACTATATCCCGGCCGTCCATCCACCGCCGCACTCCACCATCTATCCGCCGGTGACTGAGATCCGCCGGAGACTAAAAGACAATCCCTGATCTCTCTACAATTCGTCCTAGGAAAAACAAGATATGGACATGGTGGCGGCCGGCTGGGCGGCTCCCATATAAAAGGAAGGGGAAAAACAAGAATATCATAGGGAGAGGTTGGCAGTAGGAAACCTTCCTCCTGATGCTGGCTATTTGGTCCTAGACTGTTTGGTTTTACCGAAACCGGACCGTATAACTCGGATCGGGATCGGACTGGGACCGGATAGCAAATAATGCAATCTCATATTCGGGTTTAGATTTGAGGTAAAAAATCGGATAAAGACTGGATAAGACCCCCAACACCTAAAATCAAGATAAAATTGGGACCGGACTGGGTCAAGACCGGACCGGATCAAGACCGGACAGTATCCAATCCAATCTTTGGTCCTTATATTTCCGAAAAGACTAGACTGCGACCGAATCAATTTGGTCCAATTTAACCGGACCGGACCGTACAATCACCCTTACTTCCTCTCATTCCTTTGCTTGGACGAAGACAAAGGTGAAAAGGGCTAGTAACAAAAATGGGCCAATCCAATAATTGGGCTATTGGCTTGATGGATTAAATATGAGGTTTGGGTTGGGCTCAAAATGAGGCAAATTTCTCACAAATTTTGGAAAGGTCTTAATTTTCAATTTGACTTTAAGTTGACCACTCTTCTAAAAATTGTCGGTCATTACACTTAGCTAGTATCTTCAACGGAAAAAAAAAAAAAAAAAAAAAGTTGTTACCCATTATTCCTACTCCACTCACGCCGGTAGGATTGTTCTTCAGAACCATCCCGATTCAACAGATGAGCTCCATCATCCCTCACAGCCCAGGAAACATCGTGACGGGAAATGTGGACGTCATTTCCATCATATGCGGTGAAGGAAAGACGTCTGTCTTCCACAGCCATGTTGCACCAATACAATGTGTCCCGAACTGACCCGAACCTCCAACGCAAACTCGAGCCAACGAGGACGACGTGAGCTTCGAGATCATCGTCCTTGGATCCACAGTGTGCTATCAGAATCTTTTGGCTCAGCTCGTTTTTAACATCGACCATCCTCCGGCTCGACGTGGCCAGACGTGCCTGCAGGATTATTATCATCGTCAAGGCCGCCAAAAACAGCTGCTGCGTCCCCATCGTGTTCAATTTTGTTTTGCAAGACAGAAATCTTCTATCTCCTTTTTGCTGCTTTTATGGTGCGCTGATGAGTAGAAACTAATGTTGCCTGCCGTCCGGCCGGTTTATACCTTTAAGGGAATCCTGGGAGATCGATCAATAAGCTGTATAAACTAAAAAAAAAAAAAAAAAACTCAACTTTATTTAGATGAGAAAAATGTATTGAGCCACGGGGAATTTGGTGGGGATGATAGAAGCTGTAGATAGATGTGGGTTCCTACTTGTTATGAGTTATTCGTCCATCTAACTTTTTCTTTTTGTTGACATTGTACTTTTGCCGACTCGGTTTATAACAGGCCGGGTAGTGATGGATTCGGAATTTTTTTTGTAGTTGTGTTCTCATAACAAAATTAAATTAAATTGTAAATTAAAAAAAAATTAATTAAATAATTCATAAATAAAAAAATATACGATGACTATAAATTTTATCGAAAGGTCATTAGGTGTTTTCAAATTTTATCAAAAGGTCATTACAAATTTTATAAAAAAATATCCAATGTCTACACGGCTCAAAGTCTAAGAAAGTATGTATTCCCCTCAATGGTTCGTAAATTTTTTAGTATTATCGTTTAACCTGTAATAAAAACCAACTCATCAATTTTCTATCTTTTTAAATTCATAATTAAAACACGACAGTCCGTAATAGTGATTAGTCACATACATAATGCAGGGTCCGGAGACCTGTGCTAGAGGGCTTGCTGGCACACCCTCAAGGCAGCGGCAGATCTAGGGGGTTGACCCCGAACCACGGCCCAGCCCTACCTGAATACATTGTAAATTTTCGATTTTGGGTATATATGTCAATGTTTATAGGGTTATGGCCCAGCCCTCCCCACAGCTTTTTAAATGAGGATCAGTATTCTAACCTGTTCTGGATTCGCTGCCGCCTCAAGGCCGGACCTGACATTTACGAAATGGGCGATTGAGTGGTGATTGCATTCACCTATTGTGCAATGATGATTTCTTCGCCCCCTCTGATTTTTGTGTTTGTTGAGATGTGATGTTGCCGGCGGCCCCGTTTATACCTTTCCCTTTAAGGGAAACGATAAGCTGCCACACTTAGATATCTCAGTTTCTATACATAAGAAATCATCACAAAAATAGTGATCGATCCACTCCCGAAAATTTATAAAATATTTATTTCTCGAATGATCTGATCGACCAATGATATCGACAAGCAGCCCTGTGGACTGACATTTGCAGATGAGAAAGAACTTGTAGATGATCTGCGATGTGAGTGCAGTACTATCAAATAAAAAGAGCCGTCCAGCATCAATGAATACTCTCTAGAACATCATTTTTGTCGGTATATTTTATAGCTAGAAAGGAAACGACCATCAAGAACCAGTTGATCCCAATAACTCGAGTTGTTGGAAAAGGTTCAATCGTGAATCATATACCATTCCCTAACAACGACACCAAAATAACATTCTCACTGAATCAAATTTTGTTTGCTTTGTTTGTGTACGTATCATAAAAGTCATGAATAGGGGTGTCAGATCGGTTTCGGTTTTTCGGGTTAACCCGAAACCGAACCGATATATGCTCTTTCGGTTTGCGGTTTCTCGGTTTCAACCCGCATATGCTGTCAGCGGTTTCGGTTTCAGTGAAACCCGAAAATCGACACCAGCCCAAGAACCCGAATTCAATAAATGTCGTTTTTGGTGAGAATTGAGACGACGCTGCAATCCCGGGCCGGGTGAAATCCCTACTTTTCGCCTCAAGTCGCCATTACCTTCAGCAAACGCTCAAACCTAGCATCGCCCGGTGTAACTCCCTCGCCGTCACCGTCCTCGCCGCATCGTTCTCGCCGCCATCATCTGTAACGATTGAGGTCGAAAGCTGGATATTTCCCGGCGAGTTAATTGAACAGACTGTGGAATTGAGCAGAGAATTAGGGAAGAGGAAGAAGAAAGAAGATTACAGAGAAGGAGGAAGAAGAAAGACAGAGATAGGGAAGGAGAAGAAGGAACAGGGAAAAGGGTTCTGCAATTTCTTATTCGATTGATTCTTTTATAGGCTGCCAAATTACAAAAGACAACCTCAACTCTACCTTTAGTACATTTAAGCCCCCATCGTTACATCATCATTCTCGCCGCCAACGGCCTCATGGGAAACTCAACAGCGGCCGTCGAAACCCATCTCTGCAATTTGGGTTAAGCTAACAACCGAAACCCGCAAGCTGCAATTTCGGGTTCGGTTTCGGGTTGTACAGTAACGGGTTCGGGTTGCCGGGTTTTCTCTGGTTCCGGGTTCGGTTACCCAACCCGAACCGAACCAGCACCCCTAGTCATGAACAAGATGTGCTGGCAACTGGCTTTTGTATCATCAATTATATATCAGTTCCGAAAAAATATAAAAGCCAGCGGCTGTGCAACTTTTATTAAATTCTCCGCCACCAACGAGACCGGCGGCCGATCAAAAAAGATTCACATTTGCCGACGGGAAAGAGAAAGAATTAACCAAGCAATGAATAAAATAATTCGAACTCCAGAAAGTGATACGTACATGCATGCCAATTCACTAGAGACACACGGATAAAATTGGACGATACAGAAAAGATTAACATGATTATTGTACGAGATGAAATGCATATAATAAAACCGCAACATGGGCTATAAATAAGCCTACGTCCAGACTTCCAAACCACTCATCTCTCCAATCTCCATTCCAAATCTCCAACTTCTTCTTCGTCAGTCAGTCAATCAACATTATGGCCTCAACTAAATTGTCCGTCTTTCTTCCTCTCCTAGTGACGCTACTACTGGCAGCATTATTATCGTCCTTGGCCGCTGCAGAATCTCAAACCTCCTTCGCCACAAAGAAGCTGTTTACGATGAAGAAAGAAAAGCTGACTGACTCGCTAAAACACAACACCTAACAATGGCCAAGTGTAACCAATGAAAGGGACTGCAGTATAGTGGCTCAAGTAATAAATATCGAATCCACGGGTCTCTAGAGTTACTATTACTCAGCTTCAGTTCGTTATCTAGCAAAACAGCTTAAGTTGAAAGAACTAAAACTACTCTAGCAAACTACAGTTAAAGTTAATCTAATTACAGGTTGGGAACTCACTTAGGTATGATTCCCCCTAGCCACTAGCCAGACTAACGATTAATGATCTCCAACATGTTTCACTTTCATTCACAATGCGGAGAATCCTTAACTAGACCTTGAGTCTCGACTAAAGGAACAAGGCCCTCTTGAGTCAACTGCCTAGAGGGACGTATCCTTCTCTAGAACAATCGATCAAGGCGTTCTGAGCTAGACTCCCTCTATCGAAAGAGGTTCTCAATCGATACAAAGCAGTGAATCAACCCTCGACTAAAGCAATCGATCCACTACTATCAATCTATGGTGCTCTATTGACCTAATCAGGTATTCGCTCTCATAGGATCAAAGCAGAATCAATAATCTCGACTAAAGCAGAATTGAATCGTGAAAACATGCATAGATTGAATATGAACTCAAGATTATCAAGTCAGAGTACTCATACAATCATCCAATCAAACAAACATAGCTAGGGTTCCTCAAAACCTAAGTGAAGGGAAGTTACTCCATAGAGAAGAGAGAGACTGCAGTAAGAATCTTCAGATGATCAGTCTTCAAGTCCGGGCTTGTTCCTCGAGCTTCCAAGGCGAAGAAATCCTCCAATTCCACTCCGAGAATGCCCTCAAATCGCCCTCTCTTTCTTTGGTTCGTCCCTTGGGTGTTTGGGATCCAAAACCCAGCTCTTCCTTGCAAAAACGCACAAAACCGGCTTTTATCAGCTGCCCTCGCGATACCCGGTCGAAATACCCGGTCGGGTATTTTGGGTCTCGACCGGGTATAATTGAAGCGCACCGTTTCGTCCTCAGGGAAAATCCCCGGTCTACCACCAAAATCCCCGACCGGGAATTTAACTGATGTGCCCGGGCCCCTCTCTGTTTCTCGGGCGCCCAACCTTGGTTAATACCCGGTCGGGTATTTGGCCACCTGACCGGGTATTTTGCTCCTTCAGCCCTATTCGTCCCAAACTTGCTCCTTTCGACCCAGAACTCGTTTCTCCGCCTCGATTCCAACGCCGGGACCTGAAATATGACATAAACACACAACCTAGCGTGAAATCGGCTTAAAACACGAGATTCCTCGTCACAAACGGCTTCAGAATAGGGGTGAAAATATGTGTAATTATCGGTCTATCAAACTCCCCCACACTTAACCGTTTGCTTGTCCCCAAGCAAACCTAACTCAAACCAATGCAGCTCTCCAGACCTCTATAGCAACAAACACCCCAGATCGTCGGTAGAGGACTTTCTAGATCATAAAGCAGCTTACGAGGTCAACTGGTCTTCTAAGACGTCCCCTATCTTTCTCAATGCGAGTACTAGACTCAAGCCAGGATCATGAGAAAAAGTAAAAGTAAGACAGTCAGTTCATGGATAAAGGGACTCACACCATTCACAACCAAGGACTCGTTGTACCGGGGTGCTCTTTCACTTCATTTCACCGTTGGAACCCGATTTTTCTCACTTTCATTTACATTTTTTCTTTCATTTGGTGGAGTTCCAACTGCAGTCTTTTGCGCGGTCGACCCTTATTAGTCGAGCAGGAGCAATTTCTGTACATCTGGCGCTCGCCAGAGTACTTCTTTTAACTCCTTTTCCTCAACTCGTGTGGAGGGTCAATGAAATTAAGGGGGGTCGGAAGCTCTATCCGTGCCCTTAAAAACACATCCTCGAGTAGGCAAACCGTTCAACGGGTGGAAGTTTTACTTGTACTAGAGACAGCTTAGCTTCACCTTGTAGGAGTACCCCACTAAGGATCACTAAAATCTCTTCCAAAACCCGATTTTGTGCAATGAACGGTGCCACACACGTTGGGCTTACCCCATGTTTAAGATTTTTGATGATTTCGACATGGAGGACCAACTGCTTTTCATTTGCCACATGAGCACCCTGTTCAATACACGAGTCCATAACACAATTCAAACAGAGTCCACATTACCACATGAATTCAACGGTCTTAGCTTCACTAATTCACAAAATCAACTGACACAGCAGAGAGCTAGATAGGAAAAATCTTATACTTCAACATCCTCCATAGTGCTACACTACCTCCCTAGGTTGCACGTTACTATAGAGACTGTCAATTCAAAGCATACTGAGCAGGCAATTTGCAAGTAAACACGTACTTGGAGCCCTCAAATTTAAAATTTGGACAGTGGACTAGGCTCCAAGCACACAAACAGCCAAACATTCACCCGCATACATAATCGAACACCCCCCCACACTTAAGCACGACATTGTCCTCAATGGAGGAAAGATAAGGAGGGTAGAACGAAGTTACCAGATCAAGGGTGAATGATGATGGACGGGGCAGGCGGTGCATTCCAGGAAAAGAGAGTAATCAGAACACAAACACCACACAAAATCTCACAAAGGTTGAGTTATTGACTCTAACATCAAATAACAAAACTGACTCAACCGAGGATAAATAGAGAAAGAAATGCAAACCGACTGGTTGGGTTGCCTCCCAACAAGCGCTTCTTTCACGTCGTGAGCCGGACGATGGCTCCTAAGTTTCGGTCCATGCTAGAACCTCCTTGAAGTTGAGGTTCTCATCGATGAGGTGGAGTCTCAAGTCACGAGCAGGTGGTGTGGCAGGTGATGAAGGCTCGTGCACTTGATGCAGATGAAGTCTCCACCCTCGAGACCTCTTCTTCTCTTCTCTCGTCTCATTGCCCCAAACCAGATAAGACAGCATCGATTGGCCACCATCGCGTCCACCAAGAGGGACCGATGTCGATGTGGCCTTGGTCTGGCAAAGAGACACTGCAAATGGGTCCTTGCTGAGCAATTCCTCGAAGTTTGGTGGAGATATCACATGTAACTCATGGCCGGTGCACGCCTCTTCCACCTCAACTTCGTCCTCAGCCTGGACGCCAATTGCTTCTTCAACCTCCCTTTCTTCTTCATGTGGTATCACCCCTGGGAAATGATCAAGAACTACTCCTGCTTCGCTTTCGTCATCCTCCACAACCTCTTTCTGCACCCTTTCTTGCTCTTCTTCTTCTAGCACGGATTGGAGAGCAAGTTGCCAGGCAATTTCTTTCATGAGATCTTCTTGCATCTCCTCACTCATGCCCACCTCTTCAAAGCGCAGTGTGGGATGTGGGAAAGGGTGGTCGGCTATGACAGGACATTCCTGATCATGATCATCACGGGAGCTCTCCGTGACAACTTCTGTGTGCTCCACAATGTCCTTGTAGCCTTCTTCTTCCTCGTCCTCTTCTTGTATGGTAGCAGAAGGGTGATCTTGAGCAAGTTGTGCACAAACTTGCTCAACCCACTCTGTTTGCTTCGCTGAGCGTTGAACAGCCTCCTCCATATCACGGAGATATGAGGGATCGGAAGAGGGGAGGGCTTGGATGTGAAGATCCATTCTGCGATTGCGTCTCTCGGAGTCCCGAACAAACTGCTCCAGGAGAAGCTTCAGTTCATAGTTTGGATCTGGCTGCGGAGTGTAGCATGGCTCTGCGGAATGGCCCGTGAAGGCCGCCATGGGTAACTCCAACGCTGATGGCCCTTCTGGTTGTGGGAGAAAGTCTTCTTGGTAATGAGATTGTTCTTGATATGCCCAGGGGTCAGATTGTTCTCCATAGAAAGGGGGTTGGTACTGGAACCCGGATCCATAGTCTTCTCCTCCTTGATTGCTCCAGGGTGTCTCGGGGTAATACCACTCGGATGGTGGTGGATACCCCCAATGGTTGGAGAAGCCATGAGGATCCATGATTCAGATCTGCACCAACAAAAACAAAAACACCCAAGTGAAAAGCAAGGGTGGAAAACAAAAGAAAAACGCTAAAGTAACAAACTTCTGCCTTTCCTAATAATCTAGAAAGTTCCCCGGCAACGGCGCCAAAAACTTGACTCGCTAAAACACAACACCTAACAATGGCCAAGTGTAACCAATGAAAGGGACTGCAGTATAGTGGCTCAAGTAATAAATATCGAATCCACGGGTCTCTAGAGTTACTATTACTCAGCTTCAGTTCGTTATCTAGCAAAACAGCTTAAGTTGAAAGAACTAAAACTACTCTAGCAAACTACAGTTAAAGTTAATCTAATTACAGGTTGGGAACTCACTTAGGTATGATTCCCCCTAGCCACTAGCCAGACTAACGATTAATGATCTCCAACATGTTTCACTTTCATTCACAATGCGGAGAATCCTTAACTAGACCTTGAGTCTCGACTAAAGGAACAAGGCCCTCTTGAGTCAACTGCCTAGAGGGACGTATCCTTCTCTAGAACAATCGATCAAGGCGTTCTGAGCTAGACTCCCTCTATCGAAAGAGGTTCTCAATCGATACAAAGCAGTGAATCAACCCTCGACTAAAGCAATCGATCCACTACTATCAATCTATGGTGCTCTATTGACCTAATCAGGTATTCGCTCTCATAGGATCAAAGCAGAATCAATAATCTCGACTAAAGCAGAATTGAATCGTGAAAACATGCATAGATTGAATATGAACTCAAGATTATCAAGTCAGAGTACTCATACAATCATCCAATCAAACAAACATAGCTAGGGTTCCTCAAAACCTAAGTGAAGGGAAGTTACTCCATAGAGAAGAGAGAGACTGCAGTAAGAATCTTCAGATGATCAGTCTTCAAGTCCGGGCTTGTTCCTCGAGCTTCCAAGGCGAAGAAATCCTCCAATTCCACTCCGAGAATGCCCTCAAATCGCCCTCTCTTTCTTTGGTTCGTCCCTTGGGTGTTTGGGATCCAAAACCCAGCTCTTCCTTGCAAAAACGCACAAAACCGGCTTTTATCAGCTGCCCTCGCGATACCCGGTCGAAATACCCGGTCGGGTATTTTGGGTCTCGACCGGGTATAATTGAAGCGCACCGTTTCGTCCTCAGGGAAAATCCCCGGTCTACCACCAAAATCCCCGACCGGGAATTTAACTGATGTGCCCGGGCCCCTCTCTGTTTCTCGGGCGCCCAACCTTGGTTAATACCCGGTCGGGTATTTGGCCACCTGACCGGGTATTTTGCTCCTTCAGCCCTATTCGTCCCAAACTTGCTCCTTTCGACCCAGAACTCGTTTCTCCGCCTCGATTCCAACGCCGGGACCTGAAATATGACATAAACACACAACCTAGCGTGAAATCGGCTTAAAACACGAGATTCCTCGTCACAAACGGCTTCAGAATAGGGGTGAAAATATGTGTAATTATCGGTCTATCACTGACCCACCTCCACTTCTACTGGTCAAACTTCCAACGTGCGCCCACGGCCGTGAGCGTCGCCCCGATCCTCAACAACGCGACTTTCTACGGCGCCGTGACCATCAACGACGATACGCTGACGTTGGGCCCTGACCCAGATAATTCGACGTCCGTGGGGAAAGCCCGTGGGCTTTACCATTTCCCTTCGAACACGACCAGCTTCGTCTACGAGATGATATACAGCTTCGCCTTCACTTACGGAGACTACAACGGCAGCTCACTCTCCCTTCTGGGTTCCGTCTTCCCGTCACTGTCGGGAACCGCCAGCGAGCTCACGGTCGCCGGCGGCACGGGCGTGTTCCGCTTCGCACGTGGATACGCCGTCCTGAAATTCGCCTCGGGTGATCCGAAACGCAGCTTGCTCGTCAACGAGCTTGACGTCTACGTTTCCCATTACTAGTTTGGTTTACGTAGCTTAGCTACAGAAATTCATTACTATTGTTGCGGTTTTTTCTTTCTGCTTTTTCGATCTTTTCATTCCATGAGAGGTATGTGTATCAGTTTATGTGTGCTTACCTATTTAATTTTTCAATAGTACTAATTAATCAATAAAATGGCGCTGTATTGTTTTCCTATTTACATATGTGCAAACTATGACATCATACATGTTTGACACGCATGTCAAGTTTTATCCTTTCTCTACAAATAGCAATAGGAGTAGGTTCTAGACCTCTCACTGAACTTACATAGTTGTACGTAGTTTATATCAACATGCTGTATCCTAGCTGGAGCTAATTTTGAGAAGTTCAATCATTTTTATCATTAAACCCGAACCGTATTTGAACATCTATGACTCTTTCGTCGGATGGAAGGCTTGGTTCAATCGAGGAGACCATTAATGGTTGGAGTTCATTTGAAATTTCGAAATGGACAATGACGGATTAAATTAGGAAGATGTTTAGCAATTTTAGATGACATTTAGCAATCCACCACCACCGGCGCCTCAGTCTTCTCACCCGGCGCTTGTTCCGCGGTCGCCACAGTGACCGCGACGGTTGCGGTCTACTTCGCACCGGCCGTCGTCTCCCTGGTCTTTCGCGGTGATGATGACAGACCTTGCGGTGCTATCGCCGCCTTCATCAGTTCCATCAGCGACCGTAGGTCGTCACAGTTCCTTCTTGTCATCTTTTGAAGGGTTTCGTTCACCTCACCCATACGAACATGGAGGCTGATCTGATGATCTGTCATTGTCCTCAGCAGGCTCTTGATATCTTCCTCGAGGCTGATGTCCTCCACCGTCACGGTGTCCTACAGTCTCTTCTCCGGGGATTGGTCTGAAGAGCTCATCTTTCTTCTAGCCCAGACGCAAACCATGCTCTGATACCACTTTAAGAAAGCTGGGATCTAGGCGTCTTGCGTCTAAGGCTCTGCGATCAGGATCAATAGGGAATTGGGGATTAGGGATTGAATAAGGATATATAAGAGAGGATTGAGGGAAAATACGGGGAGAAGAAATGAGGAGGGTCGGCAACCAGGGTTGGCCGACGAAAATGATGATGGGGTTGGGGAAGGGATTCGGCCGAAAAGAGAGGGAAGAAGGAGATTAGGATTCTGGGAATTCTGTTATGTATTTGCTTAATGAGTAATTACCCACTAATTAAAAAATATATAACCCGAATAATTCCCGCTAACTACCTCAATTAACAGTTCTTAACGAAAATAACTGAATAATCCTCAAATGCGCCCAAAACCTCCGAATAATATCCAAAATAATCCAAACATGAATATAACGACAAACAAGTCCAAATACTGAAATCACCCAACAAATGGATTTCTAACATATCACTAGGACCTAAGGCTCACTCATTAAAGATTAGAGTATAGTTTATTCGAGATCTAGATATCATTTTTTTACTCAGCATATGCTATATGTCATGGGATTTCTCAGCCTTCTCTGATTTTTGTGTGTTGTTGAGATATGATGTTGCCGGCTGCCCCGTTTATACTTTTTCCCTTTAAGGGAACCGATAAGGTGCCACATTTAGATATCTCACTTTCTATAGAGAAGAGATCATCGCAAAATATAAAAAACAGAAGTAAAAAAAGGAAAGAGCCGATCGAAAAGATTCACATTTGCAGACGGGAAAGAGAAAGAACGTAACCAGTAGAGAAATTGGACGATACAGAAAAGAGCCGGCGCGCATCCAGCAGCAAATGAATAAAATAAGTCGAACTCCAGAAAGAGATAAGAAAATTAAATCCGACGGCATCTCTTCAGTGACATATGGTAAAATTCGACGATACAGAAAAAATATTAGCTGCATGAACTTTGTGCGATGAAACGCATATACAAAAAACCGCCCCGTGGGCTATAAATAAGCCTCATGTAGTCCAGAGTTGCAAACCATCCATCTCTCCAAAATCTCCATTGCAAATCTCCAACTTCCTCCTAAGTCGACATTATGGCTGAAACTAAATCCTCCGCCGTCTTTCTTCCTCTCCTAGTGACGCTTGCCACTTTAGTACTGTTGGCATTATCGTCCTTGGCCGCTGCAGAATCCCAGGAAACCTCCTTCGCCACAAAGAAGCTGCCTATGACGAAGAAGAAAGAAAAGCTAACCCACCTCCACTTCTACTGGTGCAACTTCCAGAGAGCGCCCACGGCCTTGAGCGTCGCCCCGATCCTCAACAACGCCACTTTCTACGGCGCCGTGACCATCAACGACGATACGCTGACGTTGGGCCCGGACCCAGATAATTCGACGTCCGTGGGGAAAGCCCGTGGGCTTTACCATTTCCCTTCCAACACGACCAACTTCGTCTACGAGATGATATACAGCTTCGCCTTCACTTACGGTGACTACAACGGCAGCTCACTCTCCCTTCTGGGTTCCGTCTTCCCGATATCAGGAAAAGCCAGCGAGCTCACGGTCGCCGGCGGCACGGGCGTATTCCGCTTCGCTCGTGGATACGCCGCCTTGAAATTCGCCTCGCGTGATCCGAAACGCAACTTGCGCGTCAACGAGCTTGACGTCTACGTTTCCCATTACTAGTTTCGTCTACGTAGCTTTGCTACAGAAATTCGTTGTTGCTGCTGCTATTGTTGTTTTTTCTTTCTGCTTTTTCGATATTTTCATTCCATGAAGGTGTGCGTAACAGTTTATGTGTGTGCTTATTTATTTAATTTTCAATAGTACTGATTAATCAATAAAATGACGTTATATTGTTTTTCTATTTAACGTACATCAGCAAGTATGCAAAGCAAGATACTGTGACAAGGTGTAATACAAGACACCTCTACGACGACACAGATTGCTACATGTCAAGTAATACGACAGTTGCAAGAGGTTTATTAAAGACAATTACTCCTTATGGCTATAAATAGGAGAAAACAAGATCGAAAAAGTTATCAACTTTGACATGCATGCCAAATTTTATCCTTTTTTTCTACAAAGTAGCGATAGGAGTGGTGTCTGGAGCTCTCACCAAATCACCGTAGGATTCCGTAGTTTATATCAATATGCAGGATCCAAGCTGGAGCTAAGTTTGACAAGTTCAATCACCTTTCTCATTAAATCAGAACCTTATTTATGTTGTTTCAACATCTATGGTTATTTGTTCGATCAACTTTGACATGCATGCCAAATTTTATCCTTTTTTTCTACAAAGTAGCGATAGGAGTGGTTAGGCATGGCAACGGGTGGGTATGGGTACGGATAGTGGCTCCCCAATCCCCGCCCGCACATACAAACGGGTTTTACCCGTCCCCGTCCGGAATAAGCTATGGATACTAAATCACTACCCATACCCATGCGGGTTTGGGCATTCCCCGGTTGGCCGGGTTTTACCCGCCGCACTCATAGGACTGCCGACGATTGATCTCAAGTTCGGCGTCACGTAGTCGTACAGACTCAGACCATCACCGCAAAGCAGAGGAGACAATCAATAGCGTGCCGGCGGGAGATGCAGCGACCACTGAATGGCAGAGCTCCTCCCGTCACTTCGCTTGATGAAGAGTTCGGCGGCGGCCTGGAGAATTCGCGGCAGTCGATGCAGTGCAGCACAGGGAAAAGATGAAGAAAATGTTGAGTTCTTTTCTCCTTGAAGTTCGTTTATGGTGAAGAAGAGATGTTATAAACGCGCTGCTACGGATCGGGAAATCGCCGGAATCGACAAAGCAAGAATACGAAAGCGAGAATCGAAAAACACAGGCACACGATTTACGTGGTTCACTAACACGATGTGTGTTAGCTACGTCCACGTGCGAGAGAGAGCCGATTTCACTATATCGAGGAGATTACAGATTACAGAGGAGTATGAGAAGTATTTATAGTACTTCTCCATGTGGGTCTAAACCTAATCCAATCTAGCAAAGGAAAACGGTTACAGACCAGGCCCGATTACCAGTCGTAGCAGCTGATAGTCCGATTCAAGTCACATCAACAAGAGAGATAAGAGAAAAGGGGAGGAAAGAAAGAGTTGGGGGCGGCCAAAACATCGGGGAGGTTAGAGAGAGTTAGTCTAGGGTTTAGTTTTTTTGGCTTGGAATGAGGAAGGTAATGGATCAGGATTGGCTGGTTTGAGAGAAGGTAATGGGTCAGGTATGCATATCGGACGAGGCCGGGGCGGATAGTCTGATATCCATCCCCGACCCATCCCCGTTACTGTGCATATTTCGGGTTTCCCTGAATCCGGCCCATATCCGACATTGACGGGTTTCAAAGCGGGCTTGACTGGGCGGGTGCGGGTTATACCCACTATTATTTTACCCATTGCCATCCCTAGCAGTGGTGTCTGGAGCTCTCACTAAATCACCGTAGGATTTCGTAGTTTATATCAATATGCAGGATCCAAGCTGGAGCTAAGTTTGAGAAGTTCAATCACCTTTCTCACTAAATCAGAACCTTATTTATGTTGTTTCAACATCTATGGTTATTTGTTCGATCGAGGAGATAATTAATTATGGTTGGAGTTTCATTTGGAAATTCGAAATAGACAATAATGTATCAAAATTAAGACAATATTTAGCAATTGTACGTATTAAGTACCACTCCTAGGGTTGTGGGAAGAAGAAAAAAAAGCCTTCTGTACTTTATCATGATTTCCATTTTCCAATATCCGCCCATCTATATATTTTTTTTTTATTGCCATTGTACTTTTGCCGGCCAGGCTTAAAACTTTTAAGGGACCTCGATCGGCTTTGTATCTCCTTTGTAATAATTATGACCGATCAATTATTTCGTCGACATGTAGTTGGGTTGGCGGCCGGCCGGTTTATACTATTAAGGGAAGCCTAGGAGATGGATTAATAATAGGTATAGCAAAAATACCCACAATTACACTTTTTTCTTTTGTGTGACAATGACAATTGAACAAAAATTCATGGTATTTACTAGTTTTGTAACGCAAGCGAGTTTTATTTATTTTTTTATTCGATATGTTGGATCGAGTGTGAATTTTTTTAAAACACGGTTCAACACTGTCAAAGCGAGTTGCAATTGAACCCAGGCCCGTTGTTGGAATTTATCCGCTTTAATATTTTTTTTATTTTTCTTTTTTCTTTTGGTTGAGAATGACAATTGAAGCCAGACCCGTTGTTGACGAGTTTTATATTGAGAACTAGTTTTATCCGCTTTTGCTATTGCCAGATTCGATCGAGCGTGAATTTTTCAACGTAAGTTATGTTGATATTATGGTTTTATATGTAACTTGTGTTGCGCGCAGGGAAACAATTCGTCGATGTATGTAAAGGACAATCCGAAAAGCTGGAGATTAGGATCATGATTGAGTATGGTGATTACAATCACCTATTGTTCATGATGATTTCTTCGCCCCTTCAGATTTTTGTGTGTTGTCGAGATGTGATGTTGCCGGCGGCCCCGTTTATACCTTTCCTTTTAAGGGAAACAATAAAGCTGCAAGACACTTAGATATCTCACTTTCTATATATAAGAGATCATCACAAAATAAACACACAAAAGACAATAACAAGATAAATAATTGGGAACAATTCCTTCGCTTGGGTGTATGTATTATTCGTCCAAAAATTGAAGCAAAACCTTATATGGCACTAAATTATTTACGTGGACGAGTTTTACCAATATATGATGTGGTTATTACTTGAAGATAGATTATTTGTCGACGATCGGAAGTGATGAGGTATGGAGATCGAAGGCACTATAGTGAAATTGCTATCTGTTATCCGTAACGATGGCAAAACCATATATTAGTAAATCACGTAAATTACTTTCTTGCACTGTTGATTTCTAAATCGGTTCTAAAACATCATTTAGAGTTTTTACGAAATGGGTGACTACATTGAATACATCCAAGTGCAGGAATCGGATAATGGATATAGGAGATCCAAGTGACTCTTGTATTCAAATCCCAACCCTTTACCATCATTGCACTATAAAATAGAAAAACACAGCATTTAACTAAAAGGAAGAGGAAACAAATTAAACAATAATCTATATAGGCCGAGATATTGAGAGCAAAAGGATTTCTACAATCCCCTCCATCAAATTGATCACCATGCGGGTTGCAGCGGTTGTTGCAGCCTTAGTAATAATTCTGGCTCCTCATCCCTTGATTCAGTCTTACACGGAGTATGTTCACAATGAGCTGAGTGGCAAGAAGCTGATAGTGCATTGTCGATCCGAAGACGACGATATTGGAGCTCAAATGGTGGATGTAGGCTCTGATCTGCACTGGGATTTCTATGGCGGCGACAGAACACTCTTTTGGTGCAAGGTGGCCGTGGAAGATCGACGACTCTCTTTCGACGCATATACTAATTCAGATGGCTCTATTTGTTGTCGTGATATTCACTGGTCGGTGAGAGACGATGGGCTTCATCTTTTGGACCCCGATGGCCAAGAATTGACGTCCCATCGACGGGGATGGAACCATCTATAGCTCTAATTAATATTATCTTAGGGATCGTTTGGTTTTGGTGATACTTAAATCAATGCATTATGATCCATGCATGTATTGTAATATACATGTAATTAAGAAAATGAGGCATTGTAGATTACCTTGTTAAATGAGGCATTGTAGATTTTTAGATAAGGGTGATATAGGTTTTTTTTTTTTAATTAGGTACTACTGAAGAGATTTGAACCTGGGACCTCCAGGTTCAAGGCTAGTAGTATTACCACTAGACCAATCCCTTGTTCGTGGCATTGTAGATTACCTTGTTTGGTTTTGGTGATAGTTATTTTAGCATTCAAAAAGTCTATTGATAAGCAATTTCAAAAGGCTATTATCGATATATGTAAAAATATCTAGGGATATAATTGGAACAAAATAACATTCAAACAATCTACTTAAACAATCTCAAGTTTTGCTTGAGATAGTAATATCACTCAAATATGAGTGATTGTTTCCATCAAATCAACAAAATAATGATTGCATTGTTGAAGAACAAAAAAAAAACAATGTATTGCCAACAATCATTGTAACAATCCCCACTAAACTATCACCAAAACCAAACAACCCCTTGTACTAAGTTATATACTGGACGCTAGGAAGCCAAACCCTAGCAAGATACGGCCAACTAATCTCCTTCCAAACCAAGGAAACTATTACATTACGTGAACCAACAGACAGCTGCACTTCAACTACAAAACTGACTTAGCTCACTACCAAGGAAACTATTTGAGATGTGCCTTGCGTGATTAGGCTTTCACATCTTCATATTTGTCTACGGTTTAATATAAGCATTAGGTCCGCGCATTTTTCAACAACTTGAATTATTAACACAGACAGAGGATTGATAAGCATGGAGTAGAGAGTTGTCAAGGGCACAAGATGCAACAAAATATAAATAGTACATGAGATCACGATTAAGTGTGGATAACTTCTAATGGGTTAGGTCTGGTGGTATAACGAGAACATCTAGCACACTCTAAGTTCGAACCATAAGGCCAACAACCAACGAAAGAAAGAAGAAAAATTGAAGGAAGAAGTATGGATTGGGGAGCTAGCTAGAGGTGTTTCCACTCCCGTCGATAGGATTCGATTTCTCCCTCCGGATAAACTAGATGAACCCCATCATCCCTGACCACCCAGTAAATGTTACGACGGCACAAGTCATTGTCCGACTGTTGATATGCGTCGAAGGAAAGACGTTTATCTTACACTGCCAATTTGCACCAAAACAGTGTCGACCCAAAATCCGCATAGAAATCCCAGTGCAAATCAGAGCCTACATCCACGATGTGAGCTCCAATATCGTCGTCTTTGGATCGACAATGAACTATCAGTTTTTTTTATTATTTAGCTCTCATCTCATTTTTGACAGAAACCGGACTCTGGATCGAGGGACGTGCTAGAATTATCAAAGCCACGACGACCACCACCACAGCCGGTTGTAATTTTGAGGGGATTAGCTGCAGCCTCCACATCCTGATCAATGTGATGAAGAAGAAGCAGAATGTAGGAATGAATTCTTCTACTCTTTTTCTCTCTATACGTTATTGCTTTCCTTTTCCTATAGTTTTTTTTTTCTTTTTCTTTTAATATTGCAATGATGTGTAGAAGCCGCACGGCTCTGGAGGGGCAGACAGTTTTATGGACCTCTGGCTTTGTCTCTCCTGTATACATCATATGATTCCTTCGCACATCTTATTTGTTTTGTTTGAGATGTATGTACTACGTTCAGACTTTCGGCGAAATCGTCAGAGATGATAATGTGCTGCACAAGGTTTGAAAGAAAGAAAAAACGCGTCAATTTTCCATGTACGTTATCACAAAATTACAGTCACTCGCGCGCTAGGGGGAATACATCCACTAAAATTAACCCGCAATTGACCCATCCAATATGTTGTGGGCGGTTCTTAATTCTTATAGATCGATGAATGTGGGTTGTAAAATATGTGATCCGCTAAAGAATGGATGAATGTAAGTGGACTATAGTTATAGACTCACAGTAAACTTAACTTTTTAATCTCAAACTAGAACGGAAGTCCGCGCTATGTGGCAGGGCATGAAATTATTGCAACATGAATATTGATCAAACGACAAACTGCTAACATATTCTTCGTTCTTGAATTAGAAGTACAACACAACTTAAACATGAATGTGAGGGATGCACATAGAGAAGACAATTGGAACTCGAAAGGCAAGATTGATGGATAGAGATAAATGTAGCATCGGTAGAAGCTAAGAGCCTTAACACCATATGGTACACATGGCAAGGCCTCACGATCAAAAGTGAGTAAAGGGTAGCTAGTTTAGACTAACAGGAGAGTAGTGGTTTAAAAGTTTGTGTGTGCTTAGATTGCGGGGATGCGAATGTGTGGTTCATCATAGTCTGGGCTCGCAATGTATATTTCTTGCCATAAATTGTCTGCCGCATCGATCTCTGAGGCTAGGGGTGGCTATACGGTCCGGTCCGGTTAAATTGGCCCAAATTGATCCGGTCCAGTCCGGTTTTTTTGAAAATATAAGGACCGAAGATTGGATTGGATACAGTCCGGTCTTGATCTGGTCCGGTCTTGACTCGATCCGGTCCCAATTCGATCTTGATTTTATATTGAGATTGTGGGAATTTGAGTGGCCTAAGGCCTAAAAGGGTGAGGAGTTGGTTAAGTTTTGTACTAAGTGTAAAGGTTTGTGACCGTTTATGCAAATTACCCTTAAGTTTTGGGTGTTGAGCTCTCTTATCCGGTCTTTATCCGGTTTTTTACCTCAAATCTAAACCCAAAAATTGGATTGGATTGTTTACTATCCGGTCCCGGTCCGGTCTCGGTCCGGGTTATACGGTCCGGTTTCCGGTTTTTCATCCGGTCCCGGTCCAAATAGCCAGCCCTATCTGAGGCATTGTTTTTGCTGATGTGCAACAACGATTCAAATTCTTTAGGTGCCAGACAAACCAGGGGAAGGTTTGCTTCATGGTTCGTAGTGACTTATAATTTACGACATCCGGATTCACATTAAGCATGCAATTCGTAGAATAATCTAGTGGAATGTAAAAATATATATATATGAGCAAACAAACTACAGTGTACGTAATTAGCTTCATTAGGGAAAATGAAAATCTTGTTTATAGGGTTCAAAAGAACATATCGATGCAAAGTGCTTAAAAGAACCTTCATCTTTTTCCATGACCTGCCGGTGCCCTCTCATCAGCTTGTGATGTCGTCTTACCCTAGCAGCGCTTACCATTATAGAAAAGGGAGCTCAACGGACCCTCTCCGAAATGGCTTGATCCGAGTTGGGTTTGTGGATTAGAAGAAAGGAGAAAGAATATTAGAGGCAACTCACATAGAAAGTGAAAAAGGACATTATAGGATGACTCAAGGATCCATGGGTTCGGATGACCCGCCCATGGATCTGAATCGTAGTAACCAATTGAAAACAACAAAAGATGGAAATCAATAAGTATCATTAGAGAAAATGAAAAATCTGGATATTATAGGCGACAAAAAAACATACCGATGCTAAGGTCAAAATATAAAATAGTACAGTAAACAAAGTACGAATTAGAGCTAGAACAGGTGCTTCCACTCTTTTCGATAGGATTCTATTTCGGTACCATCCGAATTCAGTAGATGAACCCCATCGTCCCTAGCCGCCCAGCGAACATCGCGACAGCGAATATCGGCCTTCTTCCCATTATATGCATCGAAGGAAAGACGTCGATCTTCCACCGCCAACTTGCACCAAAAGAGTGTGCCCTCGTAGGGAGTAAACCCCCAGTGCAATGCAGCGCCTATGTCGACGGCTTGAGCTCCGACATCGTCGTCTTTGGATCGACAATGCACTATCAGCTTCTTGTTGCCACTCAACTCGTTTTCGACATAAACGGTCGACGTACTAAGCTGGGTTGAGGGGTGCGCTGCAATCAATATGATGAAGGCCGCGGCAAGCACCGCCACTCGTGATTTCGAGGGGATTAGCAGCCGCCACATGTTGTTGATCGATCAATTTGATGATGAAGGGTGTGTAGGTTTTGGCTGACTTTATAGTGCAATGAAAATGATGTAGGAGAAGCAACACGGCTATGGCCAGTGGGGGCAAAAGGGACTTCTTTCCTCTCCACGTTCAAAACATGCGGACGTGTTAATATTGGAGTAGGAGAGCCTTCTGAACCTCTCTCTCTCTCCCTCGTGTATAATGATTAAATGATTCCTTCGCCCATCTTATTTGTTTGAGCTGTATTGTATTGTAGCTTTCGGTGAAATTGAGGTAATCATAATTTCTTACAAAAAAACATGTCGATTCTTCAGATAGGAGTCAAGGTAAAAGGGAAGCAATTCCTTCCCTTGGACTTCGACGCATATATGTTGGTAGTTCCCTATATGGCCATGGTCTCGTTGCTTCAAAAGGATTCAACCAAAAATTTATACAACTATTTGGATTGAAAAGATATGGTTTATGAGTGTGAATAAATATGGTTAGATACCTTATAGAATGAATTTCTTTCTTTCTTTCTTTATTATTATTAATTTTTTTTTATAAGGATGAAAATTTTATTAAAAGAAAAGGAAAAGGGTTCACGGACCCGAAACAGAACAGAGAGTAAAAGAATGGAAGCACAAGCGGTGCAACCCAATCCTATGGCTATGTCAAGAACCAGTTGATCCCAATAATTCGAGTTGTTGGGAGAGGTTCAATCGTGTATCATATACCACAACACTTACACGCCCTCTCAAACGAAAGCCACTCACAAGGGCTTGAAGTTTGCACAGAATACCATGTGCTTAACAAATGGGGTTTACCGGGAATCGAACACAAGACCTCTCGGTCACAGAAGGCTCTGATACCATGTCAAGAACCAGTTGATCCCAATAACTCGAGTTGTTGGGAGAGGTTCAATCGTGTATCATATACCACAACACTAACAGGCTAGAGGTGTTTCCACTCCCGTCGATAGGATTCGATTTCTCCCTCCGGGTAAACTAGATGAACCCCATCATCCCTGACCACCCAGTAAATGGTACGACAGCACAAGTCACTGTCCGACTGTTGATAATGCACTATCAGCTTCTTAGCGCTCATCTCGTTTTTCACAGAAACCGGATTCTGGATCGAGGGACGTGCCAGAATTATCAAAGCCACGACGACCACCACCACAGCCGGTTGTAATTTTGAGGGGATTAGCTGCAGCCTCCACAGCATCCTGATCAATGTGATGAAGAAGCAGGGTGTAGGAATGAATCCTACACAATTTAATAGTGCAATGATGTGTAGAAGCACGACTCTGGGGAGGCAGAGAGTCTTCTCTGGACCTCTGGCTCTGTCTCTCCTGTATGCAGTACATGATTCCTTCGCCCACCTTATTTGTTTTTGTTTGAGATATATGTACTATATTCAGGCTTTCGGCGAAATCGTCTGAGATAAAAATATGCTGCAAATCCACCCAAATTAATCCGCAAATGACAATATGAGATCACAAAAAGAATTGAAAGAAAGAAGAATGTGTCAATTTCTCATAAAAATACTACCAGGGGCCCATAAATCCACCCAAATTAATCCGTAACTTTTTTAACTTCAAACCATCGAATCTATAACCTATAAGCTAGACTAAAATCCTAAAATTAAAATTTTCATTCAATTTCGATAAAAATATCTTCTCAATACTTTTCTTATAATTTCTTTTCAATTTTGAATAATATATTCTCAAAGTTATGGTTATGGAGGACAATTGCAAGGTTTAATTTGTACCAGCGACTGAAATCTATATCATATGCTCACTTCCTTCTACGATTCGAAAAACTGGGGGCACTTCAGTGGCGAGAAACCCTAGTGGGCCAATTTGTGTCATATCCGTCGGCGCTTTGATTCAAACCTGAGCGAATCGGATGTGGTGAAGGGGAAGATCGACCTGATTCATGCGTCAAACATCGAACACGTTATCCTTCTGTGCAAAGAAATTTAAATTCGAATTAAAATGAAGAACATAAAAATTTATTAACAAAATTAAGAAAAATAAAATATCTTTAATTTCCAATTCTTAAATGATAAATCTGAACTTTTTTAGCTCATTCAAATAATAATATGGATGGAGCTCATCGCAAGGCAAACTACCTAAATGGGATTGGCTGCTTCACGTACGTCTGCATGCATGGGGTGTCACGTGTGAGTTCGATCGAGTGTTAGCGGGCTGTGGATATGAGCTAGAGCACCGATCCAGGCCCAATAAATAATCCATCTATAAGAGTTACAATTTATCCACGTTCATATGCCATATCGTTCAATACAAGTTGCCAATGATTTATGTCAGTAAAAGTATAATGTTCTTTTTCTTTTCTTGGAAAATATAATTTATTAGTCCAAATCTTTTTAACTTATTAGTTGAACTTTTGAAATATAAAATATTAGTATATTGGGTTATTGCTTGATATAACACTAGGTTCGCATTTCCCAACAACTTAAATTACTAAATAATGCAGAAAACCGATATGTATCGTGTAGAGCCGTAAAAGGCACACGATACAGCAAAAGATAAATAGCATAGGGGTTGGTCTAGATGTCGTATAATGAGAAACATCTACCACATCCTAAGTTCGAACTTTAAGGCCAATCATCAACGAAAGAAAAGAAGAAGAAGAAAAAGAATAAGTATGGATTGAAGCTATAGGTGTTTCCACTCCCGTCGATAAGATTTTGTTTCTCCATCATCCGGGTCAACTAGATGAACCCCATCATCCCTGACCTTCCAGTACATGTGACCACAGCACAAGTCTCTGTCCGACTGTTGATATGCGTCGAAGGAAAGATGTTTATCTTCCACCGCCAAGTTGCACCAAAATTGTGTCCCAATCTCCGCAAGGAAATCCCAGTGCAAATCAAGGCCTACGTCCACGACGTGGCTCCCAATATCGTCGTCTTTGGATTGACAGTGCACTATCAGTTTCTTATCGCTCATCTCGTTTTTCACAGAAACCGCGCTCTGGATCGTGGGACGTGCCAGAATTATCAAAGCCGCCGCGACAACCACCGCCGGCAGTGGAAATTTTGAGGGGATTAGCTGCTGCCTCCACATCTTTCTCTCTATGCGTTATTGCTTTCCTCTTCCTATAGTTTTTTGCTGTTTTTTTTCTTCTGCTTCTTTTAATAGTGCAATGATGTGTAGAAGCAGCGCGGCTCGGAGAGTCTTTTGTAGCTATGGCTCTCTCCTACTGTTCATCATGATTTCTTCGCCCTTCTGATTTTTGTGTTTGTTGAGATGTGATGTTGCCGGCGGCCCCATTTATACCATTTCATTTTAAGGGAACAATTCATTCGCGCGATTGGATGTAGTAATTGTTATTGCTCCGAAAATTGAAGCAAAAATTTATGTTGAACTAGACCCGGCAATCGGGCTGCGGGTTGGATAATTTTGTAGGGAATCTCGGGTTATAAGTTATTACGGGTTGGGATCATGTTGGGTTGGTTGATTTCGGGGTTAAATATTGACCCAATTCATCGGGTCTCATGAGTTATGGGCGTTTCCGAAAAAAAATATTAAACATGCTTCATAAAATTTTAAAGAACACACTCACTGTTGGGGCTATTTGGGAGGTTTTTTTATGGGAAACACTTTGAAGATCAATGATCCTCGGTCGATGGACGTGCCACAATCATCAAGGCTGGGATGATCACAGCCACTAGTAATTTTGAAGGGATTAGTAGCTTCCACATTGTGATTAATTTGATGAACAATTAGGTCTCCTTTTTCTCTGCATGTTTATGTTATGTGTTTCCTCTTCCTTTAGCTTTTTGCTGTTTTTTTTTATTTTTTATAGTGCAGTTATGTGTAGAAGCAGGACGGCTCTGTGGGGGGCAGAAAGGTCTTCTCAATGTGCAGATATTGTAATTGGAGCCCATGGTGCAGGCTTGGGATTGGAGTAGAAAAGTTTTCTGGACCTCTGGCTCTCTCTCTCTCTTTGTATGATTCCATCGGCCATCTTATTTGTTTGTTTTGAGATGTATGTACTATTGAGGCTTTCGACAAAAATCGTGTAAGATAATAATAGGCTGTAAATGATTGTATGAAAAAATAAAACATGTCAATTTTTAAAATATGAGATCACAGGATCATATGCAACAACAAGGTTGGAATAAGATACCGAATTTATTTGGGAATTGAAATCGGGATTGATTTCTGGGTATTATTCGGTATTTGGAATTTACGTATTCGGTGTGGGAATAAATATATCGTACCAATTTCCACCACTACTTGAGGTTGTACGTCTGGTCCTTACAGTCATGCCATATTCAAGTCATGAGAATCGGACCAGACCAGTTTATCTACACGATTGGTTTAGAGTCATCTCATCTTTTGATTTACCAGGCGAATAAGGCTAGAGCAACTTATGGTAGAGTCATCTTTTCACTTACTTCACTAAGAAGCTGCATGCGTCCAACTATTAACAACTCGAATAATATATTATGAGAAATAGTTCGCTAATTATCAAAGATCTCGTGTTCAGATTCTCATTATACTAAGTATTTAAAGGAGGAAGTGATTGTACATCAAAGAAAATGAATTACATATAAAATCTCTTATAAATCTTTTTTAAAAAAGTTGAGATATTCGAATTAATTGGTTTGTTCATTCACATGGTATCAAAGCATTCTATCAATAGTTCTTGATTTCGACATCCCAATATAAACAATGGTTTACCAAAAATGACGATCGATATGTATGTTTAACCTGTGCAAACTGAAAGCCCGCAGTATGCTTTTATTTGTGGGATGTGTAGAAGAAAAAGCATTCACATAAATATTCATACAAACATATACCCAACAACTCGCGTTATTGCTATTAAGTGGTTTGTTCGTTCACAGTAACTTGTGAAGGCAAGATGTAGGGTGACACGATGGATATGTTTTCACTTTTGGGTATAGTCGTTATGTCACACCATTGATATGCATAAAATAAGACTGCCACTCAAAGTCCTTCCGATACTTGATCTTCCACCCCGGATCATTGAAATCAATCACTGGGGTAGCGGTTTCCCAAACTTAACGTGAATTTTTCGCACTCAGTATGATTCAACTTAAAATGGCAGAATTGGTTTTCAGCTAGTCATAGAAAACTCCCTATTTTAATTTCTTCCAATATCTTAAACTCATAAAATACAAACAAAAAATTAGATGATTCCTTATTTTCTTTTTGAGGGAGAAATAGAGAAAATAAAAATATGAACATCCACCTCATCTGTTTATTCTCTTTTGTTATGAATTAAACCGTTAAATGCATTAGCAACAAAAATCACTGTATCAGTTAGATGAATGTGGATGAGAGGTTAGTCTACTTTCATTATTCTTGGTTTTTGCTCTACTCTCAAAGTCCTTCTCATACTTGATCTTCCCCTCCGAATTGTTGAAATCAATCACGGGGTAATATTTCTCAAACTCAACGTGAATTTGTCGCCCTCGCTATGATTCAACTTAAAATGGGAGAATTTTGTTTAAGCTAGTCCTAGAAAACTCCCAATTTTAATTTCTTCCAATATCTTAAACTCATAAAATACAAACAAAATGGTAGATGATTCTTTTTTCTTTTTCTCTTATTGAGGGAGAAATAGGGAAGATAAAGATGTTAACAGAAAGAAAACTCATGAATGGCAAAGATTTTAGTAAGTGAATTCCATGCTCTCTATTTTCCTTTCCCAAATTTGAGTTGAACCGTCACTTAATGTTTGTGACTGGATGTCACGCTAGATTGGAATATATAATGTCATAGCCTCATATAATCAACATGCATCCGTCCGTCAAACTCACATTTATCATCATCCACAGCTTATATTTCCTCCTTCATTCACATTGCTAAATTTTTTGTTTATTCAAAGGACTAGAGAGGGAAAATGGTCATTACAAACCCGCCTTGTCAAGGTTGTGAGGGGAATGGATCAGGTCAGTAACCTTATGGTGAGTAACCATGAGTAACCCGTCCACATCAGCATGACATCAGCATCCTCTCTCTCATGGAAAGCCTTTAATTTTTCCCTTTTTAATATTTGACGGACGATTTCTCGCTCATTTTAAGTTGAAATTTAATTTTTTTTGCACAGTTAGATCAGATTAATTGTGCTCTTCAAAATGATATCCACTTTAGTATATTTTTCGAACAAAAAAAATTGTGCCATTTTTTACCAGCCTATACCATATGGTATTGACTGGTATTGAAATAAAAGCATACCTATGTTTTGAAAAACGTACCATGGTGGTATGAACAAACCAATACTGTAGGATGGTTGAATACATGATAGTAGAAGTATATTAATTGTAATTTACGACTTTTAACATTGTATACCACACAATACCACCCCGTACCAGGGTGGTATTGTATGGTATTGTGTGGTATTTTTTGGTCCTGTAATTTGTTCACCCAGAAATTTGTAGATCCAATAGATCATGATGAACTCGTCCCTTCTGTGCAAACATTTTCAAAAACGAATTAAAAACGAAGAAGATACCATACAATACCACCCCGTATTGTGTGGTATTTTTTGGTCCTGTAATTTGTTCACCCAGAAATTTGTAGATCCAATAGATCATGATGAACTCATCCCTGCTGTGCAAACGTTTTCAAAAACGAATTAAAAATGAAGAAGATACCATATGGTATGCAGTTGGTACCGAGAGGCCAGAATTTTTTTTTCCTAAAAAAATATTGAAAATTGATCTCATTTTGTAGAGCACGGTGAACTCATTCCATCTGTGCAAAAAAAATTAAAATCCGAGTTAAAACGAAAAAGATATGAGTCAATTAAGAAAGCTAGTGAAAATAAAAATAGTTTTTAATTCTCCATCCTTAGATCTGGATTTTTTAAATGAAGGGTCCAGATTTGGTTATTGATGGGTGCATAACCCATGGTTATGCACCCTATCTTGAGCCGGTTGTGAGGGTTACTAATGACTCATTTGGTCGTTTACTAATCCTCTCAAAATGCTTACTAATTAATCAACATGTACTAATGGGCCTTAGAAAGTTTTTTAATGACCCCAAATGGTTTATGGTGATTATAAGGGGTGGCAATTGAAAGTCGCAATCACGGGTACCCGAACACTTCTATTCCAGTTAATAGGTAACCCTACAAAATTTTGTATGAGGATGGGGCGGGTATGGATTAAGGCTCCCCGCCGCATATTCGTCGCCCCAAGTGTATTTCTTCATATATAAAAATAGAGAGATCAAATAATAACCTAACAATAATAAGATAGATCGTTAAAATATAAATAAAGTGTTGAAATGTCATTGGGTGGTCACCCAAACCAAAAATGCCGATCAATATGTATGTTTAACCTGTGCAAACTGGAAGTCCGCAGTAGGCTTTCATTTGAAGAACATGTAGAAGAAAAGAACCACATAAAAATTCATACAAACCTCTACCCAACAACTTAAGTTATTTGATATTAAATGATTTGTTCGTTCACAGTAATTAGCCAGTGTTGTTGGTATTTCACAGAACAATATTCATTAAGCAACATCCATCTATATCAAAAGATATATGAACCTTCAACAATCATAAATAGCGAAGGAAGCACATAAATGGCGATCGAATAAGGGTTTTCTCTTGTGGTAAGATCACTAATCTTGAACATGAAAGTTTCCAGTTCAAATCGCTAAAAATATCACCCAACTTCAAAAAATAAAAACGTATAACACCCTTATAAGAAAAAAAACACATATTGATTAGAGCTATATATAGAGAGCTTTAAAGGTCAAAATTAAAATAGTAGAGTAGGTATGTATTAGAGTTATCTATAGGTGGTGCCACTGCCGTCGATGAGATTCTACTTCGACGCCGTCCGAATCCATGAGATGAAGCCCATCGTCCCTTACCATCCAGTGAATATCACGACAGCATATATCGCCCTTCAGCCCATCGTACGCATCGAAAGAACGACGCCGATCCTCCACCGCCAGCTTGCACCAAAACAGCGTAGCGTCGAGCGGGACGAACACCCAGCGCAGCTCAGAGCCTACTTCCACCACGTGGGCTCCCAAATCGTCGTCTTTGGACCGACAATGCACGATCAGCTTCCTATCGCTCAGCATGTTTACGACGGAAACCGACCTCGGTTGAAACATCTGGACTGTGGGACGTGCCGCCGCCGCAATCATCAAGGCAGCTGCCACGACGACCATCGCCGGACGTAGTTTTGAGGGGATCAGCAGCTGCCTCGACATGTTGGTGATCAATTCTTTTGAAGGGTATGTCCTTTTTCTCTCTCTGTGTATGTTTATACCTTCTTTCCTTCCTTTAGTTTTTGGCTGTATTTATAGTGCAAATAACGTCGTCGAAGAGCCAAAAGGCACGTTCAAAACGTGCAGAGGTGGTAATTGGAGGATGCATATGAGAGCTCAGTAGAAGAGCCTTCTGGACCTCTCTTGTCTCTCCAGTGTGTAACGATTCCTTCGCCCATCTTATTTGTCTGAGCTGTATTGTTGCTTTTGGATGGAATCGTGTGAGATAACGATAATAATGATAATAATTATTATTATTATATGTAAATATTTTTTTATACAGAAAACTTGTCGATTCTTCAGATACGAATCAAGGTAAGAGGGAAACAATTCCTTCCGTTGGACGAATATATCGATAGTTGCCCTACGGAAGGAATTATTGGTCCATATTCCATTGGGGTTGAAAAATATGGTTTATGAACGTGAAATATGATTAGATACCTTACAAAATGAAATTATGCGTAACATTTTCTTTCTTTTTTGTAATATTTTACAGTATTACGCATTTAAAAGTATGTACATCCAAACTTCTTGTCCAAAACTAATAATTCAGCTAATGATATGAATAATAGTCATTCTAAGGTAACCTAGCTTCAATGAGCTGGCTCCTAGCTGCTTCACGTCTGCATGCATGGCTGCGACCACGGGCTTCAGCGTTGGGCTATGGCTCGGAACTACAACACCAAGGCCCAACTGCTAATCCCTTGTGGGCCTCAAACACTTCGAGGATCCCCGAGATTTGATGTGCATATAGTGATACCAAATCCACCAATCCACTAAATTTCCAATTAACCCAATTTATTTAAATCAAATTCATTAGACTGAAATCCAATCAGATAGGTGAATTAATAGATAGTTGAATAATTATATTTAAGTACTTTTATTTATATATATTAAGTACTTATAAATTATATTTTTAATTGCTAGACCACATATTATGAGAGATCAGGTAACTTCGTTCTACCACTGTTATTTAGATTATGAATACATTATTTAAATTTTATGAATGGGTAGTTAATTTTTAAGTATCTGTTAAAAAAACGTATTATATAAATCTTCTATAATAATTAAGATATTACATAAAAAAATTATCGAGATATATATACCTGAACTATTTTGTAAATCATTTGATCATTTGGGTGTTGGCCTTTTTGATTGCCTTAGTCTTAGAATGACACCTTCAAGAAAAAAGAAAAAAGAGCCGACAAGACAGGTCGGATACACCAACATAACTGAATAAAAAGACATACAACATGAGCAGACAAAAACACGTACAAACAACAACAACCCTGTTGCTGTTATTAATTAGCTCGCGAGATCGACCCTCTTATTATTGCCTTGAATCAATTCTTAATCCAGTTTCCCCCACGACATGGTAGGCAATGTTTCTACTATACCGTACTGGTTCTGCACGTAAACTCCACTTTCCTCGACGAACCAAAAGTAATGATAGTTGTAAATTTTGGCCTTCTTACCTATGTAAGCGTCGAAAGAAAGAACCCCATAATCAGTGGCGTTCAGATCGCACCAAAACAGCGTTTCCGACCAACCCGGGTTGTTTCTGAAACTCCAAAAAATGCTGTCGCCGACGGCAATGTCATGTCTTCCGATATCGTCGTCTTTGGATTGACAGCGCGCCGTTACCTCGCTGGTCGGCAAACTATTCTCGATGTAAACTGACCCTTTGGTCGAGATCGAGGGACGTGCGGCCATAACCAACAACGCCGCCGCCAAAACAAAGCCCACTCGTAATTTGTTGGAGATTATTACCAGCTTCCTCATCGTCTTCGTGAATTTGGTAGATGGAGGATATGAACCGTTTTTTGTTTTTGTTTTTTTTTTTTGTTTTTGTGGGTTTATAGTATCTGTTTGTGAAGGGAAGATGGGCAGAAGAACTCCGGCTCTGACTCTCCTGAATCAATTTTCTAAAGGTGATATGGGTTTTGATTTCTTCGCCGTCGGTGGAATGGGATTGTTCTTCTACGGCGGCTGCCGTTTTGGGTCTCATGTGGCAAGTATATACTGTTGCCGGTCTATACCTTTCGCGAGGCATTACTGTAACCGGTAAAGTTGAGAGTTTTAGTGGTTTTGTATGATAGAGTTTTGTACCTTATTTTGTACCTTATTTTTTCTCATATTTTAATTGTTTTATTTTTAATTTTCGGTATCAATAAAATTGCAACTAATATTTTAAATGAACAAAATGTTAATCAACTAGTGTATGCATTCCTCTTAGCTTATAGCTAGAGACCGGTTACATAACTGTTGTGTATAACGTACTAATCGAGACTAGAAACCTGCCAGAAAGAAGAATAAAGTTTCGAGAAAAGATGAGAGAGAAATTTAGAGAGAGAAAACGCCCTCGCTCCTCAGGCTCTGGGAGTCGGAGAGATTCAGAGAGAGTGAGTTCCGGGGTTAGAGTCGGGAAGGGAAACTCTTTGTCTTCACCTTCTTCTTCCTTTGCGTGCAGGTTCCAGGTACGGGCGGCGGCGGACAGAGGTGGTAGGCCTCTGGGTAGTTGCAGAAGTCAGGTACAGATGGGTTCCAAACTTGTGACCATCATCAGAAAGAAGACGAAGAGTCAGGTGTGGTATCAAATCGAAGTCGAAAATCCTCATGGCAAAAAATGGTTCGTCATCCTAGACGACACGCAACTTTCATGGCTTCAAGGGACGATTCAGACCGCAGCAATGCAAGGATGGAGCATCCCAAGTGGATGCATCAAGAAAAGTAGGAACAGAACAGTACATGTCGGGATAGCCAACACACGGCGAGGTAGAGATCTTCAGATCTCTGAGCAAGTTCAGAGCGGGAGGATCTTCAAAATTCTCATTCCATCCTCAGATCACGTACATAAATGGGCAAAGGTCACTGCTCTACTCCAGGACTTTCACAAAAGGGAGCAACTCGTCAAAGCGCGGGAGTCACTGATCCAAGCAGTCGACCTCAATATTCCATCGGCTCCTTTCCACCCGTCCACATCTACGGGGAGCAAATCGTACGCCCAAGCAGTAAAAGGAGTTGGTTTCTATGGAGGTGGAAAGTGCGCGATCAAAGAAGACAATACCGGAAAGTTCATTGAAATTGGCACAGAGGGAGTCCAAGAAAGGAGGAACCTCCTGGGAAGAAGCATCGTCATTCAGTTTATTTCTGATCAGCAGCATTTCTTCACCAAAAATCTTATCAACGATTTCAGAATGTGGGCTAGGCACAGATGGGCAACTGATGATAATTTTGAGCTCGAAGATCTGGGAGACGGGAGGTGGCTGTTGGTCTGTCCCAATATCAACGAGGCTTTAAGAATCAAGGAATTAGACCACTTTAAGTTCAAATCTTTCAAGCTTCATCTATCAACATGGAACGAGGATTATTTGCAGGCCTCCCCACAGGATGAGTCCACCTGGTTAACAATCACGGGGATCCCTCTCCACCTTAAGAGTGTCAACCTGCTCAAAACTATTGGGGAATTCTGTGGCTCTTTCGTTGAGATTGACTGGGCATCGTGGAGCCTTCCTTTCACCCGCATCAGAGTATCAGTCATACACAACATACCCAGTGAGATTCCAGTTTCGTTCCAATCACACCGCTTCATTCTCAAGGTCCATGCACCGGTTCCGGCGGAGCTGGAGAACCAACGTCGAAGCAAATACCGCCAACCTGTGGGGAAGTCCAACAGTCAATCGGCCTCGTGCAAATCCCTAGAGCAAACTAGCCCCAGGCTGTCAGTCAGGAACACCAACAGCCAAAATTCGTTTACCGAGACTACAAAGCGCAAGGAGACGTGCATGGCTCCACCCAATCTCCTATCCCATGTTCCTAGCGGCGGCAGAGTAAAGGCAAATGCTAATCCCGGCCCAGGTCCACGAAAGCCCAAGAAGATGTGGATCAGGAAATTCGGCCCCTGCCCAAACCCTTTCACCAACCAGGAAAGCCTTGAGCCCACCCGCCTTACAAACCCGCTTCCCACCACTGATCTCAGCCTTTACCCATCCAAGCCCAACAACGATTATCCCACCTCCCTTTTCCAGTTTATATTCACACCAAGACCAAACCGTCAACCCAAACCGATTAATTTTCTATCCTTCACCCTATCCTTTACCACCACAGAAAACCTCTCCTTCCCTTTCAACGCAGACCATATCCCTTTACTCTCCTCCCCCGTCAAGAGAACCCAATCTACTCACCCCCCTACCCTTCCATCACCTAGAATTGTCGAGTTGGATAACGAAGATACCCAGCCACCCCAAACCCCCACACCATCATCACCTATTGAATCCACCTCCATCGTTCCCGCAACTCCGCAGACCCCAACCCAAACCCCAGCCCTAAACCTCAATCCTAGCCTCGACTTATCGTCCCTAAACTTTGATCCTAGCCTCGACCTACCGTCTCCTTCTTGTGTCCCAGATTCCCAGACTTGTGACTGGAACCTCAGTGATTTCCCGTTCGATGAAGCCACCCTCGTGAACACTAGCCTCGACCTTGCTAACCTCTTCTCTCTGGAACACTCCAAAGGCCAGGGGCAAACTACCAATATGATCATCGAGAAAGCCAAAGCAGTCCACCACAACAAAGTTCGTACCAAAAGATCCAAATTGGAAATGGAACAACATCGATTGAGCAACCCGGTGATGCCAAACCTAAATTCGGGCAGAAGCAAAAGGCAGGCAGGGAGACACTCCTCTTCAGCTAACCCATAATGGAAGACTCTGTTTTAGTATGGAACGTGAGGGGAATCGGTGACCCCAACAAACGAGCCAGAATCAAACATATCATCAGAAGACGCAACCCCAAGATCATTGGTCTGGTAGAAACCAAGCTTGACAGATGCGATGACAGTCTCATTCGCAGCCTTGGCGGTACTAGAGATTGCGGGTGGAAAGCCAAAGACGCGATCAACAGTTCAGGAGGTATTGTGGTTTACTGGGACAAAATCTCCTTCCAAGTTCTGTCGTGCCACATCAGCAACCATTTCCTAGCCCTAGAGCTCTTCGACCTCTCTTCGAACAAAGCGTGGAACCTTGCAATTGTATATGGGCCGCAGGAAAGAGATGACAAAATCAGATTCCTTGGAGAATTGGATAGCTACTGCCAACAGAGTACAAACCCAACATGTCTGATAGGAGATTTCAATATGGTGCGTAGCCACGAAGACTACCAGGGGGCAAGGCGAAGCAGCAACCTTATGATGGAACTGAACAATTTCATCGACAACAACACACTGATCGAGATGCCGTTAGGAGGAAGCAGGTTCACTTGGAGCAGGGGAGGCAACAATAGCTGCTTATCACGCATTGACAGGGCTTTCATCTCCCACAACTTTGACTCCATCTACCCTGAGTGCTCGCTGATGGCAATGGAAAGAGTATAATCTGATCACAACCCCCTCATTCTCAAATGGGGTGACAACGTACGAGTTCGACGACCATGGCGCTTTGAGAACATGTGGCTCGAAGATAGCAGATTCTTCGAGGGTATGGAAGTGTGGTGGAACTCTCAGGTCCAGGGACAAGGACTCATTTTCCTCTGGGCCAGGAAATTACAAGCTTTAAAGATCAAGATCAAATCATGGAATAAAGAAGTCTTCGGCAACGTTAACTACAAGATCAGCGAGCTTTTATCCGCAATCTCAGCTATTGATGGGTTGGAGGAATCTGGCCCTATTGATATTAATCTGAAAGCTACCAGGGATCTGCACAGAATCGAATTGGGGAGACTCCTTAACCTTCTCGAGATATCATGGAGACAAAAGTCAAGGGAAGTTTGGCTCAATAAGGGAGACAAAAATACCAACTTCTTCCACAAAGTGGCTAACTATAGAAGGAAGCTTAATAAAATCGACTGCATCAAAATCGGCGGAACTCTTGTAGAAGGCAGAGATGAGGTAGCTGCCAACCTAGTGGTCTTCTATCAGAATTTTTTCATGGAGAACACGCCTGACCGGCCTTTCCCAAGTATCTACAATAATGCCGCTATTTCCCATGGTGAGGCTCTCACTCTCACAAGACCCTTCAGTGAGAATGAAATTTGGGAATGCTTGATCGACTGCGACGGAAGTAAGGCGCCTGGCCCGGATGGCTTCACATGGGATTTCTACAAAAGGTGCTGGATTTGGATCAAAACCGATGTTGTTCGTGCTTTCTCCGAATTCCACTCCAAAGGCTTTCTCCCACAATGCGCCACGCACTCATTTCTATGCCTTCTCCCCAAGCGAGACGCGGTGGAGGATACCAAGGACTTGAGGCCAATCAGTTTGATGGGATCTATCAACAAACTAATCAGCAAGGTTCTAGCAACAAGACTTAGCTTACTACTGCCCAAAATCATCTCACACAGTCAACAAGCTTCTGTGAAAGGTCGGCAAATAGCAGACGCCGGGTTGATCGCCTTCGAACTTGTCGACAGCAGAAAGAGAAGCAAAAAACCTGGGCTCATGTTTAAGCTCGACATCGAGAAAGCCTTCGACAACGTGAACTGGGGATGTCTGTTTAAGGCTCTCTCGAGTGCAGGCTTCCCTGCAAAATGGCTAAACTGGATTAAAGGTACAATGTGCTCTCCTACGGTGTCCATCCTCATCAATGGCGAATCCAAAGGTTTCTTCCCTATGCAAAAAGGCCTCCGACAAGGTGACCCACTGTCCTCCGGCCTCTTTGTACTTGTCATGGACATTCTGGATTTTATGTTGTCCAAAGTTAAAGAAGCCGGCAAGATCAAGGGTTTCTCCATGACTGAAGGCGAGGATAGGGGTGAAGTCACACACCTCCTATTCGCAGACGACACTCTCGTTTTCTGCGAAGCTGCATATGACCAGGTTCTAAACATCATCGCCACACTCGTTTGCTTCCAAGCGGTTACAGGGCTCAATATTAACCTTGACAAAACAGTCATGTATACCGTCGGAGACGTTCCCAATCCAGAGTTCTTTGCTAATTTGTTTGGATGCAGATGGAGTACAGAACCCTCCAAGTATCTGGGGTTCCCGCTTGGAGCCAAACTCAACGCTGTCTCTACTTGGGATTCCATCATCGACAAATATCAGAAAAGGCTAGAAGGTTGGAAAAGCAGATTTCTCTCAATGGGGGGAAGAGTCATTCTCAACAAGTCAGTCCTATCTAGCCAAGCTGTCTACCTTTTCTCTCTGCTGAAGGCTCCAAAAACAATTATTAAGAGAATGGAGAGCATCCAACGGAGATTCATTTGGAGCGGGACAGCGGAACACTACAAAACCCCTCTGGTTAGCTGGGACTTGTGCAAGGCACCTCGATCCAAGGGTGGGTTGGGAATCACTGATCTGGCATGTTTCAACAGCGCAATGTTGGGTAAATGGCATTGGAGGTTTGCTACGGAGACTGACAAATGGTGGAGGAAGCTTATCGGCCAAAAATACCCAGATCCCCACTCTCAATGGCATTCTGGAAAGTGCAACAGCGGCTTCACCAACTCAGCTTGGGCTAATATAATGAAAGAGTTCAATAGCTTCTGGAAAATGACCTGCATTGATCCGGGTTGTGGAGCTTGGAGCTCTTTCTGGCACGACGTTTGGAACCCGGAAACCTCACTTGCAGCAAACTACCCGAGGGTCGCCGCCGCTTCATCCGATCCCAACGCCCGTATTTGCGACGTCCTCACACGCAACAGCGAAGGTACGAAGTGGGAAATATCTTTAAAGTTTGCTTTGAGAGGAGGAGCTGAGCGTGAACTCTCTAATCTTTTGGATTTTCTTAATCAACATGCTATTACTAGGGTATCAAGCGGGCCTAGTCGCCTTGTTTGGTTACCCGATCCAGAGAACTCCTTTTCTGTTCATTCCATGTACAGGACCCTCATGAAAAGCAGATTCCCAGGCATCCACAACTTCCCAGCCAAGTCAATCTGGAAAACCATCATCCCGAGCAAAATATGCATATTCATATGGCTGGCCACGTTGAAGAAGATTCAAACTCTCGATATTCTTAAGAAGAAAGGATGGTCCATCGCCAACAGATGCACACTCTGCGAGAAGGATGAAGAAAAGGCCGATCATATTTTCATTCATTGTGATTTTGCGAAAGAAGTCTGGCGTCGATGCAGAGAGGCATGCCCGAGAATTGACAACACCAATGCAGACCTCACCTCCACAGTCAGTGGGTGGCAATCAAGTTCCCCTAACAACACAGACGAATGGATCAATTACGGCGCTCTTCACGCCGTCTGCTGGCAGATATGGCTCGAAAGAAACAGACGAACTTTTCAAGATTCGAGACAGGAAGTAACAACCGTCGCCAGAAGAGCTTTTAAGTCCATGATCGAATGGCCGGTTGTAATGGGCAAAATCACCAAGGAAGAGGCACGACAGTGGCTGAACGAGAGGATCAGCAACCCTCTTCATTCGAACAGAGGCGTCTGTTCACAAGGCCGCCGTTTTATAAGCTGACTTGCCTGTTCTGTCCCGCTCCTTTTGTTTCAGTACTATGTCGCAGGTCGTTTCCTGGCGCTGGCTTGTGAGCAGTTTCTAGCTTCTTTGTGTGTTTTCGTTTAGGGTGTGCAGGGGCGTTCTGGTTCGCCAAGCCCCCCCTTTTTGTTTTCTTTGTTCTTCGTTCTTATCGTTCTTCTGGGTTTGTCTTTTCGCAGCACATCTTGTGCTGCTATTTCCTTTTTTCGTGTACAGACTCCTTCCTTTTGTTCTAATGCATTCATCATCATTATCAAAAAAAAAACTAATCGAGACTAACACAATATATACCTCAATGTATAGTGGCTACGTCACATCAATGATATTCAGAATATAAGATTGCCACTCGAAGTCCTTTTGATACTTGATCTTCAACTCCGGATCGTTTTTAAATCAATCATGAAGGAGCGGTTTCCGAAACTCAGCACGAGTAATTTTTTCGCCCTCATTATGATTGAATTTAAATTGCTAGAATTGTTTTTAAGTCAGTCATAGATAACTCCCTGTTTTAATTTCTTCCAATATCTTAAACTCTAAAAATACAAACAAGGTAGATGATTCTTTTCTTTTTTTTTTCTTCGACAAAAATCTATGCTTGCTGGATCGAGATCGAGCGACGCACACTCGCAATTTTGTGGAGATTATCAGCTTACTCTTCATCGTGTATGAATTTGGTAAATGGAGATATGAATCCGATCGTTTCGTTTTTTTTTTATATATACTTTTCGTGGGTCCTTTTACTATATATCCTCCCTTTTCTGGTTTTATAATTTATAGTGCCCGGAAAGATGAGCAGAAGCCCTCCGACTCTTACTCTCCTTAATCGATTTACTAAAATTGTATGATTTTGATTTCTTCGCCGTCGATCGTCGGTCAAATGGGAATGTTCTTCTATGACGGCGGCTGTCATTGTGCGATAATACGTACTTACAACTTACTAACACAATTACACAAATGACAAACACATTACATTAAACTTATGAAGCCATAGTGATTTCTTATTCAACAATTAAACAAACGTATGATACGTATCATATAAGTCTTTTGTACTTACTAAGACAATACGTAAAACTTATGAAGGTATTTTGTTCAAAATTTTTTGTGAATTATTTGATTTTCACTAAATTATTAAATAAGCAAATAATATTTAAAATATAATTAATTTTATCACTGCGAAAAATTAGTGATAATAAAATGGGTAATTGAGTCTAATTAGTTGAAACACCAAGTCTAATTTATTGAAGAAAAGTCAAAATAAGAAAAATATGGATAGATACTTTAAGAAATTGGTATAAAATGGACAAAATGCTTCGTCTCTCATAGTAATCATTGCAATGGGGCGGAATGAGAGGGTACCACGATACTCATGCCGCACTCCATACTACCGCGGGTCGGGTAATACACGCCCCATTTTAAATCAGGTCGGATAATGCCGAACATAGCGGATTCAAAATTTCATTCCTAGTCTCTCCTTTGCTGGTTGTAAAAAGTTCATTTGAGTGTTGGCCTTTAATACTGCCTTAATCTTAGAACGACACCTCCAAAAAAATGAGACACGTATTAACGAAACATTATAGAAAACTTAGATATTGATTCATGATAGTCGATAAGCTCTGTAAAAAAGAGGTTGGGAGACAGGTCGGATATACACAACATAACTGGTAAAAAGACATACAACATGAGCTGACAAAAACACAACAACAACAACAACAACGACCTTGTTATCAATTAGCTCGCGAGATCGACCTGTCTTCTTCGCTCGAATCAATTCTCAAAGTCAGTTTCCCCACGACTTGGTAGGCAATGGTTCTACTATACCGTACTGATTTCGCACATGAACTCCATCTTCCTCGACGAACCAAACGTAATGATAGTAGAGAACTCCGGCCTCATGACCTTTATAAGCGTCGAAAGAAAGAACCCCGTAATCCGTGGCGTTCAGATCGCACCAAAACAGCGTTTCCGACCAACCGTTGTCACCGAAACCCCAAGAAATGCTGTCGCCGACGGCAATGTCGTGTCTTCCGATGTCGTCGTCTCTTGATTGACACCGAGCCGTCACCTCGCTGGTCGGCAAACTATTCTCGATGTAAACTGATGCATCGGTCGAAGAGATCGAGGGACGTGCGGCCATAACCAACAACGCCGCTGCCAAAACCACGCCCGCTCGTAATTTTGTGGAGATTACCATTGATTTTTTGGTAGATGAAGGGATATGAATCCTTTTGTTTTTTGTCTGTTTTTTTATAGTGTCCGAATATGAGCAGAAGACCTCCTCAATTTCTTAAAGGTACGTATATGATTTTGATTTCTTCGCCGTGAACGGTGGAATGGGATTGTTCTTCTTACGTCGGCTGCCAATGCCAATGTGGGTCTCGTGCGGCAAGTATATACTGTTGCCGGTTTATACCTTTTGTGAGGCATTACTATAATCGGTAATTTTGAGAAAGAAAATGCATCTCAATTTTCGAGATAAGAAATCACGAGGTACAAGATACATACATACAAGGAAAACCATTGAAGCGGTCATGGTTATCGGTAGAGGCAGCAATTAGTATACAAATTTATGAATTCAATTCAATCCATTTAAATCTTATTTATTTGATCCAAATTTAATTGAATTGGTGGAGTCATAGATTTACCTGTGAATTCAAATGGCAAAATATAGTTTAGTATTTATACTTTTTGTGCTTTACATTTAGGTACCTAAAACTTATTTTTCGACGAAAAATTTTGTTGGAAAATTATGTTATGGTAACTAAAAAATTTCATCATGATATTTTAGGGCCTAAACATTTCGAACTTTATGTAATGGTCCAAGGTTTTGATGTCATTTCGATATATGAATCAATCCACCAATCCACAAATCTAATTCACCCATCTATGAATCCAATCCATTTGCCACCTTTAGTTACCGGCCCTATTTTACTGCTAGGGCTATGTAATTTATTCGAAATTTAGCATTTTTGGGAGAGGTTTAAATATAGATCTTATATAGCTTTTTTACATGTTTCCTCAATTAACAATTGTCAATTCATTTTTTTTTTTTGATAAGGGTGAGAATATATTAATTAAAGGGAAACGAGAACAAAATTCGGCCAGGAGTCACAAGAGGGTGACTCGGAGGGGCCAGAATCCCAGGGGGACCCAAAGACAAAAAATGAAAAGAAAACCAAAAACACAGAACAAGGAACAGCATAGTCCAAAGGAGCCAAAGCCGGCAGCCAGACCAGGAGCAAAAACCAAACAAAAGCAGGACCAAGGGGCCAAAGAAACAGAAAGAAACCACAGAATGGGACGCCAGACACAGCAGATCTCACGAGGGCAGCAGACAAATAGTTCCCGCCATTCACCAGAAAAGGAAGCAAACAGCGAATCAGCGGGTCAAGTTGTTCGAAAGCCAATCGGCGCCAAGTTCTCTGCTGATTTTCCTCTTGGCAATGACCCAATCCACAATCTTCCTGATGACCTTCTTTGAGAGAGCTCCATGTGCGATTTGCAGATTGTTGAAGATTCGATTATTTCTTTCTCGCCAAACAGCCCAGCAGACAGCATGAAGGCTGCAGAAGGCAACCCACTCCTCAACGCACTCCGGGGTGTCTGTCGTCCACTCTCTAATCACTGGGATAATATCAGCAGCAGGCCCCACAATGCTTGGGCAAACCGAACTAATACCACACCAGACTTTCTTCGTGTACTCGCAATCCACAAACAGATGGCGGATATTCTCTTCCTCCTTCTGACAAAGCTCGCACCGATTAGCAATTGCCCAGCCTCTCCTCTTGAGATTATCCAGGGTGAGAATCTTCTGATGATAGCAAATCCACAAGAAACCACAGATCTTGACGGGGATAACCGCCTTCCAAACCGCCTTGGCCGGAAAGTCGGCCACGCCCGGAAAGCGAGAATCCATCAGCTGCCTGTAGAAAGAGTGAACAGACAGAGAAGCATCTGGATTTGGCGACCACTCGATACGAGCGGGACCAAAACCCAATCTACTGAAAGCCTGTGAGTTAAGAAAATCAAGAAACATAATTCTTTCCCTCTCAGCCCCCCCACGAAGAGACACTCTCAAATTTAAATTAATATCACACCCCACACCCTCACCTGGTCGAAAAAGAACATCCGAGATCCAAGCATCAGGACATTGGGCGGCAGCAGCGACGCGGGGGAAGGAGTCAGCGAGAATCGTCTTAGGAATCCAGCAGTCGTGCCAGAAGGAGACCCAAGCTCCTCCTCCAGGATCGATGCAGGCAAATCCAGATGCTTTCAGGATTGATACTTTCTGGAATTGTCAATTCATTGGGTCAAGATTTTCACAAGTTAACCATACCTTGTGGTTATATTGATTAATAACATTGGAGGTTGTGACAATTTGAAAAAGAGACGTCTCAGTCAGAGCAGAACTTGATGTAATGTCAAGAACTAGTTCGTTTTGAGTACCTCGAGTTGGTAGGACACACAACATTAAATGACAACCAAATCATTAGTTTTTGAACTTTGCACGGATGGACCATATATTGAGCTCGGACAATCTATTAATACTAAGGCTCGCAATCAATGTAGTCGAATCATGCTCTAAAAATTAAAATTTTACGCTTTTACTCTTCTAGGTCACCAAAACGTTTAACCTTCCATATAAAAATTTCATAGTATAAACTCGAAAAAAATCCGCCAGCCATGTGGTGGAAGGGTACAAAAGCAATTAAAATCGCGCCTTCAAAGAGTACATGTTCTTGTTAGTCAAGACAACCTCTGATGCCACGTTAAAAACTAGTTTACTACTACACGATCAAAGTAATACTCAATCGAGAGAGATGAAACCTCCTGGATTGAGTATTCTTAATTAATTAGGGTTCCCTTTCTTCACATGAGATGAAATACTCTTTAACATTATAGGAAATTTTGATATGATTATGAAAGTTGAAAAGTTTCAGAAACTGCGCTGCGTACGCAGATAATGGATCCCCTTGACGGAAGCCTTAAGGAAACATTATAGAAAACCTAGTTGTCATTATGATAGTTGCAAGTTCCGAAAAAGGGGTCGAGACAGCTCGATCGGATACACAACATAACTACAGGAAAATAAAAAACATACAACATGATGAGCACGTACACGATAACAAAGACCCATTTATCAATTAGCTCGCAAGATCGAATCGAACTCCTTGTCGCATTGATCAGTTTCCCCACTTCTTGGTTGGCGATGGATCTACCATACCGATCAGGTTCCCCACATGAACTCCATCTTTCTCGACGAACCAATGGAGATGATAGTCGTAAAATTCGGCGTCGTTACCTCTGTAAGCGTCGAAAGAAAGAAGCCCATAATCAGTGGCATTCAGATCGCACCAGAACAGCGTTTCGTACGTAAAGACATCTCCGAAACTCCAAGCAATGCTGTCGCCGACGGCAATGTCGTGTCTACCGATGTCGTTGTCTTTGGATTGACAGCGCGCCGTTACCTCGCTGGTCGGCAATCTATTTCCGATGGAAACTGATCCCTTCTTCGAGATCGAGGGACGTGCGGCCATAACCAACAACGCCGCCACCAAAACCACGCCCACTCGTAATTTGTTGGAGATTAATAATAGCTTACTCATCTTCTTCGTGAATTTGGTAGATGGAGGATATGAAGTATGAACCCTTTTGTTTTTGTGGGTTTATATATAGTAGTATCTGTTTGTGATGGAAAGATGGGGAGAAGAACTCCGACTCTGACTCTCGGAAATCAATTTTGTAAAGGTGATGTGGGTTTGATTTCTTCGCCGTCGGTGGAATGGGATTGTCCTTCTACGGCGGCTGCCGCCGTGGGTCTCATGTGGCAAGTATATACTGTTGCCGGTCTATACCTTTCGCTAGGCATTACTATAACCGGTAAAGTTGAGAGTTTTGTACCTTATTCTTTCTCATATTTTAATTGTTTTATTTAAAAAGTCGTTATTGATTCTTTTATGGATATACGAGATGAAGGTTGGTGATTACTAGAATGTTGTCGTCTCGTACTGTCTAGACCACCATAATACTAATACAGTACAGGGATGGCAATGAGTCGGGTTAGGGCGGGTTATGCCAAACCCAAACTCATGGGTTTATCCACCAAAAAACTCAGGATAAAAGCTATTGAATTTGGAAAATTCAAACTCAACCCAATCCATGAATCGCTGTGTATCCGCGGAATCATGGATACCCATGGGTTCATGTCCAAAGATGCCATTACACTAGCTTTCACTACTATTATCTACTACATACACACTAACCCACAAATCATTGATACAAATTGTTCAATATTAAAGATAAACATCCACAAACAATATGATTAATTAAATGTGTGAGAAATTAGTTTAGAAATTACAGAAATTAGTTTAGAAATTACAGTTGATTAGTTAATGGTTACGTAGGTCATGGGGGTATGGACTTAGGTGCGGGTATCCATGGGTTAGAAACCCGAACCCGTCCCACAATCAATCAAAGCGGAATTTACCCGCGTTGACCGGATTGGGTCATATCATCCCTTTAATAGGGGGAAGGAAACTGAAAGTGCACCGAAATTCAACAAACAACAAAGGAATTTTTTTCTTTTGAAGAACAACAAAGGAATTGCAAGTCTAAGTCAAAAGCGGAGAAGGGGTTTTTCCTTTGTAAGCCTTGTGGGGGTCCTATAAATTTAGGCTTTCTCATCAAACATCTTCCTATGAGTTAGCATTCGGGTCGATCGAAAAGATGACAGGAGGCCGCAATTGGTCCCAAATACCGGGGGACGTTAAACCTGATAGCCAGAAAATTAAAAGCCTGCAAAGATCACGTCCGTCTCCAAGCCGTTTGCAAGCCATGGAGACACTTCTTCCGGCAGGAGAGCCCCAAAATATTTCGCCAGACCTTCCCGTGGCTAATGCTGCCTTACTGCCGCCGCCGCGATAAAGAAGACGACGACGAGCACAGTCATGCACAACAAGAGCATTGTAGAGGCGAACACTGCCGCTGCTTCCACGACGTCGTCACCAACGAGTTCCACCACCTCAGCTTCCCCGAAGCTTTCGGCAAAACCTGTCGAGGCTCCGGGTTCGGGTGGCTAGCCTTCACCCAGGACGACACCCCTTCATGTCAGTATATATTCAATAATATCTATTATTGAACCTCTTTCAACAACTCGAATTATTTGGACCCTGATAACAACGAAGGCGGTCTAGTACTGTCACTACAAAAAAGAGGAGGTTCGAGGACAACAAAAGTCGTCCCCGGAAATAAGAAAAATCGTCCCTATAGTTTTTAGGGACGATTAAGTCGTCCCCAATTTGTGGTTCCCTATACTCTTGTCCTCTATTCATTTGGGGACGACAAAAATTAAGGTCGTCCCCATTACTAGGGACGACAGTCGTCCCCAAAATTCGTGAATTATTGTTGTGTTTATTTGAATAAAAGACTACATGTCGTCCCTATAGCCCCAATTTTGATGACAAAAAGTCATCCCCAAACATTATTTTAAATGACAAAACGTCGTCCCTATAATTCATTTTATGGTAGTATTGTGGATATTTGAAGACAATATATTGTCCCTCTATTCTTTTTATAGGGTCAACATACCGTCTTCACATGTGTCCTAACTTATTTTGGGGGACGAAAAATTGTTAGCTACCCAGTGTTGTTACACGTACGTTATATATCTCTTGTTGAAAGAGTTAAACTGGAATATTACGTCTGGAGATCGCTTTTATGCAGACGTACAATTTTAAACTGCACAAAAACTAAACCGAGCAAATTAGGAGACCAAATCGATATGGCTTGCATTGAATTTGTTATGGTAGTAAACATACAATGATATTAGTGTTTCATAGGAATGCAAAAATTAATGCGCATGTACTTGTTACATACAAATAGAATAAGAAGCACAAAAAACCACCACAGCAAATATGGTGTCGCTGTGCATTGTGCCGTCATTCATCTCCGTTTTGCCGCCAGCATATGTGAAATCGATGTCGCTTTGCCTAATACCGTATCACGGATCGCCGCCAGCCCACCTCAGATACCTCTTCAATGTAACATAAACCAAGAGGCAAGAAGCATCTGCTATGTCTCCACAAGCTTTATCATCGATTTCGAGCCTAGAAGAAAAGAAAAGAGAAAACGTTGACGACAAAACAGATCTTAAGCTAATATATTGAATTAAAGACCGAAAACCAAGAAAAAGGAACTAATCTAAGTCCTACCATTGACTGGCCTCCGATGAAGAGGAGAGGGAGAGGCGCCGGTGAACATAGGGAGAGAGAATTGTCGGCGCTCAACGAAAAGAGAAACGATGAGTCGAACAAAGGGAATAGGCCATTCGGCCAGAAGAAGGTAAAGATTATAATGTAGCTAGGGTTTCCGTCTTAACTTAAATTTGAATGGACGCGCGGGATTAATTTTTTGAAAATGAACGCTTAAGATGAATTAGAGAGTTCTAGAAAAGTAGACTAATGTAGATGCGGTCCTGATTCCAACCCATGATGAGTCATTGTGATGTTATTTTCTAAAATCTTCAGTGTCCATTACTTTGTTTTGTTAAGATGACAATTTTATACAAATATAGATGCAGTGATGCTACTAAGTATTAATAGTTCTATATATATTTTGTTTTAATTTCACTGTTATAATATATTTTTATCTGAAGGAAGAAAGCTGTAATGTAAGTCGAATTTAAACTCTTCTTAATACTGATCGCAAAATTTTGATTTAAGGACAACAAAGATGTATCTTTCGAGAAAACAAATTGTTACCTATGTGACTTTTCTGGATGACCAAATGCCCCTTAAGTTGTGATTGTGAGGATGAAAAATTGTCACCTATCTAATTTTTTTGGAGGACTAGTGGTCCTTTGACCTATTTTGTTAGAGATAAGGAATTGTTTTTATTTAAATTGCAGGGTCGACCAATTATTTTTTACCATGTATTTTTAGGGACGATTAACTATCCTATATTTAACTCGTAGCGATCACTGTTGTCTTTTAACTTATGCCTTCGAAAATGACTAATTGTTTCCTAAATAACTTACAAGGATTGACCGGTTATCATTTAACTCGTATATTTGGAGACATCTTTATGTCACCTATCTTTGGGGAAATCTTAATATGAAAAGGAAAAAAAATTGGTACAAATATGAAAAGGAAAATAATAACACACCTTATAAACTTATAAGTAACTGGGACGCATATACTATGAAAAATTAAGAGCACACTTTTCTACTTTACCCAGACTTTTTCTGGGGACAACTACGAACTTAATAAAAGTTATTTTCTTACTTTTTGGGGACACCCTCAAAAGCTCGTCCCTTATTTTACTTAAATCATATTTCCTGAGACAAATTAGAATGCTTGTCCCCAATGTTTGTCCCCAATTCTTCCAAATTTTGTAGTGTGTATCTGTATGAAAATGATCCCGACGAGCATGATGAATGTGTGGGTGGCTTGCTCCCGAGAACGGCGGGGTTCGCGGTTTTCAAGCTGAATGAAGACGTGCTCGACTGGGAGAAAGTGGAGAGCATAGGCGACTACGCTTTGTTTTTGGGGATCGAGTCGGGGCCGCCGGTCTTCGTTTCGCCGGATGATTATCCCGGGTGTAGAGTGAATTGCATCTATTTCACGGACGACGGAAGTGAGTTTCACAAGGATGATTGTCATGGAGGCTACGACATTGGGGTTTATGACATCGGGGAAGACTGTTTAGAGACGTTCTCTTGTCGGGGCTTGTACGATCCTATCCTGATCTGGCCGCCGCCGGTTTGGGTTTTCCCGTGCATGTAATAATTGCTGGATGACGGTGGGGGAATTGTTGAGAGTACAAGGAGTAGCATGTGTAGCGTTGAGTAGTAAGTTTTAAGTTTTTTTTTTTTTTTAAAGTATTGTGAGTTTGCTTTTAGAGATTTCAAATTTCTACAATGTGCGGATATCAAAATTCTTATAATTAGAAAGATTTTATATTTTGATTCATGGGATTTTTTTTTCTTCCTTCTATCCCATTTTTTTATTACGAATAAACATGATTCTTAATATAAAATTATAATCTTTTGTTTTTCGTTGATTTTTTAAAAAAAATCAACAGTCTAACTTATTTGGAGTGTTTATTACAATCTATAGTTTTAGACTCATACTCTCCAAACTTGTGTGTTGTGCTCCCTTATCCGGTTTCCGGTTGGATATTGAATAATTTTTTATCTCAATAATCTAAACCTAAAGATGGGATTGGATTGTTTGCTATCTGTTCTCGGTCCGGGTTATACGGTCCAGTTTCGGGTAAAACCAAAAAAATCGGACCAAATAGCCACCCCTATTAGAGATGACACTACTCCATTTATATAGACTTTCCTATTTATAGGAACTCCATTGAAGTTAGCCTTAGAAACGCGAAACAAGCTTTTGACTTCTCCATAGTCACAGTTACAATTAGTCAACTAACAGAAGTCTAATGCTTCTAGGTGAGACATATATTATTCCACTTTGATCAGCCATGTATATGTCCAACAATCCCACCTAACTTTCACTCTTCATATGTTTTATTCATTCATTAGAATATGCATTAGGGGTTATTCATTCATTAGAATACTGCATGCCTAAATATTTACGATGCACCCACTAGTGACTTGTTAGTCAAACCGAGTCCTTGGTCCTCTTCCCCTCTTTCATTCCTAATTAACCTTCGAGGAAATCAGTATTGAATTACATGGCTGTTTCCCTCCACAACAGAACAAAGGAAGTATATAAGCTTCTATATGTATGTCCTCTTTTCTCTCAATCAATTCCATTCCTTATCCCTCCTTCTCTCCATCCCACTATGTCCACAAACACATTACTCCGGCGAAACCTCTCCCTAGCTCTGCCTCCAACTTCTCCTCTCCCCCCACCACCTCCACCGCCACCACGAGCCCCTCTGCTCTCGAGCTACGACGTCTTCCTCAGCTTCAGATGGGAAGACGTCAGAGGGAAGTTCGTCGACCACCTCTACGCCAGGCTCCAGGGCCTGAAGGTCGACGCCTTCATGGACGAGAAGAAGCTGGCGAGAGGGGAGGTCATCGAGAAATCGATACTGACTGCAATCGAGAGGTCGAGATTCTCCGTGGTCGTATTTTCTCTGAGGTATGCTGACTCGGAGTGGTGTCTGGATGAGCTGGTGAAGATAGTGAGGTGCGCGCAGAACAAGGGACACGTGGCGATGCCCGTGTTCTTCCACGTGTCACCGGACGACGTGGCGGGCCAGGCCGGGGTTTATGAGGAGGCATTTGTGAAACATGAGAAGGGGTTTAAGAGGAAGCGGGTTGAGAATTGGAGGAAGGCTTTGATTACCGTGGCTGGGATTTCTGGATGGTGTTTGGGCGAAAATGAGTAAGACAAGTCCACTCTCTTTTTTTTTTTTTTTCCAATTCTATTTTGTCTCTACTTGAGGAGACGGCCATGTGATCTTGGAGAAAATTAAAATATATGGTGGTTAGTGACCCAAGAAATAATTAAGTATGACCTTTGGGTTTAAAATAGATTAAAGTTGTAGTCTAGGGGCCAAAATTATAAATTTATTCTTTAGTATTTGCAAGACCAAGAACTGACTAACTACCACCATTTGGGGATTAAACTAAGACTATCCAACAACTCAACTTTTTTAGGCATTAGTCAATTTAATCACCTAACTATATAGTATTTGCCCAAAATAATCATTCAAATTGATTTTTTTTCTTTCTTTTTCACCTTATACTTGACCATAGCATCAATGATTAATCCTATGACACATTTTGATATGTAGATCAGAGGCAACATTAGTGGAAGAGATAAGCAAGACAATTCAACTCAAACTGAAGCAGATGGTTGAGAAATCCCAGACCAGGATTGCTTCGATTGCTAGCGTTGTCAACAGAATGAAGTCATCATGGACCAGATCGCCCACAGTGAAGGAAGTAAACTTGTTCTCCCACCAGATTCTGGAAGACATTGATGTTATAAGAGTGTGCGGATTGGGCGGTCTAGAGAGCACTAAGTCGGCAAAACTCGTCTACGATAATGTACTTGCCCACAGGGAATCACAACCCTCTGGCCGGTTTCGTTGTGAACCGACCTGGTCGGACCGGAACGACCCGGACTTAAAATGGAGCCGAAAGATATGGGACGAGGACGGAGACATCAACGCCGTGAGAACGAGTGGCGGGGACAAGAAGGTCCTGGCCATCGTCGATGACGTGGAGAAGCTGGAGGCACTGCTCCAGCTGGCGGCCAGGCTCGGTTGGTTCGGGTCGGGTAGCCAGGTCGTTGTCTCGGCCGTTGACGAGTCAAAGAAGATTCTTAAAGTGATCCACATTAGCATGGAGGGCCCCACGGGATGAGGAGGAGTTGGTGGTAATTGTAGTAAGAATTTGGACGTTGCTTGCTTTATGAAAGAGATGGTCAACGGCGGGGAATTGATGACGAGGTTGGTGAAATCGCTGAATAGAGGCGGTTTGCCGGCGGAGATGGTCGTTAAAGTTCGTATCGTGAAGTTCGTGGACGTTGTGATGGTGGACAACGGGAAGCTGGAAATAGTGACGGCTAGTCGTCATCCAAACCGACCTCCGGACACTATAGTATCGGTAAGTAAAAGTTAAATTTTTATTATTAGATATATGCTATTTCTAACTTATAAGCAATAGCGACCAATGTCATGGTTACTATATCCTTTTAGCAACCAAATGTGTGGTCGCAAAAAACAACTGAAACTGCAGTCGGCCACCAGTTTGTGCTTTTGGTGACCAATTGTTGTAGTAATTAATTCGAATTGCTGACGTTGATGTTACGAATTGATATGCAGAGAAGGGAAGATTTGGATGCTTATTACCCGATCGACGAGGAACGGAGTTATGGCGGCGAAGCAGAACTCGAGGAGAAGATGGCATCGAGGAATTCACAGCGACCAAGATTCATGGAGATTTCGTTCCTTATGTTTGCAATCGTGTTTGTTGTATCTGGGCTAGGCCCAAGAAGGCCGCCGGTGGCCGCCGCCGCCGCTCGGTATACGATTTCCGACTGGGGCCTCGAGAATTTTCTTAGTAGTGTGTGAGCACGTGAAATTATAGTTTAGGGCTTCAGGCTGGCAACATGGGGAGGAAAGGAGGGAAGAATGACACCCAAGAAAGATTGGAAGTACGTAGGTAGTCAACGGATTAATTGAACCTGTGTTTATTAGGTGTTTACAAGTAATCAACACTTGTTGTAAATGCAAAAAATTTGCCATTTTTTCTTGTAGTATCCACTCCAATTTTAATATTGTGGATACAAATACAGATTAAGTATAGTAACTTTTCAATGAAATTACTTTTATATCAATTGGTAGGGATATTACCATGTTTCAAGGATTTGTTAGATATGTATATTAATGATCGGTGGACAAAACTTAAAATATTAGGGATTAATCATCTTTATTCCTTTTCATCTAGCACATATACTTGTCCTAAGTCCTAACTTTAACTTCCCTTTAGATGGACCATTAGTCAACCATACATTTTCTACCAACTCCAAGCGATTGGTGAGACTTATTCCACTTCTCTAGCTATACCATATAATCCAAAACCCATCTCACTTGTTATTAGAGGTGGCAATTAGGATCCAAACTCATGAATCCAAACCATCCATCAAATTATCCACCTAATTCAATCCATTTGATCCAAATCCAATTGGATTGGTGGATTCATGAATCAATCCATGGATCCAAATGGCAAATTACGATTTGGTACCTATATTTTTTATATTTTACATTTTGATACCTAAAATTTATATTTTTACACGAAAAATATCATTGGAAAATTACATTTTGGTACCTAAAATTTTTCATTATGACATTTTAGTACCAAAATTTTTCAAATTTTACATTTTGGTCCAAGCCTTAGATGTCATTTGGATTCATGGATCAATCTACCAATCCATTGGATCCAATCCATGAATCCACCAATCCATTTGATCCATGGATCCGCCAATCCAATCCACGAATCCACGAATCCGATCCAATTGCCACCTCTACTAGTTATTGAAACAAATGTTTAGGGTGAATGAGATGCAACTTAGAAAAGAAAGGAACCACAAAAAAAAATCACTTCTTTAGTTTTATTTAACGGATTATATATCCAAAATGGTCACTAAACTTTGTTTTTTTTAGATAAGGGTGATATAGGTTATTTTTTGTAATTAGGTACTATTGAAGAGATACGAACCTGGGACCTCCAGGTTCAAGGTTAGTAGTATTACCACTAAACTTTGTTTACTGCAACTAGATCCCACACTAAATTTCAAAATGTGCCGAAGTTTTAACATTTACATTTTTTTTGCTCGGTCAACATAAATGGTCCTAGCTTGCCCTCTAACTCGAACGCGTGCTCACCGAGTCACCGTACCATTTCTTAACAAGGGAGAGGTTAATTTTAAGAGAACGAATGTTAATTGTTAAGTAACGAAATGAACATAAGCCATCACCACCTTATTGTTTTGAAAATTAGTGGTGATGTTTTTACGATATTAATCACAGTTTGGTGACCATTTTGACTTTTAATCCTTTTACTTAACATTAATTAAACTATACACCACCCCTACCCTAGCTGGCAGGTCAAACCGTGTCCCTTAGTCATCTCTCTCACTCGTAAGTCCAAACAACCTTCGAGGAAATTTAAGTCCAGATCTTTCTCATTTAAGTAGATCCATAACATAATACCCTTCTTACAATAAGCTTAGACCAACATTTTCTCACTTTGCTTCCCTTATCTATCTCCCTTTCTCCCAACCATGGCCAAAGATGCATCATCATCTCTCCAGCAGAATCTCTCCATAGGATTGCCCCCAACCACCCCTCCACCACCTCGGCCCCCGCTTCTTTCCCACTACGACGTCTTCCTCAGCTTCAGAGGGGAAGACGTCAGGGGAAAGTTCGTCGACCACCTCTACTCCAGACTCCGGGGTCTGAAGATCAACGTGTTCATGGATAGCAAGACGATGTCGAGAGGAGATGTCATCGAGAAGTCCATCCTCACAGCAATCGAGCGGTCGAGGGTCTTTGTGGTTCTGTTCTCTTCTCGGTATGCAGACTCCATGTGGTGCTTGGATGAGCTGGTGAAGATAATGAGATGCGCGAAAAGGAAGGGACACGTGGCTATGCCCGTCTTCTTCCACGTGTCACCAGACGATGTGGCGGGCCAGACCGGGGTCTACGAGGAGGCGTTCGTGAATCATGAGAAGGGTGGGTTCAAGAAGAAGAGGGTCGAGAATTGGAGGAAGGCATTGGTTGCCGTGGCTGGGATTTCTGGATGGTGTTTCGGCGAAAATGAGTAAGAACCCATCAAAGTCCACTCTCTTTCAATTTTTCAATTCCATCGGTCTTTCTTTATTCTTTTGTTTTGTTTTCGATTAGGTCGAGCATGTGAATATATAACGTGCGAACTTTTGACTTTGCATTATTGTTTGTATCATCGAAAGCAACGTCAAATATTTTAATAGGCAAGTGGTGTTTGAGACCCAACAACTAATTGAGTAACATACATTGGATTCCAAAAGCAATTATCCGAAATTCTTTGTTTTTGGTGCTCACAATCCTTTTATTGAATATAATCTTATGATCTAATCTATACGTTTGTTAGCAATTGTGTGGCAAGTATGTATTGCACGATACATGATGAGTTTCAAGATATCATATATCTTATAGGTGGAATCACGAGAATTAGAATTATGTTGTAATACAATTAGCAGCACACATTACTCAGCCGAATTCCCAAACTGTTTTCATTTAGCCTAGGGGTGTCAATTCGATTTGGTTAACAGAATCAAAATAATTAAAACCAAAAACTTATCTAAAATTTCCCAAAATTGAAACCAAAACCGTTAAGCCCCTTAACGGGTTTGGTTGCTTAATGGGTTTGGTTTTGGTTAGAACAAAATGAAAACTGTAAGTCTGTAACCTTTGTAATAGTTCGGTCTAAGAAATGTTTGATTATGGTTCTTTTTTTCATTTTCCATTTAAACCGAAACTGGTAAGATACAATCAGATTCGGGTATGAAACCCGTAAGGCCGTAACCAATAAAATTCTTATCGGTTCGATTTTGATTTTAAAAAAAAAAACCGATTTCCCAACCCTAAATTTACCCAAAACATCGGAGGAATATTTATTAGTGTTGAGAATATAATATAGTGTAAATTACTGATTGCCAAACGACTTCTTCAGTGTCCCAAATTAAATTATGGTGACACATTTCATCACGCAGATCAGAAGCAACCTTAGTGGAAGAGATGAGCAAGACAATCCAACTCAAGCTGAACGAGATCACCGCCGAAGAAGAAGAAGCCCATACCAAAATAACTCCCATAATGGCGACGACGACTCTCAAGGAAAAACACCTCTTCTCCTACCAAAACCTACAAGACATCGCCATCGTCAGGATCTGCGGATTGGGCGGCCTAGAAAGCACCAAGTCAGCAAAACTCGTGTACGACAATGTGCTCGCCCGCAGGGAATCACAACTCCCATCCACCACCAATCACAAAAACGACAAGACATTTCGACTCAAACCAACCCGGTCGGACCAGCAGGACCACCCGGAGCTGAAATGGACCCGGAAAGTATGGGACAACGACGGAGGAGACATCATCACCGCCGTGCGAACGAATCACACCGCCATCGGCGGGTACAAAAAGGTCCTGGCACTCGTCGACGACGTCGAGAAGCTGGAGTCGCTCCTCCGTTTCGCTGCGGTGATGGGTTGGTTGGGTTCGGGCAGCCGGATCGTCCTCTCGACCGTGGATGTTTCCAAGAAGATTCTCAAAGTGATCCACATATACATGGAGGGTCCCACAGGAGGAGAAAATGGTAATTGGGCTAATAATAATAATAAGTATTTGGACGTTGCTTGCTTTATGAAGGAGATGGTCAACGGCGGGGATCTAATGAAGAGGGTGGATAAATGTCTAGCCAATGGCGGTTTGCCGGCGGAGATCGACGTCAAGGTTCGTGTCGAGAGGTTCGACAACGTTGGGATGGTTGAGAACGGGAAGCTGGAGGTAGCGGCGACGGCGTCAGATAATGATGATGAAGAAGACGGTGAAAATGGAACATTGCTGGATGGGGAGATGTGGAAGAAGAAGAAGAGTAGTTCAGAGGGTAAACAACCAAGAGTAATGCAGGTTTCGATCCTTGTGTTCGCTGTTGTTTTCATTGTATCGAGAGTAGGCCCAAGAAGCCCAGTAGTCGCTTGATACATCCGGTTACGAAACCAACCCGGGCCATGAAGCTAAGTATTCCTAAATATGGACTAGCTAGCCCATTATGTTGGGTCTTTTGTGTGAGTAAGCCCAAGAAATTTTATTTTTTCAAGTGCACTGTTTAAATTTTGGGTAATACTTATTTATTAGCCAAATTTTTTTTAGATTATTTATTATTAACGAAATCTATTGAGTTATAAATAGTTAGCCAAATGTTAACTTTCGGTTAGCAATTTTGTTAGTAACATTGACTTGACAACATGATACTGACTTGTAAGAGATACATAGAGGTTAACATTCCAAATTTTAGTATTTTAACTAAGAAAAGAGTTATAAAATTATTAACGATAGCGTAATAATAGCTAATATATTGATACATTACAAAATATTCTCTAATTTTTAGTATTTCGATAGGTTAGCTAATAAAAAAGAATCCAAGAAAAAATTTGGCTAATAAATAGTCATAGCCCAAATTTTATTACGTGAAATATTATTCAAAGTATTCAAAATAAGAGAAATGTCTAAATTAGTAACACATGTCCCGCCTCACGCTATTACGCTTCAGATAATACCCGTCCCAACACAGATCAGATCGAGTAACACCCGTTTAGATTTCAAAATGCCATTTAAGACCAACTATTTTAATGACCATGTGATTATAATGTACAAATGCAATCCGTTTACTTACGGCTCGTTTGCTTGTTGGATTTGAAAATGAAGGTTTTGAGTTTTAAAAACCTTTGGATTTATGATGGATTTGTTGCATCATGGATTTGGAAGAGTACATTGTTTGTTTAGTTGATTTTTTATCATGGATTTGTGATGGATTTGTCTCACATTTTTTCCTTCTATTGTCAAATCCCAAATGAAATGTGGGATTTACAAATCCGTGGGGTCCACGGATTTGGATCTAAAAAAGTGGTCCAAATCCGTGGACCCCACGGATTTGTGTCCCTCAACAAACAAAGGATTTGTGTCAACTCCATGATGTTTGGGATTTGGGTTCCAAATCCATCACCCAAATCCCACAAGCAAACGACCCCTTAGTGTTTGTAGCCTAGATATCCAAGTTAAAATTCAAATCCAAATATAGTAGTCGGCTAGTTGCAGATTTTCCTTCAATCCTTTGGAAACAATCATATCGGATCCTATTAACTCATGACAAAGTTAAAGAGATAAAAAAAAGACCACTCATATCGATCCACTTGATAAAAGAAAAATATAATGTAAAATCCACCATTTCGATTGTTCCATTATTTAGTGCATGCTAATAATTTTTTAAGGTTAAAGCACCTTGTTTGATTGTTCCATTTCATTTCATTCGCTCCTTTTATCTCAGTGCTCATACTTTCTTCTGTCCGCCATCTATTAGACTGTTACCCACTCCCACTAGGCTCCCTCTTTTCATAAATGTGCTTCATGCCGCCGTAATTAACCACAACCAGAAACAACCATGAAGCTATACCTCGTCCTCCTCAATTGCTTGTTACTCACGGTAGGTCAAGTCGGCGGCCCGCTCCTCGCCAGAACCTACTTCCTCCACGGCGGCAAACGGCGATGGCTCTCCGCCTGGATCCTCACCTGCGGCTTCCCCATCATGCTCCTCCCTCTCGCAGTCTCTTACTACTCCCTCGCCGCGAAATCCAAAACGACACAATCCCCCGGCCGTTTCACTCTCACGAGATGGCTTTTCGCCGCGAGCGCCGTCCTCGGCATCCTCCTCGGGCTCGACAGCTACCTCTACTCCTTCGGAACCTCGTACCTCCCCGTCTCGGTCTCGTCCCTTTTGGGATCCACGCAGCTCGCCTTCACGGCGGTGTTCGCCTTCTTGATCGTGAAGCAGAAGTTCACACCTTACACCGTAAACGCCGTCGTACTGATGACGTTCGGCTCGGCTGTGCTGGGGTTTCACATGGACGGCGGTGTGGTCCCGAGAGGGGAGTCGGTTGAGAGATACGCGCTGGGGTTCTTCATGACGGTTGCCGCGGCGGCGCTGCATGGCTTCTTGATGACGGCGCTTGAGTATGTTCATACGAAGGCTGGGGTTCCTCTGACGTTTGACTTGGTCATGCAGGTTCAGTTCGTTATCTCGATGTTCGCCGCCGTTTTCTGCACCGTCCCCATGATCATCAACCGTGACTTCCAGGTAATTTGTAGTACTGCGCGACATCGACGACTGATTGATTCTTAACATGGTCGCGAAAAATTAAGGATTTTTTTTAACTTTTGCGAATTTGGTTGCGATAGCTTTGTTTTTCGCTTACCAATCACTATTTTGGTTGCATTAGGTATTTCGTAACGAGTCTATAGCGACCAATTATTTCAGTTGCAAAAGGTATTGATAACAAATTTACAACCTTTAGGGACCAGTTTTATTGGTTGCAAAAATCCTTCTTTCTTGTAGTGGTGTTTCATAAGAGAATTGCGTCGATCTTTCTTATTTTCAGGTTAAAACCTGGTCGGACCATTTTCAATCCAATCCAATCACGATTGAGACCGTTTTCAATCTAATTCAATTTTCGGTTGTAAAAAGATATTGATAACCAAATTAAGACCTTCAGGGACCAAATTATTGGTTGCAAAAAGCCTTCTTTCTTGTAGTGGCGTTTCATAAGAGAATTGGGTCGATCTTTCTGATTTTCAGGTTAAGACCTGGTCGGACAATTTTCAATCCAATCCAATCACGATTGAGACCGTTTTCAATCTAATTCAATTTTCAGTTGTAAATTCGGCATTTTCCCCTCGCAGGCTATGGCTAAAGAGGCGGTAGAGTTCGATCTCGGAGAAACCAAGTACTACATGACAATTCTGCTGGCGGCGGTGGCGCTCCAGCTCATGATCATAGGATCCATTGGGTTGGTTTTCAGCTCATCTTCCCTTTTCTCGGGGCTGGTAACGTCTTTTCTAGTCCCGACCCAACAGGTTTTCGCCGTGATTTTTCTCCGGGAAGGGTTCGACGCCGCGAAAGGGATGGCGCTGGCGATGTGCCTTTGGGGGTTCGCTTCTCATTTGTATGGCGAACATAAGGCGGCGGCAACCTCGGACAGCAAGCAACCAACACCGAGGAATCACGGTGATGAAGAAGATTGTCCTGCTGACGTGTAACCAAATGTTGTACGTCGCCATTATGATAAAGTTGTTCTCTAAGACATGATGCACCTTCTAATGCTCACGATAGGTTACGTGGCGGGGGGGAAAAACTATTGCACACTTCTATTTTAGTGCTTAAAGTAGAAGAAGAACCATTGGATTCCATCGAGCACCGAGAAACAAGAAGTGATTTGATGGGATTCCATCGAGTGCGCCCATTAGTCAGCACCCATTTATGTTCAACTAAGAAGAAAAAGGATGGTGGAATTGCCAATTGGAGATTATATATTTGTTTATATGAAAAAAGACAAATAGTTGTTATGTTTCCATGGATTCTATGAAGCTAAAATTTGTCTTTCAATGTCCTTTGAGTTTCCTAGACAACTTAGTGCTTTCCATCTCAGGCATCCCTACCACATCATTGAGTTTTAGCATGAGCTCTCCTTATCAAGCGTAGTGGAATTCACTGTCGATCCCTCAAATTATGAGTCATGTGACTCATGTCTACCAAATAATTCATGAATTCATTCATCCAATTGGATTTAGAATTAATGAATCGAACTAGTTGGATTTTTTTAATGAATGAATTAAATTGGATTCAAATTGTCACATCTAATCACATGACATTACCATTCGTAATAACTGATTCATTATTCACACTATGATGACTTACCACTCGTAACGACCCTATTAGATCATTCAGTTCCACCTCTAGATTCAATTAATTGGGGGATGCTAAATGTTTATATCAATGCTCGCTATTTCGTGCACCAGCCAGTATAATGGGGAAGTTGGAGAGAATCCAGAAGGACTTCATATGTTCAAGAGCGAGGCAAGAGAAGAAGATCCACCTTATGGCCAAGGAAACATGCAAGGCGCCAAAAATTTTTGGTGGTCTGGGAATCTCAAATTTAAAGATCTGGAATACAGTTTTGTTGGCCAAATGGCTATGGAGATTCTCCCATGAGAGAGATGAATGGTGGAGGGAACTGATAAATCTTAAATATCCTCATAAAGCCTCGGAGTGGATGGCGGGTGAGCTCAAGGGTCCTATAGGGTGAAGCCCCCTGCCCTTGGTCTCAAATCCTCAAAGTTTCAAAAGAATTTTGGAAACTTGCTTGGGTGGAACTGGGTGGAGGAGCGTGGTTCTCTTTCTGGTATGATGTATGGATCAAGGGACGACCCTCGTTAGCCAAATCTTTTCCACGGATGGTCGTTGCTGCTGAGTCGCCTTGCTGTCAAATCGTCGAAGTCCTGCATATTGGGGCGGGAAATCTATCTTGGGATTTAACCCATAATTACAGTCTTCGGGGTGGGGCTGAGGGTGAGAGAATTGATCTCTTAAATTTACTTCATAACATCCCCTTTAGTTTGTTTTCTGCAGGACCATCGAGACTAATTTGGGAGACGTCTTCAAGCACTGGCTTTCGAGTGAAGTCAATGTATGAGAAAATGATCGAAGAACAGAACAACTTTGGATCCGAGTTCCCTGCTGAAGCAGTTTGGCTGCAGGTCGTTCCTTTCAAAGTTTGTGTGTTCTAATGGCTGTTATACCACAACAAGATATTGACGCAGGACAATCTTAAGAAACGTGGATGGGTGCTGCCAAATCGATGCACCTTATGTTGCGAGGAAGAGGAAAGCGTAGGCCACCTTTTTTTGACCTGCAGGTTCTCACAAAGAGTGTGGCAGATCATGAGAAATTTTGTGAAGTTACTTGTGAATCGGACGTCGGGACTAGCTACTGAGAGAATGGAGTAGGAAAAAGCCAGACTGCCCTCAGGAATGGTGTTCGGGAATTTTCCTTCACGCATTGTGCTGGCGTGTTTGGCTTAAACGGAACAGCAAAGTATTCAGAGACATTGAGGAAACAGTCAACGTGGTTTGTATTAGAATTGGACGAGGCATGGTGGACTGGTTATGTGCCAATAAGAAGGTAGAAAGAGTCGTTGCAGAGGATTGGTTGAGGAAGTTGAGAACCCAGCAGTTGCCAAGAGCAGAAGTAACGCAACAATAATAAAGATTTGGAACCTTCCTCCTGCAAGTTGGATTGCTCTGGAACTAACTTTGGGACCTGCATTGTGAGGATCTCAACTGGGAAATCAGTGTCAACCTGATACATTTTTGTGCTTGCTCTTTATGTTTATTGGTTTTGGCTTCTTTTGGACCTTCGTTTGGATGTTTTTGTTTGATGGGAAGTGGTTTGCTGGCCTCCCTGTAGTTCTGGGTAGCTGTTTAGGTAGGCAGTTAATTTGTTTAATTTTATGTCCTTTTCGTAAATTAATAAAATATTTAACCATAAAAAGAAAGAGTGGTTTGCTGTTTGTGATAACAGTGGTTAGTTTAATAGAAGGAATATTTGAAATTATTTTGAATATTGCAATGATTTTTTAGGATTCAATATATAGTTGAAATATTAGGAAGATATTACATTGTCCCAAACTTGCAATTTACACTCACCTAAAATCTAGAGCAATTTAGCGTCCAATGTAACATTTGTTATGTCTCAAATTTTTGAGGTGTAGAATTGTAGTGTATACAAAGTATTGTGACCATTTCTATAATTAATCCCCCTGTTATCATCACCTCTGCTTCGGTCTCGTTATCTCGCTGCAGTCAAGAGGGGAAAAAGAACAACCACTTCGTCAGCCGCGAATTTCAGGGGGGGAAAAGATGGCGAAGGGCAAGAAAGAGCTGCTGTCGAAAGCGCCGTGGAGAGGAGACGACGACGATGGCGAGGCCGACAAGTTCAAAGACGCTAAGCTCAAAGTCACAAAGCAACCTGGCTCCGACGCCAAAATGCACCTCCCTGGCAAGAAGAAAGGCCGCCCCTCCGACTACGACGAAGACGACGACCAGCTCGAAATTGACCCGGAGCTTCGTTACAGCTTCCACCGCAATTACCAGGTCCTTAATTGAAAATTCCGCCCTTGCAATTGCTTCAGCTCGATTTTGAGCACTTTCTGTGTTAGTGGGTAGTTTCTGGGTTCGATTTTATTCGGATTGGAAGTGTGAAGTCGGAATTCCTAACTGGGTGTTGCTGGGTAGCTGCTCAATTGCGGAAAGCTTGCTGCTTTTCTGCATTCCTGTGGGTTTGATTCGTTTCAGGGGAAGCTTCTAGGTCTTCTGCATTTCTGTTGCTTAATTCAATTCGTGAGCTTCTAATTATGATGAGAACTGGCATTAGTCTGCAGCTTAGCTATGTCCATGTGTGTGTGGTTTTGCAGTTCCTTCAGAGAGTATTTAGCATTGATACAATAGTGAAGCCACTCCCACCTGCGATGGCTTACAATGTCTCTCGTAACTTGAGCTTCTTCACTCGCATCTTCACTCAGTTCTTTGGTAAGTCTTGGTTTCATATTATTACCAATTGACCATGGATAAGAATATAGTGTGTTGGTCCTGGTAGTTCTTTACTTGCCTGGCAACACCAGTAACGTCTTGAAAATTGGAACTGGACTAATGATAAGATCGAACTAAGCCCTGATTCTGAGATTAAGCTTTGATTTACGACCACTCTCAACTAGTTGGGGGATAATTTTGGTGAAAGACAGCACCTTTGCTACTGTTTGTGCGATTGAAAGAGTTGCTTGTTGGATTTTAACTTAGGGTACTTCGTTGTCCACTAATGGTGATCAACATGAACTGGTTTTGGATGAAATGATGATTAGTCAATCTCATCGAAGCTTTTTGGTTTTCCAGTATAGACATATCTTAGTTTCTGTAAGAGTTTGGTAATGATGATCATTAAGGTGAAACTTGTTGTAATCTTCAGACCCTGAAGGTATTGCAAATGCGCAGAAGTCACTTGGGTTAGGCCAAGAAGAGAAAGCTCGCAAAGTCCGTTGACCAGTTCCCTGATATCTTCCAGTATTTCCCTCTGTTCATCCATTTGTACTTTTCATGCAAGTAGTTCATTTGTGCTCTCAAAGAGGAGGACAATCCCAAATACTGCTATCAACTTTCAACTCCATGCTTTCTGAGCAGAGTTTTAAAATGTCATGTTCTTCTAGTGACGGATTGAGATCCGATTCTTGTTGGTTCCATTTCTCGTTCCTTGGCTTTTGCTTTAGCTCCATGACCATGAGCAACCCCAGATTTCATTTTGGGAGGGGTACATGTCTCTTGCTATGACCACACTCAATGAGAGTTGGAGAGCCATGAATGATCCAGATATTATACTGGTTTGGTTTGGTCTGGTGTTGAACCGAATAGGCTTAGTCGCTTAGGATCGACTCAAAGCAAAGTAGGGGAGGAGAGTTGCTTGAGAACCACCTTAGATATGGCTGGATGTTATGCGTGTTGGTTATGTTGATTGCTGTTCATGGACTTTACCTTTATGCAGTTTACTGTACAGCATTAGTAGTTCCCACCGGCTCTCTTGCCTGTGTATTACTCCTTCATCTAACAATCTAAACTCTTCTCAGTAAGAGATGGTTCCTGTATGCTCTTTCTCCTGTCACTCATTTTGTTCAGGCTTCCAACTGGAATATCACTGATTAGCTGTTGTATGATTTTATTGATAAATGTTGAAAATTATATCATATACTATATTCTTAAACCATTACCTGGCAAACAACTTAGAAACATACCTTTCATTTTTATTTCACATATTCTGGTCAAAGGACAGTTCATCATCATAATACCTGTAATTCTGCTAAGTATCCGCAATCTGTGTCCAGCTGTGCTACAAGACAGACCTGTATTATGATACATTACTTGACATGAAGATATGCTCCTATCCTGAGTTTATTTTATTTATATAGGTTGTTGTCTTTGTATGGGTTTCTTCAAACTATCATGTTTGATTCTCGTATTGTTTTTATCCATAATCCATTCTATAATTGTCCAAAACAAAATTCAATTTAGAGTAATTCCCTTCTCTTGTACTTTTCCCCACTAATTTTTCTTCTCTTTGGCACATTCCTTCGTCTTACCCGCCATAATTGAGGGGAAATTACCTATCTAGTATCTACCATCTATGAGAATGGATTATTTTCTTTTTATCAATACTTTGGACCGTTTTATGCATTAGTTTCACACATAAACATAAAATCAGAATGAGAGAAATACATTAAAACAATAAACATAAGTCATATTGACAAAATATGATGTTGACTACTTCTCATTTTATTTTTATTATCTGACTGAAACGCTAATTGATGACTGATTGACTACTGAATTGTGCAACGATAACCAAGTTGCATAAGAAGTCACATTTCAAGTTACTTAACATCCATCAACAATGCTCATAAATTGACGATGGAGCAAACACTCAGAATTAAAAAAGTGCCCTATGGGGTCATTCACTTTGGAGCAAGTAATTTTCACAAGATTTCACCTTCATTTTAGCAAATCGAACCTGATTTATGCATGATCCAACCATCGTTAGTAGTCTTCCTCACTTTCATCCATACAAACCTAACGAGATTGCAAGAAAACATATGTAGTAGTGAGTGAGAGGTCTTGTAATGAAATGTCTTTTTCATCATTCACAAACTAGTTTTTGGTTATCTCATATTCTCCTCCTCCTTCTCTCATCATGCACCACGTCTTTTTATCTTCTACAAAATGAACTCATTTGTCCATGTTCCATCCGTTGGACTTGGGAGGAAGAGACGAAAAATGAAAGAGACTAGAGAAAAGACTTTCATTTGACAAAAATGAAACGATTAAAAGGTGAAAGAGAAAGAACAGCAGCGTATAAACACCCAAAAACAACGGCATTAATTATCACTAACTGCAAATTTTCTGGCTACGATCGTGGAAAAAGAAGAGAAAATCATTTCCCCATTTTCCTTTCTCCTTTTACTTCCCTTCCATTCCAGCTCCTAAATTTTGTTCTTGGCATTTATAGCTGACGACGGAGCCAAAAAGAAAAACAAACCTGCTCCCACTTCCCTTATTCTTCTTCTACTACTGCTCCTCTCTCCATCTCTTTTCCACCTAATCGCTCACTTTTCCCCCTCAATCAGTTCCAAGTATCAAAGGAAAGATTTTTTTTTTCCCCTGGGTTCTGTAGAGAAAGGAGTTTGCTGAAATGGGTAACCTGATTTGCATGGCGAAGAAGGACGGTGGAAGCAAAGGTAATAATGGATCGAAGAGCAGCAGGAGGATGGGCGTGAACAGGTCGCAGAGGAAGTTATTGGCTGAAGAAGAGTTGCTCCACAGGCAAGCTCTGTCCATGGCGCTTCACCAGCACCAGTTGTCTCAGCGATTCGATAATGGATCCATGTCAAGAAGGATCGGGTCCACTAGCTCCCGCAGGAAAAATCTGCCTGATGCTGATGCTTTGGCCAATGGGGGGAAGCAGGTTTGTGGGAGTTGGAATTTAATTTATACCCTTTTGCCTTGCTCTTTAATCGAACTGTTTTGCTTTTTCTGTTGCTTTCCTCGTGAAGTTGGAAACTTTCTAGCTTTTTTTATGATTGGAGATCTGCTTATTGTGAAGTCACTGTTTTGGGGACTGAATGGGGGAAAGGGGAGAGGATTTCTGTTCAATTGGTTAATTTTTAAAGATTCACATGGATAATTAAGTGGAAGGAAAGTGGAAGTGGTTGATTCTTAAGAGTGGAGAGGAAAGGAATGGTCTTGAGAGCAAGTGAAGAGCTACAGGAGGATTTAGTTTGTTCAACAATAGGCAATAGATGATGGTTCTCCAATCTTAATGGAAAGATTCCAACTTTAGAGGGAAAAATTTGAAGAATTTATTGTGGGTGTTTGAAAGAAGTTGCACTTTTTGGATGTGGTAATCATAGATTAATGTTGAAGAAGCCATAAAGTGGTGGATCTAGGTCTTGGTGCGTTTAAGCTCTTTGTTTGCTTTTTTCATGGTGGTGAACTTTCTCCTTTTTCTTCCCAACTTTCTAATGATTACATTGATTATTTTCTGTGGCACTCCTGGGGGAATCTTCACTTCTGAGCACATTCTTATGTTCAGAAGATACATAGACATTGAAAAAGGTCATATTTGAACGATGGTGATTATCCCTTTTGTTTTATTATGAACATTTGGAGTTGGACATATAGGGAAAAGCTTGTAGTTTTCTTAGGTGGATGGTTGAGAGTCCCAACAGCCTTGGAGATACTGTTAGAATCTTATGCAGAAATGATTGTCGATCAGTTGACCTTGATGTAGAATGTTTCAGGTTTATATATATCAACTAGGGTAGTTTTAAATATATAAATGAAAAAGTATGTATGAGAATGAAATGATTCGTGGAACTTGCTGATATTGTTCTGTTTATGGGATTAATCTTTGCTTTGCATGTTTCCCTAACTACTTCTGTTCATCAGTTGCAAGTTCTATTTTGTCTGAGATTATGCTTTTCATTTTGTGAAGGATAAGGTGCCCGAGAACCTGGAAAATATCAAGATAAAGAAGTTTGTTCTGATACACGGAGAAGGTTTTGGCGCCTGGTGTTGGTATAAAACCATTGCTCAATTGGAGGAAGTAGGTCTTGTTCCAGTTGCCTTAGATCTAGCAGGATCTGGTATTGATACCACAGATACAAATTGCATTAAGACATTAGCAGAGTACTCGAAACCATTGATCAGCTATTTGGAAAACCTTCCGGAAGATGAAAAGGTTAGCTCATATCAGCATTTTGTCTAGTTTATAGAACCATTGAGATGTTTTGAGTTCTGCAGATTTTTGAAAGCCGGAATCTTTGACCTGCAGGTTATTTTGGTTGCTCACAGTACTGGAGGTGCATGCGTCTCTCATGCATTGGAGCTTTTCCCCGAAAAGATATCCAAAGCTATCTTTGTCTGTGCTACAATGGTGTCTGATGGTCAGAGACCATTTGATGTGTTTGCTGCAGAGGTAAGATAATTGAAATTTGAAGCTTGAAATGTTGGCATCCTTTGTATAAACATTAGAGATCATTGATATAAGAGAACAATTGGATGATAGATTAAGGTGAATGATAGTGTGCCCCTTTCTTCTGTGAGGAACTGGTCAAAAGCATCCGTTTGGGTGTGCAAAAAGTTGTGGAAATTGTGAAATCTCCCTTGTGTTAGCAATCCACTTCTACAGATCACTCATCCAAACCTATCTATTTGAAATTCATCCATTCCAACAGCCCATCTACTTTAGGAATCCTTCATTCTAATGACCCCTTAGAATGTTAAGGTAATTCGTCACTGTGAGCTTTATGGCAAATCACTTCATCAATGGCATCCTTTATGCATATGCATTAGTAGTTAAACCCTCATTTTCTTCGTTCATTTTTTTGCTTCTCGAGTTTTATTCTTTGCAATCTCTATAGTAGTGCTTATTTTTTCTCTATGCCTTTCAATAGCCAAAGTCTTGATGAACGATAATGACTGAAGTTCTCCTTTTGCAGCTCGGTTCTGCTGATCGCTTCATGCAGGAGTCGCCGTTTCTGATTCATGGGAATGGAAAGGACAATCCTCCCACAGGCTTCATGTTTGAAAAGCAGCTGATGAAAGGTCTATACTTCAATCAATCACCAACGAAGGTATGATTTTACTATCATTTATTGACGTCAATAATTTCATCAGATGCTCAAATGCTATCAGTAAAACATAACCATGGAGTTCTTCTGGCAGGATATTGCTCTTGCGATGGTTTCCATGAGACCCACGCCCCTAGGTCCAATCATGGAGAAGCTGTCACTAACACCGGAGAAATATGGTGCTTCTCGACGTTTCTATGTTCAGACGCTTGATGATCGTGCTCTCTCACCGGATGTTCAGGAGAAGCTGGTGGGGGAAAACCCGCCAGAAGGAGTGTTCAAGATCAAAGGGAGCGATCATTGCCCATTCTTTTCCAAGCCTCAGTCTCTGCACAAGATATTGGTTGAGATTGCTCAGATTGAGTAGGACTGCTGGTAAAAAAGAAAGAAGGACCTCAGGTTAACTTAAAAGTAGACAGTTCTTTGTAGATTGTACACAGTTCTTCTACCTCATTATACATATACTCCTTTGGATTGTTCTATTTGTCATCAAAATTATGGATATAGGAAAGGAAAGGAAAACTAGTGACATGTCAATGGTTTTAATTGGTTCAAGATATGACCACTGAAAGTCATAAATTTCTAGTAGATATTAGATTAGGGAGTGTTTCTCCTCCTTACTCCAAAACTTGAGATGCTGCCCTATATCAGAAGAACAGGTTGTTCCCTGTTACAGTTTCGTTTTCTGTGATTAGCCTGAAGCAATATCAAAACTGGCAATGCTTCAATGGCTGAAATGGAGTCTATAGCTTTCCATTCAGAGATGCATCAGTCAATGCATACACGAGGAAGAAAGAAACCAAAGCTTTTGTCTGTTATTACAAGCTCCATTGTAGATCCCCAGTTTTAGAATATCTGAAAATGACAACAATAACAAAGGGAAATTCTGCTTCTTCTCCTCCTCCTCCTCCTCCTCCTCCTCCTCTTTCCCCTGTAATTTTCCCTCCGAAAAATAGAGAGGGAAAATTATGGTACAAGTACAAGGATATAATGAAAAAGTGCTAACTTGCCCACAGTATTTTCGGAACAAACAAACAACTCCTTCGATCATATTCCCGCGCCGCTGGCGCGCCAAAGAAGATTTCTTCCGGCGCACAATTCGCCAAGCCGATTCCGTAGCGCCCTCTACCACTCTTTTAATATTAAAGCCGACCTGACCTACCCTTCTTCTGCTCTTTTCCCCCTTCGAGGAGTTTACCCAACGGAGACAGCAAAGAGCGATCGAGTAAGCTTTTCTGAATTCTAACGAAGGCGACGCCTTTTAGGGGTTTTCTCTGAATTCCAGTTTCTGGGTTTCTGACTTACAATCTCTAGCCTGTTGGGTTCGTTTGCTTGTTCTCTCTCTTTCTTCATCTGGGTTTTGTGACTTTGATATTGTGACCGCGTTTTTGTTTTTACGGTAAATACCTGATGGGTAACCTTTGGATTGGAGTTTGATATGCTTGATCGGTGGCTTTACACTGGTAAAATTAGTGACACGACTGTTTTTATTACTCTTGCTCAAAACTTGTAAGTGCTGCACTCCTGCTGTTTTATTGTGTATGCCTTTAAATTTGGGAAGGGTTTTGGTTCAAAATTAGAACTAGAAGGGATTAACTGATGGCCTGGCTGTTCAATACCCTACGCTTATCAGCTGCAGTAACTAAGGAGCTTTGTTTCAGTTCTTACTGGTGGTGGTGCATTAGATTATGACAGCTAATGTCTTATGTCAATGAAAATTGATCTTTTGACAGGTGATCTGCAACTGTTGCTAGAATGGGAGGAATTGCAATCGATGATGACTGGGAGTTTGCTTCACCTTCTACCGAAGACCCTTGGTCGATCGTTCTAGTTGGACGCACTGGTAACGGGAAGAGTGCAACAGGTAATAGCATTCTAAAGAGGAAAGCTTTCCAGTCCAAGAATAGTTCATCTGGGGTTACGCGTTCCTGTGAGTTGCAGTCGACTCTGTTGGGAGATGGTCAGATCCTCAATGTCATCGATACCCCTGGTATATGAGAGTCTATGTAGAAGTTTTGATTTTTCAATCTTATTCCTTTATCTACTCCTTTTAAGACAAGTTGATTTCTTTCTCCAGGGCTTTTTGATTTCTCTGTGGGGGCTGACTTTGCGCACAAGGAGATTGCCAAGTGCATCAACATGGCTAAGAATGGGATCCATGCTGTGGTCCTTGTGTTCTCTGTGAGGAATCGGTTTACCGAGGAAGAAGAGGCTACCATTCGTAACTTACAGTCGTTGTTCGGAAAGAAGATCATCGACTACATGGTTGTATTGTTCACTGGTGGAGATGAACTTGAAGATAATGATGAGACTCTAGAGGGTTATTTGGGTGATGATTGTCCTCGACCTCTAAAGGTTAATTCAAAACTTTTCTCGTGTCTTTAAAGTCCTTCGTGTGATCTTGCTGTAAATGGTTCTGATTAGTTGTTGATCTCATGCAGGAAATTCTGTCACTGTGTAAGAATCGGAAGGTTCTGTTTGATAACAAGACTAAAGACGAGTTCAAGAGAGCTGGACAGGTCGAGGAGCTTCTTGCCCTGGTTAACAATGTTGTGATGCAGAATGGTGGACGACCATACACGGATGACATATTCGTCGAAATGCAGGTGAGTAATAAGATATCAATAATGGTAACTTATACAATTGTTGTTCTATGGGTTTGACATTAAGTTCCGATCTTGATTTGTAAGACAAATTGGCATACCATAAAAGCGGGTAAATTGCAATCAGACTGTATGAGGTCAGTGAAATCAAACAACCTGGGATGGAGGTTGTTTAGCTTAGCTCCATTTTCCGACTAGCTTGGCCATGCCTTAATTTTTGAGAAGGATTTTTAATGTGCTCTATTCTTGTAATGATTGGTCTCTTACCTTAGTTTGTCTAGAAGCTGTCTTACGTATATTATGAGCTTTTCTAGATACAGATTACTCATCGAGGTATTGGATGTAATTAAGTACGTTCAATACTGTGATGTGTTTTATAATACATCTAATGATTCCAGTCCACAAATTTGACTTTATGCTAATTTGGGTTTACTTGATCGACGTTTTGCAGAAACATACTAAGATCATTCGTAACAAGCAAGCTGAGATTGAGGCCCTTCAAGTTCAGCACCACTCTTCTCAGGAAATAGCCGGTCTGAAACAGCTGATGCATGATCTGTACCAAGAACAGCTCAAACACATAACTGAGATGGTCGAGTCGAAGCTTCATGAGACAACAGTCAAACTCGAGCAGCAGCTGGCGAAGGAGCAAGCCGCACGTCTCAAGGCAGAGGAGTTCGCACAGCTGACTCACTTGCAGTCGAGCAACGAGATCCGCCAGCTGAGAGAGAACCTCGAGAGTGCCCGAGCGGAGACCGAGAGGCTCCGCGAGCAGGCAGAGAGGGAAACTGCGATCCTGTGGTTGAAACGAAGTCTCGTGAGGGCCCAGATGGGGACAGGGGAGATTCTGAAGAGGGCCGAGTCCCATTCTGCTGTTCTGTGGCTCCATAGGAGTTTGGAGAAGGCTGAGAAGGAGACTGTGGAGCTGTTGCATCAGGCTGAGAAGCATTCGGCGGTGTTGTGGATTAGGGAGAGTGTGAGGAAGCTGCAAGGGAAGCTGAGTAGCAATGCGAATCCGGGGGTTTGAGAGGCAATGCTGTGACTTGAGAGAGAGATCGACCAGTTTACTTGTTTGAGGATGTACAGAGTTTTCTTACTGGAGGTTTATTTTGCGGATTTTTTTAGGTTTTGGATGATAAATGATGCCTGGTTACTAGCTTCATGTAAATGTTTAAAGCTTTTAACAAGTGTTTCTCTATTCAGAATGCAAACATTGGTCGGTTGTTAGAGCATTTGTGTCTGGGTTTTTGTTATAGCAGGCTCTAACCATATGCTGCTGGAAAATGCATTCTCTCAACATGGCTGAAGGGTTAGCTTCTGGCAAGGGTAATAGATAAATACTTTTGTGAAACAACCTTTAATTATAAATCTACTAAGTTCATTAATTTTTGGATTAGAGTTAAGAGGCACACAAAAACAAAAATATATTCTAAATCTTATAATTTGGTCCCTTCACAGAAGTTCAATAAATCTTATAATCTTTAATTTTATGAATAATTTAGTCATTTTAAATTAAATCAATATTGAAGATGAGAGAACGCATCAAACCCACTGTACCTAAAGTGCAAAGAAAAAACATATTAGGTCTAAAGAGATTAATTAACTCACATATTGTAACTAAAGACTTATTTATTCATCTTTTTAACTTGCACAAAAGAATCAGCGAATTACCAAATTTAGGAGTCTATATGGAAATTTACCTAAAGTTAAGGGACTTAAATGCATTTTACCCTGATCCGGTACCAATTATCAGCTGCTGCTAGTAGTCTTCCCCGCCAAGCAAGCAAATATATATTGGCTAAGCAGAGTCCAAGATTCCGCCACGCCCGAACGTTCCGTTCAGTCTAGGTTAATCTTTCCCGGAAAGTTCGCCGCCTCCAATCAAGTTCACCGGGGAATAACTAGAGGTGAGAAGCAGCATCTCTTCTTCTGAATTTCTTACCAGCTCTTTACGCCGACTCTCGAGTTCTCTTCCTAAATTTGCGCGGTAAATACTGGGAAAGTTTCTGATGGGGTTTCATGCGATGATTGTCTATGTTTCTTGTTCGATTTGGCTTTGTCGCTTCTGGGTTTCCTTAGTATAGCGTTTGGCTGAACGATTGATCGATTCTGTTAGCTAGCTGGGACCAGGGTTTTTCACTTACCTTTCCTCTCTCTTTCCCCTTGTTACTGTTCTTGAGAATCGGTCACTGATCGAAGGTTTTGGCGTGTTGGATGTTAGTTTCTTGGTGGGTTTCTTCGTAAAAATCGATGGACAATCGTTCCTCTTTGTTCAAGTTCTAGGTAGAATGGTGGTTTCTGTAGGCTAAATAGAACCGGTGAAGCTTTGCCAGTTTTCCCTTTTGAGTATTGAATGTTTGTTGGCATAGTTTCGGACTGAACGCGGGATGATCGATTTCTGTGTTGCTGATGATGAAGGTTTACTGGGTCTCTGTGGTTGTTTCATTCTGCATTGTCAAAGCAAAAGATTATGAGTGTTTGTTATAATAGTTGTGGTTAAGTGCATATTTTCCTGCCCCTTTTTACTGTGTTATTCTGATATATCTTTTGATGGATGATTTGAATTTCTAGAAAGGAAGGATCATCAGATTTGCTTAGAATGGGAGGGTCTGCAATAGAAGATGAGTGGGAGTTAACCATGCCATCTAGTGAGCCTCGAACGATCGTGTTAGTTGGAAAAACTGGCAATGGGAAGAGTGCAACAGGAAACACCATTCTTGGAGAAAGAGTCTTCAAGTCTAGGACTAGTTCGTCTGGTGTTACAAGCAGCTGTGAATTGCAGACAACTGTCTTGGGACATGGTCAAATTGTCAGCGTTATTGATACTCCTGGTATGAAGTCCCAATTGTTTGCCTCCAGTATTTTGTGTTCAACACGGTCCCAATGTCCAATTTATATGCTTGCTGCCTTCTTTTTGTAGAGCTAGAAATTTGACTTGTAATTTTTGCCAGGACTTTTTGATGCTTCCATTGGATCTGATTTTATTGGCAAAGAAATAGTCAAATGCATCAATATGGCAAAAGATGGAATTCATGCAGTCATCCTTGTATTGACCGTGAGGAACCGCTTTTCGGAAGAGGAAGGAGCTGCAATTCGAAGCCTGCAGTCTTTGTTCGGGACAAAGATAGTCAACTACATGGTTGTAGTCTTCACTGGTGGAGATGATCTCGAGGAAAATGATGAAACTTTAGACGATTACCTGGGTCGTGATTGCCCTCAGTCTTTGAAGGTTAATAGCCTCTTATGACATCTCAATCCATTTCAGTAGGACTTTCTGCTTGTGTTTTCCTTTCAGGTTTCTTGCACCTTCTGTTGTCCTCTAAGATTCTCTATAGTGCCATGTAGGGCCTGTTAAGATTTAACTTTTTTTGTTGTTTGATTGAATTCAGCGCGTTTGCATCTGAATCTTTGGGGGTTGGGTTGAAAATTCTACTGGCTTCGAGGGTTGGAGCCATGAGGAGGATTTTTAGTACTCGTTCATAGCTGTTTTGCTTCACTGAAGATGAAATAATGATTTGTACAAGTTATTCAACTCATGCAGGAAATCATGTCACTATGTAACAATCGAGTTGTGCTTTTTGATAACAAGACTAAAGATGAACTGAAGAGAGTTGAACAGGTTAAGCAGCTGATGACACTTGTGGACAGTGTCATAGCACAGAATGATGGAAAACCTTACACAGATGATATCTTCATCGAGATGCAGGTTTGTCCCCTTTCTTTTTTCTTGATAAGAAACATCAGCATTGTGCTTTGATGCTGCTTCATTCCCTGTGATGTTGAAGTTAATGAATGATTGATATTTGCAGAAGGCAAAGATCCTGCGTGATAAAAAACATGAGGTCAATGCCCAGAACTTGAATGGTGCCTCTGATCAGGAACTGGTTAATCTGACAGCGGAAATGAACAAGGCATATGATGAACAGCTTAAACGCATTACTAAAATGGTACTTTTCCCCTTTCCCTTTCCCTGTTCTTCTCCTTCTCTTCACCTGTTCAATTCTTACTTAGGTCTGGTAAATTACATCAATGGCCATTGAACTCATAAGGCCACTAACAAACTGTTCACTGAACTTTAAACTGTAGACTAACTAAATAAACAACCATGCCATCTATCTCTGTGTCTTAGTTAAATTGCATGAGTTGACTCGGAAACTTGGAAATGACAGAGTGGCTGTTTCTTTTGTTAGTTCAAAGGCCAAAGTCTAGTGAAAGACGTGGCCCTGAAAGTCGTTGACCGTTTATGCAGATTAACCTTGCCCTATATTTTTCCCTTTAACACGATGGTGTGAAATAGGTCGAGGAAAAGCTGCGGGAGACGACAAGCAGGCTGGAGCAGCAACTGGCAGAGGAGCAAGCTGCACGACTGAGGGCAGAGGAGGTCGCCCAGATGGCCCAGTTGCAATCCAACGATGAAATCCGCCAGCTCCGGGAGAATCTAGAGAGAGCTCAGAAGGAAACCGAGGAGCTCCGCAAGAAGGCTGAGAAGGTGTGCACAATCCTCTGATGGAACTAAAGAGCAGTACACATTTGCTCTGTCGGGCTAATGTGTTGGCAGATACTCATTTTGCGTTCAAAGTTGTTGGACTCGGGATTCGGACTCAGGACTTTGGTTGAGGGCTCATGATGTGATGATGTCGAGATTTTAGTTCTGGTGTATATATGACCTTTCAAATTTCTGGGGCTTACTGGCTTTTGAGTGCTGAGCAGAGAGCTATGTATGCATGTCATATATGCGGTTTGATGTGGTATGTGGCAGATGTTGATGTACCCAGATCAAATCGTCTATAGATGAAGTATAATTCATGAAAGTTAATCTCTAACATCATATTCACTTTCATGCCGACTGTGATGACAAGATATGATGATTCATCAGCCAAGGTGGAGGTGGCTAGCTTCTAAAGTGAATGACCACGGTGTAAAATGAGATGCCAATCAGTTCAACGTTCAACTTGCTAGATCAGCAACAATTGCGAGATGTCAATCCACAAGAGATTACCTCTATGACAAAAAAAGAAAGAAAAAAAAATCCACAAGAGATTACCTTATTTGGGCCTTCGTGTTTATGCTAAATCATGCTCTGCCCCTGCCGAAGCAAAAATATTGGTCCAAGCAGAGTCCAATTCCAACTGTATAACTTCTCTCTACTCTGATGTTTCATCTACCCTTTTCCTTTCTTTTCACAGAACAGGAGACTAAGAGGTGAGAGGCAGCTTCTCTTCTGACTTGCCTACCCGTTTCCTCGCCGACTCTCCAGCTCCCTCACTCGCCATTGTTGTGGTAACAAACCCTGAAAATTGTTTCTTATTCGATGAGGGTGTTTATTTAGCATGTTGAATGGTATAGTTCCTTTGTGGGTTTGCATAGTCTTATATATGGTGGTGGTTTATGGATGTTCAGAATTTCCCAAAAATGGGAGGATGCTCCATTGAAGATGAGTGGGAGCTCACCTCACCATCTAGTGAAACTCGAACAATCGTTCTAGTTGGACGTACTGGTAACGGTAAGAGCGCAACAGGTAATACGATTCTCGGGGAAGAGGTCTTCGATTCGCAGCTCAGTTCATCTGGCGTCACCACTAGCTGCGAGCTGCAGATTGCTGTTTCGGAAGATGGCCAGATAGTCCATGTCATTGACACTCCTGGTACGAAGCTAAGCTTAATTAGTTGATACATTCACTTGATTCCTCCATATATAGCTCTGCTTTTTGCAGATCCTCTGCAGGAACTGATGTTTTTTTTCTTCTTCTGCAGGACTTTTCGATGTCTCCCTGGGACGCGATCGAATCGTGGAAGAGCTCGCCAAATGCATCAGCATAGCCAAACACGGGATCCACGCGGTCATCCTCGTGCTCTCGGTGAAGACTCGGTTTACAGAGGAGGAAGCAGCGACGATTCGCAACCTGCAGCATCTGTTCGGAAAGAAGATAGTCGAGTACATGATTGTTCTGTTCACCGGTGGAGATGAGCTCAAGAAGGGCAGAACTTTAGACGATTTTCTGGGCCGTAATTGTCCTCAGCCTTTAAAGGTTCCTTAATTCCCAGCCAAAACTTTCGCTTTTTTGGAATGTTGTTTTTTTGCTTCTCTGTAGTACTGATTTTTGCACTTGTTGAACTCATTCATGCATAGGAAATACTCTCACTCTGTCACAACCGGATGGTGTTGTTCGATAACAACACGAAGGATGAAGCGAAGAGAGCTGGACAGGTGAAGGAGCTCATGGCACTAGTGAACAATGTCGTGGTGGAGAACGGTGGGAGGCCCTACACAGACGATGTCTTCATCGAGATGCAGGTTTGTCGATGGTGATATACGAAATATTAATTAGCTCTGCCCCTGATGATGATACTTAGCTCAACTCGTCTGCTCGAGTAAATCGTATCGATGAATTTTGATGATACTGCAGAAACGTGACATGGTCCTGCTTGATAAGCAACATCAAGTGGATTCACTGAATTCAAACGGTGCAGCCACGAATGAGGAACTGGTTAAGCTGAAAGAGGAGATGATCAAGTCATACGACGATCAGCTTAAGCGAATCACTGAAATGGTTCTTCGATAATCGATATTAATTCCTGTTGATCATGTATTGTCTTTGCTTTGTGTCTATTTTTTCATACCACGAATTGTTTGATGTGTGTGAAATGTTAGATTGAGGAGAAGCTGAAGGTGACGGCTGAGAGGCTGGAGGAGGAGCAGGCTGCGCGATTTAAGGCAGAGGAAGCTCTGAAGGACGAGATTCGTATGCTTCGAGAGAAGCTTGAGAGATCTGAGAAGGTAGCCGAGGAGCTGCGTAAGGAGGCAGCTGATCGGAAGCAGTCTGAGAAGCAGCAGCCGAAGTGTGCAATCCTCTGAATGATGCACTCAGACTGGCGAGGAGCAGTGCACATTTTCGTCTGTGGGGCGGAGTTTTGTGTTGGGGAAATTTTCTTTTGTAAGTTTTGTGTTGGCTTCACAACTGAGGGTTCAGGGACTTGGTTCAGGGCTATGGATGTGTAGAAATTAAAGAGTGGAACACATCAAAGTTGGATCTTACTATTTTTACTTGACTGTGTAAGAAAGAAGTAGTTCGGATTTGGATGAAAGGGGGCACGGACCAATCGCTCGAGCGGTTCGGACGGTTAATCGGGTGCTCCTCTAATGAATCATTCGGTTTGTTGTAGGCAGCTTTTAATTAATTAATTTATCGAACCGAATTGATCATTGATCATAAGATTTATTTGGTATGATCGGATTCGATAAAAGATGAATCGATTTTCAAAATTGGTTTCTCAAACCCACCAACTAATCAATTCGAGTAACAATCCACCACACAAATTCTTCGCAAGCCAAAGCCCACCTATAAGCCAAAGCCCTCAAGATTTCACTTTCGTACCACTACAAAAAGACTGGTTTAGCGACGGGAATCAATTTCGTCGCGGAAGGGCATCATTTGCGACGGATTTATTTCCGTCGCAAATAGTAATAGTTTCGTGAACTTGTTGCGATACTGCATTTGCGACGGATAACTGGACTTTGGTGACGAATTCATCCGTCGCAAAATCTTATGTTTCTTGTAGTGATACACACGACTTAAAACATGCATAATTTCAATGAATCGTGTCACCACAACAAGCCCTCTTTAAACAACAAATTAAAACACTATTAAAGAAAAGTAATCATCAAATTAACCACTTAGGGTATTCATTCATTAACACAAACACACACCACAATCTACGTAGCTCACTTATTGTTTGAATCTCTTCCACATTACCACAGACTTATATATTAATAATCATTTCCATGCAATGCATGTTCGCGGATGTGCTTGCATGCGTCATGCTGACCATGAGAACACCATTATCAGCCAAGGTGGAGGTGGCCGTGGCCGGAATCCTTGTCGGCCGGAGTTGGAGACTCGTCGTGGTGGTGGTGGTGATGGCCGTGGTGGCTGCTGCTGCCGGCGCCGGAGGAAGCGAAAAGGTCCTGTGGCTGCTGCTGCGGCGGAGGATCCATCATTTGTGGAGCAAAGAAGTTGCGAGAAGCCGCCAGCGCGTGGATTGCATTCATCTCGGCTCCGCTCACCATGTTTGCTTCATGAACCCTCTCCACCTCCGCTATCTGTAATCAAAAAATTTCCCCATGAATCAAACCCAAATATTATCGATCGTAATTGTAATTAGTTGTTATTAACTTATGATTAATACATATATCAATAATAATTAATGACCGCGGCATTTATATGTGCACATTACCTTGGTGCGAAGACAGACACTTTCATTCTCCAGCTCAATCTCCTTTCACACAAGAAATTTATTAATTCTATTAGTCAATATTAGTATGTAGAACTTAATTTTAGATGGTAATTAATTTTGTTAGAAATAATAATTCTATTCATAATAGTTATTACCCTCTTCTGCAGATACTCAATTTCAGCTAGAAGCAGCTCATGCTGTAAAAAATGCCACAATAGTAAGCACAATATATTAATTAACCAAAGTAATTATCAAAATTTTAGCATGTAATAATTTATTTGTTTATACCTTCTTGGACCGGATTCGGTTGATTCCACGGTCGAGCCGGTTCTCGAGCTGCTTCAGCTCCTTCACAGACAGTGAACCCAAGGATTCCCCCATGAGGTGCCTGCAAAGCATGCTTAACATTCCAAAACACGCCCCACATTTTTATGGATTCTCTTCTTTGGTACCCAAAAGATAAAATATTAATTCAACTTGCCGCTAGGAAAGAAGAAGAAGAAAATATGGGTAGTGAATTCACCTATTGGAGTTCTGGAGCACCTGAATTTGTTGGCGCAGCTTTGCTGACTCCTGCTGGTAATACTGCAATAAAAACACACACATATTATTACATTTATCAAAAGTTCGATCTCATCCTCCATATTTCATAACATTTACAATGAAGTTCATTGAAAAGCAGTGGATGTTAATTTGTTTTCTTCAAAAGAAAGATAGATTCCACAATCTAGCACCACCATATATAATGGATCGTGAATTACAATGAGAGCATTGTGAAATGTAATGAGTTAGAATTTATCAAATATAATCATCATAAAGTTCATAATTCACCATCTAATTCTCGTAATAATCTGGCTAGAAGTAGATGTTAGATGTAATTACCTGAGCGTTAATTTCAGTTACAGAGGCAGTATGGGTGTTGTCGGAATTTGCCTTCTTGTACCTCTCTATTGTCGACTTGATGCTACTAATTAATTTTAAAAATAACACACCAAAGAAATATCATATAATCATCAGACAATATCGCATAATAAAATTACATTTATCACGACTCAACTCGATCCGGTTCACACACAACCAAAATTGATGCACAACCCTAATCATTACTATTGCTGAGCATCAGAAGAAACGATGGACAATGACTTTTTATTAGAGTTCCAAGGCGCTATAGACAGAGAGACAGCTTCATGTGTTGTTCTTGTGTGTAGAGAAACTGTGTCCATTGTTAAGTTGACTCAGAGTTTCCCTTTCCATGATACATTTTGTTTAACTCTCTAGAGGACTAAAGACACCAAGTAAAGAAAGGAGGGACATAGAAAAAGCAATGACAGAAAGAATATGAAGAAAAAAAGTGAATGAAAGTTCAATAATATTTAATAAGATATGGATGATCAGAAAGCCCTAGCTAGTGTAAGATAGGAGGAATAATGAAGCAAGCAGACACCAATATAAACTAAAGATATTATTTTCTTTATCAAAAGTCATATATTCAAAAGTCACTAATAGGTTGTTCGAGGTTATTTTTACCTACTAAAACCGCATACTAATTTATACTCGCCGATAAGAGCTTTTAACGATTCAATTGCCGTTACGATTTCATCTTATATCTATACCAAAATTATATGCTTTAAAAAGATACTACGTCCCAATTTACTTTTTCAAAATATGGGTGAAGATAAACTAATTTCAAATTTGTGAAAATTTCCATCTTTTTATTAATGAGGGACTTTGTAAAACAAAATTGATGAGGGACACCATTCCCATCCAGTTGTGGTAGTTGTATACAGAACTGCAGGCAAGAAATGGAATGTTTCAGAAGAGCAAAGTACTTCCAACTTTTCCTTCTGTTTTTGTGAAAGAAGATCTCTTCACCAATAGTTCAAATTACTCCACATCTCTCTCCCTCTCTTTTTATCAGCCCCAACAACTTTCTTCTTTCTTTCCCATTGTCTTAAATTTTGATTTCTTTTTGGTCCATTTATATAGCTCTTTTATTGTCATTTATGCACCTATATATTTATGGGTTTTTTCCTACTGTTCATCTGAACCTTGTTTTCTTGTCATTGTCAGTGTGGGTTGGGGCTGTAAGAACCCCAATTAGTGATTAGGTAAATATATGAGGGGAAAAAGTCACCAGTCTCCCTCACATAACTGGAAGTGGAAACCCTAGAGCTATAGCTAGACAAGAGTTGTCCAGGTTACCAATGTATAGCCTTGTGATAGGGTTTATCATAATAATATACTCAGAATAAGGTCATAATATCTAAAACCTCATATAAATAAACTCATACATGCTGTAATATTACTAATACTTCTCAGAAGACAAAAAAATCAAGAATCTCAAACTTGGAAATGGACAGAGAGAGAGTAGAGATGTTCTTATGAGGTTTTTGAAGCCAAAAATGGGAAAGGCTAACTATGAGAAGAAACTCACTTAACCCATAATGATCTAATAGTAGTTCAAGATTGCAACACCAAAAAGGGAATCCATGTTTCAGACTCCATATATATATATAGAAGAGTGAGATCAGTGGGTGCAGGCTAGCTGTTGCAATGCAAACAAAATCCAAAGAGTGCTGAACATAGTAAGTTATCATATATGTGACACAATTAACCAATATCCAATGGTTGACTTGTCTTTTCCTTCTTGTAGAGCTATATATTCAGCTTCTCTCATCATCATGCAAACAGAAAACTGACAAATGTGACTGTTTATATATACAGATTAGATGAGGTAAAAAGAATCAGGAGTAAGGAGAGAAAAGAAGGAAGGCTAGGTTCCTGTCAACCCACATTCTTCATAAACCATTTTCATCCAGACACACAGTGCACTGAATCTCTTGTAAAATTTCAGATTATGCCCCAATTTCATCTTTTCCCCATGCAGCTAGAGCTGATTAATTAGGTTAATAATTTTTATAATGATTTTATCCCGGGATGGGTATCATCCAACCTATTACCATTAGGTAAACCCTTTAGATGAAGTTAATTTTTTCTGCTTAAGAGCAATTTTTCACTTTATTCTTTTACATAATTAAGAACCCAAAAAACAATAACAACAACAACAACAAAAAAAAAAGATTTTTATGTGCTAGGGATTTATCCCTCACATTTGAGGGAACTAGAACTAGTAACCTTAGGTACTGCATTAAAAATATACACACATCCCCAACTAGAACTAGTAACCTAACGATTTAACTAGACCTAGTGGTTAAGTACAACCCTACAATTATTACTCCATAATTCTACTCCAAAGGTTAAGAAATACCCCATTTGTACGAAATGGGATTATGAGGTGCATAGATCTGGGTATGTAGATCATCGATCCATATATAGAATTAAAACTTAAATCACTAAACACAGTACTAATTAATTATACTAAGCTTATTGATTCTAAGATTAGCTTACTTGTTGTTGGAGTACTCATAGAGGCGGCCACGGCTGGAGAAGACAATGAGGGCAACCTCAGCATCACAAAGCACAGAGAGCTCATAGGCTTTCTTCAGCAGCCCATTCCTGCGCTTGCAGAACGTCACTTGGCGATTCGTCGTGTTCTCAATCCTCTTGATCTCGATCTTCCCCCTTCCCATGTTGCCGCTGCTTCTGTTGTTGATCTCTTCTTGATCTTCTCCAAACTCTACACTCCCTAAAAAGGGGAAAAGAGCATAAAGTAAGCATATTTGTGAGATCTACCTATAAGCAAAGGTAAGAATGAGAAAAGGGTTTCAAAGTTTTGGACTTTTCTCTTCAGATCTCGACGGAGGAGCCATTTTTGAGAGTTTTGGAGAAAACAAGAAGAATGAATGAAGAAGATAGGTGTAACTGTGTGTATGAAGTCTTATCATAGAGCTCTTAGCTAGCGAGAGCTTGCTAGGGAGACACAAAGTAACAAAGACCCATTTCTCCAGTACTGTCCTTTAACTGTTTTCATGGAGCTAGAATTACATGTGTAAAAAAAAGTGCAATGATTTTTTTCATTTTCTGGACCCAAAATGACAAAGGAAAAAACTTTCCTCATTTTGGACAATCAAGTACTTGTCCATGTTTTTCACTCCATCTCAGTTGAAATGGATGATTAAGATCAATTTAAGGCTTGTTAGCAAGCTAGATCGTTGCTACACATTAGCTACAAAGCTAGATTAAGGGGTATAGCCAAAAATTTAAAATCAACCCTTTTGATTAAAGAGAGAAAAGATTGGACCTTGCTCTAGTTTAGTAGGGTTTGTGTATGGGAAAGCCATGGAAACAACTATATCATATACAACAAAAGAAGTAGAGATCTCAAATCAGCTTATGCTATGGGATTAAACTCCCAAAAAGGATAAGAAAAACACAAGAGAGAGACAGAGAGAGGAAGAATTTGTAGGAAGAGAGAAAGAGAGATCTTGAGAAAGAAGAAGAAGAAGAAGAAGAAGATTTTGTTTCAGAAGGAGCTAAATTCTTGCTCCTTTTTTGGTGCTTTTTTACCCCTCTCTTCCTCCCTTCACAAGCTCTTATTCCTTTCTATGTTGGGTTATAAATACAAGAAAAACCAAGAGAGAGCAGCAAATTAAAATGGAAAAAAGCATGCAGAGGAGAACCAAAACCCAAGGAGAGAGCTAAAAAAAGATTTATTATTCTACAATAATGATGAATTGATGATGATGATGAAATGAGAGACTGATCAGAAAGTTCAGAGAGAAACCTGCAGCTGAGAGAGAGAGAGAGAGAAGAGATCAGCTGGCTGGTGAGAAGAGATCAGATATGAACTAAATGGAAAGTTTAGAATTCCAAAGAAACACACATCTCTCTCTCTCTCTCTCTCTCTTGCCCTTTCACTCTCGATTTATAGCTCTGTATTTTTCTTGCAATTCCTTCTTTACTTTCTTTTGCCTGTAAGTCTGTCTAACCCAGCACTTATATACAAGAAAAATTAAGTAAAGAGAGAGGTGGAAAAATGAAGAAATGGGGAAATAGAGAAAGCAACTTCTCCACCATTGCTGATCTTTGCAATAGGAAGTGTCTTTTTGGTTTCTTATCTTCTTCGTTTAGTTTAGTCTTCATTTTGTGTTTGTTACAAGGGAATAGAAGTTGATCATGAGTTAATATTGTTAAGTACTTACTCACGATTTTTTTTGGAAATTAATGGAGCATGCTTCCACATAAGATCTAGCTAAATTTTGATCGATTTTGACATAATTGTGCAATGTTTACTAACAATCTCATTAATTTTTAAATGAAATTTGCTTAATTATACGATTCTAATGTTAACTGATGATTCGATATCTAGCAAAATGACAGTTTTTTTAGTTAGTGTGATCTCTCAAGATTGTCAAGTTGTTAAATATTTAATTTTTGCAACAATTAAGCGGTTTTCAAAGGCATTTAAATATGTAAATAACAATTCGTTCAATTTTTTTATTCCTACAACGTTCAATCTGGTTCATAGGGCATATGTATACCATGATTCCTTAACGATAAACTTTTGTTGTTTGAAATCTAGCTCGACTCGCTAACAATAATTCACTAATTGCATAGATCAAAAGTCAAAAGATATATAAAATGTCAGTAGAGATTGAGGGCTACACTTACTCGAAGAATTCATATAAGTTTATAGTCTCAATTTATTAAAAATAATCGACTAATGAAATTCCAGTTGAAGTAGAGGGAGAAAAAAAGAAAGTGAATTTGATGAAAATAGATTAGTTTCTTTCTGAAGTTAGCTTTTGGCAAGGAAAGAGAGGGGTCATTGGGAAAGAATGTGAAGAGTGAGCTGTTGCTTTGCCAAAAACAAGCCCTAGATGTTGTTGTTTTAACTGAAAATGAACATCTTTTCCAGGTGTAAATTCACACCATATACTGCAATGCTGGTTAGGGTTCTTCATGAATCCAAAATTAAATTTCTTTGCTCGTCTAATTAAAACCCACCAATTGATTGACAAAATGAGAAAATTAGAAGTGGGATCGACAGGAATATAGCTGGGGCTCATTATCTTGGGAGTTAGTGAAATCTCTACGTGTTTAATTCAATCGTTAAATTTTGGACATAATTAGCTTTCGAATACATTTAGTTTCATTCCAATCATTTGAGTTATAGTTAGGAACAGCGAGAAATAAATTTCATATACATCGTCAAACTTCATCATAGCTGTCAAACAAAAGTTGGATGGTATTTACTGGGCTCAACACTTGAAAAGATCATTGTATATCGTTACATGACCACCGAACCATCCTATATGTGTTCAGCTATTGATCTTGTTGAACTTCATATGGGCATTATTAACATACGGTAATGACGGATTTGTGCAACAGTTCGCCAATGATTGAATTTTGTTCGGAGGAACGTTATAACAATGTAATTTAATGCATATTTTCTACTTTTTTCTGGCCATTTGAGCTATTGAGATAAATCGATGATACAACGAATAGCTTATGAGATAGTTTTATTGTCCGTCAAGTAATTAGTTAGTCTGATAGCACCTGCAGGAATATCTACCTTTGGTGTTTGTCAACTGTTTATACTTATTCAACGCTCAATTACGTAGACGCAAAACACTTAGAACGTGAAGTTTCAACTTGCTGCAAAAAGAAAGAAGACAGTAATGGCTTCTTGGTTGTAGGGTTTGTGGAGCATTGAAGTTAAGAAAATGACAAAGGCAGGCTGGCACAAACACAGACAAAGGTGCTAGGGTTTGAGGGGCATCAAATGACAAAAAAAAATTTGGTGTTGGGCTGAGATGGGCTTTGTGTCCAAAGAATTGGCCTCAAGTTGGGAGGAAAGAACATGGATTGTTACTACAGCCCAACATCATCTTCAAAACAAAAGTATAAAAAAATAAACTATTTTAAGGTTATTTTATTATGATCGCTTAACCGTTCATCACTTTGTGTGACCATTTATAACGAACAATCAATCATTGATATTGGTGTAAATGTTCTGTTAGCAAATCTAAACTATTCGCGAGATTAAGATTCTCAAACACAAGTACTGAGAAAATTTTTCATCAGATACATAGTTAAGCCAAATTTTTTTTTTTTTCTAATCGACCAACACGAGACCATAAATTCTTGACACACGAGATTACGATTCCCAATATATTAGAGGATTCTCGACAATGCACATACTAATTAACATGATATTTTTTGTAACTATAAAATAAACTAGAAAGATCTAAATTGACTTCAATCAGGTAAGTCAAACAAGTCGATCACACTCATATTCATCTAAAGAAAAGTCTATATTTACAAGAATCATAGAGCTATTATACATATTTTTGTAAGTATAAAAGAAACTAGAAAAATCTTAAGAATTAAGCTAGGCGTTGAATGAGTATGACGATATTTTGAATCGACTTCACGACATAAGCCAAACAAGGATCCTACTCACATTCATCGAAAGGAAAATCAACACATGCAAGAAGAATCGACCTACTATACATTATATCATTCCAAATTTCCAATCTCCTCCAAGGCTACAAGATTTGTTCAACTACAACACATGCATACTTGATACTTCTACCCACTAATACAATGCAAATTGGACCATTTATTGTTACTATTAATGAACTAATGCTTCTGTCAAAACAAAAAACAAAAAAAAAAGACACCATTTGATAGTTTAGTTGGTTGTGGTCTTGTGGATGAAGACCAAAACGAAGAGACCCTAAGAGAGGAAAGTGAAATATGGAATATTATGTGACGCAGCAAGGAAAACGACTGAAGTAATGGAGCATGGGTTCGTGAGGCAATATTTACTCCATGGCTGGAGTTCAGGGATCTGTAAGATCTTCCATTTACATCAAACGTACCATTCGTTCTGAGATCTGTAAAATCTTCCATGTGGGACGTAAACAAACACAAATTTATGGCAAAGAATAATATTCCCCAGTCTACCCTACAACTGATTTTGGCCATAGGTCATCATCACCTGCTTTAGCTCAACTTAATTAGCGGTAGAAGCTAAGACACTCTGTGTTAGTCAATGGTATAATCCACTACTGAATGTCTTCCAACAATTTAGATTAGATTATTGAGATCAATTGATTCTCGACAAGTGGTATATTTGAGCTCCTTGAATTGGGAGAACCACGATATACAACGTGAGATCCTACCTTATAGTTAAACACGCGTTGAAAACAAACGCACCTGCGATTTTGAAGCACAGGACGAACTCATGATTTTCAGACTACAAAATTTACCACCACACTACGCATCGGGTTTTGCTCAAAGATTTCTCTGGCTTTAGTTAACACTAAAAAGTTTATGAACAACGTTGATCATTACCAGTGCTTTCATATAAAAGTTGAATTTGTTTCACATCGTTAAAGGTGAAATTTCAATTGTGCAATAAACAAATTTGAGGAATTTGTACAAAAAGGAAAAGGAGTACAAATTGAATTTGCTATTCCATAAGGTTAATGTAAATGTTTAATTTGTACCATAAAGAAACTTGACGGAAGTAATTATAAGTAATATTTTTTAAAATTTAACTATCATTGACACAAGCTCGAAAATTTTGACTATACAGGTGTATTTTGTCCCCGATGTTTATCGGCATAGTATACCAGAGTTCTTACTTCTTATATATACACCTACACTACACAACTTCATTCCGAGCAAAACCAAACATTCCTTCGAGTTGAGAGCACGTACTGTACACTATATCAAAATGGTACAAGCGAAGAAGAAGTTCAGAGGCGTGAGGCAACGCCGTTGGGGCTCATGGGTCTCAGAGATTCGCCACCCGTTGCTGTAAAACACTAATCAAATCTCCCTTTCAACTCCATTCAAAATGCTGATCAGTCTTTCACTTCAAAATCCAATTTATATATATAACAATTTTCTTTGCATGGCTATAGGAAGACGAGGGTATGGCTGGGAACGTTCGAGACGGCGGACGAAGCGGCCAGAGCTTACGACGAAGCCGCCGTCCTCATGAGCGGCCGCAACGCCAAGACCAACTTTCCCTCTTCATCACCCGCCGCTAAAACGACGTCGGGTCTGAGCGCCAGGCTGCGGGAAAAGTACTGCGGCAAAGCGGTGTCGTCGTCTTCGCTGACTTGCTTGAGGCTGGATACTGAGAGCTGCCACATTGGTGTTTGGCAGAAGCGGGCCGGGGACTCGAAATGGGTCGTGAGGGTTGATGATCATCAGCTTGCTGCTGCTGGGAAGGCGGTGGAGGGAAGCGGTGGCGGTGGCGGCGGAGGAGGAGGAGAGTTTGGTGGTGGTTCTTCGTCGGACGACAAGGTAATTAGTAGTGTGGAAGAAGGAGGAATGTTAGAAGAAGAGGAAAGGGTTGCATTGCAAATGATAGAGGAGCTTCTTCATTAACTAATATATAGGGATTATAACTAGCTTAACTAATAAAAATTAGCGATTATTGGTGTCTTGATTGTTTTACGAAATTTGAGAATAATATTAATCAGTAACATAATAACTCGTTGATGATGAACATGAACAATTCTTTTTTCATAGCAGCTTTGTTGGAAGTTGTCTGGACTAAGCCGAGTTATTGTTTGAAACAACAAAGGCACCACTATACTTTTTCCTTAATGATTCTAAGTTGAATCTCTAATGAAGACTGAATAGAGATTCTTTCTATTGCAAATCTCAAGTGACTAGGCAATGCCATTTGGCTGAATGACGCAATTGATCAAAATGAAAATGCTGCTTATGAAGACGGTGGATTTCTAACTAACCTTTCCACTTGAGCACCCAAGTCAAATTGCAGCAGGAAACAGAACTCTGGACAGTTGCAGATTTGCCAATAAGAGCTCCTAAACCTGAGATCTATAATCAGAAAGCAGTTATCCAAGTCCAGAGCAGTTGATGAAGGGACAATAATCAACTCCTATGTAACTAATGATGAAAGAAACAAACCGACAGAAAAGAAAAACAAAAGGTCTTCAAAGTAGCTAGCAGCGGTACTTCTGATCCCTGCACAGAGAACAGGGTGCTTCTATCTCCAGGACAATGGTTTCCGATTCGAGACTTGCACCGTGAGCAAGCCATTGAAGCTCCAAATCATAAAGGCAGAGGAGTCCTATTTACCATTTCCACTATAAACCACAGCTTGTTGATCTTCAAAAGTCGAGCCACTTCTGGTAGTAGACACAAGTACCGGGAGAGATGACCCCATCAGGAGTACAGCTACTTATCCTTGGACATACCCCACAAGGTATGGACGCCATCGCCCCAATCCTAGGCTCTGCTGCAGCAGCAGCAGCAGCAGCAGCTCCAACTCTTCGCTTACCAATAGCTTTGTAGCAAACTTTCCCCACCTTTATACCCGCGAACTCCCCCATCCCGTTGCTCTCCACTTCCATCACCTCGTTGTCCAGAACCAGAGCACCAAAGATCTCTTCAAAGTGATTTTTCTTCAAATCGGCTTTGAACGCCCCGCTAGCCTTGACTGAGTCCATCACACTCTCCACTGTAGCCACCTTTAGCTGTTTTATCTTCTGCGAGCATAATTTTTTTACAGCATTGATGAAATCCACATCGAGGTTCCCATCGTCGTACCATGCCCCACCCGTTAGTTCCGGGGAAGGTTCGAACTCTGCTGCCAGGTAGGTCTTCCTCGTCTTGTTCTGGACGTTGACCACTTCCTTGATCATGCCCTTGTCCAGGAGGGATTTGATGGATTTGTTGACAATGGTGTCTTGGAGATTCGAGGATCGCTTGATGTCTCGCACCCATATTCCCATATTCTCTTTTTCGTGGATCAGCTTGTAGACGACTCTCTCTTGATCGGTCATACCCTGAGAGTTTGAGTCCGGGCGCTTTCGTTTCAGGGCGGAAGGTGATTGCAATCGACTCATCTCTGGTCAGAGAACATCAAAGTAAGGATCTTCAGCGAAAAAGAAAACTCAAATTAAGTATGAATCCACAGCAAACCCCAATCTATCACCTAGCAGTTAACAGAAAGCTATCTACACTACCCCCTAGCCAGACCCATTCTTCAGAGGAGCAAATCATCAAACAGGTTATGTGCATCAGAGACGCAGCAAAGAGGAACAAGCCTATACACCCAACTAACATCAAAGTTATCCAATTTCAACGAAAACACTACGAGGGAAACGCAATTTGGAAGAAACCCAACCGATATTCCGATACTATTTAGCGCTAGAATCGCACATGAACGCTTACCTGCACTCTCCTGCACCACTTAATCACCCGCCGAATCCCCAAACAACTGCTCTTTTCCTCGCACAAAGCTTTTGGATTTCGAAGGTAACTGCCGAGTGAGAAATCAAAACCGTTATCCAAAATGAAATCGATTCGTAGGGTTCTTCTGCTACCTTGCGCCACAACTGTTAGCGCGGCACCGGCGAGCTATTAGTATTCGATTGAGTAGCTCAGTAGCCACGTATTTTACATCTATAGACACTGAGCTTTTTCCTGAATGCGTTTTAATACTCAAATTCACACTGTAGTTCAAAATTTCGCATCAAATTTTGGGCTGATTTTGTTAGGCCCAGTAAGAAACCAAACAAAAGATTCAGCCATTTCAGTCAAGCATAAAACGACACCGTGTGCCACCTTGGATTGCTCTGATTGGAACGACGGGCGGAGCTAGAAATGGCAGTCCATCTCCGCCATCGTCGCTTCCCATGAAAATTGACCGACTTTGGCTCTCTCCTTGCTGCCAGTCTCCTTCCACTACTAAAACCCCATTCCTCAACTGCAATCTTTCTCCCTTCACCGGTCACCGCCGCTTCTCCTCCGTCGTTCCTCTCCTGAGGTATGCCGTCTTATATCTCTCTTCCGTTTGTTTTGTTACTTGGGTCGATCGGCGTTTTCCTCGTTCTGTTTGTCCGTTTGGTTCAGGATTCCGAAAATCCTCCGTTTCGGGGTTCTTCGATCTCTTCCTTGTTCTGGGTCTCTGCGAATTTTCTGACCTGATGATGGGGGAGTTGTTGGTGATCATCCATCCAACTCCAAATGTCACTGAATTTTGATTTTTTGTTTAAGATTTACGTGGGGTTTCTTGATTTCTGTTGTTTTGCAATTATGATGAAAATGGACGGAGTTCAATTGTTGGTCATCGGGACTCTCAGTCAGATGAAGTGCTTTTCAGGATTATCTCCATGATTCTAGGTGAAAATAGAAATGATTCCTCTATTCTGACTGTTCTGTTTGTTTGGTGAAGCGAGGGAAACATGAACAAAGAAATGGGGAACAGCACCAAGTTCTTGGAGTTAGTGAAGGAGAGATCAATGTCTAAGAAGGTGGAGGATGAAGGGAAGGAGAAACAAGTCTCTTCTTACCTTGACAAAGATTGCATCACAAGCATTCTCATGAAGCTACCGCTTGAGTCACTGCCATCTTCGAGGTTTGTTTGCAAGGCGTGGTACGATATCATCAACAGCCTTCCCTTCATCAACAACCGTCTTGAGCAGTCTGAATCCGTTTTGATATACGTGAAACCGATCCCCATGGGTAGCTCCCATCATTATTCCTCTCCAACATCAACATCTTCGAACCGGGGAAACAAGTTTTCAGTTGAAGGGAAAGTGCTTCAATCACAAACGCTCAACATGTTTGCATATCAGATGGCTAATAGATCTTCCAAATTTAGCATCAACTTTGTTGAGTGCAGAGAAGGGAAAGGTGTTACTGGCGATTATGGGATCGAATGCCTGGGTAGCATTAGAGCAGCATGCAATGGTTTCATCCTGCTAGACAATAGACTCAAAAAAGGAGGGGTCTTGGTCATGAACCCTGTCACCAGGAAGCTCCTTGCTCTTCCTGTGGGTACATTGACTCGTCCTGAATGGGAATCATACGGATTTTCCTTGACCGGTGGCAGGTACAAGGTGGTCCACTTGTTCATGGACGACATGAAATACATTGCCTGCGAGACACTCAACCTCGGCTCAAGATCATGGAAGCCAGTGAACGGACCTCCCTCTGGGCGGCTTCCTCGTTTTGGTTTCAGTCCTGTCTCGGCCATTGGAGCGCTGCATTGGCTTCCAACTCTTTCTTCTGACAACAACTTCACAGTGTCTATGGATCTGGAAACTGAGAAGTTCCACCTCGTACCGCTCCCCAAGATTTGTGGGACCCACGATCGGATTCTCGAAATGGGCAGCCTCTTGGGGTTCATCACTCATGAGGATCTCCACATAGATGTATGGAAGCTGAAGAGTGTTGTAGGCCAGGGTGATGATGCCGTGTGGACGAAGCACCATAAGATTACCAGAGGCAGCTTAATCGACATGGTCCCCTTGTTTTGCTTGAGGATCAAGGGAGATGTGATCTTCAAGAGGCATGAAGGTGGTTCGGTTTATTCGTACGATTTTGAGTCAGAGACAATGACTATGGTTGAGATGGATGAGATGGATGAGGAGTTTCGATTCTATGCCAATTTGCTGCCTCATGTCAACAGCCTTGGTTCTTGGACTGCTGCTACTCAGAATCTGATGTGAATCGATTGTTGATGATGATGAGTCTTTTACATACATTGTTTTGGTATACTGCTTGTCAATTCCACTCCCTAGATTTACTTTCTCGTCAATATATTGTGTTGAACAGATCTAGCAGTTGCTTATGGCCATATCATATCATGCATTGATAAACCAAACTGTCCTGCAGTCTTGTTTTGTGATACCTCTTGGTCTGAGTGAAGGTAAATTTCAGCCGCTTTAACATCCGTTTTGAGATGTTACTGTATGATTTCTTTAGGATCTATGACTTTTGCAATTTGCAAACAATTCGAGCTTTTAGAACGAATTAATGCCATGAAGAACTAAAACGTTGCATCTTCAGCTCTCAATAGCCCTTTGTATTATAAGTTAATTTGAACATAAGATATTGCTACGGGTTGTTTGAATGCGGGATTATGACGGATCAATTTCATCTAATTATTACATTTTGAGACAATTGGACCAGATTAAACAATAGCATAAATTTGAATTGTCTAATTTAATCTGAATTTTTTTTTTTGGATCGATTAGTTTTTTCAGACTAGATAAAATAAATTGGCTCATTACAAACAACTTGTATAACTCGAGTTATAAAATGAGATAATTAACTAAATTACCTATTTCGCAATTAATCCATCCAATCCCTTAAACAAATGTATCAAAGAAAGTCGAATGGAAGAGCTTCAGAAAGATTACTTCCCACATTTCTGAAACCGAAAGGTACAAGTACAACCACTTGAATAGTTGAATGAGGGCACAATTCGAAGCCTATATTAGCTAAAGAAAACGGGGCTTTATTCCACATCAGCCTTTGCCAAATCTTTCAGAGTTCATAACAAACTGGACTATGACTATATGAGCATCTCCTTTCTCTGCCAATTTCAAAGATGATTCAAAACTGTTCTTCTGTCAACATGTAGATTGCGAAAAATGTATGCCAAGAATCACCATTTTCTTAAAGTTACTGCCAACTGAAATGCAATAACCTTGAGGGGGCCGATTTGCTGAACTACGAGAGGTGTTTCGGCTCAAGGAGCAGTTGTTGCTAGTTGAATGTTTCATAGGGCAACTGCAGGAGAACTTAGTGTTGCCGCCTTTGTGTGCAGCCTCTCCATGAAAGCTGGGTTGGCTTTCAGTCTGCCCTTGACATATGCTACTCGGGCATCCTCTGCCATCTTGTTTGCTTTCCCAGCTTCCTCAATTATGGAAAAGAGCGTTCTCAGGCAATCTTTCCTGTTTTCTTCACGGTGTTCAAACCTGTAAGAAAGAAAACTGACTATATTATAACAGGGGCGAGGTAACAGTGGCTTCTAGTAATCTGTAGCACAATAAAACTTGACAAAGAAGCAAAAATATAGTTGTTACGCAAAAAGACTGAGATGGGCTAGATTTCCATCTAATGAATTGCCTAAAAGATGCTTCTATTCAGCAAGTTTTTCAAGAGCTTAGTTCTCGGATGCAGACAATGTGTACTTAGAAATGGACTAAGCTAACCCTGTCATGTCTTTCTTCTTTGTCCCTCCAGGTTTAATTTGTAAAGGATGGAAATCGTGTAATGGTTCAGCAAAAGAACAAAGAACCACAAGTAGTATTATATGAATTTCAGACTCAAATAACAGTTAGGAACTAACCTTTCGCTGGTAATTGTGAGTTCATCTTTGGCAGGGTGATATCGTTTGCCAACCAGTTGTCTCATCCGCCTAAATTGATGCTTCGATAGGCCGAGCTCCTTGACTGTAACCGACATTTTGACTTTCCTGTTTTTCGGATGCCATGCATCACCACCAGGAGCAAAGACTGCACGAGTCTGCCACCTGAGAATCGGTCCTTCACCTGGTGGGTCGTCTGTACCTTTTTTCTTGTCTGGCACAGTAGTCTCATCAAGCTGAGCGGCTCCCTCAGTTTCCATTCTCTTTCCATAGTCAATGACAATTTGATCCTCAAATTCTTTGAACAGTTTGTAGGCATCTTCAGGCTCAAGCTCCCCATTTTCACACATATCCCCCAACTCGTTGAACTTCTTCTCCACCTTCTCCTTAATGTCATCTGAAAATGTGTCAATTCAAATATAATGCATAAATCAGAACGACTTGACCATTATAGTAGGGCTTTATGGTTATGCCAAATCTCACATTTGATAAACAAACTATCCAATGTCAAAGTCCTATACTTTTGACGAATCTCGAAGCCTGAAGTTTTCTCATGGATCACAATAATGACATATAAAAAGATTTTTTGGGGGGGGGGGGGGGGGGGGGGGGGGAAATTATCAAGCAATAACACAGAAGAAAGCCATTGATATGGTGCAGTATCCCTGAACTTTCAAGTTCTACCAAACCACTTCAGCAGAGTGATAGAGTCTTCTGAAAGGTTTTGTTTCTCATTAAGCCATTGCTATAGTGCAGTATCACTGAACTTTCAAGCACTAACACTTCTTCAGCAGTGAGTGATAGATGCCTTCTGGAAGGTTTTGTATTTCAGTAAGATTTCATCACTGAAGTAGTATACTTCAAGCAAAATGAACAGGGCAATTGACTCATGTCTATCCTTTTTCACACGAACCTAAATGGATCGTTAAACTTATTTTCACAAGCTGTCCATATTGAAGTTCTCCAGCAGTTGAAATTTATTTAATCTATCCAGAGGGAAAAAAGTGAATTCGGCTAAAAGACAAAAGCCGCACATCAAAACTTCGCTCCATAAGAGATTGCAAGGCTCTATCAGCACCAGGATCTTTGGTAGAATGGACAAATGCAATGTTCTCAAAATGGCAATAGAGTTCTCTTAAATAAGAAACGATGTTAAATTTCAAAGGTGAAACAACTCTACCTGGAAGAAGCTTGTCCCAGTTAAGCATGTCTTCCAATAACTCCTCACACTCCCTCGTATCTTTTATAATTCCATGCCCCATTGCCTCGTTCACCATCTCGTCCCACTTCTTGTCATCCATGTTAAAGTACTCATCTTTCATCATTCTCTTAACCACAATGTCCCTCGCGCTGTACAAATCGTCGATCTCGTCATCCGTCGGGTGTGTATCCTCAAAATCCGATTCAAACTCCTGATCTTTCACATCGTCCAATGGCTTCATCTGAAGTTCCTCCATCAACTCGTCGTCTGTATCTGCGTGCTTTCCTGACAGCCTCCTCTTCAGAATCGATTCCATGATAGCAGGAAGCACGTCTTCATCGCCCTTGAAGTACGTCTCCATCATTTCCTTCAAATCTGAGAACCAAGCCCATGAGATCCTAGCTCAACACACCGGCTATTCCTCTATGTTCAACGAACCAAGCAATAGAAAAAAGGATCGCGATAAGAAGTTTTTATCTACAATTTACCTTTATTGCTCACATCCTCTACTTGTACAGACTCCTCTTCCTTACCGAGCTTTGCCACCGACGATGATGCCTCGGGAGCAGCGTCCGGCTTCTCGCCCGACTCGGACGAGTACATTCTAACTCCGACACTATCAGAAGCAGCAGGCACCGATGCATTGAGGAGACGGCAAGATACATTTCTCAAAAGAGAAGGGCGCATCTTCTCAACGGAGGAGCCGCAACCGGTAGAGAACGACATGAGTGAGGAGCGAATCGAAGCAGACGGCGACGGCGAGGTCTCGACGGCCGGCCTGGAGATCGGAGACCCGGCATTTCGCGCCGGAGTGAGGAGCTTCCGAGTGAATATTCTGAATTGAGACGATCGCATTTTGCATTCGCCTCTACTGCTCCGATTAGATTACTAGGGTTTTAGATTGTGCAAAGGTTTTTGTTCTAATTTGTTTTTCCTTTTTGATGCCAGAACCTATTTGCTATGTCTGTTTCAACCCGAAACTTGTCATAATTTACATTTAACGCCCCGAAATTCATTGGTCATGTTCCTGATCATGGGCCTCCAACCCAGCACTAATGCTCTTTAGCAGGCTGGCCCAACGCGGGGAAAAAGAGAGGAAGAAAAGAGGCCCAATTAACTGTACCAATTTCTTTTTCTTTTCTTTAGAATTTGACGAAAAAGAAAAGAATTATTCCGTTGTCGTTGGAAGACCAAGCCGCCATCTGAGAACATCCCCGTTTACCGCGAGAACGCAACTTTCTGCTTCAAACATTTTCCGCGAGCGCTCAATTCGCAGAGTTCGTTACAGAGAGAGAGAGAGAGGAAGGGAGAGACAGATGGCAACAATGGCGGCAACAGCTACCGCTTGTTGCGGAAGCAGCTCGTTCAAAGCGAATTTTAGGGCAAATCGGAGAAATGGCACAGATTCTTCTCCGTCGTCCACTTTAGCCTCCTCACCGTCGTCGTCTCGGTTATCGTTCTCTTCCAGAGTTTCCGGCTGCTCTCTCCGCTCACAGCGCTCCGTTCCTTCCCTTCGGATGGCGAATTCCGGGAATCCGGATCAGGTATTGAATTGGGTATGGCCGGGGCTGGGAGGGATTTGGGTGATTCTCGCCAATAATTGGTTGTTTGGGGTATTTTTTTTCTCCCTAGGTTGTTTTAGCTTCGGCGAAGGCGGAACCGCCTCTTAGAATCATGATATCAGGTGCTCCGGCGTCGGGTAAAGGGACTCAGTGCGAGCTCATAACCAAAAAGGTATGTTCTTTTTCATCACTTCACTTTGTTCTTTGAGTTTTTGGTTGTTGGTAATGTGTATTTCCAGTTGTGGGGTGGTTCACGATCTAGCCTGAGCATTTTGTTTCCTCAAGAGTTTTTGTTATTGATGGATGTTAGACAAAGAAATGGATGCTTACCGGGAAATATTAGGACGGGTTCAGTGCTTTACTCGTTTGGATAGGTGAGTTTCGTTGTCAATGTGATAAAGATAAGTGCGATGAATCATTGGCCGAAGTGGTGCTAACCGTATTGTGATGGAAGTTTTGGATGGGATTGCAATTGGATGAATGCACAATACATGTTGCAATGCCAGCATCGGTTTCTGATCTTAAGGTAGTCACTAAAGACATATGGATTGATTCATGTTCATGCTCTCATATGTGCAGTATGACTTGGTGCACATTGCTGCTGGAGACTTGCTGCGGGCAGAAATTGCTTCCGGGAGTGAAAATGGCAAGCGGGCTAAGGAGTACATGGAGAAAGGACAGTTGGTTCCAGATGAAATAGTCGTGATGGTGCGAGAAGTGAACTTTGCGAAATGTTTACTGTCTAACCGTTTTAATCTTTAGTTTTAATTTCGCCGTATTCTTTTGCCTTATAGATGGTGAAGGATCGGCTGTTGCAGTCTGACTCGCAAGAGAAGGGCTGGCTATTAGATGGATACCCACGGAGTATGTCGCAAGCAACTGCTCTCAAGGGATACGGCTTTCAGCCTGATATCTTCATCGTCTTAGAAGTAAGAACTTGGCTATTATCGCAGGTCCTCTTGTTTTCATTAAAAGTTGAAAACTTTGCAACCATATTTGCAGGTCCCTGAAGATATATTGGTTGAAAGAGTTGTTGGGCGTAGGTTGGACCCCGTTACTGGCAAGATTTACCACCTGACCTACTCTCCACCTGAAACTGAAGAAATAGCTGCTAGACTCACTCAACGGTTCGATGACACTGAAGAAAAGGCACGTCTTGGCTTTAGTGTTGTGTTTCTTCAAGATAGAGACAAGAAAAGGGCTCTTCTTTATTTTGTCACATCTAGCTGGTTAGTGGGTTTGGTTAATTTGGTTAAGTTGATTAATGGGTTTCGCTTATTACAACAGGTGAAGTTGCGGTTGCAGACCCATAACCAGAATGTGGAAGATGTACTCTCAATGTATGAAGATATTACTTTGAAGGCAAGTCTATCTACTTTTGGTTCCCATTCTGGTGATTGATGCTTCATTGCATAACTTACATAGGAAATTAGTTAGAACTTTGTTCGCTAATGACATATCCAAAACGAGTTAGCTAACGAGCACTCTGGCATTCTGGGACTTAAGTTTCAGCAATCTGATGCTTGAATTGCGCTCAAATATGTGCCTAGTTTCCAATGTGATACAATATAAATAACTCCACACTGGTTTTTTCACGCTTTAGTGTTTCTGGCATTTATGAATAAAGGATTTGAAATGTTGAAACACTAGAATCCATTATGAACATTCAAAAAGGTAGAATCAGCAAGAGTAGTTTGTAGAAATAGAAAAAACACTTTCATTTTGACAAAATTTGATATGTATAATTTCATTCTTGGTGCAGTCGGGCTATAGAAGGAAAATTTTCAATTTAACCCATGCAGAGAGCAGTGTTGTATTAACTTATATTCAACATGATTAGCTAGTTCCAAAAACGAGAACTTCCTTGTTGTGATATTTAATCCTTACAAGTTGTGTTCATCCAACATAGTTTTTGCAGAAGAATGAAGGATAACATTTCAGATGGACTCTTCCTGTGTTAGATAAAAAAAATTGTCTTTCAGCATCTGACTTGGGTTTCTTCTTGTTTTTGTGCATTTCCAGGTCAAAGGGAATGCGCCAAAGGAAGAGGTTTTTGCTGAGATCGACAATGCCCTGTCGAAACTGCTAGAGAGTAGGAAGGCAACTTCAGAATCTCTGGCTGCTTGATATGAAAGTATGTTTGCCAGAATGCCTCTTTTCTCTTAGTAACTGTGATGAATAAGTTGGTTTTCTTCCAGCACACATATTCCTTTTTCTTCTTCCACTTTTCTTCATCATGAGTCATGACAACATGCGGTTTGATAATCTTGTACAGTAGCATTTAAATAAGATAGAGACACCTTAGAGCTACGTCAAACTCAAACCGAAAATCCAATCATGGTCCCGATTAATTATGTGCACTCATCTAAATGTTCATTTCAGCATGAGAACTGATGAGTTGAGCCCATGCAAACATATCTCACCCTCGTTTGAGGAGCTTGTAACTTTCATCTGAGGAGCTTGTAAAAGGATAAACGACAGTATTGATTGTGCATCTCTGTATTACTCGAGTGATTGACATTAATTGGTTCAGGATTTGTGTTGGTCTTATGCTTGGGAAAATGTGCACTTTTAGTTCCTATCCTATGTTGTTTGAACATATATGCCTCTTTGTATTATGATTCTTGACGAACACTTTTTATGTGTAGAACTGTGGTGTTAAATTTAATCTCTCTACTGAGTTCATTCCTTAAAGATTCTATTCAAGTCCAATACTTGGCTTAATAGTTAATACACATGTTCTTGATCTTGATCTTACATAGAGGGATTACAAATATCACCGAGTCAAGCATCATCCTCTAGAACAATCCTATATTTCTGCTCTAGATGCATGCATTCAGGAAATCCACAAGTCTTTTTGTTTCTTCCTTCTCATGGAAAGACTTTTCCACATGCTTTTCATTTCCTATTCCATGGAGAGAAGAAGTTCGTGTTGCAGTGGAAGTCATAATTAGAGGAGAAAAGGACTTTTGTTGGTTCTTCATTTTCTTCGAGGACCTCACCACCCCCGACTTGCCAGAAACTCAAATTAAGCTGCTGCTTAGAACCTTCTTCTGTCACTCTTCTGCTGCATGAATTTTTTCAGTTTGAATGGTGGCGGTGGAGTCTTCCCTTTCTACATATTATTATTAGTCAGGAAAGACAAAGTCGTCTTCTGATTTCGTAGGGTTTGGACCATGTCGGTCAATATCATAATATAATGTCAAGATTATGATAATCGGGTAATCTTACAGAGCTTTCCATTGACTTAATGACTCTTCTTTTTGCCTTGTATGTTACTTAATAGGGGGGTTTGTTAATCAAAGGCAACTTGCAAGTGGTGGATCACTTGTTAGTCATTGGCATTACTCATTATTATGGTTTGCAAGCTAACTGGTTCACTTATTCATGAGGCAGGTCACTTGCTAGTTATTGTATAATTGTCTGCTGATTGATACTTTGACCTACTAATGATCATCAACGTATCCATAGAGTGGTTTCTAGAGTAGCTTTGAACCCTCATTTAAAAGTGAATAAAACAAAAAACAAAATGAAGATGGAGTGAAAATTGGTTTTGGGGTATCAACTTGGATCAATTGTGAACGCATCATACTCATTGTATCTCGTGTTTCTTTTATGTATTACAGATTCGACAATTAAAAAGGTATAAACACGTGCTTACACATATCCTGTCGAGTCAAAGAGTGAAATTTATATCACAAATGAAAAAACGAATTTGTCTTTGGCTTCCAATGTACTTGGGAAAAAATGATGTAACAAGTATGTAATGATAGTCGATAGTTGTATATGATAGTAAATAGATTGTTGCCAAAAGGATACAATACACTGGTAATCGAAGATCTTGATCAATGTCAGATCAATCACTAGCTTAATAAAATTGTCGAAAAAAGCTAAGTACTATTTATGTATCAAATACTACTGGATAGTCTAGGAATCAAAATGGTATTGATGTATAGCACTCACATAGGCATTTCTTCTTTTATAAAGAACATAAACTTAGAGGTTGAGGTGGTTGAAATTAGCACTATATATAACTCATTATATATTGGACTACTGAATTTCAAACCTTTCGTCCCCATTTGACCTAACAATTGAAAGATCGGTTGTTCATGTATAAAATTGCTTGGAAAAAAGGCAAAAGATTTGGACCAAATAAAGTGCAAAATGACCAAACTCAATCAAACACCTTTTTGCCACCCAAGTTCCAATAACCCTCTCTTTTTTTCTTCATGGTTGGTACATTTTCTATACACTTCCCCATTTGAATCATATCAACACAATGACTAATCATTTTCAATACAATCACAAAAAAAAAAAAAAAAAAGTGTAATCAAACGAAGAATCTCATTTGGATTTTGATTCAATCTTTACTCTACGCAGAAGAACCCGTGGTGGACCGAGAGAGCGAACCCGAGTGAACCAAACAAGCGGCCAATGCACGCTCCAAGCTATTTACAATGTCCGTCATGGACGGTCGATCCCTACCTTCCAACATCACGCAATCCGCCGCTAGGTAACCCACGTACGCCACCGCCTCGATCTCGAAAGGCGTCGGTGGCGGCAGCCTCGGGTCGAGGACCCTGTGTATGTCGTCGTGCACGATGTACGGCACGACGAAGTCGACCACGTTACGTGGCACGCCATTCTCATTCTTGTGGATCGCCTTACAGCCCGACAGCATCTCGAGCAACACGATCCCGAAGCTGTACACGTCGCTCTTCGTGGTCAACTGCTGCAGCCTGTAGTACTCGGGGTCCATGTACCCCACGGTCCCCGCGGCGCGCATCGACAGGTGCGCCTCCTCGTCCGAGGGCCCCATCAGCGAGAGCCCGAAGTCCGACACCTTCGCAGTCCACGAGGCGTCGAGCAGGATGTTGGACGACTTGATGTCACGGTGGATGATGGGCGGGACCGAGTACACGTGGAGGTACTCGATCCCGCGGGCCGCGTCGAGCGCCACCTTGATCCGGGCGGGCCACGTGGCGAGCGGGGACTGGTCGAGCCGGTGGAGGTGGTCGTGGAGCGAACCGTTGGACACGTACTCGTAGACCAAGATCCGCTCCGAACCGTCCTCGCAGAACCCCAATAGTCGGACCAGATTCTTGTGGTGGAGCCGGGAGAGCGACTCCAGCTCATGGACGAACGCGTTGTCTTTGTCCTCTTGGTGCTTGACGAAAATCCCCAAAGAAGTACGCGGCGAATTTCCCGACGAGGTCTCCGCTCGCTTGACCGCCACTTCCCTCCCGTCGGGCAGCGTGGCCCGGTAGACCGACCCGAAGCTCCCCGTACCGATCTTGTGGTCGTCGGAGAAATTGCTCGTCGCTTCGAGCAGAATCTCCAGCGAGTATTCCTCCAGCTGCCCTGCGTTTCCCATGCTCGCCAGTTCGCTCAATCGCTTCTCCAACACTCTCGGCAGAGACGGATTCCGCTGCTGCGGAGGCGGTGGCGTGCTCGTCGTCGGCTCGTCCATCGGACCGGAATCGTGGACCTTACAGCTGCTGCATTTCACTCGCTTGTAGAGGAAAAATCCGATCACTAGCAATACAGCTAGGGATCCCGCGGATCCGACCGTTGTAAACGCGGTCATTTTGCTATTCCATCCGCCACCGCCGCGCGGCGGAGTAGATTGCGGCTGCCGCGGCGGTGGCGGCGGTGACAGAGGAGGAGGAGGGTTTGTGAAATCCCGGCAGAGCTGACAAATGCTGTAGCCAGGTTGGCAGAGGTTGCCGCTTCCGGTCAATGGACCGCAACGGCATTGACTGTCAATTCGGCAGGCGCTGGGCAGCACTCTTGAGAAAACGATTGAGGAAGAATTGGAGCTCTGATTGGTGAAATTGCCGCCGCCCCAACAATGGAGGGAGAAATCTTCCCTCACGACACCGCAGAATACGGTTCTTTTCGCTTCAATCGAAACGAAATGTGTTGCTTCCAAGCTCGCCGGCAGCCGGAAATTGTTCTGCCCCCAGCAAATTACAGTGTCGTTGCTTCTCAATCCGCAGGTGCGATTCTCCCCCACCGCCATGGATATGAATCGTTCCCCTTCCAGAATGGAGCTTGAGCTGGAGATCGTGTCTCCTCCCCAGCAAGTTAACCCACCGTCGGAGCTCAGCGCGCAGGCGTGCCCAGCTCCGGCGGCGATTGCTCTGTAATTTTCTCCCGAAGGAGATTGAGAAATCACATCTCTCGAGCTACTACTGTTCCGGCTGTCGCCCAGACAAGTTATGTTCCCATTTGTCGACGATATCCCACAAACGAAATCTCCCCCGACGGCGATGCTCGAGAAGCGGGGAACAGAGGAGGCGTTGAACTCCCGCCATTGCCAGCAATCGAAGTTCCGAACAGCGGAACTAGCATTATTACCACCACTACCGATTAACCCGCAAATGTTTGTGTTACCGGATTCCAGCTCCGTAATCTCGGGACCCGAGTAGATCCTCTTCCTCTCCACGATTCCGCCGGAAAACCGCCAGGTGACGAGGGTGGAAGTGGTGGGAACAGGGGAAGTGAAAGTTCTGACTGCAGCAACGAACCCATCCCCCGAAACGACGCCGGAGAACGGGACATCGGGAAAGATTGGGACCCCGGGGAGTCCAGTTCCGTCGAGACTGGTGCAGTTGAGGGAGGATTGCTGGGTGTCGGAGCGGTAGACGATTGCGCAGACTAGAGTTTGGTTGGAAGTTTCGGAGATGGAGAAGGTGGAGAGAGCAGAACAATGGGGCAGGGCAGAGTAGTAGAAGAAGAAGAGTGAGGAGAAAAGGAAGAGAAAGGAGAAGAGTGGGTTAGTACCAGGAGGAGGGGGAGAAGCCGCCGCCATGGAAATGGATTTGCGGAGGATTCAATTTCATGGTGGGGAATATGAGATAAGGAGGAGGAAGCAGGGGAAAGGAAGAAATTTTGGGGGGTGGAGGAAAAGGAAAGAAACGCGGTTTATTGAAGTAAAAGAGCGTTTCTGGGAATAGGAAATAGAAGACCGAGGACCAGTTTGACCAAGTCCTTAACAACGGGGGAGTGAGTCTTTTGTTTTGAATAATCACTGGAAGAAATTTTCTTTTACTATGTTTTGATCAGTGGAGTGACGAATTTCTTACTGTTTCAACTTTTCCAGGTAGATTCTTCTTTGTTTATCAAGGCCCAATATCCAGTTCGTGAATTGGCCCAACTCTGATGGCCCAATATGGCCCGTTAAGGCCAGCGAAGTATCATAAGTTGGTGGAAAATGAAAAAATTTCCCTACCTTGGTGTGGAGTTTTAACTTCTTTTTTTTGTGTATTGAAAACTTTGGAATGGTTGTTCAATTAATTTTGGGTGAATAAATATAATTGTTACGTGGAAAAAATATTGAAATACTAGAAATAATTACCAAATGGCGTGAATGAATTGCACATTATGTGAACTAGGTGTTGTATCTCCTCGAGAGATAACAAACCTCTTCAATAGAGAGGGTCAAAATAGATCGATTGACAAATCCGATAAGACCATATCGATCGGAAGGTAACTTTGTTGATGATTTCCTTGCTCGATCGGGACGCTCATTTATCTTTAGAAAACCATATACTAGATATGCACATCTTGTAACTCCCTCTTACGCTTAACTATACTCAACCGGAAACTACTACTTCCCCTGCCGCCGCCATGATGATGATCACCTCCTCGTCGCACCCAGCTCACCACCAGCGATTCCTCCCTCCTCGTGGATTTCGACCACAAAACGACGCGCAGGCTATCCCTCGTGCCCAGCTGTCCCGGCCTCAGCTGAGGTGTAGCCAGGAGCATCGTCCTCTCTCCGCCGCCGCTGCCGCCGCCGATTCCAAAGATCATAACATCCCCCGTGTCGAACAGGCAGAAGAACTTCCGGTCCATGTACCCGATCCCCGCACAAACCCGTTCCCGCTGCTCATAGTCGTAGTACCTATTATCAAGAGTATGAGCAGTACAAATAGTTAGCGGGCATGTATGTAGTTAATCCGCAGTTTGACATCGATTCACATACTCAATAATTCGAATGGCAGTGCATATAGATGATTGATGTGGGGTGGATTGTAGATTGGTACATCTCATGTCCACACTTATTCGGGTGAGTGGTGGGTGGATTTTGATAATCCGAATGATCTATACCATATTGTCACTTGACAAAATGGCTGTTACTTATTTATATCATATTTACTAATCCTACTGTATACTGAACCATCGACTACTAAATGTGGATAATAAATTATATTTTTGCACCACTATTATCGGTTACTGTGTTGTGTAATGTCCATTAAATATTGGAATACTATTATCGGTTACTTGAACCATTCGTTTTCTCCTATTCTCATGTGCGCATTGCGCTCGTGGTGTAGAATCTTGATTACGTCTTGATCGAGCTTTAAATTTTTAAAGTTGAAGCGCACTATAGTCAAACAAAGCCAAGTATAACTATCCTAGGGAACCTTAGACTTACTATTACTTCGCTCCGAACTACTGTCTAATCAACTCGGAAGATTGGGGGGTAAAACTAACCTAACCTAACTACCTAAAGACAACCAACTAAGTGGTTGTGAGACTGCTAGAGACGAGAGGGTTGGCTAGGGTTGACTCCCTCTAGCTATAGGTTGTTACGTGCAATAATCTAATGGTGTCTCGAGGTGCGGAGGTCGCGAAGGTGGGAATCGAGTCATTGGTAATGCAATCAATCCCCCTCCTAGCTAGGATAGTCGATCCAATGTCACCTTAACCGAGTTATCTAGCTAGGGATAGGTTCTGCCTCCTCTAAACAGCTTAAATCTGTCCGCACACATGTTGGGTAGCTCGATGGTCACGCGCCTAACCTACAAGAATCAACCAGGTGCGAATCTAACTAGAAGGGGATGGTCACCTCAACCTCTAGCGAGCCCTCTAGGTCAACTACTAATCAAGGTATGAAGCATTCACACACATCTACCCCTAATCACAAGCATTAAGCACCTTAGTCAAACTCAAATACACCATAAACCCATGTGTAAATTAATGATAATCCACTATTATCTAGGTTGCAACTAAGGAAAATGGGATACAGACAATCCAACACTATTTGATGTCTAGATCACTTTTGACCTAAGGGAATCGAACTATCACCTAGGTCAAGAACAAATCAATCACAATCAAGCAAGAGATTTATGCATAAACGTCAAATAGACATAGACTATAGGCTCAAAATCATTCATACACATGACCCATACACAATCTATAAACTAGGGTTCATCTTTGCTAAACAGCCTTAGGGATTTAATCATAGTGAGAGGAAGAAAATACAAACTAAGAAGGGGGAAGTGTTGGAAACCAACTTCTTCTCATTTGGCCGCACCTTCTCCTTGCTCCTTGGGTGGATTGGATACTCTCCTCTAATCTCTCTCAAGGTGTTTCTCTCTCGAAAAACTGTCGAAAATGTGAGAGTGAGATCATCTTCATAAACTAGTGTCACATTGACGAACCCACGTTAAAAAGGCTATGTGTTTTCATTGTTCTATTGCTTTAGTTTGATATTTCCACATTTTTTTGCATTAAAAGTGCGAATCAGGACTCAGGAGTTCCAATATAACTGGTTTTCTTGCTTTAAAATGGGTGTTGAGATTGTAGTACCAATGGAGGCTACTAGATATACATACAGAGCAACAACATCAATGAATCTCTAATTGCCGATGGAAGGTAGTGAATTCACTAATATATAACACAGTAAAACAAATACTACCAAAACCCAATCAAAACCCTAAATTTTTTATTTAAGTACATTCTTAGTAACCTTTCTCTACATCGTCCACATGATCAGCACCCACAGCAGCCGACGAGGGCTCAGCATCAACAAGCATCCTCACCACATCTCTCATCGTCGGCCGCAGATTCGGCAGCTTGGTGGTGCAGAGGAGTGCAATTTTCAGGACTCTTAGAATGTCGTCTCGAACAACCTGGTCGATTGCCACCGAACTGTCGAGAACGTTCCTGACGACATTGTCGTTGTTCGTGAGATGACTGGATACCCACGACACAATGTCCTTGCCTTCTCCGTGCTCGTCCTCCTCTATCGGTTTCTTCCCCGTCACAAGCTCGAGGAGCACAACCCCGAAACTGTACACATCGCTCTTTTCTGTCACCTTCAGGGAATACGCCATCTCTGCCAAATGAACAGTCAGAGTGACAAAGTTTGTAACTTTGAAAACTTTTCACGATTTAAGACAGAGGAGTATGTAACATAGGGAGGTTAATTACCAGGAGCAATGTAGCCATGTGTACCAGCAAAGCAACTATGATCACACCCTTGCCGATCATGAGTCACCTCAGCAAGCTTCGCTACACCGAAATCCGCGATCTTCGCCTCGTAATCCTCGTCGAGCAACACATTGCTCGACTTGATGTCCCTGTGAACAACAGGAGGGGAGCAATCATGGTGTAGATACGAAATCCCTTTCGCGGCACCGACGGCAATTCTGTATCTATGAACCCAATCCAGCTCGGGCAACTTCCCGCCTTTGATCCTCCTATGAATCTTCTCGAACAGGTTCCCATTCGGCATGTACTCGTACACCAAGTAGCTGCATCCACCCTTCAACAAGCAAGCGTAGAGCTTCACCACATTCCTGTGCCTAATCGTCCCCAAGATCTCCATTTCGGCCGCGAAGAACTTCAACCCATCTCCCTTCCATAGCTTCTTCACGGCAACTGTGATTCCCTTCTTGTTCAATTCCAAGCGGTAGACTTTCCCTGCACCTCCAGAGCCAATCACATTGTCTTCTTCCAAATTGGTTATCTCGTCGGCCTCGATTTCGACTTGGTGGAACGACGAGACGTTCCATTTCGGCTCTGCTTCTTCTTCCCTTTTCTTATCCCTCTCCAGGCCGAGCTCCGAATCGGACAATTCGTGCTTGAAGTTCATGTAGCTCGCGAATAGAAGCCAGGCTAGAGTTAGGACTAGAGCGACTGCAGCGGCGGTGAACAATGCGAGCTTTAATGATCCAGAGCTCTTCCCTTCTCCTCTGTTTTCTTTCCCTGTACAGACGCTGATCATCGCTGAACCACCTTGCGGGAAGGAATTTTCAATGCAGAGTGCTCTGTTCTCGGCGAAGGATTTCTCCCCTGCCATGGAGAGTAGGGAGGGTGGGATTTTCCCTGTCAGCTGATTTTTGGAGAGGTCAAGCAAGCTGAGCTTCAGGGAGCCGAGATCGTCTGGGATCGGTCCGGTGAGCTGATTTCGGGAGAGGTTGAAGGAGTTGAGAGTGATGAGGTTTGAGAATCCGTTTGGGATACGCCCGGTGAGAGAGTTGCCGGCGAGATTAAGGTCTACTAATTTGGTGCATTGTACTATCTCCGACGGGATAGATCCAGTGAGCGAATTCTTCCCCAGTTGGAGCGATGAAAGCTGTTTCAGATTCCCGATTGAGGAAGGAATTGAGCCGGAGAAGTTGTTGTTGTTTAGATAAAGCCTCTCGAGGTTTTCCAGATTCCCAATTTCTGACGGGATGTCGCCGGAGAATTTGTTGTTGAACAGAATCAGCTGGTTCAAGTTGGAAGAGAGGCCGATTTCAGGGGAGACTCCGCCGGTGAAGTTGTTGCCACTGAAGTCGATGATCACAGCGAATGGCATCGCCCAGATTCCGTCGGGAATCTTTCCTGAGAATCTGTTGTTGTTGATTCGGAATCTCATTAGAGATTTGCAGTTGGAGTAGGAATCCGGAAATTCGCCGGAAAAACTGTTCTCCAGTGCCAGCAAGTACTGTAAGTTCTGACCTTCACACAAGTACTTTGGGAAGTTTCCGGAGAATTGATTTTCGGAGATGTCGAAGCTGTTGAGAGGAGAGTACCTTCCGAAATTCTCCGGGAATTCTCCGGTGAAGTTGTTTCTGTATACAGAGAATCCAATCAGGCTGCGCATTTCTCCAAACCCAGGTGGGATTTCCCCGGTGAAGTGATTCTCATAGGCCTGGAAAACGGTAAATTCCAGTTTCCCGAGGCTCGCCGGAATCTCTCCGTGTAATTCGTTGGCAGAGATGTCCAGCTCTCTTAAATGTGTCAGGTTTCCGAGCTCCTCAGGGATCTCTCCGGTGAGCAGGTTGTCGAAAAGCTCGATTTTGAAAAGGCTTCGTAACTTGACAATCGATTTCGGGAACTCGCCGGTGATCTTGTTCCTTGATAGATCCAGAGTCCCCAGAGCTTCCAGCTCGAAAATCGAATCGGGGATCGGACCGGTGAGATGAGAATTGGCCAGAAAGAGATAAGTCAGATTCTTCAAATTCCCAATGCTCGCCGGAATCTCACCTTTGAAGTACTCGTTTTGTCCCAATGCCAGCATTGTCAATGAAGTCAAATTCCCCACCCACGCCGGAATCCTGCCGGAGAAGAAGTTGAGTGACAGATCCAGAACCTCCAATCTCGTCAGGAAAGATAGGTCCGGGATCTCGCCAACCAGATTATTCCCTGTCAAATTCAGCACCCGGAGATTCTTCAGCCAGGCGATCTCCGGTGGAATCTTCCCTGAGAGTGAATTACTCGGCAGCCAGAGGGTTGTGAGGCCGGAGAGCATCGAGATTGCCGGAGAAATCTCGCCGGAGAGTGCCTTATCATCGAACGAGATCGCCGTAGTCTGGCCGGAAACCGGATCGCACGTGATTCCCGTGAAGTTGCAGTGAGATTCAGAGTCTTTCTTCCATGAACCAAGGAAATTCAGAGGGTCCTTGAGATGAGACTTGAACTGCAAAAGAGCTTCCGTTTCCGTTATGGCGGTTGAGGATGGCGGGAAAATTGAGAAGAGGATCAAAATCAAAATGAGTAAGGGCTGGTTCGTCATATTGTGATAAATTGAGGGATGTAATGGTAATTTTGGGCTGCCGACCACTCTTCTGGCAATTGAACCTTCTCCCCTTTGTCACCTAATAAAGGCCACTCCAATCCAAAATAATTGAGGATTGCCAGCCTGAAAAGCAGTGACATATAAAACAATCAATAATTTTGGAATTGTTTCCATATTAAGAGAATGTATTTGGTGGGGAGATTTAGGATAAAAAGCAAGATTAGTGAAGATTTAAGGAAATAATAGCACATGATCAATGTTGCTTTAGGTTTTCAATCTGTTAAAATTAGTTAATTATTCTTCATAATTAGCTAGCTAGCCATTTAACTTTATAGTGAGGATTTTTGTTGTTCATCTCACTAATTGAATTACACATTTGGCAAAAAAAAAAAAATCAAGTTGGAAATCTCATAACTATGGTATTACATCATTTTATTTCTAAGGATAATTTAGTTTGTTCATCAATAATGTCTTTTGAAAAATTTCAGAGTTTAAATTCGATACTCTAACTATAATTTTGCATATCTATAACATCTAGAGGACTAACAACTCCCGTATGAATGAAATCAATAGCAAAATTGACCATACATATATGTGGATAATAATAAGAAAGACTCGGGTAGGAGGAACTTATCATTCTAATTGATACCATTTTAAAAATTCTATAACTATATTCTCACATGATCAATGATCAAGATCGAACTTGCTCGTTAATAATAACTTTCGAAGAGTTTCGAGTCCGAATACATAAACTATTGATGTTATATTCGATAATTTAACATGTTTATTGACAACGACTTTCAAAATATTTCGAGATAGAATCAATAGAGGCATAAATGTTATTATCAATTTCATCATTTGGTGGGTACAATGAACAAAATTACGTGTGGATAACAAGGAGACTCGTTGGATGGGTAGGCATCAATGGCAACAAGCAAAACAAAAAGTGACGAGTGGTCACTAATAAAACCAAAAAACAGGAAAACAAACGTTTTCAAGAGGTCAGCTGACGTTTGTCTCTTGTTACAAAGCTTTTTGATTATCCTTTGAAGTCACTCCATGGGATATTTCTTCTTCTTTTTGGCGAGCTTTCCCCTGTTTTCTATGATTAAATTAAAGTGGAATCCACAGTACAAAACAAGGTTACTATTCAAATCCCATAAACTAATCACATCACAGCAAGAGGAATCAGAACAGCCAAAAACACACCCAGCTAATTAACTACAATTGATTAATCACATAATTGTCATCATCAATTCATCATCATATGCTAATCAGTCTCAATGAACAGAGGAAGGAGATGAGTAGAGAAAGCCATGGACAGGAAAGCAAAGTAGTGAGCTTTATCGGTAAATTAACTTACCCAGAAGATGAATTCCGGTAGAGAAGGGAGAAATCTCTAGTAATTGCTGGGGAAGAGCTTCTTTTCCCCCTACTGGAGCAGAGTAAAGAGAGAGACTTACTGATTATGAGTTTTGCAGGGGGAAACAGAGGACTTGGATTCCCATTCTTTCTTCTGGTTTTTGTGCTCAGTTGGGAACTGCAGTACTAATGGGGAGAGGTGGGAAGAGGGGGAAATCGGGCCGTATTCCCCAGAAAAATGGAGGAGCTAGTTGGGTTTTTCTCTAGAAGAGAGAGAAAGAGTGGGGAGAGAGAGAGGGAGGCAGAGTATTGTGGAGGATTGATTGTTTGAATTGATGAAGTAAGAAGAGAAAGAGAAAGAGAAAGAAGGGGGGAAATGTACTAATGGTGGATGATAATATATTCCCGAGAAAGAATTGATTAAATGGTGGATAACTGGAGATGGTGACAATTAATGGATAATAATGATATCGAAGAAGAAAGGAGGGCCAGAGAGGAACAAATAAACCAGAGGGGAAGTGAAGGAATGAAAAGTTTGTTTGTTTATGCTCTCTTTTGTTCTTGGAGGTGTGTTTTGGGAAAGAAGATTGGGATGGGAGAGTGTGGTGTCGGTTTCTGTTTTCAAAATGGGTATTGTATTTGTTCATCCAAATGGTTGATTGTAGTGCCAGTGAATCCTATGAGATAGAGCAATAGGATCAATGATATGAATTGAGTCATGAATGAAAGATATCCAAATTTGATTTTGGCCAACATAGTCGATCAAACCATTCAAGCGGTGCGATCTATAAAGGAAATGAGTACATGCTATAAAGATAAAGGAAATAAAATAAGAAACACGAAAAGAATTCCATCTACAGTTAGCAGACAAGAACTCCATCTACAGTTAAACACACAAAAGACGACAGGTGAGATGACTCGGTCGTCAAAACTTGGACAATTCAAAATGGGATGAGCGATTAATGAGTCCAATAGCTCAAAATCTTAGCAGTCCACAATACATTGAATAACAGTTTCGGAAGGAGAACAATAGTCGCACACATGTACATAGGGGTTGGCCACTATAGCCTTGTCAACCAAACATAAGAGTTGCATAGTTTTAGCTACACTATGATTGGAATTAGCTTAGCTGATATAATTATTCACACAATGGATGGAAGATACTAGATAGTCACAAAGAAAGAAGAAAAAAAACTCAGGAATTTGTTCCTTTCATATTACATGCTATGAACTTACTAAGACCAACACAACCCTTAAGGTGGAATGAAACCTTATTCTTGGAACTTGTGTTGTGTTTTCAATCAATTGGGACTTGGCCACAATTGAATGGGGAATTCATCGTATTTGGACTTCTTGGAGGGTTGTGGGCAGCAGAGACAAGGCAATCAAGAGACAGATAGTACAGCATGGGAATGGGGAAATTGGCTGGAGCACTACAGAGTATTGCGGTGAGTGAGAGGCCCCATTTGTGTGCCTTAGTGACTTATATTGTTGTCTCTATGCCTTCCTTCCTCTTGATGGAGATGATCTCTTCCTTTGTATCCTTGTAAAGTTTGAGTCTTTCTATCCTCACATTATTGTCCATTTCTTTGGGTTCCAAGCTTCATCATTTCCATCTCTAAATTGCAAGTTTGAAGGACGATCTTTGTATGTACATGGAAGAAACTCATAAGAAATGAAAAATGTAAACTTTACCAATATAGGTATACAGGTAAGAGTTATACATTCGACTAGATTGGATATACTGTCACAAGGTTCGAATAAGTCTAACAAGCACCCTGGCAAACGGTTTGGTTCGTGTCCACCAGATAACACTAAATTCAAGATCAGTGAGATGTGATTGAATGTTTTGTTCAAGCCATCAATCATGTATGAGCTCTTCCAACATCATGAGATATGCTATAGCACCAAGTTTTTTTTTTTTAATTTTCGTGACTTGCATATGCGTTTGGAGCATAGAGTCCTTTCAATTTACGATAACTTGATATCCTCTCTGCATAATTTTCTTACGCACTAATTTCATCTTCTTGGGGCATTGTCAAGCACAACCGCTTAATCAGTAAACCTCGACAGACAAACACTTAAACGCCCTCTCAAATGCTCATTTTCCCAACGAGGAGGAAAGAAAGGGATTGTTTGATTATTTCCTCCAATCTAATTATTGACGGTGTAGGTCCCATGCATTATGCATGACCTACTCAACAATTTAGATGATCCTACTAAAACAGTAACAATTTCGCGTTTAAGAGTATGCTCAACTATTCCCTACTCAAGTTATTTACCCTTTTTCTCCATTATGAAAAAAACTAAATGCTGCGTCTCTCATGATCCTATACTATTGATAATAAGCGAGGCACTCAGGAAAAGAACAAGAACTTCATTATGAAGGGTAATCATGCTAACTCTACTTCTGTTTCTCCTTTTGGTTATGATCAATTTGAGTTACTTCCCAAGCAAGGCACCCTGCACTCAATTTGATCTTTTTTTTTTATCTTCAATTGCTTTTATTTATCTTTTTTTTTTTCTTTCTCCAACCATTGATTTTGAGTGTTCTTGTTCGTGCGTGGTTTGGTACGTCGCTTAGCTTAAAGGATTCGTGATCCTTTTCTTTCCTCAAACCATAATTATGAACATATTATTATTATATGATTAACATATTAGCGTCAAACTTAATGTGATTATATGCGAAGAGAACGAGCAGGCAAGATGCTTTTGGCCTTTGGGTAATTAGGCATAATTATGTTGCTGGTGAATCATAAATATAAAGGCAAGTTGTGTATGTTAGTGGGGCGTGTAAGTAATTCATTAGAGATTATGACTAATTATTTTGTGATCTAATTATGTTTGTATATGCAGATAGTAGAGGTAGGGTGACTGATTTAGGAGATAAGTTTGCTCACTTAGCTTGTTGAGACTAACGTCTCTATTTGTTTCCCCCTTCTAATAGATCGTATAAAAAATATGCATAATTATCGGGATTAATGAATTCAAGTTAAAAAAGAATTAAATTAATAGTCGACATTTGTTAAGAGGAGCTTCTGAAATTCAATCGGAGCTCAAAACGAGCATTCAGTATCTTGTTGAGTATAAAAACCTTTAAATTTCTAAACAAAGAGAAAACCTCTTCCACAAACACAATCCGTCTAGCCGTGGTAACTATTCTGACCCTCAACTACCGATTTTATATCATAAATGACTTGAGCGCGTGCAGATACGAAAAAATACCAATTCAATTTCACATGTCAATTGATCTCATCCACATCTTGAAAATAAACCATTCAAATGGTCCAAATCAAGACTCGAAACCTCATTAATTGTTTGAGCCACAAATCTCTTAGGTAAACCCATATTCTGATAACTCGAATTATCAAATAAGGGTCCCGTAATAAATCTTTGAAGATTCCTTAGAGTGGAAAAACAACCTTTGACTCTAAAACTATATGATGAGCAAGCAACACGAGAAATATGATCAGTGAACTTTCTCATATCAAAGTAGCTAGCTAGCAACATCAAAACCCAAACCCACCACGGGAGAGTGTAAGGGGGAAGTAAAGTACAAAGGACGTACATGCATCATCAAGCTAAAATTATTACTTGCAACGCTCTTCCTCAATAAATAAATAAATGCTTGGGGGGAAATCACAACAGCCAAGATCTACAAGAGGAGCAAATCTAACCACATCTCATTCTAGAACCCACACCTTATTGTGAAATAAATGCTTGGGGGAAATCATGGGAAAAGTCTAATTGACAACCAAACACAACGTGTATTGCTCTTGAGAGGGATGTATAAGAGAGGCTATGGATGATAAGTATATAACTAAGAGTTATGGGAAAATAATATTAAGTGAAATTGTAGGTGTAGGGTATAGATTTTGAAGCTAGCTAGATACCTTTGGTCAAAATTTCAAGTCGCTATCGTGGAAGAATATATAAATTTTGATGGGTATCGGTTAAGCAAAGTGATATAAATCACTTGCTCATGATCGAGAAAAAATACATCATTGTGACTGGAATTTTGCTTTCACTTCGACAAATAAATCTTTAATGTGTAGTAAATAAGTATGTATAAAAGAATATATATATATATATATATATATATATATATATAGCAAAGGCTAGCGTACGCCCGGGCGTACCTTAGTCTACCGTACGCCCGTTGAGTTTTACTATTTAGATCATGAATTAACCGGAGTTTTTGGCATGATACTATACCCTAACCTCTAATGGATAAACCCTAGTCCCTAATTTTCTAACCCAACTCATGAGATTCATTTAATCTTAAAAATTAAATCAACAATAATTTTGACAAATCAAGACCGTTGATTTTCATTTCAAGATTAAATGAATATTATGCTTTGGATTAGTGAATTAGGGACTAGGGTTTATCCATTAGAGGTTAGGGTATAGTATCATGCCAAAAACTCCGGTTAATTCATTGTCTAAATAGCAAAACTCAACGGGCGTACGGTAGACTAAGGTACGCCCGGGCGTACGCTAGCCTGAACTATATATATATATGTGTGTGTTGTGTGTGTGCATACAAATTTAGAAAGGTAAATTTTGTCTCGGTTGCTCCACTAACTTTCTTGTAAATATAAGGCTCATCTTTGTTATCTTTTTTTTTCTTAAGTGAAACTCATCTTTGTTATCTATAGAGCCAAATTCTCAAATTCCTTAATGACTTCATCAAACCCAAGTTTCCAACTTCTAGAAACTTGCTTCAACATATACACACACACAAGGTTTCCATTCCTTACCTTAGGTCAATCCGTAACCTATCCAAGTCTTCTCTCTCCAAACACAATAGAGAGAACAACACGAGTACACGACTCAACAAAATTTGTTAACTTTCTTTCTACACGTCATTTCTGTTGCTACCCATTTTCTGTCTAGTCTATTACTTGACTTGATTGTTCAATAATCTTCATAAGACGCAACCTTTTTCACAAATTTTTACGATTTGGATGAAAATTTACATACCATGAAGTCAAAATCATATAGTCCATAACCTCTCATTAGGGTCTAATCCATTTTGAGGACGAGGCATGAAGCCATCATCTAATACACATGGATGTCATAGGCATTGGAACATGGGTAATGCAAATCTATGAACTTAATTTTTGGGGAGTACGAAAGAGACATAATGTTACAATATGGACAATGCCGACACATGCAAATGGTCGGCATTTCTGTACGTGAATGATAGTTTTTGGAAGTGACATATCATGCGGCTAAATTGGCACCACCAAACCGGAACTCCTAGCCCAAAAAGACACAATAAAAGCCAAAGCTTTAGCTAGAAACGTGGTAAATCTTCCCTTCAACAAGAGGTCATTCTTCTAGTTCCATGGCAGAAGACCCGCCATTGACGATGAGGTCCCCCTTTATGTATTGCGACTGCACATCCATTGCACGCACATTTCCACGTCAATATCTCTTGTAGCATGTTTTAACATAGTGCACAAAATCGCAAGTTAGAGCAAGAATGGGCAATATCTCACTATTTTTAAACTAGATGCACGTAGCTCGATATGTTGTCGTTGTACGCTAACAGTTAAACGAGTTAAACACTCAACTTTATTTTGAATTCATACAATCTTGATATGACTCAAAATACATTCTTTAAATTCAGAAAAAGCATCCATATGAAGAAGCACCTATATCAGCATTGTCGATCAAAGCAAGCTAATCATCACCTCCCGCCCATTCGTCTTCGAGCAAGTTTATCACGAAGCAACGTTTTCAAAGAGACAAGTCTAGTTACAACCTCACTCATGCTAATCCTCTCATCCGGGGAGTCTGGAGAACAAGCAACGCCTATTTCGAGAATGGAGATCAGAGCCTCCTCTAGTATGTGGCTTTTGTTGTAGTTGGCTTCCTCTGAGTTGTTACTGCTACTATTGACGTAGGAATGGGTTGCTTGGCCAAGTGACAACTCATTGAGAAGAATAGGATCCACAACTTTTGCTATTAGCTTTTCTGATAGAGCACTTCTAACAAAACCATGTAGGCTCAGGCCATTCTTGAAAATCTCATTTGTCGGTCGCCTTCCAGTGAAAACCTCAAGCAAGAGAACTCCGTAGCTGTAGACATCACCTTGTATTGAGACTTTATTTCCCATACCATATTCTGCATAAAAATATGATGAATCCTTATTACATGAGTTGTTTAGTTTGACTTTTGAGAATGGAACCATGTATATTACCCTTAGAAACTAGTACACTACTACGCAAAACTAACTTATTATGCTCACTTGAGCTCATCATCAATATTAACCAAGAATATGAAATTATTTAATTAGAAGCACACTATCGAAACTTTCTCATGGTGCAAACTTGTATATATATGAGATAGAATTATTACCAGGAGGAGCATAGCCAACCGTTCCCTTTACGCCAATGGAGCTTGATGCATGGCCTGGTGGAGAGGGATCATCAACTGTTTGAAGGAATCTTGCCAACCCAAAATCACCAACATGGGCTACCATGTCCTCGTCAAGCAGCACATTGTTCGGCTTCAGGTCGCAATGAACAATAGGCGTTCCAGATTGATGGTGAAGATAATCCATTGCAGTAGCAACATCTATTGCGGCGTTGAACCTCTGGAGGAAACTCAAGGTTCTTGGAGGCTCATTTGTACTACTTCCCACTGGATGCAACCATTCTTCCAGACTACCATTGGCCAAGAACTCGTAGATGAGAGCCTTGAAGTCATCCATTTGATAATCAACACCTGAACACACTGTGAGTATCCTCAAAAGATTTCGGTGCCTGATGTTCTTCAAGGCTGCACATTCTGCCATAAAACTCCTGGAAGCTCCGTTGCGCTGAAGGTTGAACACTTTCACAGCGACAGTGCTTCCAATCCCATTTGCTTCGATGAATCCTTTGTACACGGAACCAAAGCTTCCCACACCGATAAGATTTGCCGCGGAGAAACCATCTGTAGCTTTATGGAGGTCGTGGTAGGACAATAGCAGTTGTGAATCATCAGCGGAAAGTGTATCTCGTTTTCCCCTCTTCCTAAACCAAAAGATAAGCAAGCAAGAACCCATGAATGCCAAAAACAATAGACCGATGACTACCAATACGACAATCTTGATCGACTTATGGCTCAATAATGTCTTCTTTTTTGGTCTGTTGCTACAAGGTGGAAGGCTAAGTTTAGCCACACCACCACAGAGCTTGTCATTTCCAACGAGTGAAATGATGCTGGCATTCATAAAGACTCCATTTGATGGCACTTCACCCACGAGATTGTTGTAAGACAGATTCAAAAGCTGCAATAGCTTCATCTCTTGAAACGATTTTGGAATTTGACCAGATAAGTTGTTGCCAGAGATGTCCAGCACTTGAATACCTCTCAATGAACCAAGAGAAGAAGGAATGATTCCTTGCAAAAGATTGTCTTGCAAATACAGTGACCCCAATACTGCACAACTACCAAGAGAAGTTGGTAATTCACCTGACAACATGTTATGAGACAGATCCAATACCTCCAAATTTACAAGTCCTCCTACTTCAGTCGTAAGGGCACCAATGAGATGATTATGAGAGAAGTTTAAGTAGACTAATGAGGTAGAACTCATTATGATTTGTGGGGGAATCTTACCACTCAGGTTGTTGCACGCAAGATGTACGGATACCAAATTTCGACAATTCTCAAAAACTTGGGGAATTTCACCACATAGACTATTATCAGATAGAGATAAATGAATCAACTCGGTCAGGTTACCAAACGTTGGTGGAATAGATCCTGAAATTCTATTTCCACTCAAATCCAACATTCGTAGAGATTGAATGTTGCCGATGACGAACGGGATGGTACCTGTAAGATTGTTGTATGATGCATCCAACCGTTGCATGTTGACGATATTTTGTATTCCACTTGGAATGCTTCCTTCTAATGCATTACCACCAATGCTCAACATCTCTAAATTTTTTGACAAGTTGCCAATTTGTTCTGGTAAACTGCCTCCAAAGTGATTCTTATGGATGATCAATTTTTTCAAGCTACTAGAATTAGTCAAAGAGGAGAGGAAACTCAAATCGTCAGCTTTTCCACTTCCAAGAGAGTTTTTGTAGATGATTAAGTGCTCAAGTTTGTGAGAGCTTCCCATACTAGGCATGCTACCGGTAAAATTATTGGTGGCCAGTTGAAGTTGAACCAAATTGGAGGCATTGGATAAGGAAGGAGGAATACTGCCACTAAATTGGTTGTCAACCACATCTAACCATTGAAGATTTGGAAGTGATATTCCCAAGTTTCTAGGAAGATTGCCGTGGAGCTTGTTGAATCCAAAGGATAGAGTTAAAAGGGCAGAGAGATTGAAAATGGAAGCAGGGATCTCACCATGTAAGTTGTTGAACATCAGAGTCAAGCTTAGAACACTCTTCAATTGGCCAAGAGAATCGGGAATTCTCCCACTCAAATGGTTGTTTGGTGCGTAGAAATCCACCAGAGATGACAAATTGCCAATAGAGTGGGGGATGCTTCCTGTTAGATTGTTGTCTGATCCAGCAAAAAATTGGAGTTTGCTCAAGGATCCAAGCTCCCATGGTAGCTGTCCCACCAATTTGTTTCGCGATACATCGAATATCGTAAGGGCAGAGCATCCCGAGATGTTGGACGGGATCTCACCCTCGAGCGAGTTGTCGGAGAGGTTGAGTTCTTGCAATCTGCGGAGGCGCCCAATTTCTGAAGTAATTCCTCCATTCAGGCTGTTGTTCAAAAGAACCAGCTTCGTGAGGAAGCTGAGGTTGCCAACATGTGGCGAGATGGAGCCCGAGAGTCTTTCGGAACTGAGATCCAAGACCTTCACTCTCCCAAAGTGTCTTTTGGAACAGGACACACCATACCACTGACAGAAGTGGGTGGAATCATTCCACGAGCTCAAAACCCCCAAAGGGTCGCCAGAAATCATGGACTTGAACTCCAACAACGCCATTCGATCCGTCTCGTTGCTCGGAATGATTTTGGAGGCAGCCGCTGTAGTAGCAGGAAGGAAGCAAAGCTGATGAAGAAGTACTACTACAGCTACAGCTGCAAATAGCCACCAAGCTCGTGAAGAAGAACTCATCATCTCTCTGGTATTACTAATGATCACTCTTTTTCTTTTGGAGACCTAACAGATTGCTGCATACAATAGGTATGCAAGCTAATTATATATATATAATACATCGTCATCCCCGTTGGAAGCAATGAATGTGAATTCACTGAATTTCACCACTGGTATCATTTTCATTGTACAGCTTCTTAGGCTCGTCGTCTTTTGCATGTCCAGTCTCGCGGTGTAGAACAGACAACAGTGGTCGAAAAGCGTACGTTGTGCGAGTGCGACAGCTCCCATCATGCATGTACTCGATTGTTCACCTACAATTCCCGCCTTTCAGACGAAGTATTTCCACATGCGTGTGTAAAATCAAAATCGGCCGGAAAAACTAACAAGTAGTTCAATTATTGAATCGAAAGGAGTTGTTATGAATTCAAAATAGATTGTTTGTCGTCGACGGTAAGTTACGGGGGTCTCGCGGTTTATGGGCTGGTATAGGTTTGTTTTGTTATTTTCAGCATAGTCTGTATACATTCTCAATTTTTGTAATTTGCGACTCATCAAATATAGTGAATGTATTATATATATACACCGGGTATTATCTATACCTTATTTTTTATGAAAGCAATTTAAGGCAATGTGTCATTACTAGGATTTCAACCGACAATATCTCATTTGATTTTAACTCGGATTTCAAATCAGTTTTTTTCACGTCATCTTACTACTGTCATATCATGATATGATAATGGTATGATGGTACTATGCAATCTTATGATAGTGGTATTATGATACTATCTAGTCTTATCATAGGGGTAAGATCACGATATGAAAGTGGAGAAATGATACTATTTAAGTCTTACCATATTGCGATACAATAATCCATCGGATACGAGTGTACGAAAAATTTGATAGGACTAAAATCATGTTTGGTGTTTGCGATTGTTATAATTCACGTATTGTTGGAATGCTTGTATTATTAATTGGTGCACTGTTAGAACACCCGGTATTGGGCTTCAGGGCCTTGTTTTGGTTTGTCCCTCTCAACTCGGACCCCCAAAATTCAGATGGGCTTTCTTCTTCTTTAAAGTAACTCGGATATGTTTTGGGCTTTTGGCGGGCAAGGCTAAACTTTTTTCGTATGCTTGAAAAGGGCGTCCACGATATTCCTTCCATACCGTGTGTGGTCAAATGCTTGAATACGTCATCGATGATCCAGACGTTGAATTTCTCGATCATTTCCCTGATTCGGCCTCCCGTTCAGACGTCAGCGATAATGCCCTCCCATTTTCTTTGTTCTTTCTCCGCCATGAACGCGGGCGCCGGCCTTTCTCAAGTTCTCACGTGGGGATTCACTGTCAGAAGCAGGAGAAGAACAAGAAGAAAAGGAATACGACAATGGCAGAGAAACCATCAGCGATTCCCCTTCTCACCCCATACAAGATGGGAAAGTTCGATCTTTCTCATAGGTACGATCTTTCTCAAGGAGATCATTTCTTTCGATTCCGACTTCTCAGAGAAGTAAAACAATTGAAACCGTTAATACATGTGTTAGTGAATCACGTAATTCCGTGTGTTTGATCTTTTTTTGCTATATTGTTGTCTTTTTTTTTCTTCGTATTATTGATTATCCCAATCCATCATTAACAAGTGGATTGAACTGCGATCCGCTCCGTGACATAAACCGTAGATTAAGAGAGAGAGAGTCAATCCTATACACGAAAGATGATTATTATTATTATGATTAACTGATTTATACTCAAAAAGGATTTCAGCTACATAAATTCTGGATATAACTTGAATTACATTCCTTCAATTTAGAAAGACACACATGACACAAGCACTTTTTTTCAGCGTACGTAGCAAATCATTCACCTCCCACCCATCTGTCTTCGAGCAAATTTACCATGAAGCAACTTTTTCAGAGAGACAAGCCTAGCTACAACTTCACTGATACTGATTCTCTCGCTTGGAGAGTCCGAAGAACAAGCAACACCTATTTCCAGAACGGAGTTCAGAGCCTCCATTAGTGTCTGGCCCTTGTTGTGAGTTTCCGTTGAGTTGCTGCTGCTGCTACCAATGGCACTGGACTGTGTCGTTCGACCGAGAGGTAGTTCATTGAGTAGAATAGGATCCAGAACTTTCTCTATAACCTTTTCCGACAGAGCTTCTCTGACGAATTTATGAATACTCAAGCCTTCTTTGTAAGTATCATCTGTTGGCCTCCTTCCAGTGAAAATTTCAAGTAAGAGAATTCCGTAGCTGTAAACATCACCTTGTATTGAGACTTCATTTCCCATACCGTATTCTGCAATTGTGCATAGAGGAGAAGATTAGGAATTTGATGTTTACGAAATGAAACGTTGGCATCATTGTTGTATGATTTTAATTCGGTTAATAATAGTGCAATCTAGTTGTGAAAGTTGTTAATTTTGAAGACGAAATCATATATAGCTCTCGTACATACGCTCTTACATAAGAGCTCACGTTCGAAATAACTTGAACTTAATTACCACCAATATTTATCAACATTAGGATATGAAATGTTTTTTTGAAAACCAATTTATCAAAATATTTAGGATAAGCACTAATTATTAACCAAATATTTTTTGAGTTATTTTTTATTAGTTAAATATGTTGAATTACTAATAATTAGCCAAATCTTTTGTAATGTATCAGAATATTAGCCATTTTTCCGTTATCGTTAATAATTTTGTAACTCTTTTCTTAGTGAAAATACTCAAGTTTTGGAATGTTGACCTCTATGTGTTTTTTCCAAGTTAGTACCATGTTGCTAAGTCAATATTACTAACAAAATGCTAACTAGAAGTTAATATTTGACTAATTATTAGTAATTCAATAAATTTATTAATAAAAAAAAACAATGCGGGAATGATCTGGCTAATAATTAGTCTTTACCCAAAAATTTATTTCTATACAACTTTAATATAGCCAAGCAAAGACACTTACCTGGAGGGGCATAGCCAACGGTTCCCTTTATGCCAACAGAGCTTGATGCCTGGCCTGCATTAGAAATATCATCGATTGATTGAAGGAACCTTGTCAATCCAAAATCAGCAACGTGGCTTGTCATATCTTCGGCAAGAAGCACGTTGCTGGGTTTGAGATCGCAATGAACTATCGGCGTTCCGTATTGGTGGTGAAGATAATCCACGGCTGAAGCTATATCAACGGCAGCATTTAGCCTCTGCAGGAAATTCAAGCTCTTAAGAGGCTCATCTCTACTTTCAACCGGATGCAACCATTCTTCCAGGCTCCCGTTAGGCAAGAATTCATAAACGAGAGCCTTGAAGTCACTTCCTTGATAATCAACACCTGAACACACTGTTAGTATCTTCACAAGATTCCTGTGTCTGATGTTTCTTAAAGCTGCACATTCTGCCATAAAACTCCTGGAAGCACCGCGTCGCTGGAGGTTGAACACCTTCACAGCAATGGTGGTTTCAATCCCATTCACATCAAGGACCCCTTTGTACACGGAACCGAAGCTGCCTACGCCAGCTAGATTTTCTACAGAGAAACCATCTGTAGCTCTGTAGAGGTTGTGGTGGGACAATTGCAGCTGCGAATCATCGACTAGAAGTACTGTAATTTGTTTTCTCCTCTTTTTCAACCAAACGATGAGCAAGCAAGAACCCATGAAGGCCAGAAATAACAGACTAGAGATTGTTGATATGAGAAACTTGATCAACTTATAGCTCGATCTCTTCTTTTGTTGTTTGAAGATACATGGCGGAAGATTCAGTCGAACCACACCGCCACAAAGCTTGCTATTCCCGACGATCAAAATGATGCTGTCATTCTTCAAGACACCACCTGATGGCACTTCACCCTCAAAATTGTTGTAACACAAATTCAAAAGCTGCAGTTGCTTCATGCCTTGGAAAAATTTGGGAATTTGGCCCGACATATTATTGGTTGAGATATCAAATAGCTGAATACCTCTCAATGAACTCAGGGAAGAAGGAATAGTGCCCTGCAAGCGATTGACTCCCAAGTACAGCGACTCCAAGCTTATACAACTACCAAGAGTACTTGGTATTTCTCCTGATAACATGTTATGAGACAGATCCAAAGATGCTAAGTTGCTCAGTCTTCCTTCCTGAATTGGGATGGGGCCAGAGAGAAGATTGTAAGATAGATCTAGGTTCACAGACAAGGAATGAAGACCCATGACTTCCGAGGGAATGGCACCACTGAAGTTGTTTTCAGAGAGGGCCAAAGCTACTAATTGTTTGCAATTCCCAATTGTAGCTGGGATCTCTCCCTGTAAATTGTTGGAGAACATTTGTAATATGTACAATTTGGTTAAGTTTCCAATGGAAGCTGGAAGTTTTCCTGAAATGTGGTTCAGGGACAATTCTACAAGCTCTAAATTGCGCATGTTCCCAATGATGGATGGAATTTTACCGGAGAGCTTGTTCTGAGCTGCGTTCAAGACATGCAAGTTGGTGAGGTTTTGTATCCCACTTGGAATTCTTCCGAAGAATTTGTTCCCATATATATAAAGCATCTCCAAGCTGGTTGGCAAGTTGGCAACGAACTTGGATACGTCGCCCTCGAAGTTGTTCAGATGAATGAACAAGTGTATCAAGCTGCTTGCATTAGCCAAAGAAGAGAAGAAGCTCAAGTCATCAGCCATCCCAGCTCCAAGAGAGTTGTTAAAGACATAGAGGCGCCACAGTTTGTGAGAGCTTTCCAGGCTGGGAATGCTCCCCGTAAAATGATTGCTTTGCAGTTGAAGTGAATCCACATTTGAAGCATTGGATAAGGAAGCTGGAACACTGCCAGTAAACTGGTTGAACCCGACATTGAAGCTCTGTAGCTTGGGAAGTGATGCTCCAAGGTTCTCGGGAAGATTGCCGTGGAGTTGGTTCAATCCCAGTGACAAAACCACTATAGAAGAAAGATTGAAAATGGAAGCAGGGATTCTGCCGGATAAATAATTCAGTTCTAAGTTCAGACTCGAAACATTTCGCAATTGGCCTAGAGCATCAGGAACTCTCCCACTGAAAAGGTTTTCGCTTACCGACAACACTCGAATAGATGACAAGTTCCCCAGCGAAGGAGGGATGCTTCCTGCTAGATTGTTTCCTTCCACACGAAACTCGATCAGATTGTTCAAGGACCCAATCTGCCACGGCAGTTGTCCCGCCAATTTGTTTTTTCCTGCATAGAACGTGACAAGAGCAGAGCATCTCGAGATGTTTGATGGGATCTCACCGTGGAGCGAGTTGTTGTGGAGCCCCAGGTACTGCAACCTGCGGAGGCGGCCGATTTCAGGAGGAATTCCTCCGCTGAAGCTGTTGTTGTAAAGAGCCAACCCCGTCAGGAAGCTGAGGTTGCCCATATGTGGCGAGATGGAACCCGAGAGTTCGTTGGAAGGAATATTGAGAATTGTAACCCTCCCGGTGTGTCTTCTGGAACAGGACACACCATACCACTTGCAGAAGTGAGTGGAATCATTCCACGAGCTCAGAGCCCCCCAAGGGTCGCCAGTAATCATGGATTTGAACTCGAGCAACGCCATGCGGTCCGTCTCGTTGCTCGGAATGATTCTGGAGGCAGCCACTGTAGTAGTAGTAGTAGTAAGGAAGCACAACAGTTGAAGAAGTGGTACGACTACTACAGCCGCAAATACCCACCATCCTCCAGAAGAAGAAGAAGATATCATCTTTGGTAACTAACGATCACTCTTTTTCTTTCTTTGTTTCCCAATTACAACACTGAATGGTATGACTGCTTGCTGCTAGAACTCTGCTTATGTACATTTATATAGCCGACCACTAATTGCCATTTGTGGGAGTGACCACAGATTCATTGCAACATGGAATAAATGGAATGTCTAGTCGGAATTAATGGAAGACTTGCTTGACAGAATTGGGCAGCAGCCAAAGCCATAGTCGGAATTAATGGAAGACTTGCTTGACGGAATTAATGGAAGACTTGCTTGACGGAATTAATGGAAGACTTGCTTGCCAACTTGGAGACATATCACACGCATAGAAACTTCTTTACAATAATTTCGAACTCCATTTTCCAAGTAATCCCAAGTAAAATCATACTTATTAGTTAACCTCCAACTGACAAATTTAGCATTCGGTTTTTCTTTTTCGAGCAGAAAATATGATTTTGAAATCAATTGGACCGGAATCTCCCACTTGACTCAATAAGAGAGAGACCGGTTATAAAGTTGTCATCCTCTAACAATGTTATTATGAATGTTAAGGTGTGTTTAATTAGTTAGGGTTCTTGGAAAAACTCTTCAATTGATTCGAAAATAGGGTTTGGGAAGTAGTCTGAACAAGATCTTTGATACTTTTTTCATTTAAACTCTCATCTTTGTAACCCCCCAATCATAATTAGTTCACATTGAAATCATATTGGAACAATTAACAAAATGGTCACGCCTCTTTTCACAATCAAACGCAATGGTCTTAAAAATTGTCAAAATCACACTACAAAATAAAAAGCAGGGGTTTTTTTCGATGGTTAATATTGTTTTTTTATGACGAGGTGTACTTTTTGTTAATATTGTTTTTTTTTTATGATATGGACCGTCGATTGGACTTGGTTAACAGAATTTTCGATGGAGATGAATGGAAATGATTATATCATTTACTAAATAGTGAAAAGTGAAAATTTTATTACCATTTTATACGGCGTCCAAAGTTTTGTTATCGTTTGTACTAATTACCATCAATCAAAGAAACGGGTACACATAATCAATAAATACAATTCCAACATATCAGCATTCTATTGGCTTGGAGTACCACTTAATCAAAGTAATGTGCTAGGCCAAGTCTGCAACATAATTGATCGTAGTTAGGTCTGCAATCACAAGATGTATGTGCATTGAGGAAACTCGAAAAGTAGCACGATGGTAGCTAGACCATCAACTCTCTTCAATCTCTAATTATCTACACACTTTTTGCAATTCTTAAAAGCCAACTCTCCTAATATTTTTATTCTTGATTCCTCGCCCTAAATCCTAACTTGTCCACTGGATCAGGACTTTAAGTGCTTATAAGTAAATTAAAATCTAGCTTTCCAAACGTAACTGAGAACGCACGTTTAGTGCTGATCAACACGCCCAACTTTATGGTACCCCATGCAGCACCGCGTATTCTAGGGGTTGTGACAGTGTAGGAATTAATCGCAAGTGTCATCTTATTTGTAGAGGGCAGTTGAAGAGAGAATTAATAACTCGGTGGAAGTAGATAAGATCCATAATTGCTATAAACCAGTTAGTTTTAATAACACGAGTTGTTGGAAGAAATTCATGTATAATTATTAGATATATATTAATTGGCGAGTACACTTAAGGGGTTTGGTTGGATGTCATAAGGTTCACTCTAAGTTTCCATGCACCTCTTTTCCCTATTTTTCATCCCATCATTTTTTTCGCGACTCTCTTCCCCTAGCTCTGATCAACCTGCGTAGTTTGACTGGCGGCTGACCAAGTTTGGCCTCACATGCAATCTTCATCATCACCGCAGATATCTCGCGTTCCGAGACTTCAGCCTTAGAAAATTCAACCAAGCTCCAGTGGTAGATTGGTGGAGGAGCACACTGTGTCCACCGTGATTGCAGCAGCCCGAGATGCGACAGGAAAGTATAGAGGATTCTCCCGTTTCTTTCCCTTTCATCCCCGCCGACGATTCCCTGGTGGCTGCCCAAGTTGGACCGGCGAAGCGAACCTATTCCTCCCATCTTTCATTGCATTGCATGGCTCTATCTATGATTCTCTACTCTACGAAATCAAAGTGACTTCAAGAGAACCCAATTACTTAGGCCCTCATTTTTCCTGATTATTCACGCGCGGTTGTTTCCCTGGCAGATGGCTAAGTTGTTTACTGGCGAATTCTTCGAGAGAACTCTGGATCTCCGATTCACCTTCTGGATCCATGAGAAATAGACCCATCCACATTCCGTGACGTACCCTAATCAAACGGTGCTATGAAAGAGGTTCTGGGTTGTAGTTGATATACACACCTAAAAACCATATTTAGTAAAATATGGTATGTCAAAGTTACGTATAAAATACATACGAATGTTTTACTTCGTTTGTAAGTTAATGTTACGTTTAATAGTTCGTTAATAGTCATACAAAAATTAATTATTAAAAAACATAAATAATAATAAAGTTAACAATTTAATTCATTAAATACGGATATTAAACCTGTTATACGGGGTTTTTACGTGTTTAGTACATAAGTCATTTAATGAACAAAAAAATGAACATACTTGACAATAATACGAATACAAAAGTTTTTAAAGGGATAAAATACATACGGGTACATATACATGTATTAAACGGAGTATTTATTACCCATGCTTAAAATAACAATAAGTTTGATATTAAGTAAAACCTTTATTTCGTCTTTGTAAACTTTTCTTTCATTAGAGCAATAAAAATGTAAATCTGTATATGTATAATGGACGGTATAGCTGTGAAGAATATGAAATGGTCATCATAGTACCTAGGTCAATGTCTATTAATTTTGTCAACAATACATAAACCTTTCTAAATATTTTGTCAACAGTATATTGTAATCTCTTTACGACGGGAAGGTAATTTAAAAAAAAATAAAGAGTTCAAATGTTATTATTTCCCTCGATTCTCCCTTTACACTTTCACATTTTTTCTTTTGTTCAGTAGTTTACTGTTTAATTGATGTGTCGAAGTTAGAGATGAATGATTTGGATAGTATTGTATCTCATGAATTAATGGATATTCTAGGATTGTATGCTTTGAATTCATATTGAGAATAGTTGTAATATTGTTGATTTCATGATCTACTAGGTCCGTTTGGTGTTACAATTGAATATCTACATGTTGAATTCCAGGCATACTAATATTGGATATATGAGGCTTCTATTACACATAAGTACCAGAAAATTGCGAGTATGATGTTACGGTTGCAAAACCTTCCCTCACATGAGTATGGGATGAGTACGAGTTTAACTATTTAAAAATGAGGATGATGATGTTTATGGAAATCCACCTCATTACCACCCCTATATGGGAGCCTATCAAAAAGGGTAAAAATCAGGTATATGGACAATGTATTCTTTCTCGGTTAATATTGTACAAAGTTCAAATACCACTTATAAGCAAAATTTTACTAAAGTACATTATCATCTTGCCACACATCACTAGAGTAGCAATTTATGATCCAATTCAATCCATCCACTTAATATCCAAGAGATCCAATCCATTTAAATTTAATCATTTGATCCAAATCCAATTGGATTGGTGGATTATGGATTGATGCACTGATCCAAATAGCAAATTACAATTTAGTACCTATAGTTTTTATATTTCACAATTTGGTACCTAAATTTATTTTCTTATACAAATATATCATTGGAAAATTATGATTTGGTACCTTAAAATTTTTATTATAGCAGTTTAGTACCTAAACTTTTATTGTATGATTTTAGCACCTAAACTTCTCAAAATTTACATATTGGTCAAAACTTGGATTTTATTTGGATTCATGGATCAATCCACCAATCCATTTGATCCATAGATCTACCAATCCATGAATCCAATCGATTTGCCTTCTCTACAAATCACGAATCAATAATTACCTAGGAAATACCATACTCTATTATCATACATTGTACTATTCAAATTTGAAGTCATGTTGTATATTGTAAATTAAACTATTTATTCCAAAATCCTATGAAATTTCCTAAGGAGATTGTGAAGTTAATTACAACAGTTAGTGTCTCAGGTTAACACACAAATCTTCTCAAACCACTTAAGATGTTCACCTCCATCTAAGGACTATATTAATTTTCAATATTAATTGATCGGTACCCGCCGCAAAGCGCGGGCCAATTTTCTAGTTAGATAATAAATAGCGTAAGTATGATATAAGGGGTCCAGTAGTATGTGCTAAGGTGCACCGCAAGCCCATGCACACCACGCGGATGCACCGTAGGACTCTCCATTAAGTGAATAGAGATCGTATATTGATAAACATTATTAATGTCCTCATCCACTATGTAAAATCGTATTATATCCAGATGATAGTGAATTAGTGATTACTCAAGCATTTGGTGAATATTGACATAATTGCTTGGGTGGATGTATACACAGGAATCATTGGGAATTTAGTTTGTGAGATGAAAGACTTTGTAGGGTGATGATGTAATAGGATGATAAAATCACTTCTCTCAACTCCGTTCCTTTCTAAAATTACATCCTAATTGTTATCTCACCTTTAAATCTTCCATGTATTTTTCAGTTGTACGTTGCAAACAGGTTTATTTCGTTGTGTCGATATAGCAGGTGGTAGCGGTTCCAACGGAGTCCAACAGGTTCATAACGGTTTAACAAAATATGTAGAAATGTGAAAAATCATTTCACATCAAGTGAATTTAAGCATATATAAAGCATATTTCAAGACAGTTATTCTTGAATTTAACAAATAGCATCAACATTTAACTTTCTAATTCACGAAATAAATAAAAAGTTAAATTTTTATCGATTAAATTCACTAAAACGACTGTTTAAATGTCAGAAATCAATCATGCATGTTATACACGGTGGTATTCATATCGATTTCATAACTAATACCGATTATTCAACCAGCCGACATGCCAGCGACATTATAACACTGCTATAAAGACATATTCTCAATCACCGAAAAATCCAAATAATGGTATATGGAGATACCCGGCGCGTAGCACGGGCCATTTATCTAGTACTTAATCATTTTCTTACACACCACTCAAATGAAAGTCATGAGCTTAAAGTTTTCAGAATCCCGGCATATCATTTGCTTTAAAGACATACTAATATTGGAGGTCGTGAAAACATGGGCACGTGACCTTAAACAAAATCTAGCTCTGATATCATATTATAAATCAACTTGTTCCAATAATTCGAGTTATTAGGAAATGTCTGTATATTTTAGTTTAACCACTTCTTTACAATAAGGACTCTATATAACTGCGATTAGTTTTGTGTTATTTCCCAATCCCCCCAACACTTTTTTCTTCCATTTTTTTCACTTTCTAACTTTTCTTCAATTGTCAGGGATGTGGACTCTACAAAACTGTGATTACTTTGTGAGTAATTGTGGGTTTCTGTCAGTAATTAGGATTCATATTCCCTACTAATCTTCTGCAGATGATCTTTGAATTCTTAACTTTGTTCTCTTACGAGATCGCTCCCAAGCAAGTCATGACAATTTACACCAGAAGGATATATGCTAAACACTAGGTACTCACCTTTTCAAAGATTTCTTATATTTCTCTAGTTTCATATGCTAAACACTCAACTTTATTTTGAATTCATGCATTTTTTATATAACTCCAAATACATTCCTTAAATCCAGAAAGAAACATCTATATGAATAAGCACCTATATCAGAGTTGTCGATCAAAGCAAGCTAATCATCACCTCCTGCCCCTTTGTCGTCGAGCAAGTTTATCACGGAGCAACCTTTTCGAAGAGACAAGTCTAGTTACAACTTCGCTCATGGTAATCCTCTCTTCTGGGGAGTCTAGAGAGCAAGCAACGCCTATTTCAAGAATGGAAATCAGAGCCTCCTCCAGTATGTGGCTTTTGTTGAAGTTGGCTTCCTCTGAGCTATTGCTGCTACTAGTGACATTGGAATGGGTTGCTTGGCCAAGTGACAGTTCATTGAGAACAAAAGGATCCACAACTTTTGCTATTAGCTTTTCTAATAGAGAACTTCTAACAAAATCATGTAGGCTCAGGCCATTCTTGAAAATCTCATCTATCGGTCTTCTTCCAGTGAATATCTCAAGCAAGAGAACTCCGTAGCTGTAGACATCACCTCGTATTGAGACTTTATTTCCCATACCATATTCTGCATAAAAATATGATGAATCCTTAGTACACTATTACACAAAACTAACTTATTATGCTCACTTGAGCTCATCATAAATATTAACCAAGAATATGAAATTATTTAATTAGAAGCACACTATCGAAACTTTCTCATGGTGCAAACTTGTATATATATGAGATAGAATTATTACCAGGAGGAGCATAGCCAACTGTTCCCTTTACACCAATGGAGCTTGATCCATGGCTTGGTGGAGAGGGATCATCAACTGTTTGAAGGAATCTTGCCAACCCAAAATCACCAACATGGGCTACCATGTCCTCGTCAAGAAGCACATTGTTCGGCTTCAGGTCGCAATGAACAATAGGCGTTCCACATTGATGGTGAAGATAATCCATTGCAGTAGCAACATCTATAGCGGCGTTTAGCCTCTGGAGAAAATTCAAGATTCTTGGAGGCTCATCTGTACTGCTTCCCACTGGATGCAACCAGTCTTCCAGACTACCATTGGCCAAGAACTCGTAGATGAGAGCCTTGAAGTCATCCATTTGATAATCAACGCCTGAACACACTGTGAGTATCCTCAAAAGATTTCGGTGCCTGATGTTCTTCAAAGCCGCACATTCTGCCATAAAACTCCTGGAAGCTCCGCTGCGCTGAAGGTTGAACACCTTCACCGCGATAGTGCTTCCAATCCCATTTGCTTCGATGAATCCTTTGTACACGGAACCAAAGCTTCCCACACCGATAAGATTTGTCGCGGAGAAACCATCTGTAGCTTTATGGAGGTCGTGGTAGGACAATAGCAGTTGTGAATCATCAACGGAAAGTGTAGCTTGTTTCCCTCTCTTCCTAAACCAAAAGATAAGCAAGCAAGAACCCATGAATGCCAAACACAATAGACTGGTGACTGCCAATATGACAATTTTTATCGACTTATGGCTCCAGAATGTCTTCTTTTTCTGTATGAGGTTACAAGGTGGAAGGTTAAGTTCAGCCATGCCACCACAGAGCTTGTCATTTCCGACGACTGAAATGATGCTGCCATTCCTAAAGACTCCATTGGATGGCACTTCCCCCTCGAGATTGTTGAAAGAAAAATTCAGAAGTTGCAAAAGCTTCATCCCTTCAAACGACTTTGGAATTTGACCAGATAAGTTATTACTGGAGATGTCCAGTACTTCAATACCTCTCAATGAACCAAGAGAAGAAGGAATAATTCCTTGGAGAAGATTGTCTTGCAAGTACAATGAGTCCAATATTGCGCAGCTACCAAGAGAAGTTGGTATTTTACCTGACAACATGTTACGAGACAGATCCAATGCCTCCAAATTTAAAAGCCCACCTACTTCAGCCGGAAGGGCGCCACTAAGATGATTATCAGACAAGTTTAAGTATATTAACGAGGAAGAACTCATTACAAGTTGTGGGGGAATCACACCACTGAGGTTGTTGTATGCGAGCTCCACATATAGCAAGCTCTGGCAATTCTCCAAAACAAGAGGAATTTCTCCCCATAGACTGTTATCAGATAATACCAAGTAAATCAACTCGGTCAGGTTACCAAACGTTGGTGGAATAGATCCTGAAATTCTATTTCCACTCAAATCCAATAGTTGTAGAGTTTGCATGTTCCCGATGAAGGATGGGATGGTGCCTGTAAGTTTGTTGTATGCTGCATGCAACCATTGCAGGTTGACAAGATTTTGTATCCCGCTTGGAATGCTTCCTTCCAATGCATTAGAAGCAACGTTCAACATCTCCAAATTTTTTGACAAGTTGCCAATTTGTTCCGGTAAATTGCCTCCAAAGTGATTCACATGGATGATCAAGCGTTTCAAGCTACTAGCATTAGTTAAAGAGGAGAGGAAACTCAAATCGTTAGCTTCTCCACTTCCAAGAGAGTTTTTGTATATGTAAAAGTCCTCAAGTTTGTTAGAGCTTCTCATACTAGGCATGCTACCGGTGAAATTATTGGTATTCAGTTGAAGTAGAACCAAATTGGAGGCATTGGATAAGGAAGCTGGAATACTGCCACTAAATTGGTTGTGAGCCACATCTAACATTTGAAGATTTGGAAGTGATATTCCCAAGTTTCTAGGAAGATTGCCGTGGAGCTGATTGAATCCAAAGGATAGAGTTAAAAGGGCAGAGAGGTTGAAAATGGAAGCAGGGACCTCACCATGTAAGTTGTTGTACATGAGACCCAATTTTAGAACACTCTTCAATTGGCCAAGAGAATCAGGAATTCTCCCACTCAAATGGTTCTCTGCTGCGCCGAATTCCACTAGAGATGACAAATTGCCAAAAGAGTGGGGGATGCTTCCTGTTAGATTGTTGTTTTCTCCAAAAAAAATTTGGAGTTTGCTCAAGGATCCAAGCTGCCATGGTAGCTGTCCCACCAATTTGTTTACCGACACATTGAATATAGTAAGGGCAGAGCATTCAGAGATGTTAGATGGGATCTCACCCTCGAGCGAGTTGAAGGAGAGTCTGAGCTCATGCAATCTGCGGAGGCGGCCGATTTCAGAAGGAATTCCACCGCTCAGGCTGTTGTTATGAAGAACCAAGTTTCTCAGGAAGCTGAGATTGCCAATATGTGGGGAGATGGACCCCGAGAGTTCCATAGAACGGAGATCGAGGACCTGGACTCTCCCGACATGTCTTTTGGAACAAGACACGCCGTACCACAGACAGAAGTGAGTGGAATCGTTCCACGAGCTCAGAGCCCCCAAAGGATCACCGGGAATCTTGGACTTGAACTCCAACAACGCCATTCGATCCGTCTCATTGCTCAGAATGATTCTGGAGGCCGCCGCTGTAGTAGCAGGAAGGAAGGAAGACTGCTGAAGAAGTAGTACTACTACAGCTGCAGCTGCAAATAGCCACCAAGTTGGTGAAGAAGAACTCATCGTTCTTTGATAACTAACAAACCACTCTTTTATTTGAGACCTAACAACAAGAGGCAGACAAGATATGTATATGAGTGAGCTTGCCTTGCTGCTAATTTATATAATAATAAATACATCATTCTTCTTAATTTGATAACAATTAAATGGTGGAGATCGGATTGGAAACCTGCGGCCCGTATTCATCATTTTCATGCATAGCTAGCTGTTAAGGCTCATCTCTCTTGTCCAGACTCGTGGAATAAAACCAGTGGTCCAAAGGCGTACGTACGTTGTGCGAACAGCTCCCATCATGCATGTAACCGTTGACGAAGTCGTGCGTTTTCAGACAAAGTTTCCCACATGCGTGTGTCGAGACCGGTTCAGTTTATTGGATCGAAAAGAGTTTTAAGAACATTCACGTCAATGTAATTGTAATTTGGATCCCAAATTCCAGCTAATATCAAACGACTAAGTACTCTAATAAGCAACTCAACAACAACTTAAAATGAGCAAGATTCTGCAGGATCAAACCTATGGGACTTAATGAATGACGCAAGGGAATAAAAATTGAACTAGAAGACCCAAATTCTAATTGAAAAATAATTCTAACTTGAAACAAATTCTAACTTGTACAAATCTTTTCATTTTCCAATTCGATCCGACCCGTTCATTCATAATCATAGAGCTATTTATTCTATCGCGGACATTAATTCTCAAACATCTCTAACAGAGGGACAAACTCGACGGATATGGATGACCGAAATGTTGAAGCGTGAGTGAATCTAAACCATAGTTGAACTTGAAGCACATATTCAGGTGGCTTCCGAGTGAGAACTTACCCTACCAAGTTGATTCGAATTCGGTTGGATACCCACGATAATGAGTTATTTTGCCTTCTCTAGTCAGTAGGATACTTAATTGCAAGCAAACGAGCTAGGTCATAGTTGAGTGATCGTGCTGCTGGTTTTCAGCCTGGAGCCCCCAGATTCAAATCTCAGAAACGACACTCATTTCCCCCTCCCCAACCCTCTAGTAATGCCTTGTAACAAGTCTATGTACCAAAAAAAAAAATGCTTAATTGCAAGTCTCCCACGAAAACGATGGTTATAGAATTTAATTATCTTGAGTCAATGTAACACTAGCAATACGTCTCCCGTGGAAACGATCTATGACTTGTCATATGTTTATTTAGAAGTGAACTACTAGTCCAAGGCAACTATCGAGCGTGGAAGTCTTCAAAACGTAACTGGACCGCATGAAAGAAAGGGACGATTGGAAACCTGCGGCCAGAACTCATTTTTACCATCACTGGCGTCATTTTCACCATGCAGCTGTTGGGCTCTCATCTCTTCTCAATTCTGGCGGACTAAAGAACCATAACGCACGGTCCTAGCAGTTGTTTCATACGAAGTTTCCAGTATGCATATGCAGCCAACAAATAATTGGCGGCCACTAATTGATTTCCAGTTGATTAATCTTTTACTAGACTGAAGAAAATGGAAACTTCAGTTGAATCCGGATTTGTGGGTATCTAACCAAGTCCGACCTGATCAAATTGGGGTAAACCATGATGTTGATCCGACTTTGGGTCGGATGCGTGTACATCCCCCTTTTGGAAGTAGTAGATTGAGTTGGGTTGGGTGCGAGTTTAACCAGAAAAATTTAATATACTTTTCATCCGATACTTTGCCCCCACTAGGAAATCAAGAAGACGTTATTTATTGCATTGAACCCTGAGTATGGGTAATTTATATACGTTATTCGTCTGTATGACAACATCATTTAAATAATATGGATATTTTATGGATGTTGTTAGTCCTTATGGTGGTATCCTAATATTACGATTAATTTGAGGATGTTATCAAAGGGAACAAATGAAAATTAATTAAAAGGGAACAAGGAAATGCAAATGAACCATCAACAATTGCGTTTGGGATTTGAGCCCATAATGCGATTTTACACCAAATAAAATTTAAAGATATTCAAGATTCCTGATAATTTAACGTGATTTTCAAAATTCCGAGAGAAAAAGATGGGAGAACATAGTCTAACTAGTCTAATGCTTTCGTCACAATGCATGTCGAAGTGTGGGAAATTAGGATGTCAGATGATATTATAACTAATCTTGAACCTGAATGTTTTAGGTTCGAACTAATTTCTTCAGTAATATCTAACTATAAATACAAACTTATATCACTCTAATAAAAAAAATGATTTAACTCTAAGGCGAAGGAAGAGGAAACGTAGAAAGCCGAACGAAGGAAATGAGTTGAATGCTCAACTTTATTTTGAATTTACGCACTCTTGATATAACTTAAAATACATTCTTTAAATCCAGAAAGAAGCATCCATATGAATAAGCACCCATATCAAAGTTGTCAATCAAAGCAAGCTAATCATCACCTCCCGCCCATTCGTCTTCGAGCAAGTTTATCACGAAGCAACCTTTTCGAAGAGACAAGTCGAGTTACAACTTCACTCATGCCAATCCTCTCATCTGGGGAGTCCGGAGAACAAGCAACACCTATTTCAAGAACGGAGATCAGAGCCTCCTCTAGTATTTGGCCTTTGCTGTAGTTGGATTCCTCCGAGGTATTGCTGCTACTAGTGACATTAGTGACATTGGGATGGGTTGCTTGGCCAAGTGATAGTTCATTGAGAAGAATAGGATCCACAACTTTTGCTATTCGCTTTTCTGATAGAGCACTTTTAACAAAATCATGTAGGCTCCGACCATCGCTGAAAATCTCATCAGTCGGTGTCCTTCTAGTGAAAATCTCAAGCAAGAGAACTCCGTAGCTGTAGACATCACCTTGTATCGAGACTTTATTTCCCATACCATATTCTGCATAAGAATATGATGAATCCTTATTACATGAGTTGTGAGGTTTGAGAATGAAACCATGCATACAATACTTTTAAATACTCCTAAAAGAAAACTAACTTAATTATTAAGCTCACTTGAGTTCTTCGTCAGTATTTTCCAAGAACATGAAATGATTTTATTAGAAGCACACTATTGAAACTTTCTAATCATGCAACTTGTATATTTTCGAGATAGAACTCTTACCAGGGGGAGCATAGCCAACTGTTCCTTTTATGCCAATGGAGCTTGATGCACGGCCTGGTGGAGAGGGATCGACAACTGATTGAAGGAATCTTGCCAACCCAAAATCACCAACATGGGCTACCATGTCCTCGTCAAGCAGCACATTGTTCGGCTTCAGGTCACAATGAACAATAGGCGTTCCACATTGATGGTGAAGATAATCCATTGCAATAGCTACATCTATAGCGACGTTTAGCCTCTGGAGGAAATTCAAGATTCTTGGAGGCTCATCTGTACTACTTCCCACTGGATGCAACCAGTCTTCCAGACTACCATTGGCCAAGAACTCGTAGATGAGAGCCTTGAAGTCGTTCATTTGATAATCAACACCTGAACACACTGTGAGTATCCTCAAAAGATTTCGGTGCCTGATGTTCTTCAAAGCCGCACATTCTGCCATAAAACTCCTGGAAGCTCCGCTGCGCTGAAGGTTGAACACCTTCACAGCGATAGTGCTTCCAATCCCATTTGATTCAATGAATCCTTTGTACACGGAACCAAAGCTTCCCACACCAATAAGATTTGTGGCGGAGAAACCATCTGTAGCTTTATGGAGGTCGTGGTAGGACAATAGCAGTTGTGAATCATCAACGGGAAGTGTAGCTTGTTTCCCTCTATTCCTAAACCAAAAGATAAGTAAGCAAGAACCCATGAATGCCAAACACAATAGACTGGTGAATGCCAATATGACAATTTTTATCGACTTATGCCTCCAGAATGTCTTCTTTTTCTGTATGAAGTTGCAAGGTGGAAGGTTCAATTCAGCCATGCCACCACAGAGCTTGTCATTTCCGACGGCTGAAATGATGCTGCCATTCCTAAAGACTCCACTTGATGGCACTTCACCCTCGAGATTGTTGTAAGATAGATTAAAAATTTGCAGTAGCTTCATCCCTTCAAAAGATTTTGGAATTTGACCAGATAAGTTGTTGCCAGAGATGTCCAGTACTTGAATACCTCTCAATAAACCAAGAGAAGGAGGAATGATTCCTTGCAAAAGATTGTCTTGCAAGTACAGTGACCCCAACACTGCACAACTACCAAGAGAAGTTGGTATTCCACCTGACAACATGTTATGAGACAGATCCAAAACCCCCAGATTTATCAATCTTCCTACTTCAGCCGGAAGGATGCCACTTAGATTATTATGGGACAAGTTAAAGGAGTTTAACGAGGAAGAAATCCTGAAGATCTGTGGGGGAATCACACCATTGAGGTTGTTGTACGCGAGCTCTATGAATACCAAATTTTGGCAATTCTCAAACTCAAAAGGAATTTCACCCGATAAACTGTTATGAGATAGATATAAATAAATCAATTCGGTCAGATTACCAAACGTTGGTGGAATAGATCCTGAAATTCTATTTCCACTCACATCCAACTGTCGCAGAGCTTGCATGTTCCCGATGACGGATGGGATGGTACCTGTGAGATTGTTGTCTGCTACTTCCAACCATTGCAGGTTGACAAGATTTTGTATCCCACATGGTATGCTTCCTTCCAAAGCATTATTACCAACGCTCAACATCTCCAAATTTTTTGACAAGTTGCCAATTTGTTCCGGTAAATTGCCTCCGAAGTGATTCGTATGGATGATCAAGCTTTTCAAGCTACTAGCATTAGTCAAAGATGAGAGGAAACTCAAATCGTTAGCTTCTCCACTTCCAAGAGAGTTTTTGTAGATGTATAAGTGCTCAAGTCTGTTAGAGCTTCTCATACTAGGCATGCTACCGGTGAAATTATTGGTATTCAGTTGAAGTAGAACCAAATTGGAGGCATTGGATAAGGAAGCTGGAATACTGCCACTAAATTGGTTGTGAGCCACATCTAACATTTGAAGATTTGGAAGTGATATTCCCAAGTTTCTAGGAAGATTGCCGTGGAGCTGATTGAATCCAAAGGATAGAGTTAAAAGGGCAGAGAGGTTGAAAATGGAAGCAGGGACCTCACCATGTAAGTTGTTGTACATGAGACCCAATTTTAGAACACTCTTCAATTGGCCAAGAGAATCAGGAATTCTCCCACTCAAATGGTTCTCTGCTGCGCCGAATTCCACTAGAGATGACAAATTGCCAAAAGAGTGGGGGATGCTTCCTGTTAGATTGTTGTTTTCTCCAAAAATATTTTGGAGTTTGCTCAAGGATCCAAGCTGCCATGGTAGCTGTCCCACCAATTTGTTTACCGACACATTGAATATAGTAAGGGCAGAGCATTCAGAGATGTTAGATGGGATCTCACCCTCGAGCGAGTTGAAGGAGAGTCTGAGCTCATGCAATCTGCGGAGGCGGCCGATTTCAGAAGGAATTCCACCGCTCAGGCTGTTGTTATGAAGAACCAAGTTTCTCAGGAAGCTGAGATTGCCAATATGTGGGGAGATGGACCCCGAGAGTTTTTCAGAACGGAGATCGAGGACCTGGACTCTCCCAATGTGTCTTTTGGAACAGGACACGCCATACCAATAACAGAAGTGAGCGGAATCGTTCCACGAGCTCAGAGCCCCCAAAGGGTCGCCAGTAATCATGAACTTGAACTCCAGCAACGCCATGCGATCGGTCTCATTGCTCAGAATGATTCTGGAGGCGGCCGCTGTAGTTGTAGTATTAAGGAAGCACAACTGTTGAAGAAGTGCTACGACTACTACAGCCGCAAATACCCACCAACTTCCAGAAGAAGACGAAGAAGTCATCTTTGGTAAATAACGATCACTCTCCCTCTCTTTTTTTTTTTTTTTTTGAATTACTACACTGATTGAATGCTTGCTAATTGCTTGATTCTAAACTCTGCTTATGTATATTATTTATATATTTTCGGCCACTTGTTGCCATTTGTGGGAATGACCATAGATTCATTGCAAAATGGAATAATTCGAGCGTACTGTAGGAATTAGTGGAAGACTTGGTTGAGAGATTGGACAACACCCAAATCCCGAGTCTTCACCCCCGGAAGTGATAGGCAATTTTCCAATTAGGACACAAACTGTAACATCTTGCATCTTTTTATTTTATTTTATTAAGATATTGTTCGAGCTTTGGGTATTGACCCGTACGTACGGTTTATGTATTGAAGTGCATGTCAAAATGACTTCTCAAAAGGTTACACGCCCTTGCATATTGTTCCATATTGATTACGTTTTAACTTCGATCTTACATTTCATCTCTAAACGCGTTTCGTCAATAAAAATCAAAATCTCTAACTTATAAATCATAAAACTCTCTCGTAGATTGTCGATATAGGATTCGCCTAAACCTATTGCACGGAATCATATAGAGATTTCGAACTCATATCAATTTTCCAAGTAAGGTCATAATTAGTTAACCACCTCCCGAGTACTTCTTCAAACCTTATCACCCGCCATTCCGCCAGTGACTTGGGAAGTGCATGATGAACTGATAGTGGACGACTTGCTTTGCTTATGGGTTGGAGTTGGACACCACTACTGCAAAAATGGATACACTCAATGGTGGAGTTATATGTAGTTGGAGGGGATAAAGCTTCCACTAAAATTTTGATATAATTGAGGGTTTATTTTTCAGGAAATATAAAGAAATAACCATGCTACGAAAATTACTCTAAGTTGAATGACAAAAATCACCACTGTTAAATGTGAGATAAAAATACATGCTCGTACTGTACTAAATCATATGAAGAAATTAAACAATTTCTGGAAGGAATCATTACTCGATATAATTAATCCAATGAGTCGAGCGTCACAAGGGTGCGTGGGTGCATGCATGCAAAAGTGACTCTAACCCCACGTAATTTTATGACAAACTTACCAATTGGTACCCGCATTTATATAGATATCGTTAGCATCTAGTACCAATACACTTATATATACATAATTGATCAGTGCAAGAGGAACATCTCGCACCAATAATGTCATTATATGACGGTGGTATGATCGTGTTGTACAGTATTATCATAGTAATAAGATCAATGTATAGTAGTGGTACGATATCATTAGATTTTTTTTTAAAATATAGAAAAATAAATATAATTTTTTAAATCATAATTAATAATTTCTTTCCATGAAATTTTTTTTAAATTCCGAGTTAAATGAAGGAGACATGGCTCTACTAAGAAAATGTGGATTAGAAAAAAGAAAAAGAAAAAAAGTTGAATCAATCCATAAGTTTAGGCCCTCAACATTTAATGGACCGAGCTTAAAGATTTTATAGCATTTTAGAAAAGAGTTTTGTAACTTATCCTATCTCCACCAGAATTGGGCTTCAGGGCCTTGTTTCGGTTTGTCCCTCTCAAGTCTCAACCCAGATTGCCACCCCAAATTTAGATGGGCTTTTTTCTTCTTAAAAGTAACTCGGGTAAGTGTTGGGCTTTTGGCGGGTGAGTCCAAAGCTTTTTTGTATGCTTGAAAAGGGAGTCCATGATATTCCTATACAGTTTGTGGTCAAATGCTTGAATACGTCATCGATGATCCAGACGTTGAATTTCTCGATCACTTACCTAATTCGGCCGCTCCTCCAGACGTCAGCGATGATGCCTCCCATTTTCTTTGTTCTTCTCCGCCATGAACGCGGGCGCCGGCTTTTCTCCAGTTCTCACGTGGGGATTCACTATAAGTACCCGATTGGACCGGCATTGTTGCGAAAGGAGATAATTTCTTTGATTCCGATTTCTCAGAGAAGTAAACAATTGAAACAGCGAAGAAGCAGGAGAAGAACAAGAAGAAAAGGAATACGACAATGGCAGCGAAACCATCAGCGATTCCCCTTCTCGCCCCATACAAGATGGGAAAGTTCGATCTTTCTCATAGGTACGTATTTGATTTGGTCATTTTCTCGAACACGTTGACTGCAAACTATTAGATTCTGGATTGGGGCTCTGTTTTCTAGTTCAGAGTTGAAAACCCTCCAATTTGGGCATCTGGGTATTGTGTAGAATCGGTTGCTGAGAAATGGGTTGAGTTTCTGGGTTTGCTTGGGGGGGAGAACGGTATATGATGTACGGTTGCTTTTGTGGATAGTTTATATCTCTGTTCATTGGTAGTTCGGTGACTGATCGCTCTCTATTTGAGTAAATGTGATGCTGGGTTTTTTTTTTTAGAACGTGTTACCCTGAAATAGGATTATGAATAAAGTCACCAACTTTGACAAACCCAACCCTGTATTCATAGAGTCCTAGCATGTAGTATATAGCACCATAAGCCATCTTAGCGTAGCATGTAGTAGAGAGGCGTAAAGTAGCTTCTGTTCCTTTTGTACTCCAACAAGAAACTACTTCTATAGCTAAAAAAATGGATGAACCTTATGCTATTCTCTTTTGTTGGCTTGGTTCCAGAATTGTCCTTGCACCATTGACAAGACAGAGATCTTATGGAAATGTCCCACAGCCACATGCCATCTTGTATTACTCCCAGAGGACAACCAAAGGTGGTCTTCTGATAGCTGAAGCTACTGGAGTATCTGACACTGCACAAGGGTGAGTATTTTTCTTTTCTAGCTACTCTTTGTACTTCTTGCTTTGATGCAACTAGAGGTGTTTCTTTAATTTGCAAGTTTTTCAAGTTCTCACGTGTTGTTGGAATGTATTCTATGTCGGTTCATCGTGTTAACAGGTATAAAGATGCCCCTGGAATCTGGACCAAAGAGCAAGTTGAGGCATGGAAACCAATTGTGGATGCTGTTCATGCCAAGGGTGGCATATTTTTCCTTCAGATTTGGCACGTTGGGAGGGTTTCAAATTCAGGTGATTTCCTTAGTCTCTGGAAGAAATGTATTCTTTTTTTCATGGCAGCGAAATAATTGTTTGACTCAGGCTTCTAGTTGTTTGCATCATTATTGACAACTATATATCTGTGCAGGTTTTCAGCCAAATGGGCAGGCGCCAATCTCGTCTAGTGACAAGCCATTGACCCCTCAGCGTCGGGCAAATGGCATTGATGTTGCAGAATTCACACCCCCAAGACGATTGCGCACAGATGAGATCCCTCAAATTGTCAATGACTTCAGAATTGCTGCAAAGAATGCAATGGAAGCAGGCTTTGACGGAGTGGAGATACATGGTGCTCATGGTTATCTCATCGACCAATTCCTGAAAGACCAAGTGAACGATAGAACCGACCAATATGGCGGGTCCCTAGAGAACCGTTGTAGGTTTGCTCTAGAGATAGTCGAAGCTGTAAGCAATGAGATTGGAGCAGACAGAGTTGGAATCAGATTGTCTCCATTTGCAAACTATGGTGAATGTGGCGACTCGAACGCCGAAGCTTTAGGCCTATACATGGCTGAATCCTTGAACAAATATGGGATTGCCTACTGTCACATGGTTGAGCCCAGAATGAAGACGGTGGCTGAAAAAGTTGAAACTCCTCAGAGTCTCCTCCCCATGAGACAAGCTTTCAAGGGCACTTTCGTTGCTGCTGGAGGTTTCGGTAGGGAAGATGGGAACAAAGCTGTGGAAGAGGATCGTGCTGACTTAGTCGCTTATGGTCGTCTTTTCTTGGCTAATCCTGATCTACCGAGGAGATTTGAGCTCAATTCGCCTCTCAACAAGTACAACAGGGACACGTTCTACATTTATGATCCTGTTATAGGGTACACTGACTACCCTTTCTTGGATTCACATCATTCTGTTGCCTGATCTGACTGTTACACAGATTTAGTTGTCAGTGATTTGTTTTTCATTTCCATTTGTTTAGAATTGGGTTTGGGTCAGAAGTCAGATAAAGAGAGGGATTCTTCCTTACCATATGGTTCATTCTACAGATTTCATTTCAGTTTATTGGCTTATAAAGTTATAATGATTTGGAATCTTCGAGTTCAAATTGACTTATTGTAGAAGTTAGCTCCCCCTCCACGTAAGCTTTCCTGAAAAATGTTCACTTCAGCCACAAAAAGCCTCTTCCATCCGTTATCTTCATCGACTCTACCTCCATCCTGCATGTCCCTCGTCTCCTTGATTCCCACCATTCACCCTGGCAGATGCCTTCTCAACTCGAATTTACTTTTCATCCCCGTGCAGCAACAGCCAACTCTATACAATTACATCCCACCAATCTGTCTCTGTGCAAATTTGTCATGAAGTAAATTTTTCATTGAGACAAGCCTGGTGACAATTTCACCGATACTGATTCTCTCATTTGGGGAGTCTGAAGAACAAACGACACCTATTTCGAGAATGGAGATCAGAACCTCCTCCAGTATTTTGCCCTTCTTCTTCTTAGTTTCCTGTGTGTTGCTGCTGCTAATGGCATCAAAAGGGGTTGCTTGACCAAGAGGTAGCTCATTGATTAGAACAGGATCCAGAACTTGTGCCATTAGCTTTTCTGATAGAGCAGTTCTAACAAATGTATGAATGTTCATACCTCCTTTGAACATCACATCGGTTGGTCTCTTTCCAGTGAAAACCTCACATAAGAGTACTCCATAGCTGTAGACATCACCTTGTTTTGAGACTTCATTTCCCATACCGTATTCTGTAGTTATGCATAAAGGAAAAGTGAGGAAATCATTACTGATTTGATTAGTAAAGACGGGAAATTCAATAGTTATGAAACGAAATTAATCAAAACGTTGTATTTATTTACTTATAGGTATCCAAGATAAGACGTTTACCAGGAGGAGCATAGCCAATTGTTCCTTTTATGCCGATGGTGCTTGACATCTGGCCAATCGAAGAGGAATCTCCAGTGGGTTGCAGGAATCTTGCCAACCCAAAATCATTAACATGACCAGTCATGTCTTCATTGAGAAGCACATTGCTCGGTTTGAGATCGCAATGAACTATAGGTGTTCCGCATTGGTGGTGAATATAATCTACTGCAGTAGCTACATCAATGACAACATTCAGCCTTTGGAGGAAATTCAAGCTCCTTAGAGGCTCGTTTCCATCTGCAACTGGATGCAACCAATCTTCGAGGCTACCATTGGCCAAGTACTCATATACGAGAGCCTTGAAGTCATTCATTTGATCATCGATACCTGAACACACTGTTAGTATTCTCACAAGATTTTTGTGCCTGATGTTCTTCAGTGCTGCACATTCTGCCATGAAGCTCTTGGAACCTCCACGACGTTGTAGGTTAAACACCTTCACTGCAATGGTGGTTGCAATCCCATTCTTGTCCAGGAGCCCCTTATACACAGAACCAAAGCTGCCCACACCAACCAAATTTTCTCTAGAAAAACCATTTGTAGCTTTATATAGGTCACGGTAAGACAATGGGAGCTGTGAATCACCAGCAGAAACTGTCTCGTGCTTTCCTCTCTTTTTGTTCCAAAAGATAAGCAACCAAGAACCCACGAATGCCAGCAATAATACACTGGAGACTGTCGATATGACAATCTTGATGATCAACTTATGGCTGAATGCCTTCTTTTTCTGCTTGAAGTTACAAGGTGGAAGATTGAGTTCAATCACACCACCACAGAGTTTGCCATTTCCAACGATTGAAATCATGCTGCCATTCCTGAAGACTCCATTTGATGGCACTTCCCCCTCAATATTGTTATAAGACAGATTCAAAAGCTGCAATAGCTTCATGCCTTCGAACGATTTTGGAAATTGACCTGATAAGTTATTGCTAGAGATGTCCAACAGTTTGATACTTCTTAATGAACTTAGAGAAGAAGGAATGGTTCCTTGTAACAGATTGCTTTGCAAGCTCAGCATCTCTAATTTTGCACAACTACCAAGAGAAGCTGGTATTTCACCTGATAACATGTTATGTGACAGATCCAACTCCCCTAAATTTGTCAGACTTCCTATGCTTATTGGAATGGTGCCAGATAAACGATTATGAGACAAGAGCATATGAAGTGACAATGAAGAAAGACCCATGAGTTGCGAGGGAATGTTGCCACTAAGATTGTTTTGAGAAAAGCTCAAACCTATCAAACTTGTGCAGTTCCCAATTGCAGCAGGAATTTCTCCTTGTAACCTGTTGTCCCCAAGATCCAACCTATACAATCTAGTCAGCTTTCCAATGGCAGATGGAATGTTACCTGCAATATTGTTGCTACTCAAATCTATATACTGCAGATTTCCCATTTTTCCAATGATCGACGGGATTTCACCCGACAGATCGTTCTTATGTGCATCCAAAACCTGCAAGTTGACGAGGTTCTGTATCGCGCTTGGTATCCTCCCGGAGAATCTGTTCCTGTACAGACTAAGCATCTCCAGGCTGGTTGGCAAGCTGCCAATCACCTCTGATAAGTTGCCTTCAAAGTGATTCACATGAACAAACAACTGCACCAAGCTGGTTGCATTGGGCAGAGAAGAGAAGAAGCTCAAATCATCAGCCTTCCCTCCACCAAGTGAGTTTTGGTAGATGTAAATGCGGGAAAGCTTGTGAGAGCTTTCCATACCGGGCATCCTCCCGGTAAAATTGTTGAACTGCAGTTGAAGTATAACCAAGTTCGAGGCATTGGATAGAGAAGCTGGGATGCTACCACTAAACTGGTTTTCAGCCATATCCAAATGCACAAGATTGGGAAGTGACAATCCCATTTCTCTAGGTAGATTGTCGTGGAGTTTGTTCACTCCAAATGACAAAATCGTGAGGGAAGAAAGATTGAATACAGAATCCGGGATTTCACCTGATAAGTTGTTCGACGCGACAATGAGCTCCTCCAAACTCGTCATTTGGCCCAAAACATCACGAATTCCCCCACTGAACCTGTTCTCTGCTGCGTAGAACACGCGTAGAGACGACAAGTTTCCAAGAGAGTGAGGGATGATGGTTCCTGTCAGATTGTTTGAATTGATCCAAAGATCCTGTAGCTTCTGCAAGGATCCAAGCTGCCATGGTATCCGTCCCACCAATTCGTTGTTTCCTACGTAGAACAAGGTAAGGGCAGAGCACCCTGAGATGTTCGATGGGATCAAGCCACCCAGCAAATTGTCCTGAAGAATCAGGTGCTGCAGTCTGTTGAGCCTGCCGATTTCGGGTGGGATTCCCTCGATCAAGCTGTTGTTGGAAAGTAGCAACCTTTGCAGGAAACTGAGGTTGCCAATGTGTGGCGAGATGGAGCCAGAGAGCTTCTTAGAAGGCAGTTCCAGAACAGTGACTCTGCCGATTTGTTTATGGGAGCAAGACACACCATACCACTGACAGAAGTGAGTGGAATCGAATTGATGTTCGAATGCTCGAATTGATGTTCGAAGAGGCTGCTGCTGATGTAGTAAGAAGTAGTGCAACTACCCACCAACTTGGTGAAGAAGAACAAATCATCTTGGCGGGAACACTATGGTAATCACTTTTTTTTGTCACTTACAACAGTTGCTCGTAGGAAAACGCAGGAAAGCTAGTTGAAATTTGGTGATGATCATATGAAATGATCTCTTCTGCTAGTTGCTGGGATGTTAATTTTTAAACACTGCGGGCTCTGAATGGGATCCAACTAAGCTGCTGGACCCATATGTCACGGACTATACAGTCTATACCCATTACCGAGACAAAATGGAGAAACTTCAACCAAATTTTCTTTTCCCAAGAAGGATAAGAGACTAGACATTTTAAAAATTCTAAAAATACTAGAACGGTTTCATTTATCTCAACGAGACTCCACCATTATAAAGAAAAAATAATGGTTGATATATCGGTGCAAACAACACGGTCAATCGATTGATTACTATCTTATCCGTGTTGGAAGAAGATTTTCATCGCTAAAAAGATTTTAATGCAACAAGAACTTTTCTACCATTCAACCCGAATTAATATCAACATAAACTTATATAAATGACGAACTTCATTATTAGCTTATCGCTCTGAATTCATGTGAACAAAGTGGCTTTGGATTTCGCCATTTCGGTGAAGAAGAAATATGATAAAAGATCAAAGGTAGTTCGTGCAGTACATGTAAATCAACAGGTTGACCACGTAAATCTGGGGTTGGTATATTAGTATTGATTTGTGTTTATATTATGCTTGATACTAGTTGATATTTGTTGAATTGGCATTGGTTGATTTTGTTAACGGTACTGATAATTTTGGTATTGGTTGAATTGATAGCGATGGAACTCGTTACATCCAATTATTATTGGTACTTTTTTATGTTATTGTATTGGTACTGATTTCTGCTTTTTATTGGTTGATTTGGCACTGGCATTGGTACTCGTGGACACAGGTTTCTACTCGTTCTTATTGGTTCTAGGTGTTGCGGGGCGAGAGACAGTAACGAAGGTGGCCAGACGAAGGAAGAGAGTCATAATCAAAGAGTAGTCGAAGGCGATCGGGGGAGAGATTTAAGTTTCCATAAAAAAATAGCTGTCAATACCTTAATTCGATCTGAAGTTTAGCGTAAGTATAAGTTTTGTCCCGAATTTTTCAATAAGAAGATTATGGCCAACTTAATGGACATAATTGGCCTTTTATTACACACATTATTAATACACAGTAAAAACAACAAAAGACGACTGAGATGATTTCTCCCCTTGTTTTATATCGCAAACCATACATCGTAAAGAGAGGGCTTCTTTTAGTTGCAACAGAGACAGTCACAATATCCGTTGTAGCAAATCGGGTCCACACCACCGCAAATTATCTTTCCGACGCAATCCTCATTGGTGTTGCACTCATCACCGTTCGTCGTCCCGTCGGCCAGCTTGTTAGCCATCGTCAGGCTTGCTGCTGCAGATTCCACCGGCTGTCTAGGGTTTCTGTGATGATCATCATGATTATCATAGTAGGGTGTGGCAGTGATCGGACGATCATGATGATGCTCTTGGTTTGTTGCCTCGACATAGTTTCTGGAGCACGAGATCCCTTCAACTAAAACATACGGAGATTAGAAGAAAAAAAAAGTTATAAGAGAGGTAAGATTGTTAAGAAATTGGATTACAATAATGGAAACGCGGTTGTATCTCTTATTATCCTTGTTTATAAGAACCAAATCGGATCAACGCGCGATTAGATAATTAAAGCTGTCAAACCAGTAACAATATTGATTTGGTTCACATTTGCTTTGATGGTTAGGGACGGACTGAACATTTTGAAACGGTTGAACATGATATGAGATGAATCACTCCGATTTGACCTGTACGTTCACTATTTTAACCACCAAAAGAGATTAATGGGGAAAATTTTATATCTATGCTTCTTCTTCTTCCTTTTCCGGCCTCTTCATTGGTTTACGTGATCCACTATCATTTACCACCTCTAATTACTAACACTTGAATTTAATATAAAAAAAAAATTATGATATCCTATGTGAAACAATTTAATTGATTTGTTAGAAGTTTTGGCAATAGATAATATGGATTTGAAATGGTACGTGATAAATTCAATCTTAAATTTGTCCATGAACGATTTTATCAATGGTTATATCGTTGAACCATAAATCATTAATTTTCCCGGTTCAACGACTCGATTCTGAATACATATAGTTTACATAGAATGTAATTCTATCCAATGACATAAACAATACTATTCGTACTAGTCATATATCTAAAGACGAGAAGAAGAAGAAGAATGAGTTCTATATATATAGACTATAGCTGCACGATCGATATATGAAAAAGAAGGGAAGTGAACTCACAGGAGGAAAACAGTAGAAGGAAGGCAATGCCGAAGAATGTCAAGCGCACCAGCACCACTGCCATTGTCATTGCCTCTTTTTTTTTGTTTTGATGAGTTGATCGATGGAGCAAACTATCGACCAGTGCAAAGCTCTGTATTTATGTATGGCAATGGCTCCGATCGAGCCGAATATCCCGAAAAAAGCCGCGGGAACTGGCCGGCCAGCGGCCAGGGTTAAAGTGTATGTTGATGAGCGAAACGATGTTAATGAGGAGAAGTTTTCTTGAAATCACCATATATATATATATATATATATATATATATAGCTGTTGATTCCCTCCATGAATTATGAAAGTGATGGGGTGAAATGTTAGTGAACTTGAAGCTGAACTAGTTGGTCGAAAAATGGAATCCTAAAACTGGGCAAGGGTTTTGTGGCCAGGTATACGTACGGTTGTGGATGGCTCAAGACGTGCGGTCAAAGATTCTGAAATCGTATCCGAGGTTATACTGGAAAATACGTCGTTATATATGGTATTTCGTACTAGAATTTTAGACTCGTGGTATCCGGTATTTCCGATCCGGCGGAATGGTATGGTAGGGTTTCTCAAACATTGATGTCAAACCAAAGGAGGTTAGATATATATGATTCGGATGGATAATAAAGTGGTGAGTATAAGGTTCACATTTAGAGTTGTTCTACCGATTCGTGTAATTGATACAGATTAATTTTATTAAATGATATATCGTAGTAATATTCAATGGTGTTGATAGTGACGTCTTCACAATACAATAGCATAAACTTTTGTGATGCACATTTGGTTGTCGTGAGTAACATTAAAAAATTTGGGACGCGCATTTTGTTACCGTGTGCAATATTAATTAAACATGTGCAAGTATTGATTAAAAATCGTATATTTAGTGATGACATTTGCAAGTTGCAACTATAAATGTGGACATTATTGACGAAAGACATACTTCGTCAGCAAAGTTAATTTTTCCTGATGAGAATTTGACATCTTTACTAGTTTTCGTCACTAATTAGTCTTTCCTGCAATGTAATATAATATTGGGAGAATTTTCAGAAATGAATATTTATTGTATAATTTTAACAATAGATCGTCCTTTTATCATCTCATTTTTTTTACAAAAATATATATTTAAAATTCTCAGAGAAAAAGAAATAGCCACACACAAAACACAATAAAATTCTAAACATTATCATAAAGTTCAACCGTGCCAAATACAATTCGATCCTTGAAGAGACGCCTTGAGTACTCGACGAAATATCTTTTTGCACGTCTCCCATCATTAAACCGATCGTATAGATAAAATAATTAACCTATTAAACATAAACACACGATGAATTAGTGATCACGACTTCATATATGCTTTGGAGGTGTGAATTAATAGGGATGTTCATCTCATGGGGAAAAAACGGTCATTTCATCAGTAATTTCTCATTTTATAAGAAACACAACAGACAATTCAGGCAATACAGTCGGCTCGTGTTTGCCTTTTATTACACCCATGCACTATTGACACGTACAACTGTACAAGGTAAAAGCAACAAAAGACACAGATTGTTTCTTCCCCTGTTTTACAAGACAACGCAGCAGACATTCAGACAATACAAACTGGATAATATTGTGTGGTTCATCGTAAGAGAGGGGTTTTACTTTTTTTATTCGCAGCAGAGACAGTCACAATTCCCGTTGAAGCACAGCGGGTCTAAATCGCCGCAAAAGATCTTCCCCACGCAATCCTTATCGACGTTGCACTCGTAACCGTACAAGGGAGTCGCCGGCGGGCTTGCTGCTGCTGATTCCGCCGGCTGACTGGGATTTCGGCGATGATCATCATGGTCATTTTCATAGTAGGGAGTGGGCGCAGTAGTAGTAGTAGCACTAGTGATCTGTTGATGATGAAGTTCTTGGTTTGTTGCCTTGATATGATTTCTGGAGCACGAGACGCCTTCAACTTCAACATACCACGGGCCGGGAAACAGATTAGTAGATAAAAGAGTTAAGAGTCACGAAGGTTTGTTAGAACGGAACGGGAAATCCACGGTTCAAGAAAGTGTAGAACATGAGAATTTATAACATGATGTATAGTAAATCTATGAGAAATATCAGTTTTATTATACCTGAGGAGATAGTGGTTAATTAAAGAGATTGAGAATGTACATATATAGTACATTTTCCAAAAGGCCAAAACTCTAATACAACAGGAAAAATGAAAATATTACAGGTCAGACCCGAAATAATAAAACATATGTGTATAAGCCGTCGAGCTAGGGATGGCAAACGAGTGGAGATGAGTATCTCCATATTCATACTTGCCTTGCACCAAGTGCAAGTCCGGTCGGGTAATACTTGCGCGGGTACGGGGTTGGTCGACCCATTCTCACATATCATTTGAAGAAAATTAAATAAACGCAAAAAAGAATTATTATCTTATGATAAAACAAAAAAAACACTTGGTGAATGAAAAATTAATAGTGATAATGATTAATTGAGTTTAAATAATTGAAAGATTGAGTCTTGCACCTATTTAAAATTTCATTGGGTGAAATTTTTTTTTCTATATAAACATTGGATGAAACTATAAATCAAATAGGATAAATACAAATAGATATTAATGGAAGAAAATTGAGAGATAATTGGGCGGGCGTGGTGGGACAGAGCAAAAGCAGTAATCCATACTCCGCCCCGTGCTACTACAAAATGAGTAATACCCGCCCACGCATATTGCAGGGCGAGTTCAAACTGTCATCCCTACCTCGAGCCCCCCAAACTGGTACTCCGTCGTCCATGGATCCAAACTTGCTGACCAGACAACAAGACCCCATAACTTCCAATCAAACGACATATAAATCCAGACTTTCACATCGTAACAAACAAACATGTCCAAAGGTGGCAATAGGAGGAAAGAGAAAGAAGAGTGAACTCACAGGAGGAAAACAGTAGTAGGAAGGCGATGCCGAAGAATGCCATGCGCACCACCAGCACCACCGCCATTGCCATTGCCTTATTTCTGGTTTTTTGATGAGTTGAGGGAGCTAACTATCGACCAGTGCAAGCTTCTATTTATTGATGGCACCGATCGATTGAGCCGAATATCCCAAAAAAAAAAGCCGCGGGAACAAGCACGCCAGCGGCCATGGGTTAAATTGCATGTGGAAAGTATGGCAACGAGCGACACGATGTTAACAAGGAGAAGTTTTCTTGAAATCACCAAATATATATAAATATGATCATATAGCTGTTGACTCCTTCAATGAAGGTGAAAGTGATCAATGTTAGTGAACCTGAAACTGAACTAGTTGGTCGAAAATGGAAACCTAACATTTGTGAGTATTGCTCATGGAGAGATATATATGACGTCTTCGTAACCCGAAAAACTATACTTTTGTAATGCACGTTTTGTCGTCGTCGTGAGTAATATTGACGCTTGTTTTGTTATGGGTGTATAATATTGAACATTATCAAAGGAAGAAAGTCTCGGTTGGCACGGATAGTAATGACAACGAATTTTATGCCTCTAAATATGGACACTATTAAAGAAAAAGTCAGTATGTTTAGTGAAGACATGTAGAGATTGTCACAACAAATGTGAACATACTTATCGAAAGACATGTAGATATATTGTCACAACAAATATGAACATACCTATCGAAAGACATACATCGTCGTGTAAAGGTCATCTTTTCTAACGAGAATTTTATTCACTAGTTTTGGTCACTTTTTTTTTTGTGGAAAGTTTTGGTCACTAATTATTTAAAATTTTAGCATTTCATTTTCCAGTATATTTAAAATTTGAGGGAAAAAAAAAGAAAGAAGAAACAACCACACTCAGCACCCCAAAATTCTAAAAATTAGCAAGACCTTTACAATGGGCTTTAGGCATTTGTTTTCGTTGGTTTTCTCTAGGCTCGCACTGTCAGCCCAAAATTTGGATGGGCCTCTTTCTCCTTAAAAGCAGCTGGGCTAGATTTGGTATTCTTACAAAGTGAATCCATGAAATTTGGATGGGCCTCTTTGTTCGGAGACAAAGGGGCCGGAGCTAGGTGATTGATTTGCTACTCTGGAAAGTGATTGTACCTTATGCTTCTTTCTAAATTTAAAGATTGGATTTCAAAGTTATATTGAGAATCCATGTATTTGGAAAATAAATTAACAGTATAGATCAGTTGATTCTAAGAATATTTTTTCCGTCTGTTGGATTCCATTTACTTGGACCAGCTTTCTCCTTTCCATCTTTCTTCCATATATAAAAAAGTCTAATTTGAAGTTGTAAACTACATTATATGTCTCCAAGTTGTATTTTATTCTCCAAGTTGTATTTTATTTAATTATGAAACCGTCATGAAACCACCGGTATGACCAGCATGATCAATTTGTGACATCTGAACAAAATGACATCGTTTTAGTGAATTTAATTAATAATATTTTTATTTATTTTATGAATTTAAAGGTTAAATGTTGATGTTATTGGTTGATTCAAGTATAAACATATGAATATTGATGTCAAATGTTGTATTTAAATATGTATTTATTATTTTATTTGGAATATCACAATTTATTTAAATATGAATATAAGTTATAAGTACATTGTCTTCAAATATAATTTATATGCAATTAAAATCAATTTGGTGTTGATTAAAGGGATGATGGGCTATTTCAATTGCCCACTATTTGATCTTGAGAGGGGAAAGTGCTCTGTTGGCGCTCCATCCTTGTACGGCAGAGCGATGGGAGAGCTGGCAAGTTCGGTATGGTCCTAGAAATCACTTCCAGACGTAATTCTTTCACCGAAAACTTCCCGATATACCCAGTGCCCAGTGGGATGGCTTGCTATCGTCTCTTCCAGACCATTCACAACGTAAATCACTCGGAAACGAGAAGGATTTCTGTCATGGCAGCTGCTCAACCCCCGGCCCCGGTGATTCCTCTTCTCACCCCACACAAGATGGGCAAGTTCGAGCTTTCTCACAGGTGTGTATAACTCTGCTGGTCATTTCTTCGAACACATTGCTTGCAAAGGCGAAACAGGTTGATCCTGTACGGAGCACTGGTTTTCTGGTTGAATTCGCATCTGGGTATTGGGTTTCTGGAGAATTGGAGAACTTCTGAGAGTGATTGAAAAATTTGTTTCTTTGGTAGTAGCAGTATCTGTTTGTAGCTATAATCGTATGCAGGCTTTCTCCCTAGTAAATGGCATGGTGAACTATCTCTTATAGGAAATGAGAGTTTAAGGAAATGGAATGATGAATGAAGTTAATGAATTTTCTTGATTCCCTATGTTACAATGAGGCAAAGCTAGATCATACTGAACTCGGGTTCTGTTTTTTTCTTCTTCTGTTGGTATTTTGTTCACAGTGCAGTTACAAACAAGCTGCATGCCTTCTTTTGCTAAGTATGAAGGCTGTTATGAAACTTATGTATAATTTGTGGGTATGATTACAGAATTGTTCTGGCTCCATTGACTAGACAAAGATCTTTTGGAAATGTACCTCAGCCACATGCCATCTTGTATTACTCTCAAAGAACTACTAAGGGAGGCCTTCTCATAGCTGAAGCTACTGGAGTTTCTGATACTGCCCAAGGGTAAGACTGATCGTTTGCAACCTACTCCCTCTTGTTCTTATGTTCCCTGAAGCTCTGAAGTCTCTTTTCACTGTCTACTGTTACTTCTTTCGGGTGCTGAAGCTATCCAGATACTCCTGGAATTTGGACCATGGAGCAAGTTGAGGCATGGAAACCCATCGTGGATGGTGTTCATGATAAAGGTGGAATCTTTTTCAGTCAAATTTGGCATGTTGGAAGGGTTTCAAATGAAGGTGAATTCTAGTATCTCTGATGTTCATTGGTTTGTTGAATAATGGAATGGAAATCTTATCATGTGGTGACATAAACAGGCTTTCAGCCAAATGGGCAGGCTCCAATCTCATCTACGGACAAGCCATTGACCCCTCAACGTCGGTCTAATGGCATTGATATTGCAGAATTCTCACCTCCAAGACGGTTAAGGACAGACGAAATTCCTCAGATTGTCAATGACTTTAGAATCGCGGCAAAGAATGCCATGGAAGCAGGTAAGCTTTGTCTCTCCTGTATTCAAGGCTTTCCTGAAGACACTTATTGCAAACTTAACTGTTCATTTCTTCCTTTTGCAGGCTTTGATGGAGTAGAGATACATGGGGCTCACGGATACCTAATTGACCAATTCTTGAAAGACCAAGTGAACGATAGAACCGACCGATATGGTGGGTCTTTGGAGAACCGGTGTCGGTTTGCTCTGGAGATAGTTGAAGCCGTGAGTAATGAGATAGGTGCAGATAGAGTTGGAATCAGATTGTCCCCTTTTGCAAACTATGGGGAATGTGGCGACTCGAATCCTGAAGCTTTAGGCCTATACATGGTTGAATCCTTGAACAAATATGGAATCGTCTACTGTCACATGGTTGAACCCAGAATGAAGACGTTAGCCGAAAAACTGGAAACTCCTCATAGTCTCCTCCCAATGAGGAAAGCGTTCAACGGCACTTTCATTGTTGCTGGAGGTTATAGTAGGGAAGACGGGAACAAAGCTGTGGCAGAAGATTATTCTGATTTAGTGGCCTATGGGCGTTTGTTCTTGGCTAATCCAGACTTACCGAAGAGATTCGAGCTCGATGCACCGCTCAACAAGTACAACAGAGACACGTTTTACACATCTGATTCTGTTATCGGGTACACTGACTATCCTTTCTTGGACTAAAATCTTTCTGTGGAGAAGAATGGTAGTACTATTGTTGCCTGATCTTATTGTTTCAGGCTTATTATAGTGATTATCCTTTCATAATCCTGTCATGTTCTTCGGTTGAAAGGCAATATTGCTTGACGGGCTTCTTATTTGAATTTGATTTCACATTTCCACTCCTGGAGCGTTTGTAGAAAAATATTTGCCACGGAGTTATAAAGTACTGTGTTTTTCTTTTCATCTTTTTGGACAATGAATCTTGACCTTTGACATGGTATCAGATTTTTCTGAAAATTGCTAGTTTCCATGTACGAATCCTGCTTATCATTAACATGTGATCATTTGAGCACACCGTATGTCGTACCTGCACTAATTTCCAATCCAAAGAATACCAATTTGTTCAAAAAGTACTGTAAGGAATCATATACAACTCAATCTTTACTCAATAAAAGCCCTTGTTCTGTGATAAATTTTGAAGTAACTGTGGTTTTATAAAAAATTCATAGGTGGATATGATCTTTGTGGAAAAATGGAGGTTGAAATTTCTCTGAGATGTTTGTCTATAAATGATGAGCCTCTAACTCGGAAAGATCCCATATATTGATGCGGTGGGTGAAGACTTTGGACATGACTACTGTCCAAATCTCAAGCAAGTCAGTCGTCCACTAATTTCCACAGTTCATTCCATTATTCCACGTTGGAAGGAATCTATTGATAACCCACCAATAGCAAGAAGTGGCCGGTGATGCATATAACTAGCAGCAAAATAGCATTCATGGCATAAGTCTTGTAAGTGGGGGGAAAAAAGAGTGATTATTAATTACCAAGATGAGTTGTTCTAAAGCATGTTTACTCTTTGCTGCTGCAGTAGTAGTTCTTCATCAGCTGTGCTTCTTTACTGCTACAACTACTACTGTCGTTGCCGCATCTGGAATCCTTCTCAGTAATGACACAGATCGCATGGCATTGTTGGAGTTCAAGTCCATGATTGTTAGTGACCCTTTGGGAGCTCTAACCTCATGGAATGATTCCACCCACTTCTGTCAGTGGTATGGTGTGTCCTGTACCGAAAGACATGACAGAGTCACAATCATAGACCTGCGTTCTCAAAAGCTTACAGGCTCTATCTCACCACACATTGGCAATCTCAGCTTCTTGAAGAAGCTGATTCTTTACAACAACAGCTTCAGCAAGGGGATTCCTCCTGAAATCGGCCGCCTTCGCAGATTGCAGCGTTTGTCGCTCTTCAACAACTCACTTGACGGCGAAATCCCATCAAACATCTCAGGTTGCTCTGCGCTAACCCTCTTCCATGTAATGAATAACAAACTGACCGGACAGCTGCCATGGCAGATGGGATCCTTGAAAAAGCTCCAAATTTTCTATGGTGATTACAACGATCTAACGGGAAGAATTCCTCCCTCATTTAGCAACCTATCATCTCTCCAGATCTTTGTAGCAGCAACCAACCGTTTGAGTGGGGAAGTTCCTGATGCTCTCTGTCAATTGAAGAATCTTCAGGTTCTAGTTTTGCAGTTCAACATGTTATCTGGTGAAATCCCTGATTGCATTTGCAACCTATCTTCTCTCACAACACTATACTTTGGATACAATCAACTCCATGGCATTCTTCCTAGAAACCTAGGAATATCACTCCTGAACCTTGTGGAACTAGATGCAGGTTCTAACCATTTTACCGGCAGAGTTCCATCTTCCTTATCCAATGCCTCAAATTTGGTATTACTTCAACTACAAGACAACAATTTCACCGGGAGCATGCCTAGTATGGGAAGCTCTCACAATCTTGTTCACTTGACCATCGACAGCAACTCTCTTGGAAGTGGGAATGCTGATGATTTGAGCTTCCTCTCCTCTTTGACCAATGGCAGCAGCTTGCAAGTCTTGATCATTCACCGCAATAACTTTGGAGGCAGCTTAACAAACTTAATTGGCAACTTCCCGACAAGCTTGGAGGAGCTAAGCCTAAGTGCAAACAAATTCTCAGGAAGCATTCCGAGTGGAATACAGAACCTTGTCAATTTGCAGAGGTTTTCGGCATCTGAAAACGACCTATCAGGTACAATACCATCCAATATTGGGATCATGAAAACTCTGCAGTGGTTAAATCTGGAGAGCAACAACATTTCAGGATCTATTCCATCATCTATTGGAGCATTGACTGAATTGCTTATATTGACCTTGAGTAATAACAGTCTACAGGGAGAGATTCCTGCTGTTATTGGGAATTGTCAAAAACTGATAGGTTTGGACCTTTCATACAACAATCTTAATGGTGTCATTCCCCCACAAGTTATGAGTCTTTCATCCTTGTCAAAGTTCATGGATTTATCTTATAATAATTTCAGTAGTGCCCTTCCGATTGAAGTGGGGAGACTTAAAAACTTGGGTTTTTTGGATCTCTCTCATAATATGTTATCAGGGGAAATACCAAATAGTGTTGGTAGTTGTATGGTAATGGAGACACTGAAGCTGCAAGGCAATCTCTTTCATGGAACCATTCCTTCTTCTCTGAGTTCGCTGAGAGGGATTCAACGATTAGATGTCTCAAGCAATAACTTATCAGGTCAGATTCCAGAATTCTTGGGGAGCATGAAGATGTTGCAGCTTTTGAATTTGTCTTATAACAACTTCGAAGGCCAAGTACCAGTAAGTGGAGTATTCAAGAATGCCAGCATAATTTCCACTGTGGGAAATAGCAAACTCTGCGGTGGTGTGGTTGAACTTAATCTTCCACCCTGTAACTTCAAACACCTAAAGAAGCAGACATCGAGTCTGAGCCTTAGGATGAAGATTCTCATATCAGTAATCTCCAGTTTACTTTTCTTGACCTGCATGTGTTCTTGCTTGCTTATCCTTTGGATAAAAAAGAGAGGAAAGCAGGATGCAATTTCAGCTAACGACTCACAACTGCAATTGTCTTACCACAACCTCTATAAAGCTACTGATGGTTTCTCCATATCAAATTTGATTGGCGTTGGTAGTTTCGGTTCTGTGTACAGAGGCGTCCTCGACATGAATAGGATTGGAACCACCATTGCTGTGAAGGTGTTCAAACTTCAACGTCATGGAGCTATCAAGAGTTTTATGGCAGAATGTACAGCCTTAAGGAACATCAGACACATAAATCTTGTGAGGATACTAACAGTGTGTTCGGGAGTTGATTATCAAGGGAATGACTTCAAGGCTCTCATTTATGAGTTGTTGGCTAATGGTAGCCTGGAAGATTGGCTGCATCCGGTGGAAAGTGGAGACGAGCCTCGAAGAAGATTGAATTTCCTCCAAAGGCTAAATATTGCTATCGATGTAGCTTATGCAGTGGATTATCTTCACCACCAATGTGGTACACCCATGGTTCACTGTGATCTCAAGCCTAGCAATGTACTTCTAGACGAGGACATGAGAGGCCATGTTAGTGATTTTGGGTTGGCAAGATTACTTACATCAATTGCAAGTCCTTCTCCAACTACCCAGACATCAAGCTCCATTGGCATAAAAGGAACGGTTGGCTATGCTCCTCCTGGTAATCATCTTTCTTAACTATATGGAAGTTATAATAAGATTAAGTTGTGATCTTCTGCCAAAACATTTGCATATTCTAGTATTGATAAAATTTTATGTATTGATAAAATTTTATGATAAGTGGAGGTAGCTAGGTTGACATGAGTATATTATGAAGTCAGCAATCAAATTTTATTTAGCAGCCTATGAGAGTGATGCATGATCCCCTCTTTCAAACCTAACAACTTCAATAATTATTAGGATGCAGTCACTATCATTAACCCATCAAATTCCTAAGAAAATGATGAGCTATGCTTCTTTTCCTGAACAATCTTTCCCTCGTCTTTTCTTTCATGTTCAATGGCAGAATACGGTATGGGAAATGAAAACTCAATACAAGGCGACGTATACAGCTATGGAGTGCTCTTGCTCGAGCTTTTCACTGGAAAGAGACCGACGGATGAGACTTTCAACGAAGGCTGGAACATTCATGGATTTGTCAGAAGTGCATTGTCGGATAAGTCGATTGCAGAAGTTGTGGATCCAATTTTTCTCAATGAATTTCTTCTTGATCAGACTACAACCCATTGCAATAACATTAGAAGCAGCAATAGCTCAGAGGAAACCATCAACATGAAGGGCCAAATACTAAAGGAGGTTTTGATCTCTATTCTTGAAATCGGTGTTGTTTGTTCTTCAGACGTACCACATGAGAGAATTAGTATTAGTGACGTTGCTACTAGGCTCGTCACTGTACGAAAGCTTCTGATTAGTGAAGCGATATGACGCTTTGCAGTACGAATGCATGCGATGACATGGGGCTTACAGTTTACCAATCTACGCGTGAAGACTCGGATCGATATGCTATGGCTGCATGCCCTAGTTAGTTCATTTCCCATTACCTAGTTTAGCGGAGCAGTAGTATATATAAGCTAAGCAAGCATTCGTAGCTAGCATGCTTCGTGATCTGAGTATAACCACAAACTATTATCAGCTTTAGTTTCCTACGTGTTTTGCATAAAGCAACTGCAGTGCGCCTGTGCTCTAAAAGAGTGATTGTAGTACCATAATAAGAACAACAAAAGAGTGATCAATGATCATTATTACCCAAGATGAGTACTCGTTCGGGATCTTGGTTGTAATTTGCAGCTGTAGTAGTACTAGTACTACTTCACTTCGTTGCTGCTGCTATTACTGCTGCCTTCTATCCTTCTCCTCTATAGAAGATAAAGAGAACGCCACTCTTTGCCTTCTCCACTCGAACAACAGCTATTACTGCTGCTATTACTTCTTCACTTCTTTGTTGCTCTTACATCAATTCTCAATTTTGGTGTTGTTTGTTCTTTAGATTCCCCACACGACGTTGTAGCTAAGCTTATCTCTCTAAGAATGTGACTTTCTTAATAATTATGCTTGGAGACAAAGAGTAGTGAGGTGATCACTTCATTAGGCTCTTTTCGAAAAGTGTTTATTCGAACCAACTTTAGGTTCACGAATGCACTTGAAATAAGTTAATATCTGTCTAGATAAGATGCTTGTATAGCATAATGTGATGATTCACTCTTTTTTGTGATATGAAAACAAGAGCTCGATCCAATTCAGAGGATTGCAGCTAACAATTTCTTACTCAATTTCCATGTTGCACCTGAACACATTTTCTCCCATCAGTCAGGGATAGGATGGTACAGCAGTCCAAATCCTCAAGCAGAAGGATTCGGCTGCAGAAATGGATAATCTGTATACCCAACAACAGGATCAGATGTGTAAAATGTGTTCCTATCATACTTGTTCAAATCAGCATTGAGCTCGAATCTCTGCGGCAAATCCGGATTAGCCAAGAACCAACGACCATAGACAACCAGATCAGCACGGTTCTCTTCCACAGCCTTGTTACCATCTTCCCTGTTGTAACCTCCAGCTGCCATGAAAGTGCCACTGAAAGCATTCCTCATTGGCGACAGACTCCTATGGGTTTGGATTTGTTCTCCAGCATTCTTGATCCTCGGCTCGACCATGTGACAGTACAGAATCCCGTACTTGTTGAGGGATTCAACCATGTACATGCCTAGAGCTTCCGGGTTCGAGTCTGCACATTCACTGTGGCCACCAAAGGGAGACAGTCTAATTCCAACTCTCTCCGCTCCTATTTCTTTACTCACCGCTTCAACAACTTCCAGAGCAAATCTGCAGCGGTTCTCTAGAGACCCACCGTACTGGTCTGTTCGATCGTTCACTTCGTCTTTCAGGAACTGGTCAATTAGATAGCCATGAGCTCCATGTATCTCAACTCCATCAAAGCCTGTTAAGGATAAGAAGAAACGAATGCTTGAGTCATGGGCGATAGGTTACTTACAAAGATATCTCTTGCAGCAGAGAGCCATTGATTATATGTTGTCATAAGATTCATTACCTGCTTCAATAGCATTCCTTGCTGCGGTCCGGAAGTCGTTCACAATCTGAGGGATTTCTTCTGTTTCTAATCGTCTAGGAGGACTGTATGTTGCAATATCGTCAGACTGCAATGGCTTGTCTGTAGATGAGACTGGAGCCTGCCCATTTGGTTGGAAACCTGCAGAGGAGAAATGAATTAATGCCAAGAAAGACCTAAACACATAGCAGTCCGAAGTAAAGATAAAGAAGCCAAATTTGAAGAAAGGTGTGTGTAAATGCTAAATACACTCTTGGAATTCACCTGAATTCGAAACCCTTCCAACATGCCAAATTTGAAGGAAAAATATACCACCCTTGGCATGAACAGCATCCACAATGGGCTTCCATGCCTCAACTTGCTCTTTGGTCCAAACACCAGGAGTGTCCGTGTACCTTTAATATGAGAGATCAGCAAAAGAAGACATTTCAATCACAGTTAAGAACTTTCAAGTTCTATAGACGATATAGAGGAAGGAAAAAGAGCAAGCTAACAGGAATGTAAGTTACCCTTGAGCAGTGTCCGAAACTCCAGTGGCTTCAGCTACGAGAAGCCCACCTTTGGTGGCCCTTTGGGAGTAATACAGAATGGCATGTGGCTGCGGCACGTTCCCATAAGATCTCTGTCTAGTCAATGGCGCCAGAACAACTCTGCAAAACCAAACCCATCAACACCATACACAATATTCATTCAGCAGGAAGGAGGAAAAAAGGCTATTCCTTTCTAATTATTCTGAAACCAATTTCAGAAACCCACAAACGAGAAAGTTCATACAAACACAACCCAGATGGGATTTCAAGCACCAAACACACAAATTCCACCATAATCGGAACGTTGCAGCGTGCACGCCAGGTGTTCGAGAAAATGAAGAAACAGAGAATATCATTTACCTGTGAGAAAGATCAAACTTGCCCATCTTGTATGGGGTGAGAAGTGGGATGGTACTCTGCTCAGTCGCCATTTTCTACTTCCTGCTGTTGGTTGCAGTTATGCTGATGATGAAGATGATGAAGATGATGAAGGTAGAGAGTCCCCTGCTTCTTCCTCCCTTTTATAGTAGAAACGGCGAGGGGAAATGGGAAACAATGGCAATTTGCTTATTTTGTGCGGCCATGATCGCAAGACAGAAATGGAAGCCCACAGGCGGCTTCCCACTAGGGAGAAGAATATGAATTTAATTAGTTGATTTGGAAAGACAGTTGGGGGTTGTCATGGCTGACGTATCTGGACACCATTTTGGCGGGTAACATAACTGCGTTTTTTTTTTTGTATGAAAATTGGAGGGAGCTTATTAACTTATTATTGGAGAATTTAGACAACCCTATCGAAATACATAAATTAGTTAAATGTTAACTTTCAGTTAGCAATTTTGTTAGTATTATTGAAATGACAACATGATACTGACTTGTAATAGACACATGAAAGTAAACATTCCAAAATTTTAGTTTTTTAATTCAGAAAAGAACTACAAAATTATTAGCCATAACGTAAAAATGGCTAATATTTTGATGCACTAAAAAATATTTGGCTAATTAATAACATTTTAATAGATTTTGATAACATAAAAGAATCTGAAAAAGGTTTGACTAATAAATAGTAATTAAAAAAACAAAAGAAGGTAATATAATGTGGTTCATAGATATAATTTGTTTTTTTTTTTTGTGGATTGTTTAGTTTTAGAGCATTTGTTGTCCAAATTTTTTTTTTTTACAGTAATTTGTTGTCCAATTGGAGAACATGTTTTTGCTTATTTTTGTCATTTCATAGGTTTCTTTTGATAGAGTTATATCTCCTTTTTTCCTCGGAAATATCAAGAGAGTTATTGCATAGGTTATTGGTCATTGTACTTTGATCGTATCGAAGTTGAAACTAAACGTTTAGCTGGTAAAAAAAGGTTGGATTCAACGAGAAAAAAGAAAAGGTTGGACATTATTTAAAGTTTTTTGTTCTATATAATAAAAACGGCTTGGAAAGAGAGAGGAGCGGGAACAAGCAAATTTCAACTACAAAAGTATGAATGCTTATGGTATGGAAGAGAGCAAAACCTAGTGCTAAATTGTTGAAACATTCAGATTCAATAGTGTACAACAGAAGCGAGAAGAATGTATAAACACTCAAATTGACAAGAGAGAAATTTTTTTATAACCCACTAAACCACTGGGGTAACTGCATACTAACTAGGGCTTTCTGCTACCAACATTGGGGAGGCTTCGCCTCCGATATCAAGGATGCCGCTGGGAACACTCAAGTGGCGCCATTGGAAATCGAACTCAGGACCTCTCACATCTAGAGTTCAATTGGTCCAGTGATTTCACCACTATGCTATGTTACCTTTGGCCACAAGAGAAAAATTTTGAAGGAGAACAATTTTACGAATTTTTATTTATTTTGGATTTATCCCTTTATATACCAGAGTTGGGTTTAACACATGCAAGGAGAGAGAAGAGGGAAAGTTGTTAAGTGTCTTAGCAAACTGATTATGAAAATTACAAACACTCCTCCTAATTTGCTAACTTGTCGTCACAATCCTTAGTCTTCTGTGACCTTTGTATTTTAGTCCAATTGATCATAATCAAGTGTTCGATTGTGATCACTGACATAGACAACAACAAACACAAAAGACCGTGGGAGAATGTGAAGAATTTGTAATATTTGTCCAATAACGTTTCCTACACATTATAGTTACATAGGAAAATTTATATGATATATGATGAAAATGTAGCGATGCCAGAAGAAAATACAACGCTCATTTCAATTATAAGATATGTCATTTACTTCGGATAATGGATAATGTGAGATGTGATAACAAGAGGGGCGTTCATATGTTCTCGTTCTAATCTATTCGCATTACAACTGCACACCATTATTTTAGAAATATATGTCGTACCAGATTGATGAAGTCATAACAACGATGAAATCTCATATTTCAAAGATTCTCCTAACATGAGGTTGATGGTTCACCTATATTTCAAGATCCATTAAGGAACTTATTAACATTAATGCTTCTCAACTAGACCTACTAACTACTAAGAGCACACTAGAATATTTTAAGGAAATTTCTGATTGAAAATCAGGGGGCGATAACGCAGAAGTGGACCAATCTAGTGGTTCAACCATTGATTTTCAACTTAGAGATTCTAACTTCGAATCTCATGTGCTTTTCTTCTTTCAGCGGCAAAATTAGGATTTTTTAAGAGGTGTCAACTAACACAAGTAAAATAACAAATACATATACAATTTTAGTTCATAAAAATGTAATTTCATTGTCTTTCCTCACATTGACATACAATGATATTCCATATTTTGAAAGGTTTATAACTACCTTTTTCGATGTATGCAATCAAATAATCATTCATATATTAATAACATTATAACCATAATCTTAAACATAGGTTGGTTAATTGACACACTTAGATCCATCCATTCTTCTACAAACCCTCTTCGGTAGCATTTAAAAACAAACCAAATCAAAAGAGAAACTCAAATCAGGCTTAATTTTCCTTTTCTTTGGACCCTTAATTATGTTTGTATAATTTTATGACTCATTTATATAATAATCAAATAACTTGAGACTTATTTCCCTCCACGTACCATGAATTTCAACTACTTCGATTTCATTCAAAGGTATTGCTTAAAAATAAACATATATTAGAAAAGGGTTTCTTCCTACGTCATTCGTGACTCTCTCATTCGACCAACCTTGACCCCTTCGTCAGTTCATGATGCAAGTCTGAAATGAGATCCCAAAACAACTCCGTATTTTTTGGTCCACCAACGCTTGGATGAAGGGCTCCAAAAATCATCAATGAAATCGTCTATACCAATAATCTGTAGCTCACATAATCTTGTTGAATATTTATCCATAATAATGAAGTTGCATACAATCAATAAAATTCATCACTTCTTTATTAATCATTACCATCTTGACTACCATTAACCTTTAATTAAAAGTTAAGCAGGTAATAATTAACTATATGAGGAACAGAACTTCAATCTCTAATCTTACATCAATTAAAACCCTACTCAGACCCACCAAAAGGAAAATACCCCGTAAGTGCATTGAACAAAAATTCAATTCATCTTCATCGAGCCGCCTACAAATCTTTGCTGTTGACCATATTAATCATTCTATTGCTGGACCTACAAATTATTAAGCTTGATTATGACCCTCTAAAAAGAAATCATAATTAAATTCAATAAAAAAATAAAATAAAATAAACCTTACCCTAAAGCTGGATGGTCCCTTGTCCTCCATTACTACATTATTCAGTGTGGTCTCTAGATGGTATAAATTGGCTATTTGGGTTGGTGCAGGATTTGCCATACTTCATTCTTGCTATCATATCTCTTCATTCCTTCCATTGTCCATGGGAAATCAAGCAAAAACAGAGCAAGGAAATGGCAATTCCGCTCTCACATATTTAATTGCTCTTGTTAAAAAATGTGCTAAAATAGAATAAACTTGTACAGATTTTGATCTTTCAGACGCAGCTGGATTTATCCCCATAATTAATAGAGTAGTGTACGTCACGAACATTGATACTGAAAGTAATAATGCTGTTGATAGTGAACTTTTTCTATTGTGTGCATCTCCATCTTTTAGTTCTTCTTCAATGCGGTAACTTGTCCATCTGATTACCGGCCCATTCCTTGAAGAGTCTAGTCATTAGGTCATGTAGCCTTTGTGGTGGGCTTTCGGAGAACTTTTATGGGCTTGTTTCTCCTACTTGAAATGTTGTTTCTATTTAAATTATATTGGGCTTTGATATATTCTCGATCGCAGTTAATCTCTTGCGCATTGGTGGCTGACCACTAACTTTGGTTGAAGTCTTGAAGATGAATGGTGGGGAAGGCCACAAACTTAACAGATCAATCTGTTGGCTCATTCTGATATTCGAATTTGGAATCTATTGGTTCAATTGGTTAAGGTAGCGTTAGGTCAATCTTTCGTAAGTCAAACTGGTGCATCATATCGAACTAACTGGTGGTGTTTACAACACGAGTTGTCATAAGAGATGTTCAAGAATGAAACTTGTGTCATTCATTTACACATCTTCTCAGTACATGAAAGTCGATTCATGGATATGAAGTTTCAACATGTCTGTCACACCTTATGTGTAAAACAACTGTTGATATTGACAGTCACACGAGATTCGAACACAAAGTATTTCCAATTACCAAGTCAACAGCTAACATATCTCTGAAACTCGACTTATTATTACTAGGAATCCAAATATGAATTTTTATATCATTCATTCAATGCTCCCAACAAATTTGATATATTGAAATGAGTTGGTTCTCCACGACTTTCATGTCATTTTTTTTTAACGTGTATGAAATGGTTTAACCATGATTAAACCACAATTTCAGCACAAACTACTCTATGATCAGTGACTTTTTTCAATACAACCTACGGTACGTACAGTTCCACGATATCCTTGCATCCATCCAGCTTGTGAGAGGTTGTGACCCTGCAGACAACATAAACAAGGGGCAGCTGAAAAAGGCAGCCAACAGACAGAAAAGCTACAACCCTGATGAGACTGAAAACTAACATCATACAGACTTACAATTAAAGAACCATTAGAGAGATGCAATGGTGGGATCGATTGGAAAGAAGGCCACTAATTAACTGACATAAAAACAACAATTAATAATTGAAGTAATCACATTCTGATCATGATCAGTCTCCCCACTCCAATTATGGAGGGCACCCACCCACCATCTTCAATTATCAATAAACTATATATATATATATACATAATACATGTCCTTTGATTAAGAACCAGTACTGCACGTATATATTTCATCTCTGTGGGAAGAACATTAGGCTTTATGCCGAAAGAAATGTAACGTTTTTCATATTCCACGTGGACTCCAGATAAGAAGAATATACACATGTCAATTAACCACAATCTAGCAGGCTGTAATTATTCACCACCACCATCGATCGCTTTTCTCTTTGCTTTTGCTTCCAATCAGAAAAGGGGTTAAAGTCTAAAAGAGAGAGAGCTATGGCTCCCCTCATTGGTTTATTGAAGAGAAAGTTGATTTGACAAGATTCTCGTCTTCACACTCACGATGGAAGAAAATGTTTTGAGTGGAGGGGATGCTGGTTTCTGATGACTGAGTTCTGATATGACCTCTTTAAGGTTGTTTCTTTGTGAAACTCTTTTTCTTATATATTCACTTATTCAGGTTCTTTTTCCAGAAAGCTGATCGAGGCTTGAGTTGGTTGGGTAATCAAAGCTTGGAACTGAGTTAGGTGTTGTCATAAATGTTAAAAGGGGGAGTTAAGTTCTTGAGATGAGAATGCTTATAGTTTAAGTTATATAGGTATTATATTGTTTGTACTTATGGGATTGGATTTGTAATATATTTGTGTAATGGAATGTTGCTATTGTTGTTTGTGCGAGGAATAACTTGAGTTATTAAAATCAGTTGGTTTACGACATGATATCAAAGTTGGTAATTTGATCGTGTGAGGTCACAACTCACATGCATGTTCAAGTTCTCATGATCTTCAATATTAATACAGTTGTCTTAAAGCACATGGTATGTCGGACCTATAAGACCATATGAAGTTGGCTTTTCGTTAAAGGGTGTGTGTAAGAAAGTGATTTAGATACATATGCATGGGTATTTCCCGACAACTCTAGTAATTGGAATAAACTGGTTTACGACAATCTGTGCATGCTAGGTATGTACATATATTGTATATATTACGAAACATGTTACCGAAATACATTGATAATATCAATGCAGGGTTCATATTTTTTTCTTAGTGTAAAGTCTCTTTGAGAATTCATAACATATGCATCTAGTATTCCTTACTTTCTCCATGATTCATCTAGACCTAGTTAATTGATAATTAATTAATTAATACGACATAATAGAGCATGATTTATAACATGCTTCGTCTGTTTG